CGTGATTCTGACCACTTCAAGCAACCTCCCAGAAGACTTGAGTCCTCGAGTTGTGTTCAGCACATCTCCCGTGATATCCCCAAGGTAATTCTTCCTTTCTTTTGCCAGTTAAGGACTTCCCAGCCAACAGTGAGCTCATTGCCAACTCGAAGATCACCTGTGTCCACCTTCGATAACGATAAGAAGTGACGTATCGCGAGCTAGCCGACCGCTTTGCTCCACCAAGACAGTTTCTCCCCGCTGTCTCTGCACAACGGGAATAATGTCGAGCAAAGCGGCGCTGAAAGCTGTGCGAGCAGCTTTGGAATCGAAAGATTACCAAGCTGCAGCTGAAAAAGCCAAGGAGCTTGTCAAGAACGAGCCGAACAATTACCACGCGTATGTCAATCCTGACCCTGTATTGAACATGGCTAACTCGGGTTGTTTTTTCTTTCTAGGAATGTCTTCCTCGGTCTCGCCAGCGATCGATTGAACAATAATAATGACGCAGAGAACGCTTATTCCGCTGCGACAAGTATCAATCCCAATGATAAAACTGCTTGGCAGGGCTTGATCGCCCTGTACGAGAAACAGGGTGGTTGCAACCATGATGGTTATCACAAGGCAGTCATTGCTCTTGGAAAGTTATTCGCCGAGAAGTATGCTTTGATTCCTTTGTAATTTCTGTATACGAAAGATATAGTGCTGACGACTTTTAGCGACGAGAAGGAACGCTGCCAAGATCTGATTAACAAATACACAAAGTCGATGAAGACCAAAGGGACCTCAACTCAACATAAGCATGCATTGGAACTCCAGATACCGGGCTCACCACTGTACGACTTTCTTGAGGGCCGGTTGCCCCGTCCATCCCACACATACCAGCGATTGATTGAAATCACCGAGCGCCAAGAAAAAGAGTTTATCAATCGTGAGATTGGAGAGCGCAGAACGCGTCTTGGTGCTCGCATCGAACAAGTCACCCAGGAAGTTCGGAGGGAAGCTGCCAACAAGAGCCGATTGGACCAATTTTACCAAGGAATGATTGATTGGACCAACGACGATACAGTACGCCGTCAATACGAGGAGAAGTTGTTTCAGCGTGCATATGAGGAACTCGGATTTCTGCCTGACGCCGAGAAGGAGGCGAAGAGAGCAGCCGTTTTCAAGGCAGCACATGACATGGTGATCATAAAACATCCATTCGAACCCGCATGGAAAGTTTTCCTGGGGTGGCTGGATGTTCAGGATTTCTCCCAGTATGACGTGGGGCATCTGCGCGAGTACATTGAGTTTTTCCCAGAATCTGGACTCTCGCAGGTTCTCAAAGGATTTCTATCAAGCGAACTGTCCCCATTTCCCAAGGACCCCTCGGACGAAACAAACGACAAAGATGGCAAGGATCGTAAGGAAATCACAGCCACTCAGCCTGATAACGAAATTGATGACGATGCAACTGTTCCCCAAGACCCTCTCGTCCTTATGGTCGAGGGGTTGGATTCCGCTCGAGATTCAATTCTTGCGCACCGCATCATGGCAGATGTCTACATCTCTTTCGAAGAGTATGAGAGCGTGGTCAATGTTGCTCGTAAGGGGTTGCTGTACATCGAGAACTTGGTAAAGTACAGTGGGGTCAAGATCCCAAACACCATTGATGCCTTGAACAAAGCGCTTGCCAATGCTATGATCCATTACCAATCCCCCCGGTATCACCCAGACGCGAAAAAAATATTTGAAGGTATCCTCGAACGGAACCCAACCTCCTCCAATTGCCTGCTTGGGATTGGTTTGATTTTGAAAGAGGATCAAGACTACGCTGAAGCTGTCGACTTCTTGCGGCGATCACTTGAACGCGACTCTTCTAACCTCAAGATTCGTGGAGAGCTTGCTTGGTGTGAGGCATTGAGTGGCGATCTTGAAGGTGGCCTAGCCAGTCTTCAGGCTACCCTTGAGGATCTGAAAGAAACTCAACCCGACAACAGGGAGTTCAAATCTGAGCTTCTTTATCGCATTGGTTACTGCCAGTGGGAGCTTGATCCATCCCCAGCTGCGCGCAAAGATCGCAGTGGTGCTTATGCTAGCCTTTTTGCTTCCATTCAGGCGAATATGAACTTCGCTCCAGCATACACGATTCTTGGTTTCTACTACGCAGACTACAAGAAGGATAAAGTCAGAGCTCGCAGATGCTTTCACAAGGCATTTGAGTTGTCAACCTCTGAGATCGAAGCCGCCGAGCGTCTTGCCAGGGGCTTTGCCGACTCGAAGGAATGGGACCTTGTCGAAGCAATTGCGCAGCGGGTGGTCGATTCCGGCAAGGCTAGGCCTTCCCCTGGGTCAAAGCGCCGAGGATTCAGCTGGCCATATGCTGCGTTGGGGTCAGTTCAAGTTAACAAACAGCAATACAGCAAAAGTGTCGTGTCCTTCCAAGCAGCGCTTCGACTTGCGCCAGAAGATTACCACTCATGGGTCGGTCTTGCCGAGAGCTATCACCACTCTGGCCGATACAACGCCGCCACTAAGGCCTTTGAGCAAGCAAGACTATTGGAACCAGTGCTTTCACCTAAAGACAAGGAGCATGTATGGTTTGCAAGGTATATGCTAGCAAACGTCAGACGAGAGCTTGGCCAGTACGACGACGCTATCGCTACTTACGAAGATGTCCTAAAATCCCGGCCTGGTGATGTTGGTGTAACTCTCGCGCTTCTTCAGACCCTGACTGAGAGTTCGGCGAAGAGCCTTGGCCTGGGCCTCTTCAATGATGCGGCAGAGCTCGCATACCAAGCTATTTCAGTGGCCAGCTCGCTGGTGAAGATCCAAAGCGACATTTTCAACTTGTGGAAGGCTGTAGGCGATGCCTTCTCCAACTTCTCATACATGAAGGCCAAGGCCGGAAAGCTGTCTGCTTCCAGCTGCAAGGCTTTACTGACAGTTGATCTCGACCCCATGGCCCTTGATGTCTTGACCGATGTTGATGGGGTCGGAACTGATTGGCTCGCAGCCAATGAGAATGAAGAGTCGATGCCATCTGAATTCTACGTTCACCTGTCCATAATCGCTTTTAAACGTGCACTCCACGTTTCTGTGCATGATCCTCATTCTCAAGCAGTTGCCTGGTTCAACCTTGGTTGGGCTGAACATTTGGCCCATCGCACTGTGCAGCCGGACCCGACCAAGAAAGGCAAAAAGTCCCGCAAGTTCCTGAAAGCAGCTATGCGGTGCTTCAAGAGAGCAATCGAATTGGAGGCGGGCAATGCCGATTTCTGGAACGCATTGGGTGTCGTCACTGCGAGCATGAGTCCGAAGGTCTCCCAGCATGCGTTTGTTCGCAGTTTGCATTTGAATGAACGCAACGCGCAAGTTTGGACTAACCTCGGGGCACTCTACCTCCTCCACGAAGAAGGCCACCACGCATGGAAGATCTTCTTGCGAGCGCAGGCCACTGACCCAGACTATTCACTGGCTTGGGTCGGCCAAGGCTTCGTTTCACTTACTATTCGCCAGACACAGGACGCGAGAGGTCATTTCGAGCATGCGTTTGATATCTCAAACTCGTCCGATATTCTCACTAAGCGCCAGTTCAGCCTGACCCACTTTGATCATCTTAATGAGGCCTCCTCCTCTAACGTTTCAGAACTCATTCAGCCATTCTTCGCACTGCACCAGCTCTGCATCCAGGATCCATCAAACCTGCCGTTTGTGCACCTTTCCGCCCTGTTGGCAGAGAGAATGGGCGAGACCGCAGATGCCGAGTCTAGCCTTCAGGTTGTCTGTTCAGGCATGGAAGACGAATTCGAAAAGACGGAGTCACCAGCTTCCCTTTCGAGGTATGCCCAAGCAAACGCAGATATGGCTCGTGTCCTGCTTGCACGCCATTCTTATGAAGAGGCCGCGGAGAAGGCCGAGCTTGCGCTCACCCTCTCTGGAGAGGAAGATGCGGAGAAATTCGACCCCGAAGCCTGCAAGAAGCTTCGTCTGTCTGCGCATCTGACCGCTGGTCTAGCATATTACAACCTGAAGTCTATGGACCAAGCCATCGATATGTTCCGTGATGCTTTAGAAGAAGCAGACAATGCTCCAGATGTTGTCTGTCTTCTCGCCCAGGTCCTGTGGGCCAAGGGTGGCGAGGAGAACCGGTCTGTTGCTCGTGAGCAACTGCTCGACTGTGTGATGAATCACCCTAACCACATCGGAGCAGTCACCCTTTTGGGTGCCATCGCTCTTCTCGATGCGGACCGGGACGCCATTGAAGCAGTTGAATCAGACCTTAACAGCATGATCTCGCGCGATGACATCGATCTCCACGACCGAGCTAAAATCATCAAACTTCTGAGTGCCATCTCAGCAATGGGACTCAACGATAATGCAACTGTCCCTGAAAGCATCAGGCGCATTGGTGATGCCACTGCTGCCGTGATGCTTACACCGGGCCAACCTGCCGGGTGGATGGAGTTGTCGGCAGCGTCGCGAAACCCGTACCCAGCCGCCATGACTATCACACGCGCTCTGCGGAGCGTTCCCCCTTACGGCAATCTCGGAGCCGAGGATCTCAGCCAAGCCTACTCGCAAACCGGCAAGGTTGGTGACGCCTTCCGAGCAATCCTGATTGCCCCGTGGAAACGTAATGGGTGGGATGAACTGAGCCACAATATACCTACCCAGAACATGTGGACACGCTGTGTAGGCGGCCATAAACTGGAGGAATCGGACGATGAGAAACCTCTCGTGCCATGGAGGCGCTGTACAGGCCATGGACCGAAGTAATCTGACGACGAGGTGACTACCCTGCCACACGCGCGCCCTACAAGCGCGAGGACTGGGTGAACTTGATGCACAGTGTATTTACTTTAACTGCACATCAGATTTTAGCGAATGAACATGACAACATCAAATTCAACATAAGAAATAAATCCATGAAGACTAAGAGAAATGCAAATTCCATACCTTGATAATAAATGCGAAGTAAAAGAAGCAACACTCCACCATCTGTTCAGTTGCCTAAGCCCACGATGACTTGTCTCTTCTCATTCTCTCTCAATGCCTGCAGTCTTCTCTAGTAACCTGGCTTTCCTACCCTCCCTCCACGGTTTATCCAAAGCCTCAATCTTGCCCCCGAGCAAAGTAACAGACCCCGGAGAAAGCAGCACCATACCCCTGGCAACAGACGGATTACGGAGCAAGAGCTTCGCCCCAATAGCAAGTTTCTCCAATGCTATTCCATCAATACGCTGCATTTCCACACCGACAGCCATAGTTCCCGCTGCATCCTGAAGAATCAGCCGGTGCGGCCCATACCCACTGTTCCCGGACGCACTCGCAGCACCGTTCGCGCGATTGTTCTCCGTCGCCTCGGCGTCCTCGCCAACAGCTATTGTGCGCACAATCTCACGGCCGCGGATCGCCTCGCCACGCTCAACACGTTCAATCGCTTCAATCTGGCTCCATAGACTCGTGCCGATGTCTTCGATGTCTAGCACTTGCACGGGGATTGAGCCTTGCAGCCGTCGCTCTTGGACTTTCGGGTCATGGATGTCGACTGGTAGTACGCATGATCTGTGTTTGGAGAGTGATTCTTTGATATCAGAGGCGAGAAGACGGAATATAGCAGTCTTTGCGAGGGCAGAGGCGGGGATATTGCGTTGTGCTGTGCTGGAGGATGATAGGAAGGCATTGAGCCAGGGTTGGGCAACTGAGAGGGATTTAGTACTCAGTATCTGAGCTGCGATTTGATCAGGACTGGTCATGATGTATGGACCCCCTCAGGATCATGGTGGCGTGTATGGTAATCAAAGGAAAGCAGCGAATTTAAGAAGTTGGGGAAGCTCAACGCGAAAACAAAAGCACAGACCACCGCTTAAAGCAATTGACCTGGCCCGACTCTCTCACCTCCGACAACTCCGACACACCCCCCTCACAACACACCGCAATGTCGGCTATATCCTCCCCACGTCCGTCCATTGCCTCCTCTCGAGCCCAATCCCCGGGCCCAGCCTCCTCCCGTCCATCACTCGATGCCCTGAACACCAACGCCAGCGGGGGCCTAAGCGCCGCATCTACCCCATCCACTGCACGAGCTCTCTCCCCCTCACTCCATCTTCGACGTAATCGCAGCGCCCTGCGAGACTACTACAACCTCAAGCCGCCGGGCGCTGACACCTCTGCCTCTCGGGACGTATCTCGCTCCCGGAGTGTGTCGCGGAACACAGATGCAGGAGACATCTCCGACCCAACCTCTCTAGCGTCCGGGACGGAGCTCGACAGTGCAGACTTTGACCCACAGAAGTATGTCGAGCATCTCTTGTCCTCGTCGTCGCTGTCTACGGTGCTCAAGGCAGAGAACACGTTGGTTGGGGATATCCGCACTCTCGACGGAGAGCGGAAGGCGTTGGTCTACGATAACTACTCGAAGTTGATCCGCGCTGTAGAGACAATTGGTAAAATGCGGCGCAGTATGGATGATCGCGGTGCGCCGTTGACTATGACAAAAACGCTGGGTCCGGCTATTGCTTTTGTTGCTGAGACTGCTGGTGGGCTCATTAAGGAAGGCGAGGAGCAGCGGCGGCGAATGAAGGAGGCGAAGGTGGAAGACGGGGCTTCGAGTCAGAAGAGTGAGAAGGATACTGTTCGGTGGGTGCTTGCTGCACCACAAAGATTGGAGAAACTTGTGGCGGAGGACAAACAGGAGGATGCGGAGAAGGACTGGAGAGAGATCCAGCATTTACTCGACGCTTGGGGTGATGTCAAGGGGGTTGCTGAGATTCGGGAAGCGTGTGGGAAAGTCATGAACCCGGCAAGCCAGGATGACTGAACACCTGCTTGTACACACCTTTCTTCGGCCATAATCCATGCGGTTGGGGCTCCTCGGCAATGAACGGCTGTTGAGGTGAGCTATGACTTCTGACTAGGCCGATAATTGCGGCCATGAATGAGCCGGCTCCTTCATGAAGCAAAATCGATCTCGATCTATGCAAGACATGATCAATCGATACCAGCCTCCAGCCCTCGTCCCAACGAACCACCCCGGACGAAACCACCGCTGCCCCGATTTTTCGGAATGCCTTGGGCACACAGCCTATCCTCCCATGACAACCTACTGCCACCAATGTCCGGAAACCCATCACGTATCATAGTACATATGTAGATAACTGCGTTCAGAGATACCCACTACAGCATAACATTAATCGTCAATCATATCCTCATCAATCATAAACAAAGCCCACCAGGCCATAATCCCAGCTACTTCCCCTCGAGCACCTCCCGACTCGCATACATACTCGCCTTAAGCCCATACTCATTCTTAGAGTTAATCTCCAGATGAGTAAACGCATCAGACTTGTAGTAAATAGACCGGGGCCCCTTCCCAACAAGCCCAACATCAACCAACTTACTCACAACCCGCTTAACATCCTCAACATCCCCAAAATCATCCGTATAAACACAAATCAAACGACTCTCTCCACCCCCACCATCAGTAGCAACTTTCGCCACATCCCCAAGCTCCCCCTTCTCCATCGCCCTAACAACAACCCCCCAGAACTCATCAACCCGGTCAACAGTCGGAAAAAGCATCCACTTCCCACTGGTAACACCTGTCTCCCTCGCCATATCAAGAATACGCTTCTCAAGCTCCTTCCGCATCGGATTCAATTTACGCGTCAAAGCAGCCGTAGTCTTCGCACCAGACTTATCATGCGCCTCGCGCAGAACCGCACTCTCATTCTCGTACTCCTGAAGCAGCTCCCTGCCTTTCCTAAGCAGAGCGGGAACATCCCCATCCCCACTCGGCCTCGACGGCATATGCGGATTGGTCATCCAGATCCAGGGACCTACGTCCGCGGACTCTGTTGTTGAGGGCGGAAGACGCGATAAAAAGCGAGCTATGGGCTCGGTCTTCCCGCGCTGGTTGTGCGGTAAGATGCCTGGTTCTGGGGATGCATCGTCCATAGAAATGTCTGATGATGCGACCTTTGCGCGTGTCGGTGGCGCGCGCAGATGCTGCTGTATCGTTGATAGCAGCTTTTGGTGTGTTTCAACCCAGAATGGCTCTGGGTCGTAGGATGAGACTTGGGCTTCCAGTTGGGTCTTTTCATCTTCGTCGCCTGATATGGGTTAGATGGGGTTCCTTAGGTGGGTTGGAGTATGGGATGGGGTTTACCGTAGAAGCTTGATTCGTCGGAGAAAATTTCATCGGCTGCTCTGGTTGATGTCATGGTTTAGGCGGCGCTGGGTGATGCTCTAGTGGTTCTTGTTGAGATTTGGAGATGGCCCCGGGGGAAGGAAGTAGTCAAGTAGAGGTGGGCGCGATCTGATAAACAGCCCGCATTTCCGACTGCATCTTCTACTACTTTACCATCCACCAAACCATGAACGTCTCACGGAAATATTTATGTTTTGATCAATGAAAAATCTGTGTAGTGGTTATTTCAAATAAATATTGCTCTTTATTCAGGCACGCAGGAGTCGATATCAAATGAAAGCTGTACTATGGTCCCCAGTGCATATCTGAGCTAGCTACGGTAGCTATGTAGTCACAGCATCCAATACATTCCAACTTCAGATGTAACTCTAAGTCTTCTACATTGACCCGTACTCTTCTTTCCTGGTTATTGGTCCCAGCTTATTTGGCACCGGTAATACCGGGCCACACCTGTTCTACGAACTTGACCAAATCCGCTTTCAATTCATCAGGCCGCTCTAGCGCCGCGAAATGACCGCCCTGTAGCAAACCAGCGTCAGTCTCAGATCTCCGTTCTCATTAAACTACCACGTTTCATACCTTCTGGTGTTGCTCCCAGAATACCAAGTCTCCGGTGGTTTCAATCCACGAGCGCGGCAGTGGAGCAAGCTCCATAGGGAATGAAGAAAATCCAAAGGGCTTGTGGATATACCAACGGGGGTCATTGGAAGACGGAATCGGTGGCGCAGGATAGTTCTTCTCATTATCATCAGATGTCTGCTCATGAAAGTTGAGAATCATTCGGCGAGACTCACCTGTCGATAAGTATAGATCGCTCGAGGGAACGTCTCTGTAAGCCAGTACAAGGTGACAGATTCCAAAATGTCTTCTGGGGCAAGCGGGTCATCGACCCATTCCAGGAATTTTTCTCCGATCCTGCATGTGTCAGTTTTGCAGTCCCTGTCGACTACGCTTTGGTTTGCACGACGCACCACGCTAGAAGAGCCATAGGGCTCGATGCCAAAACATGCCCGATGGTGCTGGGTCGAGTGCCTTGCTCAGTTGCATAGCCTGCGCCAGTAGTCATGAAGTTCATCATCTTCTTGATGCCCTCTATCTCAAAAGCATTCAGGTGGTCGTCCGTCATGCCGTCCGGCTTTCTCATGAAAACAACGTTGACTAACTTATATTGGCATTCTGGTATTTAGATAACGTTTATAAAGCGAGCACTCACCGTGTACAGCTGTACCGGGACTTGTTAGAAAAAGCTCAATCCTTCTACTCGGAATATCATGAATGTTCCATACCTTTGCAGCTCTCATGGTCCACGCCCAAGTTCCTGGCAATTCGACTTCCAATATCGCCTCCTTGGGCAACATATCCACTCTCGAAGCCGAGGTCTTTCATCAGTTGATCTAACACACGAGCAATGTCACCCGTTCCAAAATCTCTATCCAACGGGGGTCCAGATGAAAATGTGAAACCTGGCAACGAAGGTACAATCAAGTGATAAGGTAAGGTTTCCGGGGTGTACTCTTCTCGGAACTTTTGCAGTATAGGCAGAAACTCGAGGAAGCTCCCTTTAATGCGATATGTCAGTCTCCACAAATTGCTCATTTGCTTTTTGTTACATCAAGGCCAAAACATAGACCTACCAGGCCATCCATGCAACAACAACAGAGGAACAGCATCCTTCCTTTCCGAAAACAACCCTACAAAATGAATCGTAAGACCTTCAATCTCCGTCGTATATTGAGGGAAGCTATTGATTCGATCCTCTGATGATTTCCTAGTACGGCAATTCAGTCCTGTATCTAATGTCATGCTGTGATGTCAATACCAGTTATAAGACCTCAGCCATTGATCGCGCATGATCACTAGCCAGTCCGTAGTGACACCATAGCGACGGTCCGTTTGGGAATTCTCGTAGGTGGGAGGTGCAAGCTTCGCTAGCTTTATCAACGTCTCGAGCTCGACGAGCGCGGCTTTGGGGATGGCGGCTTTGAATGGGGTCAGGGAGGCCGTAGCCGTGGAGGGCAGGGTACTGAATGGCAATGACATTGCGACGTAATTGGCTTTTATCCTGGATGTTGTTCTCGACACACTTTATATGGCTCGGCGTTCAGGCAGCTGGCTATGTGCGGGGTTCCGACGGGAACAAACTCCCGGCGCCACGGGGCGGGGGGACTTCACGCTTACAAACCGTTTTTATTCTGGATTTGGATGCGCTGGGCTGGACTTAGAGGAGATTGGTTGACGGTCAAGCGGGATTAATTACTTGGGGCGATTGATCAATTCTCTAACATATATGTATGTTGTGTATACCTAATTTGTTTTGACGTAGACATGTGAAGAATCATGTAACTAACTACTAAGTAAAGTAGCTACGGGTTGAACCAGTAGTAGGGCAATCTCCAGGGCTAGTGTCTCCAGGGCTAGTTTGAAATTCCATCTTAGGAGTTATCCACTGCAACCCCTAGCCTTCATAGGCAACATATGCCTTCGATAGCTTTTCGCGAACCCACTATTCCCTCGTCAGTCATCGCATCGGTACTAGATCTATTTTATGACTCACCTCGCCTGCCTTGAAGGGCTCTTTACATGCAGGTCTTTCATCCGAAATATGGTTCGGTAGAACTGAGACTGTTGTATCATAGTCGACTCCAAAGAAGAAGGGAATGGAATAACGCTCTTGTCCGGTCAAGTTTGTCACGCGATGAATAGTAGACTTGAACTTTTTATTCGTCCTAAATCAGTCAGCACATACTCTTGTGGATGACCGTACTAATCTTACCAAATTGACAAGCAATCTGCAATGTTGACGACCAATGTCCCCGGCAATGGTGGTGCCAGTATCCACTCACCGCTGTGGCTCAGGACTTGCAGGCCCGGGACACTACCCTGGGAGAGGATAGTGAAGCATTCGAAATCCTGAGAGCAGATAAGGAATCAGTCTTTGGGTATGTTCTTTCATGTTTTGGTCAATAGCCTACCGTATGAGCCCCCAGCCCTTCACGAACCTCTTCCTTCACCGGCTGAGGCGGGTAATGCATCATCCTAGATGTGACCCCTGGGTTCCGAGTCTTGGAATCGAAGTGTTCTTCGGGCAAGCCTAAAGCGAGGGCAAATATTCTCATCATCTTTCGGCAGAGCTCTAGCATCATCGCACAATATTCAATGTAAGTCTCTGGGAAGTTTGGAAGTAAATTTTGGCCGGGCCATTGGTTATCTCCATACAATCCATAAGGATCGCGAGGAAGAGGGTCATCTTTCGATTTTTGAGGGTCCATTGCAGTTTCGTATCCAATGTCAAATGCTTCGGAGAGAGCACTGACTGCATCTTCTTCGGAAATGGGATCATCGTCTGTCCCTGTGGATTTCTCGCCACCTATAGGACTGTAGCCGCGGAATTTCTAGTATGGTCTTAGTATATGCTTTTATGAGTTCAAGTTTGCAGGCGTACGGGGGAGTTTCCAATGTAGAACTTCATCTTTTGCTCCTCGGGAAGGTCGAAGAGCTGCTTTGCGGAGTTGTGTATGCCATCTATTTTGTCCTCTGGAATTCCATGGTGCTGCACAGCGGCATTAGTAGCTGACCAGGCTCGACAGAACGACAAGAGCCGCCTACCTTTATGTAAAAGAAGCCAACCTGAGTGCAAGCATCATAAATTGATTGAGCAAGTTTCTGTCGCTCATTGAAATCTGGACTATCTAAAGTGGAAAGGTCGATAATCGGGATATGATTACCATCGGCGAGCTGCGAGCTCTCGGTTTTTGACTCAGTCATGCTGCCCTGTGCGATGCTTTTGTGTGATGCTTCCGAGAGAGACGATGGGGAAACTGCCCCGGGGCCGCTTTATACTTCGCGGGGTAGATCCCGCTATCTTCACCAACCACGAATCGCCGATTGTTGTACAGCTGCTGCGTCGATTCTAATAGAAATATTAACCTAGACTAGATCCATGGATGTATCTTTGCACTTTGTTCACTAATATTGATGCATTCTATCTTCTATCTCAAATATACCCTGAGGCATATTTTAATCAAATTTGCTAAGGTACTCGTATCACATCACAGTAAACGCTTTTTGGGGCTCATTTCAATGCATATATATCAACGATGCGAATGTTTAAACTGAAACTTCGGGGGCTTCGGGTGAGGGCAAGGTATCCAACCAACGCCAGGAGATCACGGCCTGGATGAGGCAGGTAACAGCTGCACTGGGTCAGTAAATTGAACAATACGTTATTTTTAGGCAGTGTGACTCACCTAGTGCTACAGTCATGTAAAAGAAGCCAACTGCTTCAAATAGCGAGCCGGTCAACAAAGGCCCGAACATCATGCCGAGACTAAATCCGACTTCGGTCATGGAAAAGACTCGCAGATTGCTTCTGTTGGCCTCGAATAGATGCGCGTCTTTAGCTTCCATGTCCTTGACAACATCTATATTGAAAAAGGCACATTTGTTAGTGGGGGAATGGACAACACAAAATAAAATGGAATCACTCACAGGCCAGTTGCACGGCTCCTACACCGCGCACAAGAGGCAGAATACTACCCAAAGCAATAAGACTGCTGGTAAAGATAGACTTGCCAGCGGCATCCCCTGCGGCCCATGGGAAATGGGAGTCTCCCGGCATCCCCAGAAGTAAAATTAGAGGGATAATCGCGAGCCAGCCGAAAACGGTAGGTCCCCGTATTCCGATACGATCACGAAGCCATCCAGACGGGCCGCTAAGAACGATATTCGGGACTTGGAGACAGAAGAACATCATACTAATGAGTAAACTCTTCCAACCAAATGCTTGTCTTAGGTGGACAGGGAGAGTGTTGTTAATGCCGGACATGAGAGAGGAGACAACAACAACGTTCGCCAGCGCAGTCAAAACACGTGGATCAGAGAGCATAACTCTGTAGTATTCATGTTTGAGGTCATGCTTGTTCTCCCCTTTACAGTCATCCGGTTTGACGGTAGACGGTGTATCAGAAAGCAGAGCAGTCGATTCTTCTGGACCCCCGTCATTGCTGAGAACTGACGTGCTAGCAGGTTTGCTCAAAGAACCAATTTTCTTTGGAGATCCGAGGCCAGGCTCAATCATGACCAGGCGGGCAATGATATCCAAGACAAGTACGACCAATGGAAGTGACCAGGCGGTCCAGTAGCCAAATAACTGAAGCAATGCGCCACTCACGGTTGGTCCGCCGACCATTCCTGCGGTTACAAATGACATGGCCATCCCCATCGACTGTCCGAGGTGCTTCTTGTCCACATTGTTTGCCAATAGAGCAAATCCAACTACCCAAGTGGCGGCACCCGCCATAGATTGTAGGATGCGACCAACGAAGAGGAGCCAAACTTTTCACGATAATCAGCTTCAAAGAGTCGTCATCAAGATTGAGATGTTCATACCATATGGGGCGACAGCAATGATAAGAGTTCCCATAAAACATCCCGCCAGAGCGATTAATAGTGGTTTCTTCTGGCTCGGAGTCTTCTCCGCAAGGTGAGCGACAATCGGAGCAGAGACGAGACCAATGAACCCATGGGTCGTGAGCAATGCCGTGGTGTACCTCTGAGTTTGTGATGGATCAAGATGCAGTCGTTCTTCGAGCATATAACTCAAGATCGGAGTAAGAAACCCGTAGAGAAATGTCTCTGATGGATTGTTAGTATGACTCAGATATGAGAAAAAAATGAAACAACCTCACATACCTGCGAATAAGGCAACAGTGATGGACGAAACCACCAATAGTCGAGATGAACGCCATTTATAGCCCCATGGCTTTGTATCCTCGTCCATTTTAATTTTGAGAGCTTGACAAGAGAAGAATCAAAAAGTGGGGGGCCAGAGAAGAAATTATTTAAGTACTCTGTTCAGGCGGTAGGATCATAACTGGAATAAATACCATTGCATTAAGCTAGCTCATTAAGATACATATATAATAATTAATGTATGAATTTAACAAACCCTGCACGTTTAGCTCCCCTTTCAAGTGCCGTTGACGGGTTTCTATTGGCAATGAGTCAATCCAGATCGCCCTGGCGGCTGAGGCGAACATCGTGATCGACGCCTCAATGCAACTCCAATGCATCCTCGATGCATCTACTCCGAACAAGAAAGTCAACACATGAATACCAACTTGTGTGTCACACTTAGAGTTCACGCCCTTTGCTGCAGATCCCAAGTCTTATGCACTCCACCGCACACACCCTGTACAAGTGTCCCGAATGGAACTTCAAGAGCTTAAGAGATATTTGTATTTCAATCAAGATTGATCTAGTTACCTGTGGGTCTAGAGATATTACGCAAATCTGTTATTGTGTCTAGTCGCATATAGCCCGTCGGCAACCGTCGGGCCTCCCGAGGTCACTACGGAGTATCTAGTCAGACCTCCCCGGGGTCTTAGATACCTAGATATGTCTCTGTACCTAGTATAACTACATACGGAGTCCACAGGTACTCCGTACCTAGGCAGGTGACGGTAGCATCAGCACTAATCGTGTCAAGCGCCCAACACCGGGGAATTTGTCCTATTTGCTATTATTGCTGGTAGATGTATAAGGGAATTCCATTATCATAACTACTTGGTGGGTTAAAGATTTGGCCCCGAGAAATTTCACTTGTTGGAGAGTATTATTTGAAAGCTGCCGAAGTGCTGATACTAGAGTTACCCCGAGGAGGGTAGGGAGGATGAAAAATGCAGCTGATCTCTACGACGGCTCCTCTTGAACTTCGACTGGAATCGGGTAATTTCTCAAGTAGAAGAAGCCAATTTTTACAAGCGCATGTTTGAGCTCCGACAAGAACCATGGCCATTTGGTAGGAGATGGAGAGAGGGCATTCTGAAAGCCAATGATCGGAAGTGAGGCGAAATCCTCAGCGATGATGAGAAAGTGTGCAGATATGATGATACTGCTGCTAAAAACAAATTATGGCGTTTTATGAGAATAGAAGAGGAAAGTAATTATGCAATTGATGTGAATACCTAGCCCCGGAGGTTTCTAGGTGAACCGATCGTGCGCCCGCACTACCATGCAGCCCAGCCCACCTACATAATACGTATCTTCATGCTAGGCATTTCCTTGTGCTAGTACAGAGCCAATCCCATCCTTTGCTTCTGTGTTCACCGCTTGTTTTTCATGCAGTCTAATGCATATTTATATATCTCCCATCCATCAAGCCCCATCCTCTAAAAGCAGTCCCGAATGGCGTGGGCTTTGGGCGATGAAGGGCACACATAACAATTCTTCGGACTGGAGCACGCAGAGTCTGGGTAAATATCTCCAGGAATTTGGCAGGGGATCCATGGACATGAATACCATTTATGGAGAAGGAAGTGAGACCTTCAGCCATCTCCTCTCTCTCCCCCTCTTCTCTGCGTGTGTTGTTTGACTTTTTCCTCTTGTCTTTCTTTATCTACACTTATACGATCTCGTTCACATATTGGATAAAGAGTACTTGCTGAACTTACCTTAGGGGAAAATCCCCAGCTCGTTGGGAAACTCGTTCGTAGAACGGGTTGGGTTCGAGAGGGCGCGTGTAAGACTGCACACCCCCGTGGAACAAATAGCCATTTGTTGAGGTTGCTCACGAAGAAGTCTGGATCAAGGTCGACGATATTGATAGAAAGCTGACCAGTGCAATATGCACCATTAACGCATGATAGTATACTCAACTGCTTGCATATTTGATCAAACTTTCGAAGGGCATCCGCACGCCCGGCTGAAAGCTAATGACATCAAACACAGCTATCTTAACTTCTTCTCCCTGTTGTCAGATTTTCTCCACGGTTTGGTTGAAACGGGATACAACTTCGATATCAGAGACAGGATACTCAAGTGGAATCCGTGTCACCTTGACCCCAGTCGTCTCGGAAAGATGAAGTGTTGTTCTTTCGACTGTGCCATACACCGTCTCAAAGACCACAATATGATTATTCGTCGAGTACTCCATATTTCGAAGGATAGTGTCTATACCGGTAGTAGCATTTGGAACAAGTACGACGGTATTTAGCGGGGGATGAACTAGCTTTGCAATGGCCATGCGGGATTCTAACAATTGAGTGCCGCGGATGAAAGCATCTGGTGTCGACTCGACCAATCTTTGTTTCTCATGCAACATACTCCGGATATAATTTGGAATCGCTCCAAAGGACCCTGTTTATTTATTAGGGCATCGAGGTATTGAGGAAATGATTAACCACGGGTTCACACCGCTGCCATCATGACCAATAAACCGCGTGGTCGAACAGCTCTTCGACTGTGTGCCGTGAATCCTGAGACAACGCCTGAGATAATCTGCCAGGTTGTACAACGAATGGGTGTGATTGCCAATGGAGAGTTCGCTCTGATGGCGAAGCTGAAGGAATCAAGAAAGGTTGCGAAATCACTATGCACCGAAGGGTATATATATTCCGGTTCAATCCGAAGATCACTATTGATAACCTGGAATGAAGATGCATTCATGTAGTACATATATCCGTGGTTATATATATTCCGTACTCTAAGTGCGATACCCACGACTTCGTGGATTCTCACCGCCCCACTATGTGATTTTTGACTCCAAATCCCATCAATGTAACAAACCGAGAGCAACTGGATCGTCAAAGGGTCCCTTTCCTGTCATATTGTGCATCATTAGAGTGGAAATAGTGTGTCACGCGACTTGGACGTTTGATAGACCCTATCTGCGGCCATATCGTCGGGCATATTCAGACACCACATTCCGGCGTCCCTCCGGACTCGACAACTAAACTCCGAGGCTTGCAAAGTCTAGAATTATTACAACTCGGACTAGATCGAAATGGCAAGCATTCAACACCCCCAGTCAGCGACTACAGTCTTTTTAGACCAGCCGCCCAGTTGCCTGGAGTTCTGCCCCGAGGCCCCAGACCATTTCATCGTGGGCACCTACCTTCTATCAGAGAACAAAACAGAAGATGGAGAAATTGAGCAATCCAAAACGGGTAGTCTACAACTATGGAAATTAGACCCTGTTAGCAAAATATTGTAAGCCAACCACAATCAAGCATATTACCTCCCAGTCAGCCTGAGAGCCGAGTATAACACCCTCATAACGAAGCCACTAACAGCCCTTAGATCGCAAATCCAAAGAATTGCCGTCCCATACGCAGTTTTTGACCTACATTTCCACCCAAGACAAAAGAACCTATTCGCAATTGCAAGCAGCGTGGGATCAGTGTCTCTATTCCAAGTATCCACCACCTCCACCCCAATCATCACCCAACTATGGACGAAGCAAGTACACGAAGACCCATCAATTCCAGCACTATTCCTCGCCTGGGCACCGCAAAACTGGTTCCCCCAGCCAGCAGCAGACGGCTTTGCCGTCACATTCTCAGATAGCCGGACAGCCGTCTTCGGGACAGAGGGCGATATCTGCCAAGAAGAAAGTATAGCAGAATGGGGCACATACGAAGCCAAACAGATGATCGAAGTCTGGTTTGTTGCATTGTCAACAAGCACCGGAACCCCAGAAGCCGAGAGCCAGAACCCGTCTGCGACCCCATTCATGTTCACGGGCAATGACTTCGGCTCGCTACACACGCGCCGATTCGATAATACCACCGAGTTGGATGATCCAGACGAGCATATCTCGCCCATGCTGCTCGAGCATGATGATCGAGCTCGCCACCACACTGCTGGTGTCACTGCTATCCTGCCTCTTGATGTTCCCTTGGTTGATGATGCTCCGGTTCTTCTGACGGGGTGCTATGACGAGAGTCTGCGTGTGTACCATGCTACGCGGAGGGGAGAGGTTCTCGTCGAGCAAGGGCTTGATGGTGGGGTTTGGAGAATGCAGTTGCTGAATACCACGAGGATTCCGGGTGAGTACCGCTTTTTGGTGCTGGCGAGCTGCATGCATGCCGGGACGAGGCTTGTTCGGGTTACGTGCAAGCACGAAGATGGGACTCCGAATTGGGGGATTGAGGTTCTGGCGAAGTTTACCGAGCATGAGAGTATGAATTATGCCAGTGGCGTGTGGGAGGGTGGACAGGAAACGACTCGTTCTTCTAAGATTTTGTGCGTCTCGAGTAGTTTCTATGATCGCAGGCTTTGTGTTTGGGCTGTTGATCTATAGTCAAATAAAAAAGCCTTGCCAATTTAGAAGTCCATCCAGACGCCGAGACCTTACCATATGCAGGGTTCGAGTTGTCGGCCTCACTAAAATGCTACTGGAAATTCGTAAGCCGAAATTATTCTAACATGATTGTGGTCATGAACACGCTAGAGAAAGCACGATGCATAAGCGACAGGTATACAAGTACATCCGCGCCCGAAGACAAGACAAGAGCCATTCATATCCGAAGAAAGTATATCGTTCCCATTGATCCATTGAGCGTGTAATTAGACAATAGTCTCCAGCTCGCGAGCATAACCCAAAGCATTCTCAATAACGGTGCCGCTAGCCATCAGGATATCCCTCTCAGACCTCGCAGACGCCTCGGGCTCAACAGGGAAGTATATCCGGCCGTCGCGGAGGATCCAGCCGCGCTGCTTGGCAAATTCGATCACTGCACCCTCAGACTCAAGGAAGAGGAGGTTCTTGGCGTTGGAAATGGGGAGGGAGGGGTATGCCTTCTCTGAGCAACCTGCGATTTCATTGCGGATAGTGCCGATGAGAACCTATAAAGCTTCTGATTAGTATCCTTGCCGACGGAGACATTGAATAGCTAGCTGGGCACGCATGCAACTTACATTCGAAAACAGACCAAAGTCTTCCGACGGAACACGCTCGGACTTAGTCTCCCTCCACACCTTGTCGTAGCTTCCCTCCATCAAGTTGCGCTCCAGCTCAACGGGGTACTTGATGCACGCATCATCCTCAACACGGCCACCCTTCAAGCTCGCCTCTTCCACCAATCCCTCTAGCACGGTGTGGAAGTTGGCACTGTCGCCCATGCTCAAAAGAAGAAGCAGATACAGTCCTGTAATCTTGCTGCGTTGGCTAGTGCTAAAGTCGACTTCCGAAGAACTCTGCCCGGGCATACCGGCATGTCTCTCAAGATCGTAGAATGGCTGCAGTTGCTGGTAGTACCGTGTGAATAGCTGCGCGTCGGTCTGGCGGATGGAGGCAAGTGCTCCGAGTTCGAGGACTTGGCGGGCAAGGACGACAAGCTGGGGAGGTGTGGAGGAAGTCGGAATCAGGGCATTTTGCATAAGGAGAGCTCGCTTGGAACGGCTGAGGAGGTCGTTGGCGGCGTCGAACTGTTTGCGCTCGATAGCACCGTGGAGCTCTGACACAAGGGACTGTAGATCGGACATGGTGGAGGTTGTGTGGGTTTAGGACAATGCTGAAAGGGAATAAGGCAGCCTAGTCGGAGTATGACCAAGGCAGTAATTAAAACGGTGGAGACGATGGAGAGTTCGGGTTTTGGTTGATGATTGCTGGTGACATTCCGGTGCTCATGACGGAGCTGCGGTAGGCGGTCAGCTTGCAGTCACGTGTGGGCATTTTGATAATCGCCGGTCTGGATGTTGACCTTTCTCCTTCTACTACTACCACAAGCCAGGCTACTTGATTTTTGTTTGCTGGATATTATTACCTAGTGAACGACAGAATGACTCAGTGTTTGTGATAGCTATATATATATTACTCAAATTCATGTCTACACATGGTCATCTGACAGTGCCAATTTCACAAGTGTAGGAAATAAGGGCGTTCCTAGCCCTGTCACCGGATCCCACCCTACGGTGGCATCCCAACTTGCATTCCGTACCCGAGAATCGCCAGGATTCCGTTTACAGCCCGAGGAGCTGCCCAGAACAATATCCTTGAGCCCTGTTTGCCCGTGGCTATAAAGCCAGAGGTTCAGGAAGCCCATTCGAGGCTTACCCTGGGCAATACGGACAGAGTTGAGCCGAGAAACCACCGCTGCAACTACTGGCGTTGAAGCACTGTACACTGTCAGCCCATTGTGCTCTCCGAAAATCTATCAAAGACAAACCTTGTACCGCCGACCGAGATCCACTCGCCATGGTCTCGAACAATGAAATTCGCGGCTTGGGCTGATACATCGGGATACCCTCTTCCCGTAGCATTGTACAGTCCATTCCATCGCCTTCCAAGATGACGAAGGTATCCTTTCACTGCCTGGTCCTGGTATTGGGGACGGGCGAACACCTCTGAAAACCCACCCCCAGAGAAGGAAACCGCTCTTTCGGGGTTAATGCCGTATGTTCCACCCACAGAGGTAACAAACGGGCAAGACGCTGGATATCCGGGAAGAAACCTGGTTTGATTCGTCCCGTCGTTTCTCACACAAGCACTTCCCGGACCAGCATCCCCGCTACCGAAAATTATTGAAACACCCCGGGCACCGAGCTGGGCAAATAAGCTGCAAGTTGCGTTTAAATACGACGGTGGAAGACTCTGCTCATTTTCTCCATATGAGTTGGAAAGCACCGCGGGGAGCTCTTCATCTGGGAGATTCAAGAGGTAATGCAGCTGTTCAAGATATGGCTCGTTGGACGATACAGTAGGGTCTGGATGAGTTATTTCGGGGATAACAGGGCCACGTCCCCCGGTGCTATAAAATGTTGCTAGCACTTCATCCGCCAGCGGAATGGAGTACTGTACGTCTAGATTTGCTTCGACACTATCAGACATGGAGTGTTGGTCATCCTGGCCGCCATTGATCGAGGCGACACTGAAATTTGCGTCTGTGTGGCTTTGGGCATAATGACGCAAAAACTCATCGAAATCAGCGTGGCGAGCATATTGTTCCAGGAAACCAGATATTCCCAGTCGATTCCGCCATTCGGGTCTGGTGGTTGTGTTATCGATTCCATACAGGTTCCGAAGACAATCTGATGTGATAGTTGTATCGCATCCAGCGGCTAGCTGCTCAGAAGTCGCTGTCTTCGGTTCGAAAATGGAGCTTCTTTGAGGTACGAGGTTGCCGAATAGAGTTGTAGGCTGAATCAATTGGATATAGGGGTGTAAGGCCCTAGGCACGGAATATCCAAGAGTTCGGATGATGACGCTTTGCTGGTCTTGTTGATTAAAGTAGAAAAACTGTGTTTTCATCATCTGCTCGGCCTGAGAAATTGGAACTGTGAACGAGATCCAATGGCCATCCAAGTTGATGGAACTGGCTGGAACATTTTCTGATCGCAGCCATGCGATAATCTTATCTGAAATGGCAGGTGATGGGCCCAATAATTGCTTCACTTCATCGCGTTTCATATGTTGACCGTAGCTCGCGTGGCCTGGGGTTGAGAGCTCTATGACCTTTTGCTCGAACTCTCCGGCGTTATTCTGGGTAATCGCTAGTCGGAATTTTATAAGTTTAGACACCAAGGGTCTATCCACTCTTGACCAGCCATCCGGTACCTTGTCTAGATGTTCAACCAGTTGATAGCTGGAACCAACGGCAAACACCAACTGGATATAGCATAGCACAAGGGCCAGAGCTCGAAGAAGTAGAAATTGAAGTCTCATTTTGTCATTAAATACTTGCTGAAGTAGCTCGGTGAATAAATACTCGCCGTGGCCATCAGACTATGTAAATATATGATTTTCTAGACGAGTGGGAAATATATCGATATTCACAAAACTAGTATACCATTATACCATCTGGTAAGTTATTAGAACCAGCCGACCTAGGTACTAAGTGGATAAGACGTTGGCAGCAAGTGGGAACACAACTGTACAACGTTGCACACCAACATGATAGTCACCGAGATCTGCCATATGCCGACTGGGTCCACTCGTGTTAGTTAGATTCTTATCACTGCCGACATGTCCGGGCAAATACATTTAGAGGTAAGGCAGAATTGTAAAATGTTAGTCCTGATACCCTAGGACCTCAGGATATGTCGGTACATGTCTAATTTCTGATTCTCAATAGAGACGAATATGTGTTAACTATGAAATTCCATAAATCCAAACATTCAGTCTCTTTTAATATTTAGATTTACAAATGAGATCATGCAAGTTGCAGCTAATTATTTCTCTCACCAAAAATATGAATGGCCTATCGAGAGAGACTGCCCGTATAGGGACTGCTTACTACCTAAAGCACACATAGACTTTATGCTCGGCACAAGGCCATATGTTTCCGTTTGGCTCTCTGGGAACTAGAGGCCATGACCTGTATGAACCCGGCTGTAAGGAGCTTATCATCCGGGATAAGCTCGTGAACAGTCTCATTTGGCCAGCTTGTGCTTGTCCAACCGAACAAAACCTTACGTTGCAATAGTTCAGCCCAGTGCTTCCGCTGTATTACCCCTGTGCAAAAATGAGCTTTACTGGCTCAATACTCAAGGCTCATATCCCTTAATGGATCAGAGAGAGCTTTATCGGCCTAGATCGGCTTGGATTGTACCACCAACATAGGAATCCATTGTCTCGCACTGTGTCAATCTAGTAATAGAAAATGAACAAAACAAACCATCCCATGTGGCATCCTAAACTGGAGTAACCTTTCACTGTCTTTAGTCTTTCTCCAAATGTCCAGCTTAAAGGGTAACATAATATATGTGGTACAGGACGAAAAGACGAAGTATAAAACCAAGTTTATGCCTTGTCGCCTGAAACTCCACCCGGATCATCTGATTTCCGAACTCCGAGAAATGCGGGATGATCGACGTCACAGTGAAGCTGCAGTCAGTATCGCGTCAATCTGAGGTCTGAGGCCCATCACTTCAAAAAAATATATATATATATTCACAAGTGGATACCGTGAGATTGACTTTAATATAGCCCGACTTTCCGAATATCCGAACTTATTTTGGATTTTGAGCCCGGTGAGGTTGATACAAAATATTTGAATGTGGGGAAATACTGGGATTTCTTGCCAATATCTCAGTGACAATCATCTCAAAACATCGCAAATAAGCCTGGAAGCCAGGATCTGATTGACTTGGCTTTAAATACTGTGCGGGGTGGTATGATCAACTTAGGATCGAATCGACGTCATTGATACATTCCCACGTATCTCACAGTCTCTCGTCCTTCCCCAGTCTTTCATCTCCGCTTTCAATCCTAAACATTTTTACATACGCCATGACTGAAGCAGAAATACAGCCACGTCGACTGTCGGCGGATAATCAGACTGTCTCGAAAGCTGATATCCCCATGAAGGAGCGCTTCTTCCGCTACTTTCAGCATGAGATCACTGGTATGTACCCGTTGATGTGCAAACGCCACTTCATTATCAATCAACATAGTCAAACAGACGCGTGCTGATAACACTACCATTCTAGATTTGCAACAGGAGATGGATCGTCTTGCAGATACATCTCTTGTCGGTGGTGAACGTACTGATGCAACAGACCACTGCCTTGCCGGGATCGTGCGGTTATCCAATGAAGTCAAGGATGCAGCGAGCTATATTCCCACCTATGATCAGAGGGTGTATGCGGAGGTAAACGCTATTCACAATCTAGCTTGATAGACTAGAGCTGACACCTCTACAGGCAATCAAAGCTTTGCAGGATCGATTGACCGAGACACGTGCAGCATTCGAGCCCCGATCAAAGTTTAGCTTCAAGACCAAGAAAAACACCTCTGCTGTCTCTTTGTCTGACGCTGCCGTGCTGGCAGTTGAAGGACGGCTTAGCGTTCCTGGGTACCACTCTCCGGGTGCCTCGTCCATTGACTCGTCCGCGAACCACACCCCCAACTTCCCTTCCAGCCCACTGAAACCGGAGCTTACGCCCACTTCATTCCCGGGTGTAGCGACCGGGGACTTTGCCACAAAGCCCCACTCGGAGAAGCCCGGTGGTGCCTTTGCGGCCACCGGCATATCCTCTGTGTCGGTCGATGATCATCATAGACTTCACATTATGCTTCCTGCCTCCGGGTCGACATCCACAGTCCCGGTGTCTATCACCTCCCTGGATCGCTGCATCGTTGATATGTCCATTCCCACTGCCAACGGAAAGCCATATGCCAGTCTGACTGCCAAGGGGATCAAAGAAAGCTTATTGATCTGCGGCCAAGTCAATGGCCCTGCACACATTACCGGCGTTGAGCAGAGCGTGATTGTGGTGTCATGCCGTCAATTCCGCATGCACGACTGTAGCAACGTTGATGTCTATCTCAGCTGCTCTAGCAACCCTATTATTGAGGACTGTTCCAATATCCGGTTTGGTCGGATCCCGAAGGCATATGTCAGTGTTCTCCTCGTGGCTATCTCTCTTCTCCGGGTTTGTACTTACATTCATTCTTCTATCTAGGCCTTGAACCATGACCGTCCCGACCACGAAGACCGCTGGAGCCAGGTCGAAGATTTCAAATGGATTAAGCCGGAGCCTAGTCCAAACTGGAGTCTGCTCGACCCCAACGATGCCGTTTCCGAAGAGGTTTGGGCAGAGATTGTTCCCGGCGGGCCGGGATGGTCTCTTGACGACATCTTGCATGCCATAAAAATAGTCCAAAACTAGTTCTCCCTGCTCGCTTCATCGATTTCTTACTTCCTACCTGAACGGACATGTTCCTACAGGACGCATCCTCGACATCAATTGTCATTATGTGTCCACGCGATTGATAACGCCATTTCTACTTCAAATAATCACAACTTTCACTCTTTTTCTTGACGCCACCATGATCAGTTACGACTTTTACGATGTTTGAATTTGGGGAAGGACTCAAGCTTAGTTGCGCTACTCCAGATATGTACTTGTAGCCTTTACTATGTACTTGTAGCTACAGACAGAAATATAATAGATTGACGGAGGAGCATATACTAATTTGAGTCTGATCTATGATTCACTCATTGAATGAAATAAGAATATGTACTTAGCTGCTTATGCAGCCTCTGTCCTTGGTGATGTAGGAAGGATAATGGATGGATACATAATTTGACCTACATATGTAGCAGTATGTGCCGGATTTTAGGTCGCCGATGCGAATTTCCCGATCGGGGTGCCGCTATATGAGGCTAAGGGTCCTGCTCACTGAATATTTCACAGCATAGGGTGATTACTCAGTGAACACTCAGGCCCCGCGGCTGGGGGTATGCTTAGTAGTGTTCAAATAGTGCCCAGGTGCTCAGAGTATGCCCAGTCAGTAGTTAGGTCGGCCCTGGAGTGCTTGTTCACCGAGTAGTTACTCAGACTGCGCGTAGTTGAGGTATATCGTAATTTGTGGTAAGAATACAGCGTATATTATCACTAGACCATACCAAACACACGACGTCTCGGTTTAGGGCCTAGGAGGGCCCAACCCAGACTTGGGTTGAAAGGAAGTCTCCAAAGCATTGCAACACTCCCGCATCCAGTGCAAAGCAAGAAATAGACCCAAAATATAACCCTAAAGCAGACTAAGAAAGCGAGCTGTACACTAAAAACGAAAACACGATATACGAAGATGGAGGATATGTCCAGGCTCGAAGTGTGACAGAAAAGGACCAAAGCAAAAGGAGAGAGACCAGTCCATCATAAGGAGATGAAGGAAACAGTGAGAACCGAAGGAAAGGGCGAAAAGGATCGAAGGGTATGCGATGCATGGAGAATGTCAGGCCATCAAGGATCGTAGGAGGTGAAGCGTAGCCGATGAGATTCGTGTCGAAGAAAAAAAAAGGGAAAAAGCATTTGCTGATGATAAGGGGGTATGAGAGTAATGTCGAGCCCCGCGAGTTCCGGCCCGGGCGAGCCAGCGGAAAGCACAAAACGCAGATGGATACGGAGTAAGTCTGTGTGACGATGAAAAGGGCACGATTGTGCGTGGCCTTTGGCCAAACCGTGGTATTTTCACGCGCCGTGTCTCAGTGCTTTCCACTATCCCTTAGGTTTAGTGTCACCTGCTACTTAGCATACACCGAACTATACCTAGACATGAGCATGAGCATGGCGCGTACATCAGGAGTAGAACATAAAAGGGTTCCTTCGATCTTTATTTCTGATATGAGGATATGATAACCTATTCAAAAGTTCTTTCGGCTCTAGACTTATAGCAACAATTTTTTCATTATTCAATTTTTTCGTTTTGAGATTATTTTTTCCTTCCTAAAACGCTCGATGAAGGGCAATGATTTCGATTGGAACAATTTTGTTCATCAGCCAGATGCACCAGTCAATGGTGCATTTGCTGATGCCACAACGCAACATCTGAAGCAAGTGGGTGCTAACTTTGAGTGAAAGAAAGAGTGCATTTCAAGAAACCGAAGAGTTCAATATCTAAGAATCTCAACTACTAACTTTGTGTACAAGATTATGCTCCAATAGTTTCTCTTTCCTCGGGGCTTTAGGAGAGCCCATGTAGATAGGAAAAGCTAGTGGTAAAGTATGAAAATCGACTCAGAGGGGGAGTGATACCTGAAAAAAACAGACACTATTGTAAGCCGGCGTGACTCACTTCAATCTGCACACCTTCATGAGATTTTGCAGTGTGTTATCATTTGCTTGGAAAAGTTTGCCCAAGCTGGCAACCTCGCTCGCCTTCATCTCCGTTCGAAGCTTGGCCGTAGCTTTAAGACCTGAACCGGTGCGCTCAGCTTTTGCAATAGCGCCAACTCCAAGAGCGGCACCGATGACATTCACTATAGCAGACTTAGGGTCTTGCACCGTGTCATAAATGGCAAGACCAGCATTGGCTGCTTCACCTGCCACAGCAATACTGCGTGCGAGGGTGGCCATCCCAGCTGCGGCGGCGGCTTCTTCACCAACAAAAGGCACAAACTGTATTGTCGAATTAGCTTTTGTTTTCTTTTGCTTTGGTGAAGTGATTTTGCAAGGAATAGTACTCACGATAAGAGCAACGCTAACAATCGTTAAGATCAAGTCCTTTTTCTTTTCCGCTTTCTCCTCCTCCTCCGCATCCTTCTCTTCCTGGCCAAGCTTTTTGGCCTTTGCCATGCCCTCGATCGCTTGTATGATGGTGAATACCGGAGTGCTGTATACCTGGGATGGATCATTGAGGGAGCCACCGACCCATTGACCAAACATCATGTCGAAGACAGTAGCTTGCATATCCATACGCAGGTCTGGAATGTGGGGCAGAGCATTCAGGACGATATCCTTGGGGTTCGGCACGACCATGGTCTTGTTCTTTATGGGAAAGTTTGTGAAATAGTAGTCGTAGTCTGCGCGACCTCGCCCACCAAAAGGCTCGTGATGCTGGTGCCGAGTATAGTCACCAAACTCAACATAGTCCGCTGAAATGCCTTGGTTGGCCAGCGCCTTGTCCCAGCCATCTTCATCAGTGAGCTTCCAATGGATGTCTTCGTTCTCGGGCAAAAGATCATTCCCGTGGTTTAAGCCTTCACAGTTTTTAGACACACCGCTATAGTCACAATTGAAATCTGTTCGATGGGTCTTCATGTTAGCGTTTCGCCTTATGTAATTGATCTAGGTCCATTCTTACAAGATGCGCCATCTGCAAATTTAGGTGCCGCTCCGTTGCCCGTATTAACACCATCGCCCTCCATCAAGAGCACAGTGTCGAGGACAGTTGGAACCGTGTCTTCCATGTAGGTAACATAGTAGTCAAAAAGGGCATCATATCCACTGTTGACGTCTGTGTAGTTGTCATAAGCAGTGTTCAGCATAGTGATCAACGTCTGAAGTGTGTAGACAGCGATACAATCGGACCGCATGTCCCCCGAAGCAGCCGCAAGTTCATCGAGGTTCTTGAAGCTGGACGTCTTAGAGTAGTCACAAACCTCAAAATCGTCTTCTTCATCAAGAGAGCTCTCGAATTCATCACCAAGGCCAAGGTCGGCGTAGGTCTGGTTCAGATCGACAGCCCAGTCGGATGTTCCCGCAAAGTTCATGCCATCGGTCCAATCTCTCCGTTTGGCGTAGCTTTCTGGTGTCAGCCATGATACCCAATTCCCGTCATAGATGAGAACATCTCCTTCATCTTCATATTGCTGGATGGTGAAGTTATACGATTCGGTGTTTTCAGACTTCGAAATGAGTTCATAGAGCTCATAGTTGGAGATATAACCGGCTCTGGGAGAGTGAGATTAGGACGCATGAACTGAGCTTGGGCAAGCTAGAAATGAAACGGTAGACATACGTATCGGTACAAATCCCCTTCGTGGCACCAGACTCGGGTCCAGTAAAATGGCAATTGGGGCCACTACACTTGGGATCTTTCATTTTGAAGCTGCGTCCGTAAAGTGGAAGACCTGCCACCACCTTTTTCGAGGGAACTCCCGCTTTCGTGATCATCGAGAGGGAGGAATGGGTCTCAGTCTGATTCACTTGGCTACGCAAGCAGCCACCCTCAGGGCAACCATCACTGTTCAAGCTTTTAGTAAATGGAACCAATAGGTCAAACACAACTGCTACTTACTCGCCGTAAGGGCTGTCATAATCCCACTGGCCATGAAGATCGTATGTCATGTAGACGATGTAGTCCTTCAAACTGTGTCAGTCACCCATAATTCCCATTTACCGCAAAAGGTCTTGTCGCTGTACTTACAACCACCTCGGAAATTTCTTTGATGGGGAAATTCTTCAGGTACCAGTATGATGCCGGCGCAGCGATGGAGAGGTGTTTGGAGGAAGGTAATTGAGCTTTGACTAGCTTGAGGAACTCGAGATAGTTTTTGCCAGAATCTTTGCTATCAGCGGGAACGCCTGGGATGTCTTGGGCCTGAGAAGTTTGTTAGTATAGAAACAGGAGCCCATAGGCAGTTTAGAGAAGAAAAGTAAAACTTACTCCAGGATATTCCCAGTCAAAATCGATGCCGTCGAGCTCATGTTCTTTGATGAAGTTGACCACGTTATCAGCCAGAGTCCTATACATGTCAGTAAGCCAGAAAAATATATGCTGAGGCGGCACGCTTGCGTAACTCACTGGCGATTGACCTCCTTAACACCATTGCGAAGGATGGAATAGGTGTATTCAGTAGTTGAGAATCCCCAGCCACCAAAACTGAGAATTCGTTTGATATCATGGAGCTTTTTAAGGCCATCGAACTGATCCTGGTAGCCGCTGACATCAACCTCGAAATTCTGGGTAATGTTGGCAAAAGCCCAGTGAACGTGCGTGTAGTATTCGCTGCCCTCAAGCTTGGAGATGTCCATGTGCATGCACTCGCGATCCAGGTTAAAGGTTTCAAAGTACGCGATACGCATAACTTGGTCGGCCTTCTCGTCAGTGTTGATGATATCAGTGCCACAGTTCGAGATACATCCGTTGGTTCCATTCTTGGCCGTTCCAGGAGCCCTGCATGGTTATTAGATTCAGTTGAGATAATGAAGGGGAACCTGTTATCTATTTACTGACCCGGTCTCGGCAGTGCTATTGGTGCAGAATTCAGATGTTACACCACAGATGCCCCAAATATCGCAGCATGCGTTAAGAGGGCACGGGTTCAGATTGGTCCAGTTAGTGTATGGCATATTGGTTGGCTTCACCGTGCCTTTCACCTAATAGTTGCATTTGTTAATACACTAATAATCAAGTCGAGTCAAGGCTATTAGGGAAAGCTCACCTGGGGGCCACAAACGGCACCATCTAGTTCAGATGGGAAAGGAGGCGTGCCATCACTCAAACATATGTTTTGTCCAAACTGGAGACTGTTGCATCCAGCCCAGCCCCATGTCTCACCGTTGTAGTCTTTAATTGCTCCCGTCTTCATCAGGTTGTCTGATTCGATACTCGAGCACGTTTCATCCTTCTTGACGGTGTAGCTATGACAAGAGCCGTCGGAGTTTTTCTTGGGAGAGAAGTCTGGCAAGGATCCCGCGGAGCAACAGACATAATCACCAGCTTCCAGATTTTTGCAGAAGTCAGTCTTCGTGTTATACTCCGTGAGTTTATTCTGCGTTATGTCACAACGAGTGGCAAGATTGTAACACCCATCATCGGCATTTACTTTGATGTATTTGCAAGTACTTCCGACAGTACTAGAAATGAGGGAACTCAACACCAGAGCAGTAAGGAAGGACATGATGTTCGGATGACTCGAATTTTACACTGAAGGGACATGAATCTTTAATAGGTTTTATCACGGCCGACACGCTCCTATCGACCCGACTTAGAGTCACATCACTAAATTGCTAGCTTCACACTCCACATTGCTCTAATAGGTGGTCTACACGATGAACGGGTCCCTGGATCATTGCAACCTGGTTTCAAAAATGCACAGAGGAGGCGGACGGCCCATCTCCAAATGAGCTCAGTGGGTTCAACTTACCTCTTTTGTTCTTCTCCCGTTCTATTATCGCGGTACCCAGATATTGAGACCTAAAGTCCCTGCGAGATTTATTTCCGAGGGTCCACCGGGGGCCAGTACCAATATTTTAGGCCATCCTTGGCATAAAAGGTTGGCCATTGCTTAGCCGATGTACATATGTCGATCTTCTTTCTGTACCTGAGGCTCCACTTGGGGCCAGTACCAATGTTTTAGGTCATCCTTGGCATATCTTAAAAGATTGGCCATTGCTTATACGATGTACATATGTCGGTCTTCTGTACCTGAGACTCCACAGGGGGCCAGTGCGAAGGTACCAGTCGTTTTGATAAGCTTTTGCATTAGACTTTATGTCAAATTCGGAAGGAAACCTTGGGTTTAGCCCCCATTGTATGCACATACATGCAAATTCCATACCCGAGCCTGCATACATAGTTGTACACACTATTTCGCAACTCTAACTCTATTTGGATAAGATACCTCTAACTTCTCGTCCCCTTTGAATCGACTTTATATCGTCCCTGGCAGAAAAGTTTGACATGAATCCTCAACAGGCGGCATAGGAAGAGCCGTCCACAAAGCCCTATCTACGTAGATACTTAACAAAAAGGAGGGATCTCTGCATCGCCCCATCTCTGGGAGGGGTAAAAAAAAACCTTTAACTTCGGCCCCATTGCTTCGCATATACGCGTGATAATAATTTTGGGGTAAGATTTCGAAATTTTGATTCTGGTCCCCTTCTGCAACCGCCCCACGAGGCTTATGGCCCCCACCGAACCTTAGATTAGCTCCACTCTTTCCGTGCCTTTAAGGGGCTCTGGGGGCCAAGCGTTAAGGAATCCACTGCAAACGATGAAACAACTCAGCCTGGCATAAAACATTGTACTGTAGATATTGACACACGGATCCTGGCGGCCCTACTCGGCTTGCTAATTCTAGATACTTTGCACACTGCCGATGGGTCCTCATTTGATTCAGGGGCCAAGATGATTATCAGGTACCAGCTAACTCTTTAGTATAGTATCCACCATAAAGCGGGCTCGGAATTAGAATGGTATGCGGACACAATGTAACCCTCTGTACTAGACTTATCTTTGATTTCAAAAATCAAGCTATGTTTTATATCTAATCTCGTGCATTTCCGCCTCCTGGAGTCCTTCATTCGTTTCCGTTTGCCCATAAACCTTGAAATCTGTGTCGGGGCACTTGACAATTCCCACCATGAAGTTCTCAATCCTATGGCTCGGTTTATCTCTGTTGGCAACCAAAGTGCTTGCGTCTTTGAGGGCATCACCGTTTGAGGTAATTGGACTCTTTCATTATACTCGCGAAGAGCTTCGTCTGGAACCCCCGTCTCATGGATAACCGCTAATCTTCCATCAGGGTGTTTTCTTGTACTATGTCTACCGTATCGATACAATTTCCAGGGGAGGTGTGCACGCCATCGGGAGAGACTGCCCCGGTACTGGCCCAGGTGGCATTTGCTATTTTGACGAGTTTCTCAAACACATCCAAAGCAGGGGAGAACCTTGGCTTGGAAGGACAGAAGTTGGCCATGATTTGGATCCAGACGTCAGATACGCGGTCGTTCAGTTGGACAGTAATGGGTTCAACCTCAATTATGACGCAACCAAGATCTACCCGGAGAAATGGGGTGCAATGGCGACTCCCCCCTATATGACTATCATGCAAACACTCGTCGACAGTGTTTATGACAACGTTCAAAGAGACGCCGCAACAAATGCCCTTAGGACTCAGGCTGAAAAGGTGTTGAAGGCATTTACGCTAGTTTTTGAGGCACGGACCGCCGACATGACTTATTATCTGAGAAGGGGTGTGGACGACAGGCTCCGGAGGTTGAATCCAGACTGGGTATGTCTATTACGATAAGTAAATTGTTGGTGATGACTCGCTAACCACACGTTCAATCAGAAATGCGAAATATTCACCAAAACGCTCCCAGGTGGATACCTTATATCAATGGTCGATGCCCGTGCTACGATCGCCGCCAACCCTGGCATGGAGGGAAAGCTCCCAGCTGAAATCCAAGCTTACATTGAAAACTACGCAAACGTGGAAAACCAAGTGGACAAGGGAAGAAGCCATTACAGAATTCTTCAATCACTTCAGCTCAATCAACAGCTTCTTGAATTCTCCTGTACATAGTGTTGGCACAGTTCTTGGGGAGGAAAGACTTGATAATTGCCCGGTCAGGTCGACAACTGCTTTCCAATTTACAATCCGACAATTATATATATATATATATATATCAGTTCTCTTTATTCGAATGCTGATGCTCAAATGTTTACGGTCTCCTGTAGTTGCTAAATTTGATCTGACCCAAAAGTAGAGTGAACTTATTGGGTCAGAAGGCTCCGGGGCTATAGAATTATCCTCGATATTCACCTTGATTTACAAAATCTGCACTTTTGACATGGGGTCAATTCTAATATATTATTCAATTCCATCTAATTTCAAGACAGCTTTATGAATGAGTGGACATTTTATCTAGTTCTATGCGACCGAATATTTCTGACTATCAACGCCATTCTTGTGGATATCTTGGGTTCGTTGACAGCTTAAGGGAATGGTTGCACCAACGAGGGCAAAACCTAAACATGATCGCGGGATACATCGGAGGTAGTGCTTGGGTTCCAAATCTTTCGGCGAGCTTTTCCCTCAGGGTGGCCTTGATCGACTCTGCAGAGTCTCTATGAAAGTCTTGCCGCTTTGTGATGAATTGCTTGGCGCTAGACTCGCATTGATTTGCAAAATCAAAGAAAGCGTCTATTCTTAGTTCGTCAGACACATCGACGATCTGAATAGGTGCATCACCGAAGTGCCCAAACAAGCCTGATCTTGCGGCATCCTGGAACGTAGTATGCACCACGATAACACGCATCACGATAGCCCCGTGGTGTAATTCCTGCACGGGTCCAACTCTGTCCTCCATTTTGACGTCTCCATCAAAATCGGAGTCGAGATAATAAAGCATGAAAGAGCCCTTCCCTCGAACTTGGGCAGCATTCCATGCGAGACGGTCAAGCGCACTCCCAAAGTTAGGAAAGTGAGGTTCGTAGCAAGGTGTCCAATTTAAGTGGATTGAGTCTCGAGAAGGATCGATCCATAATTTTTCAAATTTGCCGGAAGAGAACCAATCCGAATCTTTGGGCGCTTTCTTCTCGATATTGTGGCCAGCCTTAGAGGCGACCAGGCGCGATTCGCGACATACTCGGCTGATGAGCGGCGGATGTCGGTTAGTAGCGGATGTTGTCCTCAGCTCGCACGGTGTTTGGGTCACCAAGTCAAAGACGAGTTCATCGAAAGGCTGGTCTATTTCTATCACTCGGCATGGGAGACATTCACGCCAGATGGCCAATCTCAACTCGGTGGGAAGCCGGGAGAAGAAATAAAAATTATGATTATCCATGGAGGCTGGTGGATGAGGGAAACCAGAGCGTCTTGTCTCCCTTTTCTAAAGCCTTGTAAAGAGTAAAGCGGGATGAAGGGGATGAAGTGGAGTGAAGACGAAATTCCACTTTAGAACTTTTGGACCCCTAAATTGTAAATTCTCCAGAACAGGATTTGCATCATATATTCCTGATTAGTTAGGGGTATTTTTTTCATTATTAGTATTACAAGGTTACCTGCCCTTCGTACTCCTCGCCGGAGCTCAGACTTCTTCTCCCATCCTCCGTGTGCTTCACTCGATAGAAGCGTATTCCTACCAGCAATGGCCCGTCCTAACCCATATTCACGGCCACGGGCTTCTAGCTAGACATCGCCATAAACCGCAAAACCGCAAAACCGCCCCAACCCAAACCGCAATTGGGGCGGGTTTTGGGGCGAGGTCTGGAAACCGCAATGGTTTATGGTTTTTGAGATAGAAACCGCAATGGTTCTTGGGGCCCCAAATGGTTTATTAATTACAGGCCTAGTAATTTTGGTAAGTCTTATACATATATAAATCTAACTATATCATTAATTTAGTAGTAGTAATTTAAGGTGATAAAAATATCATCGGTACTAGTAGATTACAATACGGAAGGGCAACGCCAAGAAGTGGCAGAGGAAATCAAGTACATAGGTAGTTATAACCCTATTAAAAGGTAATTCTAACCACTTTTATATAATGTATATACTACTAAAAATATAGTTTTTAAGGATCTAAAAACGGTATATTAAATATAGAGATCTAATTCATAGAGATTAATTAATTACGACCGATTTATCTCGCTTTTTAGGGGTGAAAATGGGAGGTTAAAAATATAGGGATTCGAGAGCTTATATCCATACACGAGGTCCAAGTTGATTTTCACTCAACTTTTCATGGCTATTACCACCTGTCCATTGGCAATAATTCTGATTTATAATTTTTGCACTGGTCCACGGTTAGTGAGAATTTATTCAATCAGCGTGCGAGATACCTCCGTAATAAAAAGAAGTTTTGAACGATGTTCCCAATCTAGTACTTCTTAGCCACCAAAACTATGAAGACCTAGGATTTTGAATATTTTCAACGTGAATCACAACCCAAACGGATAAGTGTCCTCTTTTCCCAAACCTGTCAATGGTTCATGTTCCTCCAAGGGTCGTACAGCCTGTGTACAATCAAACCATATATACGCATCGAACTGATTAGACAAGTCAGCAGCCGAATAGTGAGATACCCTCTCCGTCTCAGGTCTATATATTACACCAATAAACCTTTCGAGCCGGTCAGGTTCCTTTTCCAACGCACGTGCCAATTTCGAACTAGCAAAATCCGGTCGCAAATCAAGCACGAAGCTTCGAATCCCCGTCTCGTGGGCTAGATATTCCCAGCTATCTTTTCGTGATGGTAAAACCGTCATTCTTTGCATATCTTGATCCCATCCATGTGCTGCTGCCACGGTGCCTGTGTGTGTCCCACACCCTAAGAGAGCAACATTTTCGCGGCCGAATTTTTCACGGCATAGCTGGCCTATATTGACTTCTTTGCGTTTGGTCCCCATGCTAGTGTATCGTGCATCACCGCAGTGGGAGTTGTGAGCCCATACCACGGCCTTTACAGCCTTGCCTCCCGAGGACTTATGTTGAATAATCCGATGTAATGTATCAAACATATGTCCATCACGCAAATTCCAAGATGACGCCGAACTGTAGTACATGGCTTTGTAGTACCTCTCCGCGTCACGAATAAGGTGCGCGTTCTGCTCAGTACTATGGTATTCCTCGCCATCTTGTGCATGCAGTATATATTCAAGACGGCTTTCCAGAAGTTCGCATAGCATCTGGACAGTACCTTGCTCACAATCTACCATACCAGACAAGGCTGCTAGTCCGTATGCCGTGGGATCATCGACCCATCTTTCAAGACAACTATATCGCTGGCGCGCAGTTATAGCAGCGGCTGGATCAACGTGATCAAGGTAGTTTATTACAGCTTGGATAGACGCGCCCATGCTGTAAAGATCGAGCCCATAGAATCCAACCTTCTGATCATTCGCGTTGGCGTTATTGCGACTGCGCATCCATTCAACTAGTTCTTGCATTTCGCGGTTTCGCCACATCCATGTCGGAAAGCGTGTAAAGGGATCATAACCACTCGTGTGGCCTCCAATGCTTGACTTAGGCCCTGGACGCTGACGCACATAACGGTCGATTATTTCTGCATCAGGCCAGTCAGCCTCAACGGCAACTACGGTGAAGCCGTGGTGTTCGATTAGGCGTTTGGTGATTTCTGCTCGAGCAGCGTAGAATTCTGATGTTCCGTGGCTACCGTCACCTAGGAGAACCACCTTAGATTTACCGAAACGATCAAAGTACGAGCCAAAGCTAGGGTTATTGATAGGAGGTAAAGGGCGAGCTGCCGCAGTAATTAATTCCTTAATATGTGACATAGTGAAGACGGGACATCTCACAAGGGTAGATATGTTTTGTGCTAAGTACTTATATATATACTAGAAATCGAGACAATTTAGTCGCGTATTTCACCATCGTGGTGTATAAAATGATTTGAAAATCATTAGCCCTCATGGTGACTTCATGTTGATCACAAGCCCGCTTCTAGACCTTCCGCCACTTTTATTTCACCAATTACAACCTTCGTTTTCCAAGGTAGACCGGCGAAAACGGAATGAACCTAATCTGGTACTTGGCATAACTATTCTCAAATAATAAGCACGCAAGTCGGATGAGTGAGATGCGGTATTAGGATTTCAGCTTAGTGGAAAGAAATTATACTTTATATAACCAAGAATTTTACATACTCAGCAGCCGATCACAAGATAAGTCTAATCGGCGCAGTTTGTGGTTCTGGCCCCTCACCTACATGTATCTATGATTTTATATATTTTATTTCCTTGAAGCTGGACTATCATCGACTTGGATATCTGTAGGCTAAGAAGTAACCACACTTTATCGCAACTAGATGGACATGAGAGTCCATAGGCCACTTCTTATCAAATATCCAGGACTACCAGGATGCAAGATTCATCTACTTGATCGTCATAAAAAGACAGTAGTGGAATAACCAGCTCTCAAAATGCAAATGAATGATTTATCCTCCACCATGGCAACCTACTGTACTTCCATGACGGATTCGTTTGGCAGTTATCCGCAGATCAATCATCGTGATTTCGCAACCTACACGCAAGTTTCGCCCGTTCATTTGAAAGAGAATTCTTGTCCTACAAAAAACTCGTTTCCAAGCAACCAAGTCTGATTTCATTCCAGTTTAGTCACAACAAAGTTCCCCGTCATAGCTGAGCGTCTATTTTGCTCGGCAAAGTCGTTAGAAATATAGATCTTAGATCTTAGGGCAACGTCTATCACTCACCTCACTGATATCGCTAGCTGGTCTCTGTTCCTAAGTAAATTCGAGTGTTCCAGGCCATTTCTTCGCACAACTCGGCAAGGTTGACATAATAGTCCGAATCATCCCATTGACCTTGAGCTTCAGCCGTATCGGCGTCTTTCCACGCTGCCTTTGCACGTAATTCCCAGGCTGAAATAGATTTTGCAAATTCATTATCATACTGGCGAGCAATGTCATATGGCGAAGGGGTATTTGCATGTCTATTTTGGTGAACATGCAAGCTAGATCCCGTTGCGTTGTTCTCTGCCATAGTGCGAGACGTGCAGATAAATATTTGCGATGGACGCTAAATATTCAATGGACTAAGAGGATCAGGTAGGAACAAAAAGCCAGTCTCGTTGGAGGGCATCAAGGTCATAATTAAATGCCCATGTATTTTTAGTCTGGCCAAAGTGAGAACATTCATAGACCAATCTTCATGCACATAATCCACGGGTGTGATTCGTCTCCAATGCATAGTATAGCGGTAAGTAAACGGGAAAACCAACCGCCTATGAGGATTAATGATTTAACGCCACAGTTGGTCTTTATCTGTCCTTATCCAAATCTCCGTATCTCATGACTAGAAGCTAACACGGCTCACTTCGGAAGTGTCGCCGTCATGAGTCCTAGGGCTGAACACGAATAAAATGTGCCTTATTCGTAAAATATCCGTACTTATTCATATAAATAACGTGCAATTACAAATTCTCTGCGACGCTTGGCACGGTTATATGTACGATGCCATCGACTTTTTAGATGTCGGTTTATAGCCATAAGGATGAAAATAATTTGCAAACTACAGAATAAAATATAAAATACATAGGTACCTTTCAATTTTTAAGTGATCGGTAACATACTTTTGAGTGTTATTGTTTGTGATCTGCCAAAGTTCAGGGTTCAGTGTTCCAAGTTGTGGGCACTTTGGGGTAATTCTTCGCGTGGTAGCCCAGGTCTTCATAGACGGTTTCATCTCCTGGGTTTCACGTCAATCTCAGCCTAATCAACAGAGAATCAACATAGCAACATACCTTTGAGAGCATCAACCCGATGCTCGTTTTCCTCTGACAGTTTCTCCAATTCCTGACCAGGCTCTTCCTCGTGAGGCTGTTTACCACCCATAGCAAATGCAGCCTTACCAAGGTCATTCTGGGCCTCGCCGATCATGAGGAATTGAGCGTTAGGATAGTCCAGGAACTCGGGCCGCAGAGGCACCCATCGAAGATCTTCGAATTTGTCGAGAACCCTAACAAGAACAACATTAATACGAGAATATTGCAATCTCGCTATAGGAGACTACTTACGCTGGAGGGTATTCTGGGCCTTTTGGTAATTGACCCACCGGTGGACCAGCGAACTTGGGACTCTTTGACTGAACAATCCAACTCCCGCGTGGTTGCAGGCCGAAGTCCTCCTGGACATCACCTAACTCGGCAGGGATGGTCAGGATATAGGCGAGATGGGATGCCCGCTGTGTGGACGTGATCGCGTAAACACCTTCTGCGTAAGGTCTCGCTTCCTCGGTGTGACGTTCACCTCGGGTCGAAGTCTGGTATGTTTTACCAGCGATGAACTTTTCATGGAGGGCTTGCATAGATTGTCCAGCCTTCTCCACAAATCCCATATCTCGTTCTTTGGCTGAAGTCGGGAACTTCTTTTTCGGGAGTATCATCAAGCGACACGAGGCGTCCTTGTCGACGGGGCCTTGGCCTTTGTCAAATTCCGCCCCAAGAACAGTTGGACGGAGGACAAAGAAGCTTCGGGCGACATCGCCGATGCCCTCAGGGTCTTCTATATTGACGCGCGGGCGGAAGAAGAAGTAGATGAAGCCTTTTTCGAGGATGTTGGAGGATACCACGTTTTCTCTCTCCTCGGACTTACGAAGACCTCCCTCAATTTCTTGCGGTTTCTCTGGAGGGGTTTCAGCGGGTTGCTCCTTTGATGGTTGTCCTTCGGATGGTTCCTCTGCCTTGACTGGTGCTTCCTCTATAATCGGCACTGGAGCTTCTGGAGCTTCTACCGATGTACCTGGTACCTGCTCCGCTTTCTCTTCCTCTGGCTTTATGTCCTCCGTTTTCTCCTTTTTGTGCTTTGGAGCTTCTTTAGTTGGACCTTTCCGTTTTGTTCCCTTGGAAGTCTTGCCAGTCGGCTCGGCGGAAGTTGAGATGGCTTCCTTGGCCTTCTGGGCAGCGGTGCGTGAGGATGTTCGTGTAGCCATGATGAATTGTGGATTTCTCCTTCTTGGATGATGGTAAAGACCAAGTCAAATCTGATCCAGCTCTGGAGCGATCTGATCTAGCCTGCGGGGCTGCAATGAGATACACATGACGTCATGTTTTATACAGGCAATCCGCACACATATTATGCCTGACTTTGCAGGGAATGACCACTGAGAATGACATTATAATAGATATTTTAGTCGATATCCATCTCATCGGCCATGGGCGAGTTGTTCATCGCATCGTTGCCGCCCAGGTCGATTGATGCTGTCTCGGAACCTGAGCTTTCGTTCGCGTTGGGTTCCCGGAAAGCGCCAAATGAGTGTATGTCTTGAGCATACCACTTTGGAAGTTCGCTAAACCTTCGCCTTTTGGGGCGATACCCATGCACTTCAGGCTGAGCCTCGGCCGATGCATGTCCTTGTGGGAATTGCGGGTAGGACTGCTGTGCAGTGAGGGTGTTGTGGGCTGGCTTTCTCTTCTGCCCTTTCGTTCGCACCGAAGGGATTGTACTGCTATTAAATCCAACGCGTTGGTAGTCCAGGTCGTTTAGGTAGTCTGTCAGGTCGCGCTGCCATAGTTCAAATCGATCTGGGAGACATAGTAGATCTCCCCTTGGTACGCTAGTTTCTAATTCATCATCGGGCTCTTCAATATCGTAGGGTTTGATGACTCGAACATCATCACTGTCCTCGAAGGAATCCATGTCGTGGGTAGGCGTTGAAGGGCCTGAGCCGTCCATGCTATGTTCACTTTTCTCCGGCTTCTGGTCTCCTGCAGCATCAAAAGAAGTAACCCCGGTGAAGTAATCAAAGGGCTGGTTTGGGCTGGCATGGCCCGTGTCATCCATTGGGAGGTCTTTCATTGCTTTATATCAAGCCTTGAACCCAAGCAGTGTTGACATTCCAGTCTAAGGTAGGCTGTTAGACGGTCAAGTCGCGAAATCCATGGGCTTCTAAGGAAGGAACAATGGAGTGTGTGATCAAAGAAATGTATGATATTAAAAGATTAAGTATAGCAAGAGACTAGACAAAGCGTAGGGGAATGGAACTCGCAAGAAAGTCATGGTGGCCATAACATCATGGCCTTCCAGATGCTTCTAACGTGGGGGTGGTATATGGGGAAGAGGATATATCTCCACTCGTCGAAGCTGAACTTTGCATGCATAGTCAAAAAAGAGAAATCATAATTAATTCAATCCATAATATGAGATTATATCGAACATTGTCATCTTGACGTTGATCTAAAAACCATCTGCGATACTTCTTGTGCAAAGTAAAGATCGAGACCAGCTACCCCCTGACCGCTCACCGCCCGGCAGCATGATTGGCCGATGTCATTCGCTTCCACAATAGAGTCCACGTTTAGTTTACTGCTACACCAACACCAGCACCAAGTGTTTACCTTTCGCTCTTTTCTTTCTTTCAGGTGGATGCGGTGGTCGCCTCTGCCTTATATTGCTCTCTAGTGTGCGGAGCTTGCTACTTTACAGTGCGGCTCCGGCCAAATCTTCAAGATGCAGTCCTCCCCAAACATGCTCACCAAGGTACGCCCCCCCTCGGGCATCTTAATGCGCCATCAAACAATGAGACTCAATTGAAGATGCTAATGATTATCTCCCTCGTGCAGTTTGAGTCGAAATCCTCCAGAGCCAAAGGAATCGCGTTTCATCCCAAACGGTCAGTCAATCCCGCGGAGGGACACCTAACACCTCAACACACCCAATCTGACCTCAAAACAGGCCATGGATTCTCGTCTCCCTTCACTCCTCTACCATCCAATTGTGGGACTACCGCATGGGAACTCTTATCGACCGATTCGAAGAACACGATGGCCCGGTTCGCGGCGTTGATTTCCACCCAACCCAACCCCTGTTTGTGTCGGGAGGTGACGATTACAAGATCAAGGTTTGGAACTACCAGACCCGGAGGTGCTTGTTCACATTGAATGGCCACCTGGATTATGTGCGAACAGTTTTCTTCCACCCCGAGCTGCCCTGGATTCTGTCTGCGTCCGATGACCAGACCATCAGAATCTGGAACTGGCAAAACCGGTCACTCAGTAAGATGCATTGGAGCTACCTATGTGATCATCGACTAACGATTGGACTTGTTTTTAGTCTGTACGATGACCGGTCACAACCATTATGTTATGTGCGCTCAGTTCCACCCCACCGAGGATCTCATTGCCTCGGCCTCGTTGGATCAGTCGGTTCGCATTTGGGACATCTCCGGCCTGCGGAAGAAGCACTCGGCCCCTACCTCGATTTCCTTCGAAGATCAAATGGCGAGGGCCAACCCGAACCAAGCTGATATGTTTGGAAACACTGATGCAGTCGTTAAGTTTGTACTGGAAGGTCATGACCGTGGAGTCAATTGGGTGTCGTTTCACCCCACACTGCCCTTGCTCGTGTCGGCCGGTGACGACCGGTTGGTTAAGCTGTGGCGGATGAGTGATACCAAGGCGTGGGAAGTTGATACTTGCCGCGGCCATTTCCAGAATGCCTCCGCTGCTCTTTTCCACCCACACCAAGACCTCATCCTTTCCGTCGGTGAAGATAAGACGATTCGCGCATGGGATCTTAACAAGCGTACATCCGTTCAGTCCTTCAAGCGCGACCTTGATCGATTCTGGGTTATCGCTGCCCACCCCGAGATGAACCTGTTTGCCGCGGGCCATGACACCGGTGTTATGGTCTTCAAGCTCGAGCGAGAGCGCCCTGCGTCCGCTATCTACCAGAACCAGCTGTTTTACATCACAAAGGATAAGCACGTCAAGTCATATGACTTCGGCAAGAACGTCGAGTCACCGCCGATGCTTTCGCTGCGCAAGCTGGGTTCCCCATGGGTCCCTCCGCGTACCCTCTCTTACAACCCCGCCGAGCGTGCTATTCTGGTTACCACGCCTGCCGATAATGGAACTTATGAACTGATTCATCTCCCCAGAGATGCTACTGGAGCTGTTGAGCCTACAGACGTCAAGCGTGGACAGGCCACTTCGGCAGTTTTCGTCGCCCGCAACCGCTTCGCTGTCTTCAACCCCTCGAGCCAGCAAGTCGATATCAAGGATCTCAGCAACTCCACAACGAAGACAATCAAGCCCCCAGCGGGCACCACCGATATCTACTTTGGTGGTACCGGATGTCTGCTCTTCATCACCCCTACACATGTTGCTCTGTTCGACATTCAACAAAAGAAGCAGCTTGCGGAGCTTGCTGTCAGTGGAGTGAAGTATGTGGTGTGGTCTAACGATGGGTTGTACTGCGCTTTGCTCAGCAAACACAACGTTACCATCGTGACCAAGACCCTTGAGCAGGTCAGCACCTTGCACGAGACTATTCGCATCAAGAGTGCTACCTGGGATGACGCCGGTGTCCTGCTCTACTCCACCCTTAACCATGTGAAGTACTCCCTTCTCAACGGTGACAACGGTATTATCCGCACTCTTGACCAGACCGTATATCTCGTGCGTGTCAAGGGACGCAGCGTCTATGCTCTTGACCGCAACGCCCAGCCACGCGTCTTGGAGATTGACCCGACTGAGTACCGTTTCAAGCTCGCCCTCGTGAAGCGGAATTACGACGAAATGCTCCAGATTATCAAGACCTCGAGTTTGGTTGGCCAGAGCATCATTTCTTACCTGCAGAAGAAGGGTTACCCGGAGATTGCTCTGCAATTCGTGCAAGACCCCCAGACCCGCTTCGACCTTGCCCTTGAATGTGGTAACCTCGACGTTGCCAATGAAATGGCACGGGACCTCGACCGCCCCAACTTCTGGAGCAGACTTGGAGCCGAGGCATTGGCCCATGGTAACCACCAGATCGTCGAAATGACTTTCCAAAAGCAGCGTAACTTCGACAAGCTCTCTTTCCTCTACCTCTCTACTGGCGACCAGGAGAAGCTTGCTCGTATGGCTAAGATTGCCGAACACCGTGGTGACTTCACCTCTCGTTTCCAAAACGCTATCTACCGTGGGGACGTCGAGGACCGAATCCAGATGTTCAAGGAAGTGGACTTGTGTATGTATTACCCCTGATCGTAACTGTTTCTTTCATACTAATTCTCGCCAGACCCTCTTGCCTATCTTACTGCCAAGTCACATGGTCTGATTGAAGAGGCCGAGTCCATCTTGGAGGCTGTTGGTCTCACCGAAGATCAGATCGTCCTACCCACACTCGACCAACCTTTGAAGGTTCCTCACCCTATTGTGCCCACTTTCAAGTCCAACTGGCCTGTTAAGGCTGCCGGTCACTCCTCCTTTGAGAAGGCTCTTCTTGGAGAGGTTGGTGCCGCCGATGAAGAGGCCGGTGCTGAAGGATTCGAGATTGAGGAAGAGGAGCAAGAAGCTGCTGTCGCCCGGGAAACCCTTGATGATGACGAAGAGGAAGTTACCGGATGGGATATGGGTGATGATGTCAATGTTGAGGAAGAGGTCGACTTCGTCAATGTGGAAAGCGCCGAAGCTGGCGCGGGCAGTTCTGAGGCCGATTTGTGGTCTCGTAACTCCCCGCTGGCTGCCGACCACGTCGCCGCTGGCTCTTTCGACACTGCGATGCAGCTCTTGAACCGCCAAGTTGGTGCCGTTCGGTTCGCACCTCTCAAGGCTCGCTTCCTCGAAGTTTACAAGGCGTCTAAGACCTATCTCCCGGCCACTGCTGGTCTGCCGCCTTTGGTCAACTATGTGCGCCGAACCATCGACGAGACCGAACTCCGGAAGATGCTTCCCGTCATTCCCCGGGACCTAGAGACGGTTGCCAGTGTTGACCTGCAGGAGGGTTATGCCGCTATGCGGTCCAACAGATTGGAGGAAGGTGTAGCAACCTTCAAGCGCATTCTTCACACTGTTCTCGTTAACACCGTCTCATGCGAAGCCGATGTGGAGGAGGCAAAGAAGATCATTGCCACTGCTCGGGAATACATTCTCGCCATGTCGATCGAGCTCGAGCGCCGTACTCTCTCCACCGACTCCCCTGAGGGTCTCAAGCGCAGCCTTGAGCTGTCCGCCTACTTCACAATCCCCAAGCTCGAGGTTGCTCACCGACAACTGGCGTTGATGGCTGCCATGAAGTTGGCCTTTGCCAACAAGAACTACGGCTCAGCCTTGAGCTTTGCCAACCGGATGGTGGCTAATGGAGGCTCCGCTAAGCTTTTGGAACAGGTAAGACTTTCCTTACAATTGAATCTTCAACTTGTGATATACCAATACTAACCATTAAAACAGGCTAAGAAGATCAAAGCTCAATGCGAACGCAACCCTCAAGATCAGATCGATATTGACTTCGATCCCTTCGCCGAATTCGATATCTGCGCTGCCTCCTACACTCCTATCTACAGCGGCTCTCCCAGTGTCTCGGACCCCTTCACCGGTGCCAAATACCACCCCCAGTACAAGGGAAGTGTCGACCGGATATCGGATGTTACGGAGATTGGTGCCCCGGCCAGCGGCCTGCGCCTGTTCGTCCCCAGTCAATTTTAATTGACGCATGACGAAGCATAACGGTTTTCTGCCTTGTTTTCTCTTCTTGAAATGAAGTTACAAAATGGGTACATTTTCATCTGCACGAGGAGAAGTTGTGTTTGGCGGCGCTTTTCATTTTTTATTCGGCTGGGAGAAAGACAAAACTTCCTGCACACAGTCCCCTTGTCTAGATGTCTTTTTGTATCCAAGATTATAATTGCTTAGCGATCTAGTTTGTATGCGAACATGTTTTGTCCAATAGCCCTCTCTTCGAGGTATCACCTGAAAGTCAGGTCTTTAGTCGCCTGGTATATCAAAGGTTATACATAGAATGGTCTTAAACACAAAGTATGCTTTTTTTACTGCTTTGTATACACTGAAGAAGACATCAAAAAAGACACCTAAAAAGAACATGGAAAAAACACATCGGTGGGTTGTTACATATAACATCGCTAATACCATCTTGGTCCAAATAGATCAGAGTATTAAAGTCTTAAGTCGTCAAGGACAGAGGCCGCACAAGCGGCCGACTAGTCTTGTATATGCATTACCCAGTCAGTAGTGATAAAAGTACATCTATGTTCATTCGCCAAAATATGCATATCTAATGTACAAGGGAGATGTCCAAACCGAAGAGTAGAGAGAAGACCACTTCAACAAAAACACCACAATCATACAGTTCAATCACAACGACCATCCTTCCACCCAGTCCGCCACCTCTCCTCCCATAACCGACAATCAAACTCCTTCTTCCCAAGCTTTCGATTAACCTCATTATGCGCCTCGCACATCCACCACCCAAACTCCTTCCGACTCTCCAGTTTCGGTTGATTCTTTCCACTCGGATGCGCCATCCACGATTGGAAATCATCCGCGCACACCCAGCATGGGTACAGCTTCGAGAAGAACTTCAAGAACCCGCTCATATTAGCCTGATATTCCATGTCTGCCTTTTCGGGGTATGTGGCTGCCATCGAGTGCAGTAGTGTCCATGTTGAGCGACCAAGCTCTTCGACGTCTGGTGGGCAGTCTGAGGGAGTTCCGCTGGAGGATGGGGTTGCAGCGGCGGCGAGGGCGGCTGTTGAGGTTGCCGTTTTGCTTGTCGAGGTGGGAGACGAGGTAGAGGTTGAGTTTGGGGCTGCGCTGCTTGCGTTTTTGAAGTCGGCTTGCTTGGTCAATGCTCGCCATGAGGCGACGGAGGTACAGCTGCGGCAGCTGGGAGGTGGGTATGTTAGCTTGTTCTGTAGACCAGGTGAGCGGGGTTGCTGCAATTTGTAGATACGTACGGCTTTCCGTCTTTGCCCAGGACTACGCCCTTGGGCAATGGGGCCTTCGAGTCACTGTCTCCGGCTGGCTTAGAGGAGCTTGCGGAGGTCGCGGGGTTTTGCTGGTTGAACATGGACCCCATGCCTTTATATTGACTATTGACTTGTTCCGGTGGAGCTGAGGACATGATTTCACTTGTAGATATTTGATTCCCTCGAGAAATTGGTGATATGGAGTTGTGGTGGTTCGGGGCTGATTTCTAATAGATTGCGGAGAAACAGCGGAGACGAGAAAGAAGGTAATAGTGACCGATATTTGGCGCAAGGCTCAGCAAAAAGACACTCAAAAAAAAGTGAGCAAGATCCTTAAGATCAATCAGCTTTGAATATGTCGAAGATACAGAAGTTGGGCGTTCAGAGCAGACAAGTCGCAAATGACATACAAGTGAAACGGCGCCGATCAATCTCGATCCGGCTTTGTCATCCATTCCCGCGCGCTCAAACCAGACGCGCTCCAGCTTCGCAGTTTGATTGAAATACGTAAACCTCTTTCTTCCATTACTTTGCTCTTTGGTCTTTATTTCTCCATATATGGTTCAAGCAGCTGGACCACTCATCCGAACTCACTCCTACACTATCAAACTCATTTCAATCGCCACAGGGCGACATCAACATGCCGCCGAAGTATACAATGTCCGACTCTGAGTCTGAAGCTGGGGGTGAAGTGCCCGACACTCCCTCTGACCAGGTTCTTGAGAAGAGCCTTCGCGACCAAGTAGCTGCAATCTTCAAGTCGGGGAATATGGAGGAATTGACCGTGAAACGAGTGCGACTTGCCGCGGAAGATACACTAGGTCTCACAGCGGGGTACTTTAAGTCTACAGGTGACTGGAAAGCGCGGAGTGAGGATATAATCAAGAACGAGGTGGTGAGTCTTTCTTTGCATTTACACCACTCCTTCACCAGCTTCCGCAGCTTCAGCACAGCTTCAGAGGAAAAGACACTGAATACAATGCTTTTACAGGAAATACAAGATCAAGCAATACAAAATCCACAATCCCAAGCTCCCGAAGAGTCCGTCTCTCCTCCCCCGAAGCCAAAGCCCACTGCCCTTGCGAAGCGAGCCAAATCAGAGACGGCGCCAAAGCCTAGGAAGCGCCAGAAGACCAAGACGCCGGTGTCCGATGAGGAAGACGAGCTATCAGCCCCTTTGTCCGATGAGAGTGATGAGGTCACAAAGCCTAAGAATCGATCGAAAGCGCCAATAAAAAAGTCACCGGCGAAGAAGGTCTCCGTACAGAAATCCAAGGAAGATATGTCAGACGCTTCTGATTTCTCCGGTGATGAGAGTGACGATGAGGAGAAACGATCGAAACTGCCAGTGAAGAAGCCACCATTGAAGCAATCTTCAGTGAAGAAGTCGCCAGCGAAGAAGGTCTCCGTACACAAACCCACGAACGATGCACCAGACGCTTCCGATGTTCCCGATGACACTTCAAATGTGAAAAAGACCGGAGATACCAAGGATGATTCCGAAAGCGAGATGTCGGTGGTGCTGGACGAAGAGCCTCAGTCTAAGGCCCCACGCAAGCGACAAAAAAGTGCCGGGGGAACTGCGACCAAGACGAAGAAAGCTCCCAAAGCCAAGGATGAGGATATCAGCCCGGACCAGGCTGAAATCAAACGACTGCAAGGATGGCTCATCAAATGCGGGATCCGGAAGCTGTGGGGTAAAGAGCTGGCGCCGTATGACACTCCCAAAGCCAAAATAAAGCATCTCAAGGGGATGCTGGAGGATGCTGGAATGACTGGCCGGCCATCTCAAGAGAAGGCAAACCAAATCCGCGAAGAACGGGAGCTGAAAGCGGATCTAGAGCAAATCCAGCAAGGCGCAAAACAATGGGGTGCAAAGAGCGACGAGGAGAATGAGGAGGATTCGGAGCCTCGGCGTAGGCTGGCTCGGGGGCGACAGTCACTTGCGTTCTTGGAGAATGAGGGCGAAGAGACTGATTGATGGATAGCACAGGGTTCATAATTAATGAGTTCGTCGGGCTGGCTGGGCTGCCAGGAAATCAGATTATGCGTTCATGTCACTCTGTACTTCATATTTCATACTTCATAATATCCCAATATATGGCAATAGGGGTCTCCATCATCGCCCAGCTTTCGGTCCACTCATGCGCTGGGCAGTCAAGCTGAAGATGGCAACAGAAGAAATGAAGAGGACGAGATTGTAGAACTACACTTGTTAGCATGGTCAAATCGACTCGAGTGGTGTCCAATGACATACAGCCTTTCGCGAGTACTCGTTCTCCTCCGCCTCAGTTCTAGCCTCGACAAAGAGGCGTCGCAAGTTAGGGAGGTTAGCCTGCAGATGTGTTAGTCTTGGCAGGTTGGCAGTTTGACAGATATAGAATAAGTCATACCATTTACACAGTGACGGTCTGGATTAAATGACAAAATAAAGAGGAAAGAGAGATGATGACCGTAGAGCGGGAGAGTCCAGAAGCCACCATTTGTGGACAACTTTTGATCGTCCGAAACACCCTTTCTCTCCTTCTCTCCCCCCATTCTTCCTCCAAATCTCCCCACCCCGGATTGTTCACGTATCTCTTTGTATTTGACAAAGTGACGAACAATCTCGACGCATTCCATTCCCCGACCTCGCGCGACCGTGAAGCTCCCAATCCCCCGCAGTCGCCCAACGCTACTCGATTCCCACTCCCATCCCCCGATATCTCTAGGCGGAGGCACGACCTAGTCGTTGCTGAAGCTTATACATCCTCGCTATGGCGATGAACAAAATTCGCGGCGCCTTTACGGTGCCCCGGAAAGGAGAGACGTTTGAATTGCGAGCTGGACTTGTGTATGCGGCCCCCTCCACCATGCGCTGGCTATTTCGCCATAGCGAATGACGGATGATACTAACTATTACTACAGTTCCCAGTATGCCTATGAACGGTATGTGCAGCAGCGAAGCCTTCAATCCGGCCTGGTAGTATATGGCGAAGACGTGGTATGGCTGACAATCTAACAGAAAGGAATCCATTCAAAAGACAATTATGGCCATGACCCTAGGAAAGGATGTTTCGGCTCTATTCCCAGATGTTCTCAAGAACATTGCTACAGCCGATCTTGAGCAGAAGAAACTGGTCTACCTCTATCTCATGTGGGTACCACAGTATAACTGAAGGTGGCTACGTATGCTAATCGGTCGAATCTCACTTTCAGGAACTACGCCAAATCGCACCCTGATCTATGTATTCTCGCCGTGAATACCTTCGTACAAGACTCGGAAGACCCTAACCCGCTGATTCGTGCGCTGGCAATCCGAACGATGGGTTGTATTCGGGTGGAGAAGATGGTGGACTACATGGAAGAACCGCTGCGCAAGACCCTCCGAGACGAGTCGCCGTATGTCCGCAAGACCGCTGCAATCTGTGTGGCCAAGCTTTTCGATCTGAACCCGGCAATGGCCCTCGAGAACGGATTCTTGGAGACGCTCCAGGAGATGATTGGAGACCCCAACCCCATGGTCGTCGCCAATTCGGTGACCGCACTTCAGGAGATTCATCACACGGCACCCGAGACACAGGCTCTGCAGATTAATGGTAACACTCTACGGAAGATGCTGATGGCTTTGAACGAATGCACGGAATGGGGGCGCGTCACTATTCTCTCAACTTTGGCTGAGTATAAGACATCCGACGTGAAGGAGTCCGAGCACATTTGCGAACGAGTCGCTCCTCAATTCCAGCATGTTAATGCCGGCGTGGTTCTTGCGGCAGTTAAGGCTGTCTTCTTACATATGAAGAATGTCAACCCGGACTTGTCGAAGACCTACCTAAAGAAGATGGCTCCGCCATTGGGTATGCTCCTTTGCTACTCTCATTGCCCTTCTTTTGCTAATTCTTTATAGTTACATTGGTTTCGTCGGCTCCCGAAGTGCAATATGTTGCATTAAGGAATATCGACCTTATACTGCAGAAGGAGCCTGACATTCTCAACAAAGAACTCCGTGTTTTCTTCTGCAAATACAATGACCCGCAATATGTCAAGTTTCAGAAACTTGAGATTATGGTGCGCATAGCGAACGACCGCAATGTGGACCAGCTCCTGGCTGAATTGAAGGAGTATGCCCTTGAAGTCGATATGGACTTTGTCCGCCGGGCTGTCAGGGCGATCGGCCAGGTTGCCATCAAGATTGAAAGCGCCAGCGAGCGGTGCGTTAACACGTTGTTGGATCTCATCAACACCAAGGTGAACTACGTCGTCCAGGAAGCGATCGTTGTCATCAAGGACATCTTCCGGAAATACCCTGGCTACGAAGGTATCATCCCGACTCTATGTCAGTGCATTGATGAGTTGGATGAGCCCAATGCTAGAGCGGCACTCATCTGGATTGTTGGAGAGTATGCCGAGAAAATTAGCAACGCGGGTGATATCTTGGGTGGCTTCGTGGATGGTTTCAACGAAGAATTCTCTTCGGTTTGTTATTCCCTCCTAATATGCACTACCATCTTGGCTAACCTCTATCTCTAGACACAATTGCAAATCCTCACATCAGTAGTCAAACTCTTCCTCAAGCGGCCCGAAAAGGCACAGGGCCTGGTGCAGCGGGTACTCCAGGCTGCGACATCCGAGAACGACAACCCAGATGTCCGTGACCGAGCATATATCTACTGGCGTCTTCTGTCCAACACCAGTGATTCAAACGCGACAAAGAACATCGTGCTCTCGGACAAGCCCCCTATCGTCACTACCATCCACTCACTGCCACCGGCGCTCCTCGACCAACTCCTTTCCGAACTGTCTACTCTCTCTTCCGTCTACCACAAGCCTCCCGAGCAGTTTGTCGGCCACGGCCGATTCGGCGCCGACGCCGTCATGCGTGCTGCTATCGAGTACGTATTTAATCTCCTTTATTCGTCGAACATGTTGTTAACCAATCCACAGGGAACAAATCCAGAACGCGCGCGAGAACCCATTGGCCGCCGCTGCTGCCGCTGCTGCTGGTGGCAACACAGCCCCTGCGCAGGCACAAAGCAACGTCGAGAACCTGCTGGACATCGATTTCGACGGCGGTGCTCCTGCCTCCTCACAAACCGAGCCTTCCAGCGGCATGTCCGGCCTAGAGGGTCTGGCTGGCACCCCCGTACGGGTAGCTTCCCCTGCAGCTGGTACCGCGACAGGCCAAGCAAGCAACAACCTGGATGATCTCCTGGGCGTGTTCGGAGACTCCGGTGCCGCCCAGCCCTCATCTAGCGGTGCCAACAGCGGTGATCTCATGAACGGATTCTCTGGCCTTGATCTCTCCGGCAATGCGGGCCCTTCTCAAAATACCCAGTCCAAGAAATCCAACGACGACATCTTGTCGCTCTTCTAGAGCAATGACATTGATGGTATAGCCAAGTGTGTCTGGCCGACCCTACTGGCTGATGTTATATCCAGGTGTTTTCGCAAGCGAGAATCTGAACTGAACGAGATAGATTGGTGTTTTCTTTTACTTGTTTAATTTTGCTTGCATCTCTACCTAAACGGACATCAAAAGGCCTGTACATTTCTACCTCGAATATCAATTTCTTTTATTGTTGTTTTTGAACATAGATTAGGCATATCTTGGCAATGCAGCCAAGCATTGCTTGTTGTGTAAGGTTTGATATACATCATACGAGGGACATTTACAACATACCTACCCCTTCCTTCTATGTTGTAGAGATATCGAGGCCAAAGGGCTCAAATGCCGATGAGATGCAAATAGGGTTCCGCTTTTTCTCGGCCGATGCAAGCCACAACTCCACAGAAAAAAGCAAAGAAAAAAAAAAGCCCTACATTGAAATGACGAATCTCCATGATGTGATTCGCAGGTAGTTGAATCAAATTATTGTTTATAGAAAGACAAAGCCTTTTCTATATTGTATGTAGGTATAGTATGTAGATGCTAGGTTATCAGCCAACCCAACTCCTCTAGAGCACCTACTCCAACTAGATAGACGCCACATGCTCTATAGGCCCTTGCAAGTTAAAATCTCCAAAACGGATCCATCAAAGAACCCGTGGGCGCTGCTTACCAATTATTCATCAAACCGAAGTTTCCAGTGTGCAAATCCGAGTGGGACTCCAGGCCTGTCCCGCTTCCAAGATTCGGATATAAATGGGGCAGACCACCCCCGAGAAAGAAGTGTACAGTGAACATTTTCCCTAATTCACAAAATGGCGCAAACAGACTACAAATTCGAAGGCTGGATGGGTCTCGACCCTAGTTCCGGCGAGGGCAACATGGTCTGGCAAGAATTCCAGCCGAAAGAGTGGGAGGAGACCGACGTTGATATCAAAGTCTCTCACTGCGGCATCTGTGGTTCTGATCTACACACTCTCCGGAGTGGCTGGGTATGTCTTAAGTTTTCCGTATCAGCGAGATCTCCGTATGGGAAAACTCGCTGATATACAACGTTGTATAACATCCATATAAAGAAAGAAGAAAAAAACTAACATTCGCCACAGAGACCCACCGCCTACCCCTGCTGCGTTGGCCACGAGATTGTCGGCACAGCCGTGCGCGTGGGTAGCAAGGTATCCGACATTCAGATCGGCGACCGCGTCGGTGTCGGCGCCCAGAGCGAGTCCTGCCTCGGCCGTCTAGGCGACTGCGAGGAGTGTGCCTCAGGCCAGGAGAACTACTGCAGCAAGAAGGTCGTTGGCACGTACAACAGCATCCACTACGATGGCAGCAAGTCGTACGGCGGGTACGCGCGGTACAACCGGGTGCCCGGCCACTTTGCCATCAAGATCCCCGATGCTATCTCGTCGGCTGATGCTGCACCTATGCTGTGCGGCGGCGCTACCCTCTACAGCCCGCTCAAGCACAATGGCTGTGGCCCTGGCAAGCGCGTGGGCATTATCGGCGTTGGAGGACTGGGTCACTTTGGCTTGCTCTTTGCTAAGGCTATGGGGGCTGATCGGGTTGTTGCTATCTCGCGGAAGATGGGGAAGAAGGAGGATTCGCTGAAGATGGGGGCGGATCTTTATATTGCGACTGATGATGAGCCGGACTGGGCTACGGTTAATGCTCGGTCTTTGGATTTGATTGTTTCGACGGTCTCGTCTACTAAGATGCCTTTTAATGATTACCTGGGTCTGCTGAAGACTGGTGGGTCTTTTGTGCAGGTCGGTCTTCCTGAGGATGGTGGATTGTTCGCTCCTGTTCGAAGCTTGATGCGCCAGCTGAAGCTGCAGAGCTCCCTCGTTGGTAGCCCTAGCGAGATCCGGGAGATGTTCGAGCTTGTTGCTGAAAAAGGAATCCGGCCTTGGGTGGAGGAAATCCCGATGAAGGATGCGAATAAGGCGATTGTGGATATGGAGGATGGAAAGGCCCGCTACAGATATGTTCTCGTCAATGAGTAGGATCCTGTAACTAGATGACTAGAAGATGATTCAAATATAGAGATGTGCCCATGAATAAAGTCTTGATGATTGCGCAGGTGCTGTATAGGTATACGTGAGAGCCAATTAAATCACGCACGTGAAGGCCGTTCTCGGAGGCGCTAATCCATTTTGGGACACTCAGATTTCCCCCGCGGTGGGATGAATCATTCCGCCTCTTCTTCTCTACTTCGGCTTCAAGGAATTTCTGTTGAGTCAATTGACTTTCTCGCCATGTCGCCTACACTCTCACAACAATACCTAAGTACTCGTGGTGCTGAGTACGGGGTGAGTCGAAAAACAACTGTTCCAAATTTCATCGCAAACATGTTACTAAACCATCTCTCTCCCTAGAGAACCTTTGAAGATGTTGTTCTTCAAGGCCTGGCCTCGGACGGTGGTCTCTTCATCCCGGAGGAAATGCCTACCCTCCCTAAATCATGGGAGACCGAATGGCGCGATCTAAGCTTTGAGGATTTGGCGCTCGAAATCATGTCGCTCTATATCTCTACGGACGAGATTCCTCGCGAAGATCTTAAGACCATTATTTACAAGTCCTACGGGACTTTCCGTCACCCCGAGCGCACTCCTTCCGTCCTCCTCGAAAAGAACCTCTACCTGCTAGAGCTATTCCACGGCCCGACCTTTGCGTTTAAGGATGTTGCGCTGAGCTTCCTCGGAAACCTGTTCGAGTATTTCCTTGTTCGCAAGAACGTTGGAAAGACTGGCAAGGACAGACACCACCTCACCGTTGTCGGCGCCACCAGCGGTGACACTGGTTCCGCTGCCATCTATGGACTTCGCGGCAAGAAGGACGTCTCGGTATTCATTCTCTTCCCCGATGGCGGCCGAGTCTCGCCTATTCAAGAGAAGCAAATGACAACTATCTTGGATCCTAATGTCCACAACCTCACCGTGGCGGGCTCGTTCGATCACTGCCAGGATATCGTCAAAGCGCTCTTCGCCGATGAGGACCTCAACTCCACCCACAACATTGCCGCGGTTAACAGCATTAATATGGCCAGAATCTTGGCCCAGATCACCTACTTCTTCTACTCCTACTTCTCCCTCACTAAGACCCCCTCATTCACCAAGGACTCCAAGGTGCGCGTGGTCGTTCCATCCGGCAACTTCGGCGATATCCTTGCCGGCTGGTTCGCCAAGCAGATGGGTCTTCCCATCGAGAAACTGGTGATTGCCACCAACGCGAACGACATTCTCGACCGCTTCTTCCGCAATGACGGTCACTACACAAAGAAGGCCCTCGACGCCCCCACCGACCACGGCGTGAAGGAAACCCACAGCCCAGCCATGGACATCCTCGTCAGCAGCAACTTCGAGCGCCTCCTCTGGTTCCTATCCTACCAAACAGCCAATGGCAACGAAGCCGAGCGCCGCAAGCACGCCTGCGAGAGTGTCAGCGGGTGGCTAAACGAGCTCAAGACGAACGGTGGCTTCCAAGTCCCTAGCGCCGTCCTCGAAGCCGCCAAGGTCGATTTCGAGAGTGAGCGCGTTAGCAACGAGGAGACTATCGCTATGATCCGTGATATCTACCAAACCTCCTTCCCTAAGGGTCTTGGCCCTGGTTCCGCTAAGAGCTCAAAGACCGGTGGTTACATCCTCGACCCCCACACTGCTGTTGGTGTTGCTGCCACGCGCCGCTCGATGGCCCGCAACCCCGATGCCACCCATATCTCGCTGTCCACTGCCCACCCAGCTAAGTTCGCTAGCGCTGTCGACCTTGCTTTGCGTGCTGAGGATGGTTACGACTTCACGGAGATCTTGCCCCAAGAGTTCATTGGTCTGGAGCAGCGTGAGAGCCGGGTTACCCCCGTCGGTGAGAGTGCTGGATGGCAGGGTGTCAAGGAGATTGTCAAGGCGGAGCTTGAACAGGAGTTGCAGGGCTTGCGGTAAATCCGGGACCTGGCAAGATAAACAAAATCGCGTCGTGGAATACACTGAGCTGGTGATATTCAACGGAGGGAGCATGCGCAGGTTGAGAAAGCTTTTTGTTGTTGTATAGACATATTGGAAATATTCGGTTTTACTTTTTCCTTTCTTCTATCTAAACATATGTCTGTTTCTGTTTCTTACTAGAATCTGGGTTCAGAACCATTTGAAGTTCTTTATATATCCGTATACACTAGAATGCACCGCTAGAACCGTGGCAAATTCCTCTATTTTTTTTTTATACAGCCCACCTCACTTCTTATGGTTTTCGAGACTCGGAGTACAGCTATACCAGCAAGGAAAAATTGGTTAGATGCAACTCCTGTTTGAACAAGATTGGTCGGCTTAACCTCCCGCTATTCTAAACCCGTGAGAACTTACATCAGAGTTAGACAGTGTCAGACCAAACTGAATTGCTCTCACGAGCAATGCCTAAAATATACTTGAATATTCTGTGCTAAAGCTTTCTATCCTTGGTCCCACTGCCTGGTCCATCTCCAGATCACTCCACAAAGTTTCGAAACTCATATCACGAAGAGGAGCATTATGACATCAAAGCCACCTAATACTATATACATGTTTATTATATGAGGTATTCAATTCCCACCATTTACCTACGTATAAAAGACGGTTCACGTATCAACTTCTCCACGGATAATATTCCAGCTCCGACGACCGCATCATTGCTTCCACATAAGGAATTGAATTCTTATCAGATCCAGAATAATTTATTACCCTTTGCGGTCTGTTTTATTCATTTTGGTACTTCCTTTGCGTGCGGACCCTTGGATGGGGAGATGTCGGACATCGCACTGTCGCATACCTGGTCGGGTAGTATATCAGCGAGCAGGGCAAAGAGCTTCTTAATGACCTCTTGCCTCATAGCAAGAATTTCGATATCTCAGACGCGGCCATATAGGCTGATACAATCGAGAAAAAGTGCCCTAAGACTAAACCTTGGCATTATGTTAGTATGTCACGGTTCTTCCTTAACGAACTGAATGATGAATGTTGACTTTCATTCCAGATATAGATATGGATGATGATCCTCTAGGGAACTACTATAAGATAATATCCCTGCTATTAAGTTATAAAAAAGAAAGTTGTATCATCTCGGCCATAGAAGATATGGTTAGTCTTCCCCTTTGCACACAGTGGCTTCTATACAAACCTAACTAGCGATAGACCGTCCAAGTGAATAACACAGCTCCAATTAAATAGAAGCTATCATGTTTTTATTCCACTTCTTCGGGGACCTCTATATGCCCTTATACGTGGAAGGTTACGAGAAAGGAGGAAACGGGGTAGACGTCGCTTTTAAAGGTCATAAAGATAATCTTCACAGTATCTAGGATATAGATATGCCATATAAGATCAATGCAATTAGATATAGACTCAAGTATAACGATAAAAAACTAGTATCCCTAAAATAGGCCAAGCGTCTCCTCTAAAAGAACAAATATAGGCCGACGAGCGCCGTGGAATGCGTGGATGTGACCAACCCCCACACATATATTATGCAGTGGGCGGAGGAGACCAATCTTCTGAACCGTGCTGTTGTTTTCAAAAGGGGAATTCCGTATCTCACGAGCGAAGATCTTGGGGGAGAATACTATGACGACGCCGTGCCAGTCATTGCGGAACAAATCGTTAAAGCAGGTGTGCGTCTAGCAGCCTGGATTAATGCCCTTGCGGAGCAGCGTCGAGCCAAAACGGGGGATCCAATGAGAGAGCTATGGGGATGGTCCTAGAACGGTCATGGACAATCCAAGAGAGCAAGAGTTTATGTCACCAAAAGTGGCTTTTTGAGTCATATTTATCATGAAATTGTCACAGAACTATGTACTTGATACTGAAGTTGCCTTCAACAGGTTCGATATATATATTCAGATCTGTCAAGTATGTGCTAGACATGTCCCTTGCAGGGACACATCATTATAGTTAACCAAGAAAGACTATGCAGTCTCATTGTGCGAGACAACAATTCCTGTTTCTCTCTTCTCATCGCGGTAAATCTGCTCCTGTTCGCGGTCGTAATCCTCAGCAAACTTCCTTCCGTGGAGACCAATCTTGTACCAGGGAAGGTCGAACATCTTATCGATAGTCTCGAGACTGCGACCAGCGGCCTCGGGCACAAAGAGCCAAACCCAGAAACCACCAAGAACGGAAACAACACCAAAGAAGTAAAAGGTTCCGTGAGGACCGAGACCTGTATCCTCGAGCAACATCTCAGGCAGGACGCGGTTGACAGCGTACTGGCAGATAAAATGCATGGCCATGGTGATGGACGAGCAGATACCACGAATACGGAGAGGGAACAGCTCCGAGGATAGCAGGTATTGACCACTGTTCCATCCGAGAGCCCAACCAACACCAGAGATGTAGATGAAGGCAATGGCGGCGGTGGATGCCTGGTTCTGCGACTTGGTGGCGACGAAGTGGGGGTTTTCGGCAATGGGAACGAGGTTGAGGAAGATGGCAATGTAGAACATGGCAATGCTTTGGAGAACAATTCCAATGATGAGAGAGCGCTTACGACCGGCCATATCGACCAGGAAGAGGGCGCAGATGATGGCGGCGACGAATTTGACGACGCCGAAGACGACGGTCGAGAATAGAGACTGCTCTTGGCCAGTGATGCCGACGAGAGTGAACAAATCAGGTGCGTACACGGTAATCGCGGAGCCACCGGACCAGCAGGCCATGTTCTGAGCGAGGTTGGTCAGGAATAGACGGTATGCGTTGCGTTTGATGCCGAGGATCTCCTTGAACAGGCCCTTCCAACCCATGCCGAGGGTGGCCTCCATCTCCTCCTGGAAGGCAACGTCCATTTCGGTGATCTCATTCAGAACGTATGGGTGGGTCGCGGGTAGGCCACGGAGCTTGCAGAGAACCTCCAGGGCCTTCTCGCGCTTTCCTTGCTTGATGTAGAAACGGGGGGACTCCAGTTGGAAGAAGGTGAGGATCAGGATGATGCCGGCGAACATGAGGTGGAGCGAAGTGGGGACAGCCTGTAGGAGAGAAAATTTTAGCTAATAGGTACGACAAAGATTGTAGTGGCTAGCAATTACCCAGCGGTTGAAGGTGTCTGCCATGTGCAACTGAGTACCCCAGTTGGCAAAGTATGCAATCATGATACCACTGGACTTCGTATTAGCATCGGAAAGCGAGGCAACAGGGAAGAACAAGAGGATTATGAACTCACAGGTACACAGCACCAGTAAACATACAAGTACAGAGACCACGGATGGGAGCGGGGGATATTTCAGAAAGATATATGGGACCCACGACACAAGTCTGTCCAATACCAAGACCAGCAATGAAGCGACCAGCGTAGACGGCACTCATGTTGCCGTTGTTTCCAATAAAGATGGCGATGCCGAGAATCCAAAGACAGCAGAGTTGGCGAGTAGCCCAAACACGGCCGATACGATCACAAACGAGGAAAGCACTGTTATTCCACCATGATTAGTTAAGGCTCTCGGGCGTAAATATGAATAGCAAGACTTACAACAGAGCACCGGCGACACTGCCGAGCTGAACCATGGAAGAAATTGTACCCTTGACACTAGCGAGGTCATCCTTGCTGAGGTCGTCAATACCGACAGACTGCTTGAAAGCGTGAGAGTTGAAGACACCCGTGATGAGACCCTCGTCAACACCACGGGCAGCACCCATGAGACCAAACGCAAAGACGGCGAACCATAGCTTTGCGTTGAGTGTCTCCTTGGGCAAACTGCCCGTGTTGAACTTGAAGACGTTGATAGCAGCACCACCCGCCATGATGAATGATGTTATTGATTGTCTCTAGATGAGTCTTAAAGAAAGAACAGACAGATCAATCGTGGATTGAGGTCATAAACCTGTATAAGAGACGATGTGGTAGGGCCGCAAGGCTTGAGATAACAAATCTCAGATGAAGCCGATGGGCTCAGCAGGGGTCTGAGAGGCTGACAGTCGCAGAAGAGAGGGCCTTGGAAGACTGTGAGGGGGAGGCTGCAATGGAAATCAAAAGTCATGCGGAGAGCGGGCATGGACGATCTCTTAAATTGCAATCTCGCGCCATAGCTCATACGGTGGCCCTGCGCCGAGCCTTGGTCTTGAACTTTCAATCCACGTTGTTCCTTAATTTTCCGATTCTCCCGATTCTCGGGAAAATAAATGTGAATCTATAGCTCTACCAGCTTTCCACGAGGGATATGGTTTGGGCGATCGGCCATGTATCAAAGCGTACCCCAGCCCATACCCCACGCCAAGCCCACGCCAACCACAGTTAGCGTTGGTTTGGGGGCCAATCAGTGGCTTCCAAGGGTTCACGTCAATGGATGCCCCGTACCTTAATTGTATATTTCCTCATTTCCCCGTTGTCCTTCGGATGATTTCCGAAGCCCTTCATTCCACCACCGCGGAGAAACTGACAGTCTTGGCACTGGAAGTACATTGTTTAGAAAGTCGATATTTGATGAAGACACTGGAAAAACGTTGAGATGTATCGAACCTGCATTACAATAACATGAGAAAACTGCAGGTCTCATTTTAGAACAATTTTGGAAATGTTTTGCCTCCATGTGGTAGTGGGACGGTGTCCCGGTAACAAAGACCCCAGAAACACCGGCGATGCCGTCAAATGAAAAAGAAGGTAATCGTGTGGACTCGGGATCCAAGCTCTCTTGGCGCTGTTCCTCGGAGCTTGGCTTGTCCTGGTGTATCACCGATAGTCGGCCAACGGAGGTCTGGAGTCTATACGACTCGGTCCAGTGCACACACAGAGAGAAATGATGGCCCGCTTTGATATTTCCGACTCCGGTTTCCCCCACAAATTTCCCCGCATGTACTTTGTAGCTGGTTGGGAGGTAAAAACAGGGACGGCGCTAAACCCGAAAGGAGCCAACCTCCTGCGCCAACCATGGATCGGTTTGCGATTTTACGGTCAACGGTAGTATTGATATGAACTAATTACTGATCTCCCAATAACCTACAAAGTACAGGCACGGGAAAACCTTGGAATGTGGAGGGAATTACGACAAGGATGGACCGAAAGCAGCGGGTCACACGGACGAGACACTAGGACGGCACGACGAAGTGAATCCTTCGATCGGGGAGATAAGGAAAGCCATCGAGGGAAACGGGAATATTCAAAATAATCTAGGCTTTTGTTGGAATAACTGAACTATATAAAATGGGTCAGCATTCTGTGAAAGGATAACCTACAAAGTATACCGCATTGCTTGAGAATATGCATTTCAGGACAGACTCAAAGAGAAGCTATCCCCGAGGCGCCACTTGCGTAGTCAGGCCAAATCATCCAGATGCCAAGAGGTCGAGGTGACATTGGAGGCGACAAGGACTCAGCCGCAGGTTGCGACTGAAAGAGCAAGGGGGATGGGCCGAGCGGGTTGTCCGATTGGGGCGAAATTGCAGGGCTTGAAGGAGGGGAGGATGAATGAACCTTCCTCCAGGGCTAAAATGAGAGGGAGATTGAGCGCCAAACCTAAAAGGGCCAAACTAACCAGAAAAGGAAATTGATACTTCCTCAGTTTACAAACGCCATAAAAGTGACCTCAGAACTTTGCATACTAGCTATTTCTGTATTCCAGTTCGTGCGCTTCACCGGTCTCTACAACATAGGGCTTTACGTATCTCTGCCCTGGAGAGCTTCAGACTGATCGGCTAAGCATACTCGCGCTAAGGCATATTGTCTCTGATAGCGCAAAGCCCCGTCCACGGGCTCTGTCTAGTTAGAATAAAGAATCGACATATCACATCACATTGACATGGATCTGGATCGTGATCTACAACAAAGAGCTCAGTCGATCTCCCAACAAGTGCAATCCAGTGGGTTCTTATACTTCTCGGAGCCCTCCCGGTTTGCTGTGGCTCATGCTGCCCCCAATAAAAATGTGAAGCTACATTCTCGCCAAAGTATAGGTCATATTGTGGAGAATTGATGAATCTCATTATGAACACGTGAACTGTGTTCTGTGTTCTGTGACCTATAAACCTCTAACTTTCCCAAAGCACCAATTAGTTTTCATTTACCTAAATTATCATGGCACTTCAACATGACAAGAGAATCCAAGCTTATTACTGTAATTGGAGCGACGGGCATCCAGGGAGGGTCAGTCATTGCGGCTGCCCTGAAATCTGGTGACTGGAAGATCCGCGGAGTTACTCGCAATGTCAACAGTGACGCATCCAAGGCGCTGGCCTCGAAAGGAGTCGAGATGGTTATTGCAGATTGGAACGATGAGAGCACCTTAGCGAAGGCATTTGAGGTACGATTCTTGATACGCCCATAAGAAATTTAGCTAACCAGGAAAAGGGTTCATATGCTATTTATGCCGTTACTGATTACTGGGCTGGCTTCATGACTCAGAGCGTCGAAGAACTGATTGAGATTGAAGCTAGGCAAGGCATCAATCTTGCTAAGGCAGCTTCTCAGACATCCTCTCTGAAGCACTTCGTATGGAGTACTGTTCCCGACCATGTAAAGATCTCGGGCGGCAAACATTCTATACCTCACTTCGAGGGAAAACTAAAGGTCGATGAATTTATCAAACAAGACAAAGATCTACTTAGCAAAACCACCTTCCTATGGGTTGGATACTACGGGACAAACATCGTTCTGCCTATGATTGTCCCAAATCTTCTCGTATGGTTTCAACATTCAATCCAGAAATTATTGTACTGATTTATGCAGAAAACATGCGGGAAATATGTCCAACTTTTCCCGGTCTCAGACGACACGCCTATCACAACAGTGGGCGACCCGAAAGTCAACATTGGCATCTACACACTCGCCATCTTCAACCAACCTCAGCTCACAATTGGCAGGATTGTTCTGGCGCAGTCTGAGACCAAAACAACTCGTGAAATTATCGATCTGTGGTCCCAGGTTTCAGGAAAGCCTGCTGACTATATCCAAGTTCCACTTGATCACTATGATAATCTATGGTCCAAGTGGGGACGAGAGGTTGGTCTTATGTTGCAATTCTGGGAGACAGCCCGTGAGAAGAGCTGGACCGCCGATGAACCCGTTCTGACAAAGGAAGACTTGAATATTTCTGGTCTGATTGGGATGAAGGAGATTTTCAATTCTCTTGAGTGGTCTTGAATTTTGTATGTTTCTCATGGAGGAGTTAAGACATTCATCTCTCACAACATGAATTTTTCGAATAGAAGACTTGAAACCTACTGCAGCGTATTATCTAAAATGAAATGGATCTAATATCCCAATTTAATCAAGTAATCCGCCAGTGACTGAGTAACATCCAGAGCTTGTAGGCGTTGGGCGGTTTCAGGATGATGTGCAATTATTATTGTTTTGTTCGTCTTCATAGCGATCACACCTTGCTTGCCCTATAACAATAAGTTTGTTATGGCGAGATAAAACAAGTGCGCGGTAGCTAGAACTTACTATCCCGCCACAGATTCTCTGATTGTCTGCTATTATGGCGATATATTGATGTTCTCCGATGTAAAACCCTTGTGAAAGAGAACGTGGGTCAATAAAGGCCTTGGCAAGAGCTTGGACTTGATCGTGGTCGATCTATACAAAATTATGTTAGTGATTCATAGTTTCAAAATGGCAGATCGGGCAAGCCTTGCTTTAAATCCTGCACTAGCTGCCCAGGGAGAATATTCCGTTGCACTAAATATTGCAGCTTTGTCGATTGTTCCGGATCCTATTAGTTTTTCGTCGATGTAGTCTGAGATCATACAATTAACAACTCCCTTGTCGACATAAAAAAAATCAAATAGTAAGTCAGTACCTTTCCAGCTCATTTTGTGTGGAATTCTATGATAACAAATTGGAGAAATAGGTAACAGGAAGTGGTCAAGTTGAAATGAAAGTTATAAGACGAATATTGAAATTTAATAAGGCTATCACTACTTAAGTACCTTGAATGCCAGTGGAATCACGCATACTGATTGGCAGTTATCGATCGGTATTTTTAACCCCTTAAAGATGTAGGTGCAGATTTTTGGACTTGGTGGTTAGCATTAAACAATGATGATACTGCACGTATAGAATCGACAAAATAGCCGATGTGCTGGCTACCTGATATATGGCTAGAACATTCTTATAAGAAAATCTCCCCACGCCAGACCACGCAGATCATTTCTTCATTTTTCTAAGGTTGGAGATTTAACGCGACCTAATATCCTATGCTAGTTAAATAATTTGCGAACTGTCCAACAATGCTTGCAGCTTCTCTAGACTGCACTGTGTCAGGATAGTGTGCGACAACTATTGATTGCGATGATTTCACCACACAAACACCCTCTTTGCCCTAATAGTCTCACGATTTAGCCATCAGTTATTGTCGCAATTAAAATGTCTTACCTTCTCAGCATATATGCTCTGATCATCCGCTTTGGTAACCATAAGCTGCTCTCCTGCAACATAGAGTCCCCCAGAGTACAGAGGGATTGAATCCTCGAAGCCTCTCAACATATATTGAACCTCCTCTAGTCGAACCTATTGGAAGGTGTTTTAGTCGCCGGCAACTTCAGAGAGTAATAGTCGAAAAACTTACATTGAATCCTGCACTCGTTGCAAGTAGAGCATCGCCTGCTGCTGAGAATATAGCGGCTTTGTCGATTTTTTTAGATCCCACTAGGGTTTGATCGACCCAGCCTATGGCCGTAAGATTAGTTTTGGGATGTTTACTTGTGCAAATCTGCATACCTTGCCAGCTCATCTTGGGTGAAAATAGGTTGATATAAATAGATCGAGGGACTTCGCTCGGGGTAAATAGAGAGAGGTGGAATTTAGTGGCTTGAGGGGTAAATCCACCTTTTAAAAGATCGAAAGTTGAGCCAATGACACATTCTTACCGTCAGATTTGATCTCCACAGTATAACACTTCTACAATTCCTGCCTACGTTTTAGAGTATATGTCTCGGTGGTTTCTAGCAAATATTTACATGGTTCGTATCAAATGCTTAAGCATAGACTATACAAACGCATCAAGTGAAGATAACACAAGTTTGAAGCCTAACGAGGTCAAGTAGATAAGGGAGGAAAATTGCAGCCAGAGACAGCGCCCATGTATCTCTAATCGTCGTGTTCAAAACTTCCTAGACTTAGGGCTAATGTGAGGCGTTTAATTGGGAATGTCTTCTAAAACAAGATAAATTGACTTTTGATTCAATGCAAATCCTTTTCTAAGAAAAATAAGATCTTAAAACATACAATAAGCGAAAGAATCCAAGCAATAGACACTATATATTACTATTAGTATATTTAAAACATGTTTGATAAAGTAGACAAAAATCTCGAAATGACCAAGCAACCATTCTTCCTTGATCCTCCGGCCCTGTCACAAGCAGAAGAAGAAATTCCGAGCGGAGCACAGGCCAGTCATTCACAAAATTACTCGAGATCCCATGAGGTCTCTCTGATCCGCACCACGAGGACCAGAGAGGTCAGGAACCGAGAGGGATCCGGATCCCAATCAAGAGATGGATCGGTGTCGAGGCTACTCAACTGATTTACAGGAGAGCCATGAGACCAACAACACCGGCAAGGAGGCCAGCAACGGGCTTGACGTTGGAAGCAGCACCGGTGAAGGAGGAGGGGGAGGAGCCGGGCTGCTGAGGGGTAGAGGGCTTCTGGGGGGTCTGGGGGGTGGAGGGGCTGACAGCGGGCTGAGACTGAGCGGGGACAGCGGGCTGGGAGTGAGCCGGGACAGCGGGCTGGGACTGAGCCGGGACAGCGGGCTGAGACTGAGCGGGGACAGCGGGCTGGGACTGAGCGGGGACAGCGGGCTGAGACTGAGCCGGGACAGCGGGCTGAGACTGAGCGGGGACAGCGGGCTGGGACTGAGCGGGGACAGCGGGCTGAGACTGAGCGGGGACAGCGGGCTGAGACTGAGCGGGGACAGCGGGCTGAGACTGAGCGGGGACAGCGGGCTGAGACTGAGCGGGGACAGCGGGCTGGGACTGAGCGGGGACAGCGGGCTGGGACTGAGCGGGGACAGCGGGCTGAGACTGAGCGGGGACAGCGGGCTGAGACTGAGCGGGGACAGCGGGCTGGGACTGAGCGGGGACAGCGGGCTGAGACTGAGCGGGGACAGCGGGCTGGGTCACAGCGGGCTGGGTGGAAACGGGCTGGGTCTCAGCGGGCTGGGTGGAAACGGACTGCTGGGTAGTAACCACGACTCCGGTGGTCAGAATAGGGGCGGTGGGGCCTGCGGTTGCGGGCTGAGTGGCGTTCTGGAAGGTCAAAGGCTGCTCGTTCTCGCAGAAGGTGCAGACGGTGGTCTTGGTGATGGTGATGGTGCTTGTTCCAGTGACGGGAACGGTGAAGGTCTGAGAGCCAGACGTGATGGTAGACGAGGTGACTGGAGGTATTGTTAGCATGTGCGGTTCAAGTGGTATGATTTGGTAGAGATTCTAGGGCTTACCAGGGCAGGTGGTGGTCACCATAGTGAGCGTCTTGGTAGTACCAGGCTTCACGGGGACGTGGGGCGTGGTCGAGGTGGTGTGCACCGGGGTGGTCGAGGTGGTATGCACCGGGGTGGTGGTCTTCACCGAGGTGCTGTGCACCGGGGTGGTCGAGGTGGTGCACGGGGTGGTGGTGTGCTCGTGCCCCGAAGTGGTGGAGGTGTGGTGGTGCTCCGGGGTTGTCCACGACTCAGTGGTCTTGCTCCAGGAGTCGTGAGTCGAGGAGTGCCCGGCCGGCTTGGACCAGCTCTCACCCCAGCCCTCAACTTGGGCAGGGGCAGCAACGGCAGCAGAGCTCTGAGCGGAGGGACGGATGAATTCCTCACCACGAGCCTGCATGAGACCGGCGAAGGCCGGGCTGGCAAGAGCCAGAATAGCAACGGAGTTGATCATTTCGAGGAAATAAAGTCTTAACAAAGAAGCTTGGAAAGATAACGAGTGAAGAGATAGAGATGTGAGAGAAAGTCTGAAAGATGGACAGAGATGAACGGTCTTATATGTTCTGTTTGAGAAGACTGGTTCCAAGTCATGACGGATATGGGTGCCACGGTCGTGTCCAGGACAGAAAGGTAGACCTGACTCGCAATGTCACCATACAAGGCCGAATGCAGGTACTAGGATAGCTCAACCACAGATGGCAAAGGCACAGATGCAAGGCCATTGGACAAAATTTTGTTCAATGATACATTCAGATGGCGAAATGAGATGCAAACGTGACAGACTGTAGTATCATTGGGGTAAGTAGTGGAGGAGGTCTCCATCTTCATCCACTAGAGTAACCTAATGCGGAAGCATAAGAAGAGCTTGGCAATCTCCAGAGTCTCTCACATTCGGCAAAAGTAGTGAGCAAATTACTGGCGTGACTGCATATTGCTTCATTTCGATAGGGAAAATCGCTGAATGATTGTTCAAGAATATGTGTATTTTGGATTATATGGCCAGCAAAAGGACCATTCTGGATGTTCAGTTGTAGCAGAGAGTCGCCATGACGGCTCCGGACCCGGACCCGGAGCTAGTCGCCAGTGTGATGGCCGGGCGATCATATTCATCCGAAACCACAATTTATATGACAAGGATCCTCTGATTGGGGGTAGAAACCCCACGGAGACGAATGGCCTCGCAGTGAAAACGCTAAACAAGCCGGCCAAAAGCAGCCAAAAATCCCCAAACACGAATAGGGCTGTTTCCTTCCAAGGTTTGCTCTCTGGAATGTGGAAATGGGATCCGACTGAGTGTAGGGGCGTTCCATTGGTAGGTGCCAGGTGCCACTTTGAAAGAATGTTACGCGTGAACTCAAAGTATTCTCGGAACAGGATGATCCCAGTAGGCTCGCAAGACATCTTTTTTTTGATATATTAATCCGGATGTGGCCCATCGTAACATCGGCAGCTGTAATCAATGACGGGATATCTCAATCTGCACTGGGTTAGGCCAAGCCCCCACTGCGCGAAGATCGGGCTTTTGCCGCAAAGTAACAATGCGGTTCTCATTGGAGAAGGCTTCAACCAATCGAGAAGGTGATCTGCGCAGCCTACATGCTCGTTGTCCTTTCGAATAGGAGGGAGGTCTACATGTCATCCATGGATCCTGGTGGATGAGAGGTACAGCAGTGAGGTACCGCAGAGATTTTTGCCGCAAGCGGCAAGGGGATGAACGTAGTACCTCGACATCTTGCGCCAGACAGACTGCCTCTCCCCAGTAAAAGCGAGGAACAGTGTCGAGGCAACCCATCCGTTTTCGGTCATAGATAGCATGTCCATTTTGGGACAACACGTGACATAGGGCTTAGGGCAGGCGCGTGCACGGGGCATCTCGCGCGCGCGTCGCGCGTCGCGCCTTCCTGTTTAGGTTCAATTAAGCCCCGGAGAACCTTGGATCATTTGCTTTGCCCATCACCAGAATCGCCCACAATGCCTCACTCCGTATCGCCTGGCTCTGCGCAGAATGACGATGAAATGCCGGATGCCCCTCCGGTCGAGACCTCGACTGAAACTAATGTCAGACTCGAGGATATGTTCAACGACGATGATGACGATGACGAGGAGTTCCCGGCTTCTGGGGACGTGAAGATGGACTCACCAGCTGCAAAGGAAGAGTGAGTGCTAAGCTCTCGTACAGCAGCCTTGGACTTGACTGCTGACAGAAAGTTTCCAACAGGCCCCCAGCACCCACACCCTCGGGCGTGGACTCGGATATCATGCTCGCCTTCTATCAACGACTTTTCCCCTTCCGATACCTTTTCCAATGGCTGAATCATGGAATTGTACCAACGAAAGACTTCGGCAACCGAGAATTTGCACTAACACTGCAAAATGACGCCTATCTCCGATACCAATCATATCCAACTGCTGACCTGTAAGACCCATTTCAACCTTTATTTATCGAATCTCTTTTGAGCTAACACATATGCCCAGGTTCCGGAAAGACATACTTAAGATGAACCCTTCTCGTTTCGAAATCGGACCTGTCTACAGCACCAACCCACGCGATCGCAAAACGCTACGAGGCGGCCAAATGAAGCCAGTCTCTAAGGAATTGGTTTTCGATATTGATTTGACTGATTATGATGACATCCGTACATGTTGTGTCAAAGCGAATATTTGCGCTAAGTGTTGGTCATTTGTTACCATGTCAATCAAGGTCATTGACACTGCACTACGAGAGGACTTTGGGTTTGAACACATCCTCTGGGTTTACTCTGGTCGTCGTGGTGCTCATGCCTGGGTGTGCGATCCCCGTGCGCGCAATCTACCGGATGATAGACGACGAGCCATTGCTGGTTATCTTGAGATGATCCGCGGAGGTTCACAAAGCGGGAAGAAAGTCAACATCAAACGGCCACTACACCCCCATATTGTACGCAGTCTTGAGTTGCTCAAACACGACTTTGCCCGGACCACACTCGGTGACCAAGACACATTTGAATCCGCCGAGCAAGCAGAACGCCTTTTGTCCTTGTTGCCCGACAAGACGTTGAACGAATCCCTACGGAGGAAATGGGAATCTTCTCCAGATCGCGCCAGCACCAGCAAATGGGCCGATATCGATTCACTCGCAAAGACTGGTAAGAGCAGTACGCTAAACCCAGCGACACTCCGAGATGCGAAGCAAGATATTGTTTTGGAATATACCTACCCACGCCTGGACGCCGAGGTCAGCAAGAAGATGATCCATTTGCTCAAGAGTCCCTTTGTCATTCACCCCGGCACTGGCCGTATTTGTGTTCCCATCGATCCTCGCAATGCCGAAAACTTCGATCCTCTCTCCGTCCCGACGGTGATGACTCTGCTCGCTGAGATTGATGAATATGACGCGAAATACCCTGCCGGCACAGCGGAGGCGGATATCCCTGATGTTGAAGGCAGTGCGGTGAATGGCTCCGACATGAAGGGTAGCCGTAAGGTGCAGGACTATGAAAAGACCAGCCTGAAACCTTATATCGATTTCTTTCGTTCCTTCATCGCAGGCCTCATTAAGGAAGAGCGTGCGGGTAAGCGTGAACGCGATGATAGTGGGTCTGCTGTCAAGGCCGATCCTATGGAATTTTAACCGCATCATGTACATGGTTGTTCCCTTTGCCTAGATTTCCCTCATAGGATTATGACTTTATGTTTTGTTAATTACCACCGATTTCATTTTGGACTTATATCAAGGGATCGCGTTTTCGAGGAGTTTGGGGTTGTGCATGGAACCGAGTTATTCGTCATCAAACAGCCTGATTCTACATTTTTTTACCTTGTTCTCATTCGTATCTATCAATTGAATAAAGATAATCACTCGGCTGTCGAACTTGTTAACCTGCAGGATTTGCAAAATAAACTAAGAGGTAGGAGTATAGCCATGTAGTAAGTGAAGTGATAGTATATTGGAAATATTGGTACAAATAGAGTCGCACAAGTAATTGCACTAAAGCTAACCATGATATGGAGGAACGAGGGTGGTATCTCCATATCAGGCAAACCTCACATTATCAAAAGGCACCTCCGACAGGATTAAGAGGAAATGGGCCAAAGGTAAATAGGGTAGTTAATTTAAGCACCAATGAAGTTCTTGACAGCTAAAGGAGAAAGGGATTGTTAGTATGATAATCACGGGAAGATCATATATGAAGGGAAACATACTCTCCAACCAGCGCAAGTACTCCTTCTGCTCCTTGACGGAGATGTAGTCAGGAACCATATTAGCGAACTCGGCGTTAAGGCCACGGTCCTCGATGTAGCGGTCCCAGAGACCCTGGAGGTCCTCATCGAGGTTCTCGAAGGGGGGACCGGCGTAGAGGCTCTGGCGAGCCCAGTCCTTCTCAGCAGTCTCGGACTGGGCGAGCTCAGCGTTGGCGAAGTGGGAGACCTCCTCGATCTGGAACACACCGTCCTGGACAACGGTCTGGATCAGAAGGGCACCGTTGTTGGGCTTCTCAACGGTGATGGTAACACGGGCAGGGAAGCTGGGCTCCGGCTGCTCGATGTCCTCCTCGGCGGAGGCCTCGGCATCCTGGCCGCGGGACTGGTTCTGGAAGTCCATCTCATCGGTCAGGGAGGCGTCGTCAAAGTCCTCCTGTTCGCTGATGTTCTGGATATCGGCGACGGTGAAGCTGACGCGGATTCTAAACAATCATATGCATTAGTATTCATCATCGGCATTGAAAGAAAAGAAAAAGCGGAATGGGGTTGTATAATCGTACTTCTCGGTGCCGAACTTCTTGGTGAGGATAACCTCCTGGTCGCCGGCAACATCCTTCACCTGCCACTCGCCGTGCTTAATAGTATCCTGGATGGCTTCCAGTTGCTCCTCAAATTCAGGGATCTCGGAAGAATTCTCGTGTCTCAGCTCATCCTCGAGCTTGGCGAGAAGCTCGATGTCAACTGTAAAAAAAAGAATCCAAAATCAGCGCAAGGCCACATACAGAGCCCGCCACCAGACAAGATCGGATTTCGGCGGACTCTTTCAAATATCAGTCAATGCATCTTACCTTCGGATGAAGGAGCCTTGAAGATGCTAGAGGTCGAGAAGGCAGCGTAGGCGGGCTTAGTGGCCTGATTCCAGGATTGCCGGAGAACAGGCTTGGGGAGTGCTGGGCGCAGAGCCGAAGTGGCAATGGAGCGCGAGAAAGTGCGCGGGATAGAGCGGGTGATAGTGCGAAGAGAAAGCATTGTGAATGTGGATGGTCTAAAGTTGGTGAAGATGAGAGCTTGGGAAAAAGTAAATGAGCTAAGTTATTACGAGTGCCAAGACCGGCACTTCTGTTTTGGCCGACTTTGCGCGGCCACGCAATTTGATTCTACATTAGGCAAAAAGCATATATGGTTGTAATTAACCTTCATTGAAGAGGATAGCAAGTAATTTGGGTTGATTGGAATTCATATCGTGACTCGCTCTAGTATATGCGCCTAAACAGCTGCATGGAAGGCCTGGCTGGCGCATGAGAGAAACTATATAGATGGACGAAACAACCGCATTGAATTGAAATGGTATATTCGAGAATATTCGGCTGTACAGAATCTAGAGAAGAATCAATGTGCCCATAATGCGCCAACCCAGTCATTTTGGACACCAGACAAAAATATATAGAAAAAAAAAGTAATCGTGAGATCATGACATGCTCTTGGGTGGGAAAGTAGACGTGAGCTTCTCTCCGGCTTTTGTGAACCGCATAAACTTGATTGCGCTCAGACCCGACCAGTGTCCATTCCAGGTCTTCATTGCGGTCATTGCATATTGATCGCCTAGATCGGGCATCCAAAGTCCGGTCGCGAACTCCCGATCCTCGGTTTGCACCCGCTGCTTCAAGGCCTCTTCGCGCTTGCTAGGAGGACGTCCTTTCCGGCGCTCTGACTCGAGCTGTTTGATCTCCTCAGTATCACGGTCAATGTACCTGATTTGGGTTAGTCTTGGGTTTGGTGGTGGATCGTCGGGGTTACATACTTAGCAACGAACTCGGAAATCTCTTCGGTCGAGAGGGCCTCAGTAAGCTCTTGTATAGCCTCATAGATGTAATCAATTCGGTCCACTAGTTGCGTCAGCTGGGTGGCCTTCAATTGAAATGGGTAGCTGTCTCACAGTATGGCTGTCTTGCACGGTTCACAGTGGCGTTATGGCGGGACAATCGATCGTCGCGAGCACCGGCTTTGCGGAGTCGGTGGGCATCGCGACTGTTCTCATGAAGCGCATTAGTGGAACTGCGCTTCTTGGAAATCTGCTTGTGCACTTTTTCCAAAGTAACAGGCATGGTTGCGGGCTGATGACAAGAATTACTCCAAACACTCCGCCGTGGATTTCGATGATAATTTTCGTGGATGCACCGGCATAATTAGGCGGTGACCCCCAAATCACCGCCTTCCCCACTCGAGGAAAGCGCGTCTGCGCGTCGAGATAGGAGCATTCCAGGAGTTATTTACTCCCTCAATTCTTTAACTGAGATTTTGGTTTGGACCTCACATTGTACTCCATATTCATTGGTCTCCTACTTGTGAAAATCTCAACTTATGTTATCATTTATTGCTTGAATACGAGGACCCGCCTGTCCCTCTAACGGTGTCCACCATGGGCATTAAAGGTATGTTGGCCTATGATTGTCTAGGGAGGAGATCAATGGTGGTTTTAACGGAAATAAATAGGACTGCACGGGCTTCTCAAGTCCATTCAGAAACCATGTCACATTAAGAATTTCAACGGGCAAACACTTGGAGTCGATGCATATGGATGGCTGCACCGTGGAACTGTCGCTTGTTCCGTGGATCTGGTCCTGGATAATCCTACTAGGAAGTATGTCTTTTTGATACCTTCTTCCATGGATTCTTAACTAACAAAGCTATTTTATGGCAGACACATTGATTTCGTCCTTAACCGAGTCCGCATGCTTCTTTTCTTTGGAGTGAAACCCTACCTTGTCTTCGATGGCGACAATTTGCCCAGCAAGGCAGACACCGAGCAAGATCGCTATAGACGGCGTCAGGAAAGCAAGTCCCTTGGACTCGAACTACAACGGAAGGGGAGAATGCCAGAAGCTTACCAGGAGTTCCAAAAAGCCGTCGATGTGACGCCATACATGGCTCGCCAGTTAATTGAGGAACTGAAGCAAATGAATGTGCAGTATGTGGTGGCCCCCTACGAGGCAGATGCCCAGTTGGTGTACCTGGAGCAACAAGGCGACATTGATGGGATCATATCTGAGGATTCGGATTTGCTTGTCTTTGGAGCAAAGCGGTTGATTTCAAAACTGGACCAACACGGCGAATGCATTGAGATAGACCGCGCCGATTTTACTGCTTGCCGCGAGGTCAGTTTGGTTGGCTTCAGTGATCCAGACTTCAGAAACATGTGCATTTTGAGCGGTTGTGATTACTTGGCAAATATTCCTAAGCTGGGGCTGAAGACTGCCTACCGGATTATTCGCAAACATCGGAGTGTTGAAAAAGCCCTGCGCATGCTGCAATTTGAGGGCAATTTTCGAGTCCCAGCCGACTACCTTGCCAACTTCAAACAGGCCGAGTTGACCTTCCTTTACCAACGGGTCTTCTGCCGCAAAGCCGAAAAGCTAGTGACTTTGACACCACCTGACAAGGATGTTAATTTGGCCGCACTGCCATATATCGGCGCCGATATGGAGCCGGAAATTGCCATTGGAGTTTCTTGTGGCGATCTAGATCCAACGACCAAGGAACCAATCATCCTAAAGCCACTGGCTGCAGGTAGATGGTCCCTTGGCATTAATCGCCGCCAGACACTGGGTACTTCCTCCGAGTTGAAGCCAAAGAGGTCTATCAATTCGTTCTTCACCCCCAAGAGGACACCGCTGGCCGAGTTGGACCCTAACAGCCTAACTCCGTCTCCGAGCCAGCAGCGACTCCTAGAGCGAAATGCAAACAACACCTGGCAGGCCAATGCAGCGCCGTTCCGCTCCAACTCGGTCAGGTCCACGCCTCTCAGGGCATTTTCTGACCAAGGCCTCAGCCCTATGGTTCGGAGTGTGGAGCGCTCATCTTTTCTGGCCCAAAGTGCAAGATCGTCGACCTTGCAGTCCACAAAGAGGCAGAGGCTCTGCTCTGAGGCTGAAGGTGATTCTCTGCCTGCTTGTTCCCCTGCTCGCAGTCGGTTCTTTGCTCCTACTTCCGAACAAGCTAGCCCTAGTGGCCAAAAGCTCTCCCGGTCAAAACGGTCACGCAAATCAGTGATTGGTGTCTTCTCTGATGAAATAGCAGAAGACATCATGTCCAGCATTCCCGATCCCAGTACTACTCCTGGACCTGCTGAGTCTAGACCCGAGAGCAACCTTGAGATATCTGGCAAGCCCAGTGAAGTTGAAACCCCTTCCAAGCCTACATTCGACAAAGTCCTGGTGACTGAGAACCTCGAAGTATCTCAGGATGGCCCTAGGGGTACCGCACCGAATTCCCCAGGTTTCACTCAGGCTCTTGACTATCATGTTGACCGCCAAAACTCGAATGTACTTTCCAAGTTTACTTTTCAAGCGGGACAAAAGCCCGAAACAACCGCCACTAGCTCTATCATGACTAAAATTCCTGCGATTCAGCCTTCTCATAAACCTTCAACGCCCTCAACCTCCAGAAGCCCAGCTGCGATTGCACGGAGCAATGTTTTCCAACGACGCCTGACGCCGCTCCAGCGGATGGGACAGTCCGCTCTCAGTCGATCTAACAGCATCAACATTCCTACTAAACTCCGGGATGCTGAAGTTGCTGAACCTCGGGCTGAAGCTTCTTCTCCTGTCATACACAAGGGGTCCTCTTTTGCTGGAACCCAAGGCAGCGAAGATCTCATTGTCCCAGACAGTGAGGATGAAGAGGACGAGGATGAGCCCAGCACAGGGCACTCGACTACTCTTGATCTCAAACGCTTTTCTTTTGCCGCAAATTAGGCTGCATCTCTATTTTATTACGGAGCATTAGGACAGGAACATCGGGTCTTGGTATCCGGGGTAGCATTGGACCACTGGTTTGGTGGGTTCCACTTTGGCGCGTAACCTGTGGTGTTGTAACTTTTTTAATTGGGATTATTGTTTGACATAGCGTTGGTTAGGTTTGAGAATCATAGCATCATCTTGAAACATTGAAACGTGCCCAATCCATATATTGTACATCGAAGTAGTGTAGACGGCCCAATATTTAAGAGGCTGGGTGAATCGCGTGGCTTGTGGAAGTGGGGCTAAGGTTATCGGGATCTGCACTAGTACATATCGGGACTAACACGGCCCAGATTTTCCCGTGTGAGTGGGCAGAATTACCCACACAGAAGGCGGTCTGATATGGTTACCGGGGAAGCGGGAAAGTAAACAAGTGCGGTTGGCCCAGCCTCCTACATTTCCTATACTCTTGCCTCATCCCCAGCCTCCAGAGAGATTCAGAGAATCTGTCAATTAGCCTGACGTTGAGTTTTGTGCCTGCTACGATCCCTTCTTTCCCTCCCTTCCATTCTTTCTACACATTCCCTCTCTTTCATATACTTCCCACCTGTACTACACACAGGCGTCAAGTCATATCATATCTCTGACCCGTCTGGATAATCCACTCTAGGTGCGAGCCGGATTCCACAATATTATCAAATATTTTGAATATTTTTCAAAGTATTCTCAGCATTGAATACGTCCTGAAAGATCCGATCCTTACCCTGCGCTCCACATTCCTCATCTACATTCCATTCCAACGATCTCGATCTCGATTCACTTGTCATCTCAATCAGACGAACCAACAACAAGTGCGCCACTGGGTGTACAATTGAGTTCTGTGATCGCATTCAGCTCAGGCAACTCCTTCTCGGAGACCCGAGAAGCGAGTCAACAAAAAAGTGAAGTTCGACCCCGAGGTCGTCATAGTTGAACACAATGGCTGCTCCCTTTGCTCAAAAATGGGCCCGTAAGTGACGACATACTAAGAGAAAGCAAACAATGAGATTGCCGCTAATTCTTCAAGCAGGGTTCATTCCAATGATCGGGTACCACCATGTGTTGATGATTATCATCGCAGTTGCTATTATCTTGTTATGTGAGTGCCTGTCTTTCTCATTGCGCTCTCAGCTGGAATATAGCTAACAAATTGCAGCACTTCTGTTGGCCGGCTGCTCTTCATCATCCCCACAGATGCCCAACATCTTCCTTATCTCTCTATACTATGAAAAGTATAACCCAATTAGGGATCTCGCACAAGTCGACCCAGGTGTTGTGACTGCCATCTCCAACATTGTCGGCGGTGCAGAGTTAGAAGTCCGAGTGGGATACTTTGGTATCTGTGTTCAGCCTGATAAAGGGTCTTTCATTTGCAATGCCAATGCGACGGCGCTCGCTGAGATTGTCACTGTGGATCAAGATCCACTGAACCTGATCTGGGTTGCCTCGACATTCAAAGATGCCGTTGTGTTCCCGTATCTCCTGTGAGTAACTAACGTGTACTTTCCTATTTCTGGACAACACTAATACTCGTGCAGGATTGTTGCTGTCATTCTCGCGTTCTTCTGTTTCATCCTTCTGGCGACATTCCCTGGCTGGCACGAGGAGGTCGACGACACCGGATCCGAGCGTGAAGTCAAGCCTTTCCCCTCGCGCCCCGTCTCCCAGGCTGCGCTAGCCCTCATTTTTGTCTCCTCGGTGTTCGTTCTTGTGTCCGTACTATGGCAGCACACAGCGTCTGTCGCTGCCAGTACGATAGCCCAAGACATGGGCAATGGAAGTGTAAGAAGCGGCGTCGGCTCTTCTGCAATGGTACTTGGTTGGTTTGGCTTTGTCCTACTGGTCATAGTAACTGTTGGTTTGCTAGTCATGATCTTGAGTATAAGTCTGATCCGCAAACTGACCGACGAGGAATAATCAAATTGATTCATCCTCAACGCCGAAGCAAGACACACTTGCTTTCTTTGCTTTTTTCTTCTTTTCGCGACTTGCTTACACCTACCTCTTCTTCGCCTACGACATACCTTACCCTTATAACGGGACGACACAAACGGGAAATGAATAATACCTACGAGCACACGACACTGGCTCACAATTCACGGAATGGATGGGAACGGAACACACGACACTTGGGACTTGGACAGTTGAATTTTACGAACATATTTGAAGATATGGATCCTCGCATGCTTTCTATTCTTGGGATTTGACACGGGACATCTTTGTCGTTTCATATCCTCGAAAATCTTATTTGGCGACTTTACCGATCTGCCAGGAAAGAAGAATGCAAAGCCATCGAGTCACATTTTTGTACAGATCTTTTTTACTGGTGTTGGTTTTTTTTTTTTGAGTGGACTTTTGTTTTATGTTCAGCACACGGCGTTTGTTTGATCTGGTCATGTATACCACAGCCTCTTGTTTATTCCCACGCTGTGTTCGCCTTTTGCTTCTTACACAGAACTGCAAATGCTAGATTAGTCCTTATGACACAATGTCAAAAATGATACCAAAGTCTAGTCTCTCATAACTCAATCTCTCCAATAGGTAACCTTCAAGATCAAAACTACTTTCACTTTATTTCACGTTTACAGCGACGATGGATGGTCTTGACTACCATTTCCTAACAAAATTATGTTTCGATATAATCTATATATATAATTAGGAAAGCTATGAAAGGATTCATTCTCTGCCAATACCACGTCACATAGCCAACTGCTGGCCGGCTGGACAGGACAACCTCGATCTCGGAGCTGTTGGATGTGACAGTGACCACATATGCGCTACTACTAGTGTCTGTGAGCCTTCATATGGCGGGTGGAGGAGATGGGAAATCGAGGTTGGGCGATAGAGGGAGATGCGGCTCGGGACGATTGCGGTGTCGAGAGCGCCTCATCGGCCCAAACTCCATATTGGACAAAGGCTTGGGTGATCATGTTGTTGGCCCAGGCATTACCGCCGATGAAACGGTGGATTTTGTTGTGTTTACACAACTTTTGGTAACGGAAGTGCGATCCATCCCCATAGTGAGGCATTTGCTGTAGAACTCGTTCCATCTGCATAGTCTGATACCCTGCGCGCGATGGCCCCATTTCCAAATATTGACTGGTCTGGTTCGTACTTCACAAGCTCCACATTTAAGGAGTCGACGGGTTGAACGTTCGGTTTTGCTGCGATAGGCCGCATCGCCGGTAGCCCGGCCAATTGTCGTACTTCGATTTCAACAATCGGCTTGCTTAGAAATAGGGGGAGGGTTCAGGATATCTACTCGTATTTGCAATAAGCGCTTGTCCTAGGTGAGAAATAATCTTGATTGTGAAAGTATTCGCCTGAAGAGAACCGAAATCTTCCAAGAGGTAATTCCGGCATCAACAAGGGCAATTCTCATATTGACCTCGAAATCGAATACAAACAAGTATACTAAGAATTTTCACGATGAAATGAAATGACCCTGTCCCTTGGCAGAAGAGAAAGACAAGATGAGTGTTGATGAAGCAAGGAAGTTGAGGATGGGGATGTGACAGAAGGAAGAGGAGAAGGGAGGAAAAAGGAGGAACAAATATGAGGATTGAGGTGTCGAAGTGAAGGTGGCAGGGTGGTGTTTGAGTGTACAAAACAGACAGATAAACGCCACGCAAAGAGCGCACAGGATTGGGAAGAGAACACTCTAAAGCATTTTTCTTCCTACGCGCGTGGGCAAGGGAACTATTTCCGAGTTGCTTTTAACCATGAGCTCTCTTTGCGTGTTTGGCCATCTGTTTGATATCAAATTCCTTAGTGCACCTCTTCTCTTCTGCTAAGAGATAGGGCCATCTGATTCCATCGTGCACCTCAAGCTGCTTATTCATGGGATCTGTGGAGTTGATCAATTCTTAATGGAGCCACTGATCAATTGAAAGAGGTTATTCCTGCATCAACAAGGGCAATTCTTGAATAATTCAATCTTACACCTGAGCACATCATGGCTCTACCGAGGGTTGATCACTCTCTGTCTCGTCCAGGCTTCTGTGAAGGCGATCAAATAGATGCCTGGAGAGACAGAGAGTGACCGACCTTTGGTAGAGCCATGATATGCTCAGGTGTACGGAGTAGGTTTGAACCATTTAAGAATTGCCCTGGTTGATGCGGGAATGACGTCTTGGAAGATTTCGCATCTCTTCAGGCGAATACTTGCCAATGGACTGCGCGAACTCACGACAGACCCACACTCCTTGTAAGTCGAACTATTCTGAATCGGTTTCCTTCGCCCCCCTGAACAGGATTCTCATCCATTCTTCGATCGCTTCTGTCAATGCGGAAACCCTCAGACTCGTCAGGATTGACGATGGGTATTTGCGGGAAAAGAATTCACAAGCGCATAGGCGAAAGATTGAGGTCGCTCCCGCTGTCGTCATCTTTATCTTCTCAGACTCATCTTGTAGAAGTTGATCTGTCGGGTCGACTATGAGTCGTCCGTGGCAGTTATCCAAGATGATATATATAGAGCCTTTCGACACAGGCATCATTCTGCGCACCTAATAGGAGATTCAAGTCAAACCTTGGTCCGCACTTGAAAATGGCTCAGAAGTTGTTGAGTTGCGCGCTTACATGGCTTTAAACCTTGGAAGGAACTCGTTGAGGTATCAGAGATGGGAAGGGTGAACGGCGAGGAAGTATGTAGGTCAAAGACTCCTTCTCATCAATGTGATTCGCAAGTTGCACGGGGCGCTGGGTTGTTGTGCTCGTCCGTCTGGGAACTCTGCACCACTGTCACCTCAGCATATTGGCTAGTTAATATGTAGGGCAAGAGCCAGGAAGTGTAAATACATACCCGAGCATAGCCAGAAAGGGTGTCCCATCGTTTGCAGAGAGGGATGAAGGAAGGAGGATGGATTCTCCATTGAAGGAAGTGGAACAGGCTTTTTATAGGCGCTGGGCTGAAAGGAAGTGTTGAGAAGCAGAGTCCCGTGTTATGCAGGATAAATTTGTTACAGCGCCCACATCTCATTGTCAACTGGCTTGAATATGCAGGCCGCCGTTGAATCTACGCAACCTCTGTTGACCGCGATGGTCCGATGCCCCCTAAATCCACTGTGTTTGGTATCCAGGTTGTCATATGTTATTCTCTCTGTATTCTATAGTTTCAGAAATCCAGGGATCTTGCACTATCCTTTCTGGTATGCATTGTTCCTCACCTCTTCGCCAGGAAGGCCTGACCTGTAAGGTAATGAGCGTAAAGCAAACACTAGCTACATCAAACATCAATACTTTGTACTCTACTAAGTTTCAAGACGTGTTTCTCATGCGCATGTAGCCTGACGTCCATTTCATGCTCAACTGCCTAGTTGCAGTAATTGCAGTATGCGCGGTGTTAGAAAATATAGATCCATGGGACCACGGGTAGAAGTAAAGATTAGATAAAGATAAGGCGGAAATAAGATTAAAGTGAAGTGAAAGTGAAGTGAAAGTGAGAACAACTTATATAGTAGCTCTTTAAACATCTCTTATAATTTATAGTTATCTAGTATTTCAGCGACGGTCGTCCAGGTACGTAGCTCAAAAATGATATAAAAGGTGCTTGTGGCGAGAATAATGTTTCATTCGACATTCATCAATTGATCCGGCTTGTCCGTATTTCAGTTGCATTCTAGCCCTGGCTGCCGTTTTGGATACTGACTAGGGTAGCGGCAAATTGCATGCTCTCATGGGCTAAGAGAGCCTTCCCAGTTGCTACTGCATCGTGTGTATGCAGCTATACGTACCGTGTGTCACTGCCAGGTGAGTTTACAGAAATAGATTTAACCAGTCTCAAGACACTAAGGCTGAAATTGTATCTTCAAATTATTGAGCAATCGCTCGGAAGGGAAACAGGATGGTGATGAATGAATTATGAAGCTACATATTGTAGTGGGGGACATAGTCCTCACTACGTATTAGCCTTGCCTGTCCTTCCTTTTATTCTTTTTGCAGTTTTGTTAAGTAAGCATTGATGTACAGAGGTTATAAAGTAGCAGATAGTTACAGATTGGCAAGACACGCTCCTACACCTCTCTGAATTCACTTCTTGGACTGACGTCCCAGGTCTCTTTGTATGCCCCGGTGGGTATTATGCTGAGTTACGAGTGCTGAATCGACCCGTATGCCAGAGAGCATACTGCCTAGAGCGTTCCCCTCTTGAATATATAGCTATGAAATGAACTGAGGGTTGGCACCAGGCCAACACAAAGCTCATTCAATAACCGATTTTGTTCAAGCAACTCCTAGGACAGAAGTTGGGGTGGGAAAGGTGTTTGCCATCCCTTTGACATATTGACCACCACCTCACCCACAGAAATAAAACAAAAACAAACAAAACAAAACAAAACAAAACAAACAGTGCTTCAGACCACTTGTATCACATCCTACAGAGAGATATAGTCCGCGCAGCGGGTAATGCCAAGCTGCTGAACCAGGAATTCGTTGACAAACTGGCACTTGGGATCCTGACGCTTCTGGATGGCCAAGAACTCAGGCAGCTTCGGGAATTTCTCCCGGGTGTAGGTGGCATTAGGAGCACTCATTTTGTTCCAATGGGAGCGAACGTTGTAGGTTTCACCAAAGTGAGGGAGGAATTCGTGGGCCAATTCTTGGTTCTGCCAGAGAGTGGTGAAGTTGTTATATTCTTGGATCCAGTCAATCTCGATGATGGCAAAAACACCGCTAGACTCGGGGCCAAGGTTATAGGTGTTGACAGGGGACAGATATGTATCGTCACCCTTGAGGGTACGGTGCTGGATGACCATCTGCTTGTTATAGGGAGCCTTCATGCGCGACGTCTGGGCCTGTTGGAAGATGGTGTAGTTGGTGGCAGCTTCTGCGTACTGCTCAATAGGAAGGAAGTGCTCGATCTCGGCGTAGAAGCCTCGGGAACAGACACCTTGAGGAGAGCAGGAAGCGGCGTCAGTGACTTCGTCGTAGCAAATGTACTCCTTCTTGCAGTCACCGCAGCCGTTGGCGCAGTAATTGAGAGTGCAGTTGCGAACACCGGTATAGTCGGTCGGCTCCCAGTAAGAGAGGAAGTAGGTAGGCTCGAGGGCCCAGCTCTGAGATTTTTCCTCCCAGTCGAAGTGAGGACCCCAAACAGTCATACGGTCGTGATCCTTGTACAGTTGCGCAAGCTCCTTGTACATCTTCGAGTAGTCGGAAGTGGCATTCAAGACCTTGGTGGTCTTCTTCAGGAGTTGGGTAGGCTGGACCTTGATAGTCAACTCCGTGATTAAACCGAGGGCGCCAAGGCTGATACGGAAAGCCTTCAGTTCTTCTGCGTTGTTCTTCTCGTCGATGACACGGAGGTTTCCCTGCGAGTCCAACACACGCAGCCCAATGATCTGGGTTGCGATATTACCGAGGTTGGATCCAGAACCGTGAGTGCCAGTGGAGGCGGCACCCACAAAGTTCTGAACACGCTCAACACCAAGATTGCTAAAGGATAGGCCGTTGGCCTTCAGCTCTTGGATAAGGTCATCGACATCCCAGCCGGCACCAAAGGTGACGGTGAGATTCTTCTTATCGATATTCAGGCTCTTCAGATTGGTGAGGGAAACGATATAGGTGGGCTTCTCAGTGAGAGTATTGTCGACACAGGTAGTGAGGTTACCAAATCCATGACCATTGCCAACAACTTTGATATGGGAGCCCTGGTGGTACTGCCCCTTGAGGAACTTGGCAGTAGCATTCTCATTCTGAGGAGCAATGTAGGCGTCAGACTCGCAAGTGACCTCAAACTGCCAGTTGTACCAGCGGTAGGCGGAGCCAAACCCTGCGTGCAGCAGCAACAGCAAGAGAGCCAGCTTAGGGCCAAGCATTTTGGAATCTATGGAACCTCTTAATGTCAGCAAACTATATGGCACGCGAGAGAAATCGGATGAAAGACTCACAGGAATAGGAATGCTTGAACTATAAACAAGATCGTCTCATAAGATAAATTCTCACAATAATAATGATTGAGGGAACTTGTGTACGCGCTGAAAAGAAGGTGGTCCGAACGAGAAAGGAGAGCGAAGGCAAGTTATATACATCCGATTTCGCTCATCTTCTCAAACATGCCCACTTTATGGCTAATAGATTGATAAGATAATCCACTCTAGAGAAAATTTTGCCTTTCCACTGGAGCATTTTGATCCGTGTCGCCTGTTATTGAGTTATCGTCGATCAAACGGGTGGATAGGGACCCGCGTAGCGGGAAGTTGAGAATAAAAGATGTACAAAATATATGGCATTATTTGCCATTGCAACTTGTCTTTTTTGGTATGCAGGTATGTTCGACTTGAGCTTCGAATATAATATAGGGCATTAAACATAGTCAGCGAGGAAATTCGAACACACTATACTGATTTAACTACCTAGGTAAGTAAAGAATGATGTTGTGTGTCAGTCCACCAAGGTTTTCTCGGGACCGTCCCCACTGCGTCCCTTGGTTTGCTCTCGGATCAGATAAAAAATCAAAATGAGGTCATCATGCTATGATGATCTTAATTACTGTGGCATACGAAGTGGCACTTCAACTGTACTTCCAAGATTGGTAATTGGGTAAAAATCGTGTCCCAAGTGTCCACTTGTGGCTATCAAACTCAATTCAAGACCATAATATTTCCGAGATTGGCGCATTTCGATACACCGAGAAAGCGGATTTGGGTTGATCCAACCTAATCCTTATCGATCACCATATGGCAGACTTGGCAGACTTGGCACCTCGTAAAGCGCCGGGGCCTTAAGTGTTAGCAATCATAGCCCGTCCAGTCCTTCCTTATTGTCCAAGCCCAATTGCCGATGAAGAACTTGGCAAGGTTGCTTCTGGGCCTAGTGAGATACACGGGTCTTTACTATTAGCACCTCGTAAAGCGCCTGGACCTTAAGTGTTAGCAATCAAGGCCCGTCTTGTCCTTCCTTATTGTCCAAACCCAAGGTACCGGTGAAGAACTTGGCAAGGTTGCTTCTGGGCTATTGGACCCCAGGGTCTAGAGAATACATGTGTACATATCGTTTGACAACAAGGTCCTACAATGTACATGCGCAGGTGTATGATTGACAGTAGCTCCGCTTATTATGCTCCTCGTCCTTGTGTACGTATATCCAATAGCCCACATTTATATTACCTCCGACAAATGAAGCCGACGAACACACCCGTTTCAATCTCCGGTTCTTTGTACACGATCGACGATCCTCTAATCGAAGCTTTATGTGTATGTAGGAATAAATTTATATATTCTCGCCCTCTCAGTCTTCGAGAACTTTTTACTGTATAGCAACCGATTCAGGACTTCTTTCTTCTTTCTCTTTCTTCCATTAGAGATTATCCCTCGAGATGAACTCTCTAATCCTCTCCTGCTTTCTTATCTCTGCGGCCGCATCCCATAGCTACCTACCCTCCGAACAGATCGATGTCCAGTCCAGTCTTCTTTCTGATCCTAACCAGGTCGCCGGCAAGACTGTTGACTACATAATTGCGGGAGGTGGTTTGACAGGCCTGACCATTGCAGCCAAGCTGACTGAGGACCCCAACATCAAGGTCCTGGTCATTGAAAACGGCTTTTATGAGTCCGCCGACGGAGCCATCATCGAGGATCTGGAAGCCTACGGAGACATTTTTGGCACCACTGTTGACCACGCCTATGAAATCGTTCCTCATGCAACCGATAGCCGCACCGAGAACATTCGATCCGGCAATGGTCTTGGAGGATCAACTTTGATCAATGGTGGCTCCTGGACACGCCCCCACAAAGCCCAGATCGATTCTTGGGAGAATGTGTTCGGCAACAAGGGCTGGAACTGGGACAACTTGTTCCCATACATGAAGGAGGTCGAGCTCTCCCGTCCTCCGAATGAGGTCGAGATTGCCGCTGGTCACTACTATAATCCTGCCTGCCACGGAACGAACGGCACTGTCCATGCTGGGCCCCGCAACACCGGAGAGGCTTATTCTCCCATAATCAAGACTCTCATGGATTCCACCAAGGGACGTGGTGTTCCTACCCAGCTAGACTTCCACTGTGGGGACCCTCGCGGTGTTTCTATGATTCCCAATGCGCTCCACAAAGACCAGATTCGCTCGGATGCTGCACGTGAATGGCTTCTGCCCAACTACAAGCGCCCTAATCTGCAGGTTCTGACGGGTCAGTTTGTTGGAAAAGTCCTTATCAACCAAACCGCTGGTTCTGGTCACAAAGCCGTTGGTGTAAATTTCGGCACCAACAAGAAAGTGAATTTCAATGTATACGCCAACCACGAGGTATTGTTAGCCGCCGGCTCTGCTGTCTCCCCACGAATCCTAGAATACTCCGGTATTGGCTTAAAGTCTGCACTCGATGCCGCCGGTGTTAAGCAGATTGTTGATCTCCCTGTCGGTCTCAACATGCAGGATCAAACCACCACTACCGTGGGCTCCCGTACCAAACCCTCCGGCAATGGTCAAGGTCAGGCCATCTACTTCGCTACTTTCAATGAGACATTTGGAGATTACGCTCCTCAGGCTCACGAATTACTCAACACCAAGTTGCACCAGTGGGCTACTGAGACTGTTGCCCGAGGAGGTTTCCATAATGTGACTGCTCTTGAGATCCAGTATCAGAACTATCGTGACTGGTTGGTCAATGACGAAGTTGCCTACATGGAGCTGTTCCTCGATACTTCGGGCAAGATCAACTTTGATCTATGGGATCTCATTCCATTCACCCGTGGTTCCGTGCATATCCAGGGCAACGACCCCTACCTGCGCCGCTTTGCCTACGACCCTAAGTTCTTTATGAACGAGCTGGACCTTCTTGGCCAAGCTGCTGGCTCGAAGCTTGCGCGCGAGATTTCCAACACGGGTGGTATGCAGACCTACTTTGATGGCGAGACTACACCTGGCCCCAAATTGGCCTACGATGCCGACTTGGACCAGTGGGTGGATTATGTCAAGCAGAACTTCCGCGCCAACTGGCACGCTGTCGGCACCTGCTCGATGATGGCAAAGGAGCTTGGTGGGGTTGTTGATTCCGCAGCTCGAGTGTATGGTGTCGAGGGCCTTCGCGTGGTTGACGGCTCGATCCCGCCGACTCAAGTGTCTTCCCACGTCATGACTGTCTTCTACGCTATGGCTTTGAAGATTTCTGATGCAGTTTTGGCAGACTTCCATGCCAAGTCTGCGAAGCACTGATGACCGAAGTTTAAGATCGATCATTATGCGACGGGGAACTGGCTATATGGCCCGAATGTAATTCCCGATGGCGTCGAAGTTGTCATATCGCTGTAATTCTTTCTAGTTAAGAGACTACATAGTAGAAGTTTTCAATGCAAGCCGACCTTGAACATAATAAAAAACCATAAAGTTACAGATAATGCTGGAGACCAGCTGTGGACCAGCCTTCCGAAACTGCGGTTTTGGAGACCCCGAATACAGGTTCAATATCAATAGTCCATAGAGTAACCCCCTCTGCCTGCACCTCCGCCACCATTGTGTCCATTCTTGCCGTCGTTTTGCCCATCGTGTCCACCGCTATGGTCATCCAGTGACCTGTACTGGTAGTATTCACCTCGACCACGACCTCGGCCACGGCCTCGGGTGTTGTTACCGCGTCCACGTCCGGCACCTCGGCCACGACCACGATGAGCTCCTCTTCCTCGCGGACTATCGTCATATTGGTGGCGTCCGTCACCCCCGCCGCGCTGAGAGGAGGGGTAGTTGCCGCGACCATGAGATGGGGCGTCAAAGCCGTTGTTTTGAGGCCAGACGACATCCTCATCCTCCTGCTGGAAGCGTCTCTTTTGACTCCTGTTCATGGGTTGCTCTCCCTGGCGAAGTTCTCCGCTGTCTTCAACTCGTAGGACAACCTTCTCGCCGATCACAGTCTCAAATGTCATGGCTCTGTCAGCCGGAATGGGATGCCAGTTTTGGATCTTCCCTGCATCGATGAGACGAGCACCTTTGCGAACAGCCAGTACTACAATTGGCAGTGGGTTCTCCGTGTGATATGCTTCCGTTGCTGGGATAGGCGCCACGCGGGCTGCCCATATCTTGTTCTCCAGGTTTCCGGTTCCGGTAACCTGCCACTTTAGTTTCTTGCCCATACCTCCAACCTTGTCCAGGATTGAACGGGGCGCTGGGCGTGGGGTGATTAGGATGCTGTTAGCCATGTACTTCAGGTCATTTGATTCAGCAAGCCCTGGGGGGAGCAGTGGAGCCAGCAAATTCTGCGTCATGCTGTTTGAAACCTCGGGAGAAACCAGATATCCAGTGTAGAAGACGACACGCTTGATATACATCCGTCCACAGCGGCTCTTGGTTACGTTCAAAGCAGGGTTGCGCAGTGTGAGGTTGTGGGCATTGACCATGCGCTGCACCTCAGCAGTCTCAGTTACGGGGTCAAGGTATGTGCAGCCCTCAGTTACCTGGATGACTTCAGCAAGGACGGGCATCCGCGCGGTAGCGGGTCCACTTTGAAGGTCTCTGTTCAGTCCCTCAAAGAAGTCTCGGAACCCTTTCACACTGGTAGAAGGTTAGTACCTTAATATGCTCAGATTCTCCAACTCGATTGTCAGCGGACTTACTGCCTGACACGGTCCTCGTAGACGCGGATTTCCGCAGCCTGCTCGTAAGTGAAAACAAGATCCTCAAGGAAGTTCTGTTTGAAGCTCATTGTGGTCGCAAACCGTTGACCATTTGGACCAACTTCGGGCTTGAGACCAATTAGGTCGAATTCAAGGTTTTGACTAGCGACCATCCGCTTGATGATGTCTGAAAAGCCGGCCTCACTTCGACCGGTCAGCAACACCGTGAGCGCATCTTTCTGCTCCATGCTATTCCGAACCAAACTAAGCTTCAAAAAGTCAGTTGAAAACGCCCCGAAGATGTAATATACGATAGATGGCACACAATTTGCTCATTCCACCAGCCTTCCCATTTGCGAGGCTCTTCTATCTCTATGCCTTTTCCTGTAGCGGCGAGAATGTTGGGGTCGTGCCACCATCCTCCAGTTGCGAAACTATCATTGGTTTGAAGGAAACCGATTGAGGAGCCATGCCATAATTGTGGGTTTGGTAAAGGACTTAGAAATACTGGGAGTGCAGATGTTAGTGGTCGAGTGTCGGACCATCCTAGGTTTGCATATGCTCACAGGTGTTGTCGAAATCGTAGACGTGAATTGCGCGAATTTGAGGAACAGCTGAAAAACAAAAGTGTTGTTAGCATCATGGCAGGGCAATGGACCGTAATGAGATCGAACCTGGCAACTCCTTGTTCACAATCGACCAGCGCCGCAGTGAGGTGATGGTATGCGGCGGGCGATGAATCCCGCCTGTGTACGACATATTGGCAGCAGAACCGAAGCGCGCAAGTTTCTCTGAGACGACCGCTTTGGCAGACCGCATTCTATCAGGTAAAGGAGAGATATGATGTTAGCGCATGGTTGGGAAAGAAAGAGAGTTGAAGTCGCAAAACGAGCAGGCGCGGTGACGGAGCTCCCGAGAAATCGGTTTTGCCGCCCAGAACGCGATAAACGTGACAAACGTGACTTAAGGAACGAAACTCCTACAAACCCACCCCTGGCATGTCGCCTGTATGGATGATGTCGAATTGCGACAGGAAATCCTCCAGCGGACTCTTAAAGAGGTAGCTGATGAGGAGAACGAGGCCGCAAATCCTTGTGTCATTTGCCTAGACACCATCACCGAGCCGTGTGTGGCACAGCCATGCCACCATGCCAACTTCGACTTCCTTTGCCTTGTCAGTTGGATCGAGCAGCAACCAAAATGCCCGCTATGTAAGAATATCCTTGGACACACATACTGCTGAATGTACCGGACTGACGATTTGACAGGTAAAATCGAGTTGACAGCAGTGCAATATGAACTAAACGCCACACACGGTCCGAAGCTATACAAGCTCCCGCCCCCGAGCGCAAAAGTCCCGGTACCTCCAACCGCTGCTCGATCCCGCCCTGTTGATCGCTATGGCCCACGAGGAGGGCGACGTCCTCCGCCCCTGCCGCGACCACAGCCAGATGACCCTCTCGAATTCCGGCGCAATGTCTATCGTAACCAAACATACTCCATGCGAGTCGGATCCAATCGGTTGTCTCAGTATCGAGAACTGACTCCAGAGCTCTTCAGTCGTGATGAGGAGCTTGTTTCGCGTTCTCGGAAATGGATCCGCCGCGAACTACGAGTCTTTTCTTTCCTGTATCCGGAACCAGAGCATGAAGAGCGCACATCTCACCAGGTCCCGCGCCCTGGCCCTCAACGACTGGAGAATCGCAGGGCGAACAATGCCGAGTTTCTGCTGGAATATGTCATCGCTATCTTGCGCACGGTCGATCTCAAAGGCAGTGCTGGACAGGCGGAGGAGCTGTTGCGTGATTTCATCGGCCGCGAGAATGCCTGTCTATTCCTCCACGAGTTACAGGCGTGGCTCAGGAGTCCGTACAATTCCTTGGAGGATTGGGATCGTCATGTTCAGTACTCGAATACTCCGCGGAGTGCGTCTGACGGAGGATATAGGGATTCCGATGGCCCGGGTCGTAGACCAACTCCTGTGAACAATCGGAGTAGGTCACAGAGGTCCCGAAGACCATACAGGTCCAGGTCCCAAGAGGCGATTGATCGTTCCAGGCGACTGCAGCAGGCTCAACAGCGATATAATCCATATTAGACATGCAGCTTAACATGAAGATAGAAGATATTACATTTACAACTTTGATACTTGTCTTAAGGAAATAGTTAATCAATCTCTGGTTATTATTATACATTGAAAGTCGATAAAGTACTAAATCCCAACACGAATTTAGATCATAGGCTTGATCAAGTCCCCATCCACCCAGCGCTTGCACACCGAGTCGTTCATGAAATGCTAGAGACGAGGAAACGTCAATCATCAACAGAGCCATCCGGTTAAACGGGCCATAGGCTGGCCCTCTGAATGCGGGGGAGCGAGTCACTCAGTGCTGTCCGAAGCTATTTGAAATTATAATGTCAGACCTTGCACACAGTCGCACCGTCCTATCAAAAGGCTGGTTTGAAAACAACGGGGGGGAGGAGTGTGGGGTATGCCTTAGTGCAGCTATGGTCTGGGCGGCTCGGCGTGGCAGGTTGGACATAAAACCGCTCCAACACTGGGCTTCCTGAAACAATAGCCCTAGGATCATCCTCCATTGACACGTCCTTTGAGCGTTTTTATAAGTGTAGGGAGATATGGAAACAGCCTCTCGCATTATGAATGGGAGCGTACTAGCATTCGGCGTCCATACCAGAGGGCGCGAAGGTTAAAGACCTTGCTAGGTTCGATGTGGGGAGAGGAGAGGCCGTAAGCCGGATTAGCAAGGAGAGCCGGCGAGTATTTAGAAGGCGAGCATGAACGAAGATCTGGAGAGACTCTATGGAGTCGGCAAACCCAAACTCATCATCACGATAATGGTAGAACTCGATGACAATGTTCCAGGTCTCTGGGCCGTCATTGGAGAGAAGACGGTAGATATTAGCGGTATCCTTCTAGCCAAGTACATCAGCAATAGTAGGGACAGGATCTTCGATATGCCTGGTTTTGCTGGCACATTTGCATACTGACATCAAGCTTGTCTACCACCTTTCGCTTGGAGAGGAGCTGTTCACGTAGGCAACGGGAGAACACTAACAAGGCATCATGAGTCGATTGAGGTGGGATATAGGCGAACTCCTAGGCTGATCTTCGCAATCAGCCAGCAGGGTCACGGTTTGTGGCTCTTGATTTCTCCTATCATTGTCTGGCTTTTTCACCATGACCACCTTTGTCCACTTCGAACGAATTAGCCAGCTAGATCTTTAAGCATTAAATGGCTTCACCACTTACCTGACTTTGTGGATTAATTCGCAGGAATCGGACCTCTTCACCATCTGTGCTTAGTCCATGGACATAGGAGTATCAGTTGTCCCAGTGGCCTGCTCCCCGAGCAACACAGCAGTTGCGTCGTGACGGGAGTACCATTGAGCCTTGACTTGAAAGGTCTCATGTCAAAAAAATCCAATCGCACATTGGCTGCGATTCCATGGTTTGATCCGACGCAAAAACATATCGACGAGTGCGCCATAACTTCATATCTCGTATTGATTGAGCACTATCCGCTGGGCGAATGCAAGGACGAAATCTTAACTGTTGCTTTGCTCGACTTGTTCACAAATCAGATGCAAAATCTGTTGTGTATTGATGATGTATCATAACCCACATGGAAGGGCTTCGCGCATAACAATCTCGTGGTCTAGCTGAATATCCAGACTTAAACCCTTGAGCAACAAATATCGGCTACCAGGGCCGTGCTGGAGCTGTATATCCTGTAGGCAGCGGCAACACGCGACTAAATCAATATAGTCAGCACCACTTCATCATACGGTAAAGGTCTCTCTACGAGGGGGGATCTTACGGGGATAGATGGTGTTTGACACCCAAATGTTGAGCCTAGATGAGGCTACTCCATCCTGTCCGATGCCCCGAGTTTTTTCAACTCGAAACGTGATATATCAAGCTTCGTGCCCTTTGCGTAACTTACACTACCACGCATTCAAGATCGTTAACATCGAGGGGCCTTTACGCATGACGCCGGCTATGGACGGTGGTCAGTATCACAACCCAGAAGGATCCATCAGACATTCGGTTGTGGAGACATTAACAGAAGAGGGACATATATGAGAGGAGAATGGGACACGAGTGGAAAGCGACAGGTGTACAATCCTCCCAAACCCTTCTTCTTGCTTACCGGGGCATGGCCACGAAGGGAAAACCCATAGCCAAGGCGAGTTTCCACATTGTTTTCCTCTTAAAGAAGAAACTGACAGTAGAAACAGCAAAAACAGAGACCAAAATGGGAATGTGTCTGTAGATAGGGAAAATAAAGAGTTGTGTGCGAGGAGGGTCTTGGTTCTTGTTTTCATGTCGGCGCAGTCTACGAAGTTTACGAAAATGGCAACATCAACAATCGTCCAGGAGGAAGGAACCCCCCCTGTTTGCCTGAGGCGGTAGCCTCAAATTGCCTGCCCATGGATATAACCTTGAATCCATACCATTGGTGATATATCTGACCTTTAGAGATGGTTGGACGATATAGTTTAAATTAAGTATAATAAGGTATGGTTATTTCGCTAGCATGTTACCTGCATCTATCTTACGGCGCATAGAGGATGATATTGATGCAAGAATATACGGATAGGGTTGATCTCGCTTAATACACTGTTATACTGTCTTTGGCATTGACTTGGTACATAGACAAGCCTAGTGGATTGAGGTACCTAGAGACCGGGTTTAGAGAACATGACGGAGAGCCAAAACTGGAGACTCCGCGTAAGTAACGCAGATAATACCAAGCACTAAAACCATTTGGCTAGCATCTGCCATCGCTCCACAGCCGGAGCGATTGGAAATTTGGTTGATATATGATATACTGAGCAGCAATTATACGATGACCTGCATTGCTATAACCGTAAGGTGTAGACGACAAACCATCTTCCGTTCGAACATAGAGCAGTTTGAGAGTATTCCAACTCCGTCGATACGCACTAGGCGAAGATGACCGAGAAAACTTTCTATACTGGAAGCTCCCAGTGATCGCCTCCTAAAAAGGCCAATCTTGAACCTCCATTTTGACAGACACGTAAAAACTTGCGTTATTTGGAAGACTCGTTCCTCAATCGGTTGATCGCAAAGCAACTCTCCCTAGAGGGAAAACCCCGCAAAATTAGAACTTATAAGAACGAAAGCGTTAGGATAAAATTGAATTTTCCACACTGGTTTCATCCCACCTGGCTTTTGTGGACGAGTCCAGTCGCCATAAACCAGTGTAATTCCAACGAACAGGTTGATCAATATTAGGTAGAACAGCAGGTCAGATTTTTAGGCTCCACCGTGGTTCGAGATACTATGCTGGTCCTCATCACTCGGAGGCCTAGGTTGCCAGGGCATCCGTCCAAAGTCCCCGACTCAATGGACCCGAACCGACAACTTCCACTGTGGTTTCCGCTATAGCTATCTGGGGCATCAAAAGTTCCAATAGTCCCCGTGTAGATTAGCTCCAGACAACCGCCGTTAACTTGACTAACGGGTCAACAACGGACTAAAAGTTCTTGACGCATGCTCATCGGAGGCTCTACTACGCACCTTAAATGTTTTGATCGACGAAAAGGTTCAAATGTACTTCAGCAGTTCAACCAAGACGAAGATTTTATTTTTCGGTGCATTGACTTTACGATCTGCTCGGTAATTGAACAGTTACTATTGTTCGAATTGCTTCAAATGTTTAATACATAATTCTCGGGTCTGGTCAGGTAGGGTGGAGAGCTCGAGGGTGTGAAGACGCTATAAATATCTGAAATGGAAGGTGCTATGTATGCTAAATAAGAATGGATGAATGTAGTCGTCACTTCATGAAAAACAAGCAGGGTTGCCCGTTTCTTACTTCCGGCGGAAACGCCCCCTACCCCGCGAGGAACCTCCTCTGTTGATGCTTATTGATCGATAGTTCGCATGAGCTTGGGCATTGATCTTCCGGGCACGAGGTTTCTTTGCTTCAGCAGCCTCGGAAGGCTTATTCGGAGGCTTGCCCAGGGGCTCTTGTTCCTGTGGCTTCGCAGCAGCAGCGGACGAAACAGCTTCCTTGATTCTCTCCGAGAAAGTCTTTGGTCTGGCAACAGACTTTGGCTGTTCTCCAAATTCGGGATCATCATCCGAGTCTGGATCAAACTCGGCTTCGGTATCAAGTTCGGGCTCCGACATGGTATGAAGGGAAGCGGCCTTGTCCGCCCGTTCAATGTCACTCGGGACATCGTCCCAGCCGTCATTAGCAGAAGGTGGCTGTTGCGTTTCCGGAACTGCTGCAACATCATCCTCGTCTTCCCAGTCCTCTTTTGTTGCAGGGACTGGGTTTGATTTGGCCTTCGGCTGATGGATAACCGGCCTCATAATCACTCGTCGCGTCGTCCGCTTCTGTCCCTTCTTCTTGTACTTCCGGTTCACGTCTGGTCCTTGACTGTCCTCAACTTGGATCTTGGCAGCTTCTTCCGCCTCTGCCTCTTCCTCCATCTCGCGCATCACATCCCAGTCGTCTTCCATACGATCCTCCTCCATGTCCCGCAGTCCTTGGACCAAATGCGTTAGCCCCTTGCTGGCAAATCTTTGCGGCTTGCGCGAAACAATAGGACTGAGTCCTGGACCATCATGCTTTGCACTGGGTGGGGGATATCGACCAGAGTTGGAGCGACGGAGGAAAGATGGTGTCCCAGACTGCGCTTCTTGGGGTGATATTTCAAGCGCCGGGTTTAGCGAATTTGTCTTCTGTGCATCTGCGTTATCGTCCGCTTCCACCATGGCGGCATAACGCATTGTGGTCGGAGTTGCGAATAGATTTGCAAGATAGAACTGCTTGGTCTCAGACGCCGGGGTTCGCGCAAGCCTGGGCGTCTCCTGCTGAGGCTCTTCCTCCAGGGCCTCGGGAATTGTGGCCACGGGCCTTCTTTTGGATGGTGTTCGGAACGCGGCAGCTAGGTTATTCGTTTTTCTTGTAGTGGAAGGCGTTCCACCACTCCCACCAGATTCAGATAACATGTCGAACAGGCCCAATGTCTTTCCATCACGCTGGGGCGTAGGCCCAATTGCAGCCTTGAACGGTGACGGTGCTTGGCGATGTGTACTGGGACTAAAGAGTCTACGAAGAGTCGATGGCGAGTCATATGGATCGAGCTGTGCAGGGTGGTGCTTGGTGCGATTGTTGGATGGAGTTGCAAAGAGTCCTCTAGACGCTTTGCGGGGTGTGACTTGAAGATATGCACTATCCTGACCGGGGGGAGATGCATGTTTCCGCTTTTTAGAGTGACTTTCATTTGGCTCCTGTCGACTGTTTTCGCGCCGGCTTAGAGATGCTTCAAGAGCCTTGAGGCGACTGTATTCTTTGTATTTAGCGGCTATTGCATTGAAGAAGATTTTGAATTAGTGATTTATGCCTTTCAAATATCACGCTGCACGAGAACCTTGACCTACCGATATCCGCGTTTTGTTTGATGTCATCGCGTCCGGCCTTGCGACCCCCATTGGCTGAAGCAAAGGCTTTCTCCCATGTTTTCAATTCTGCGCGAACATTGATAGCTTGGGCGCCGACCTCAGCACTAGAAGTAAGAACGTTGTCGGCCATTGTTGCATTGTATGTGGTACGAGACAACCTGGAAGAAGAGCAGTCTGGTCGTAAATCGATCGATGCGCGTCACGCGACGCGAACTAATTAACGAACATCGGACCAAACTAGTAGGCGGTCTAATTTTGCCATAACTACTATGTTTCTTCCCCAAACAGGAAGGCGGTGTGCTTCATGCCACAAAGTGGGGTTATATTGAACTCTAAGTATGGATAATCCGCCCTTCGGGGGATATGATCAACTGAAAACATACAGAGAAGATTGGCATGGCCCCTGCAGGAAGGATGACGTGACTCAATCAAAGAGACTACTTTTTTTCTTCCTTCGAGATTCTTTATTAAGGTGAAGGTGTACTAATTGTAAGTCACGCAGTATCTAGAATTTCCAATTGGGCAGCGCGAAGTACCTCTCCCAAGGCACCCTCTGTTCGCAAATATGTGCGTTTCCCTTTGGTAAACCAAAACCCAATTGCAACAAGCAGCATCGCTCCAAAGACTGCAATCGCCCAGTTCATTGTGATAACTCGAGGATGTGGGCTCCCAGGAAAGAAGAAAAATACTGTAGTAACACAACAGTATATAAGTCCAATCCAGTTGATGGCAGGACGCAGACGTCCAAGAGAAAATGTTCCAAGCGGAATATCAGACATTCCAAAAGCCACAACTGCAAATATTGGCAGCGCATATGATATAGTCAAAGCAATTGTGGAGACACTGACTACTGCTTCCACAGCAGCCTCTGTGAAGAAGTATAGAACGCCCACTAAAGAGATGATCGCACCTTGAGCCCAGAGCGCCCGTGCTGGCACGTTCCAGTAAGTATCGACATGCGTCAGATAGGTGCTGAATGGGAGGCCACCATCACGTGCAAATCCCCACGTCAAACGAGAAGCAGTTGTCGTAATGCTGACGCCTTGGCCCAGCATGTTGAATACAAAGATAGTGAAAAGTGCGACTGTGCCTTGAGGTCCGACAGTCTGCCTCACAAGCTCCACAAAAGGTAGTCCTGAGGCGGGTTCTAAAACAGTCTCCAGGTTTTGAATACAAAAAAGGCAGACGATCATGAAAATACCGCCCGAGGTTGCACCCGATATGATCGAAAGCCAAAGAACTCGCGGGCCATTCTTCTGGGGAGATGGAAGTTCCTCGATCAGATGAATCACCGCATCAAAAGCTGTCAAACCATAAGCGGACTGCACGAGGCCTATGAACCAGGCAACGCCATCACTCCACGCTGTATCGTTGATCCATCGCCCGAAGACGAACGAAGAGGGTTGAAATGATAGGTCGTCCTTGACACCAACTGCAATGAGTATAGCGAGAGAGAAAAGAATAAACTCCCCTCCAAACCAAGCCCCAACGAGATTATTGAACCAACGAAGAATCCAGTCTTTGCGACAGGCAACGACATTCGAGAACGTCATCAGCATGGTGATAGAAAAGTAAATCACAAACTTCAACCATCCCAGACTTGTTCCGGTCCAATTTTCATCGGATATAGTCTTCATTCCAAGTATAATCTCTGTCATGAATGCATTTTGTGAGGCAGCAAGAGTCCACCACCCAAACATATTGATCCAAGCGCAGGAATAAGACACAAAACGACCCAACGACGATCTCCAGATGCGGGAGACCCAGTAGGCTTGTCCTAATGCAGTGGGCATGCTACTACACAGCTCTCCCAAAGAAAGAGCCACACAGAGATTGCAGAACGTGACAAGAAGGAGGCCGTATAGAATCGTGATAGGTCCTCCATTTGTTAAGCCGTTGGAGAGATCAACTGCAAAAGTCGCCCAGGTTCCGAGCACGCTGAATGAGAGGGCTAGCATGCTCCATGGACTGAACTTTCGCGACAGAGATTGTACATGGCCCATTGTACCAAGACCATCGTCGTCGTGGGTGGCTATGTGACCCGAACCGGACTTTTCCATGGTGGAGGATTTCTCTTCATCCATGTTGGGTGGTTTGTATCGTTGTATGAAGTTGGAAGCAGAGAAGAATGGAGAGCTACAACATATAGACATGTTGGCAAAACCCCAAAATATATATAGACCCGCATTTCTTACTTTTATTAATGTTGCCACATTTTGGCCAATCTACATTCCTAATTCTGTCTAAGGAGGCACTAGGCAGATCTGATGTCTGGAACCTTCACCTTCAAATGTTGTTATAGAAGATAGGGGCAATAAGGACGTTCATTGGAGGATAATATTGCCTAGTACCTGCGGCTCGGCTCCTTATCCGGGACAACTTTCAAACCTTCCAAGTTTACGTACGGATTACCGTGGTTATGGGGCAACCCCGCAAACTCTCTTCCCAAATTACGTTATTTGGACTCCAGACTTGCCTGTTTCGTCCAAACCTGCTAAGCCGCTAAAACAAACCTTGCTAGCGCGAGGTCGTAGACATTGCAAATCTGGCAAGTAAATTGACCAACGAAAAGAAATATCGAAATGATCGTCGCTATTGCTTGATTATGCATAGGGCAAATCTGCAACATATTTTGGACCTCGTCTGTCGACTATAAATTGCACTCGCTTTTGTTCTTCGTACTTTACTGTTCCACCATTCCTCTCCCTCTTCTATCTTATTACAATTCTTATCCTTGAAATCCAAAACTACGCACAGAAATGGCCGCCATGCCAGCTCAACATGCCCTGCCATCCTGGTGGAGGACTCAACTGCACCAACTTGACGACTATGTGTCGTCCAAATCCGTGCCAACAGAATCAGACGTTGTAATTATTGGAGCTGGAATATCGGGTGCATCAGTTGCGTATCATCTCCTGCAACAGCATAAAGGACTCAATCGACCAAGAGTGACCATACTAGAGGCGCGTCAAGCATGCTCTGGGGCAACGGGTCGAAATGGTAAGCCATCTACTCGTGGTGATTATCTACCATCACGCCTGACGCAATACAACTAGGTGGTCATTTAAAACCAGATCCATACAGCTTCATCAGTCAACTTGCCGCAGAGTATGGCCCGGAACTGGCTCAAGAAGTAGCTGAGTTCGAGCGATCTCACGTCGATGCAATTAGCAACCTTGTGAAGTTCGAAAAAATTGATTGCGACCTAGTTGTGACCGAGGCAATTGATGTCCAGTTAAATCCCAAAGAATGCAAAAAGGTCAAATCTAGCTTCGATCGTTTGCCAGGCATTGGCGTCAAATCGGCTGAACGGGTCAGCTTCTCTGATCAAAGAGAGGCGGAAGCGGTACGTTCTTCCAACCTCGAAGGCCATTGGGATAGAAGACTAATTAATTTTCTTTAGAGGTCTCGTGTCAAGGGAGCCCAGGGCTGTTTTAGCTATGAAGCGGGCCATATCTGGCCCTACAAATTGGTCCTCCACATTCTTGGCCGCTGTGTCGAACAAGGAGCAAAACTTTATACCCACACTCCAGCACAGAATATCTCATCAGACAAAGACACCTCAGGCCGATGGACTGTGGACACACCACGGGGCGCTATCAAAGCGCGACACGTTGTTTTCGCCAGCAATGCTTACACATCGGCTGTTCTTCCTATGTACTCGAACAAGATTGTTCCAGTGCGTGGAGTCTGTTGCAGAATAGTTCCAACTCGCCCAGTGAAGAGGCTTACCGAAACATACACTCTCCGATGGTCATGGAGTGAATTTGACTATCTCATCCCTCGTGAAGATGGAAGCGTGATTGTCGGTGGTGCTTGGAGCAAATACTACCGGAACACGGGAGATTGGTACAATAACGCCAACGACAATGAAATGATAGAGTCTGCCAAGGAGTATTTTGACGGTTATATGCAACGAAACTTCCACGGCTGGGAGGAAAGCGGTGCATATGTGGATCAGATTTGGACTGGAAGTATGTCTACCCGAACACCTCTATTGTGGAAATATGCTGATATGACGTTTTGCTAGTTATGGGTTACTCCACGGATTCTTTGCCTCATATTGGACATGTCCCCGGGAAAAAAGGCCAGTTTATCATTGCTGGGTTCACTGGCCATGGAATGCCGCAGGCATGGCTTTCTGGTAAGGGTATTGCAGCCATGGTCTCAGAGGGGATTCCATTCGCTGAATCTGGGATCCCAAAGATCTTTGAGACTACTCAGGCTCGCCTTGAGAAAGACAGGAATGACATACTTGAGACGGCGGGAGAAGTTGACAAGTCCAGTGCTCGACTGTAATATCGCCTGATGAAAATAACAGTCTCCGTTTTCTTATTATTTCATCTAATAAAATGGTCCGGTGTAAAATGTAGAGATATAGTCGCGATGTGTGCATCAAAACATAGTTACTTGGAAATATACTTCGTGTGACCTTGAGAATCCAGGGGAAGATAAACATGGTGCACGTGCCTTCCACGTGGGGTAATCACATGACGTAATCATGTGCCCCCCGCAGTTTCTTATCATAGTTTCGCGTCTCCGCTTCTTCGGTTATCTTGGCTAAGACCTTCCAAGGTTCCCAACATTAAGATACTCCCCTTTTTGTCTCAACTTCCTTCATATTCTACCACAATGACAACTGTACAACCATGCCCCCAAAACGTGAGCGTACAGTTCAAGGCTCATGTTGGCCGTGCAAACAACGCCGGGTGAAATGCGATCTTGGGAAGCCCTTATGCCAGAGATGTGTTTCGTCTGGGGCAAAGTGCTGTTACGACAAGCTTTTGATCAGGTGGAAAAAGACCCCACCGACAACACAAAGCCTGACCATGTACCAGTCCCCATTGATGAGCCTCAATATGCAGTTAAAAGAGAATACCTTGGCCGTTGGAGACCTCAAGGCCCTTGAATACTTTCAATTCGCTGTATGGCCTCTTTTCACCACTGCGGCTCATCCTTGCCCATCACCCATACCTCTAGCCATGGAATTTCAACCGGTACTTCTGGCTGTGTGTGAATTGGCCGAGGCGCATCGCATACTGCGGGATGAGGCTGGGAGTAGCACGGTGAGCGCGCCGTTTGATAAAAGAATGAGCTGCCTGGCTTCAGTCAGGGAGCAGCTTCGAAATAATAATTCCAATCACACATCGCTTTCGCCTCTGCTGGTTGCAGTGTTTCTGCTCTATTTTCTGGACGGCTTTATTGAATGTGGTCATCAATCTGCATCGACGGCAAGTCACCACGTGGGCGTCCAAGCAATCGTTGATCATCTCGGAGGCTTCACAGCTCTTATTAAAATGGGTCAAAAGGACATCACTATGCTATTATCAGAGTTCGCATCCACAGACCTTACAAAGGCTCTGCTGGATGACCGAGCTCCTTGCTTTCCCGCTGAAATCTGGACACAGATAGAGCACGGGACAGTTTGGTGGGACCAAGAAACATACAACGGCACAACACTGGCATCGGTGTTTAGAATAATGGCAGAAATGTCTTTGTATCGCCAGCAAATAAGGGGAGACCCGGAGACACTTTCAATGGAAGTGGTGCGTGATTTTGAGCAGTGTCTACAGCCGTCATTCCAGATTCTAAATTGGGACCATATCAAAAACCCCAATACTTACACTGTGCATGAATCGACACTTGAACCAAGGATGCAGGCCGATTCTTTCACCCGTGCTTTTCAACATAGTGCGCTCGTCTACCTCTACCGAGCAATCTGTGGCCTTCCACCGAGACATTCTTTGGTACAACAGCATGTCCAGTCATGTGTGGAGTGTATCAAAAATATCTCGCCACTTTCTAAAGCCCATAACTGTATAATATTTCCATTGTACATCATGGGCGCCCACACATTCCTGCAAGAACAGCAGACATTTGTGTTGGAGAGACTTGATTCTATATACAAGTATCTGCGCTTCAACGCCGTACTGTTGGTTCGCGCAGCGTTGGAGGATTTATGGAAGTCACCGCGGCATGATGGGGATTGGTGGGATATGTTTAGATCTCTAGGCGAACATGTGCTTGTGATCTAGTTAGCTAGAGCTGTAATTACTATGAGCGTTTGAAGCGAAATATTATGCATTAATGACATTTTCCAAGGTTGTCCGCCTGCTAGGCTGACGCAATAAACGCTCGGTTCAAACCCCGAAATCCCAATCATCCCTTCTAGTCTAGAGGCTTGCACGTGCGGGGGTGGGATTACTGACAATGGCTCTGCCTAGCTTCGATACCAGTGTTAAAATCCGGCTCTAGCAACCTCTTTGATCAACGTCGTGTTGCTTATCCTTTGACAATGAGTGTATCCTCCGAGCAGTCACCGTTCGATGACGAGTTTGATGCTCTAGTAAAAGAGCAACTGGAAAGATGGAAAGTCCCCGGCTTGAGTATCGCGATTATCCATGGTCCCAATACCTACACTAAGGTAATCTCACCGATCCGCTTAATGTATCAAATGCTCACATAGTACAGGCATATGGAAAGGCAGAACTGCAAAGCCACAGCACAGATCGACCATGCCGGGAGATGACAACCGATGCGTTATTTGCAACATGTAGCACCACCAAGGCTTTTACCAGTGCAGCGACATCCATAGCAATCCAGGACAGCAAGGCTACCGAGTCACCGATCGACTGGGACACGCCTGTGGCTTCCCTAATTCCAGAAGACTTTATCCTGGAGGACGACTACGCGACCAAGAATATTACACTTGAAGATGCTCTATCGCATCGGTCGGGTATGCCAGAGCATAACTGGACCTTGGCTCTATTCCCAAAGAAGGGCCCAACGCCGGGCTCTATAGTCCGCGCGATGCAATACATGCCCCTCGCGACACCACCGCGCACCAAATACCACTATAACAATTACATGTACGTCGCTGTGTCGCATGCGTTGGAGCAGCACACAAGTGAAACACTGGGCGCGTTCATGAAGAAACGCATCTGGGACCCTCTCGGTATGAGAGAAACGTTCTTCTCACCAGACGAAGCAAAGGCAAACCCATCAACCGCCGCAAAGCTTGTGCAAGCATACGACTGGGTTCCTACAAAGCAAGGCGGGAAGTCTATTCCCAAGCCAGAGAATAACTGGCCAGTTAACAGTGGTGCTGGTGCTATCATCAGTAACGTTCTCGACTATGCCCGTTGGGTGCGGGAGTTGATTGAAAAAGCCGGCCCGTTGAAAGGACACGACAGCTTAACAGATCCACGGACGATACATTTCCAGAATGATGACATGAACTTACCGGCTCCGTACCATTCCTATGCGCTCGGATGGGTCGTGGATTCCCACCGCGGCCAGAATTTATATAGCCACAGCGGTGGCTGGCCTGGCTACGCGAGCTGGGTGGGCTTCGTCCCGGAGAAGAAGTTTGGATTTGTGGTCATGGGCAATCGTTCTTCGGCTCGATATGCTGCGTTTAGATTGGTCACTTATCTTTTGGATAGGCGGCTTGGTCTATCGGATGATCCGAAATATGAGCAGCAGATTGCTGCTTGCATCGAAAGACAAACTGAGACATGGGAGTCGAGACTGAAGAATGAAGACATAGAGGATTCAAAGCGACGATTGTTCTCTTCTTTGCCTGATCCTCCGATTCCATGTGCCTTGCACATGTCTGGATATACTGGAACATACAGACACCCCACGGGTGCGATCCTTATAATCCAAATACGCAATGATGGGCTTATTGCTGACTTACGGGATCGAGTCATTCCGTGTGAATTGTCTCTTGTTCATGCCAGCGGGGAGTTCTTCGTGGGCAGCATCCATAGTGAAGGATTCAACTTGATGCCGCCCTTCACAGTGGAATTCTATATTGATGCTGCGGGTGTGGTGAAAAGAGTTGGACTTCTGTTGGAACCTGCTTTGAAAGAGAAGAAGCTCTGGTTTGATCGTTGTGATTCCTAGGATTTTATGTTGGTGTGCAAGAGGCACCCAGAAAAAGATCCAGATGGCTCTGATACATAATACGGATCTTTCAATTGTTGCGTCCTTCCAAATTTCCTTCGCCATGAATGCATTAAAGATCGCCATTTGAATTAAAGCCAGGTATAGCACTATTATCCCCAAATTACCAACTCGTCAACCCTTTCACCCGATCAAACCCACCCCTCAACTGTGACTCAGGATGCACAACCTTGCCCTGTAGAACAGTGTACTTAACAATGCCCTCACAATCCTCAGGCCGTACACGCGCAAGCCAAATCATCTGCTGATCCTTCTTGCGATAAATCAAAACATTCGCAGAGAACTTGTGCCCGCCGACGTGCGATACGAAGAAGATGCCCACTCCGCCAGCCCGGGAGTCATCCGCATCCCGGTCCAGTCCCAGCGGACGCAGATGTCGCTCCAACTCGCGCTTAATCAATGGTGCTGTAATACCGCAGCGCGCATCTCGGCGTCCGTGCGAGCACAGTAGTATCACGTAGTCAAGTTCACAGGGTCGAGCGCTTATCCCATTGGCGGGAGAGACGCCGCCGTTTTCATTTGGCTGGTCGATGGGGTGGTCGATATATCGGTTGATCAGATCTGGAACGTCTGGTTGTGTGACGGAGTCGACGTAAGTGAATGATGGTAGAATTAGTACTGTGGTGGCTTGGTTGGTACTCTCGTCTGTGATTGGTTGTTCTGGAGGAGTGAGATTTGATGCTGAGACCATAATGCGCTAGATCTGGTATTAGTGGAGGTAGGCTAAATTTGAGTTCTGAAGCTTACACCATGATCTGATTTTGCCTCATCGAATGCTTCCATCAGACTTCCTGTCACGTTTTCGACATGTTTTTCCTTCCAGTCGGATTGCCCCGTTGCCACGAGAACATGGGCGTGAAATTCTTTGATTTGGCCATAAAGAGGTCTTGAGGTCTCGACTTTGACTTTTGACGGAAACTTCACTGTGCAGTCGGCGCAGTCCTTTAAACATTCGGGGCCGTCCTGTTTGGGATCCACTTTGGGAAAGAGGTAGTCGTTGGTGCCTGTGCGGCCCAAGGAAAGCAAGGAACGCAGCATGGTCGAAGGTGTGATTAAGTTGTGAAGGCGAAGCTGAAAGTTGAAAGTTGAGTCCAGGAGGCGTTTTTGAATCTGAAGGTTGCCTGGAGATCTGGAGATAGATATAGAGCCCAGTATCTCCGAGATATGCTCCGAGCCGGGTCGAAAAGCCCGAACCCCGAGCTAACAGGGGTATCGCCAGACTCGAATCCCTGATGTTTAGTGGAGATGATTCCTTTGAGACCCATTTTATCTTAGGCTAGTTTTTTTTAAGTCTAACGCTGCGGACTTACAGCCACTTAACATCCATGTATTCGATCTACACATGTATAACTACCACGTGGAACTAACCTTGGATGGTCGCAGCTTGCTTACTTTAGACTACTAGTATACCTGGCAATTCGTTGATCTCCATGAGGTATATAGCCTAACCTTATCAGACCACATCACTCAACCTCAACTTTAGCGACGTCTTTGAAAAAATATCACATACTGAACTGTCTCTGATATTGCGAACAAATTGCATGAACACCACCACATTTGCTTCTTGTGCATCGGATCGGAAATCACGTCTAAAGCAGAGTGAAATAGAAGGACATCAACTATAGGAGTAGGCAGCACTAGTGTAACGGACTTTGAAACCCGATCAAACATGGGCGTCGGGTGTTTTCAGGCAAGGCTTGTATATTCCCATTTTTGAGTAACAATCAGATGGAACAAACTACTGTGCACGGAATGCTACATGGTTACTCGTACGAACATAGCGAGCAAACTAAGGGAATCAGGTTCCTCGAACGGGTACAGCATATAGGGGCAGTGTTGATATGGACCTTGGCGGTGATTATGGCTATTCTCGTGATTGGGAACCAGACCAACGTCGGGATTATCGCATGTCGTTGTTGCCCGGAGATTGCTAAGGGATGCAGTTACCCATTCTCAATGCTTGAATAATTTCCGGTAGGTCTTGGAAGATTTTCAAATCTGAGGTGTAAAAGACAAGAATATATACCCATGTCGGTAGACTGAAACCAAGTAAGCGCATGAACCCCTTAGCGGGGGCATCTAGTGTGCTCCACGGAACCATCGGGACTGGGATTTTGTGGGACTGGGAAAATAGACGCGAAAGATAATATGCTGGATGTTCTGAAGAAAACAAGAAAAGAAGAGAAATTTCCATATTCTTTCTTCATCCGAGAAGTGCATGAAGAAAAATAAAAAAAAAAAAGCCACGCGACGTCGGTCAGACTTTCCGCATTGGGCGGTTAGAGCGGGACCACGTAAGCCGGAGCTGGAGCCTATTCCCTGAACTTCCCAACATCTCGGACGTAAGATCTTTCCTAAAGTATAACCCGAGCTTGTCTTCAACACCGAGTGTATGGATGTTCAAGGGAATGCCCAGCCCGATCGCGTGCGCAAGCGTCGCCGCCGCACAATGGCGTGCACGCAGTGTCGCACGCGCAAGTTGCGATGCGATCGTGAGTATCCCACTTGCAGTCGCTGTTTAAAGAGCAGAACTCCGAGCAAATGCACATATGAAGATGGCTTTTTATGGCAGCAACCCACCACCGTCACGACTACTGCATTCGCCTCCGACCGAGGGTCTGCGGTATCTATGCCCAGAGATACCCCGGTCGACACACCTCCGGATTCGGGGATACCGACGGTGTCAACTCGGTCGGAACCTTTCCCTGCTAGTGAACCACCCCCAAGGCTATGGCTGGCGGTCCAATGCATCATGATTATCATGGTCTTACGGGGCATGCTCTTGCACCGCCCTACAGAAGTCGACCACACGACAGAGAGCGAAAAGACTGCTTTTTGGAAACTGTTCTTGGTGCTCCTAAGGCTGCTGTCAATCAGGAACCTTACGTGAACACGGGTGTTTTACAGCGTCCTAAGCGCCCGGCGCCGGGAGCGGAGCAAGATATGCAAGCACCGTTGCAGGTCGACGATGCGCACATTGACGAAGAAGAGGACCCGTTGTCAACTACGGACCAGCTCGACCTCGCTCCTCGCATGATGATGAGGGGCCGTGAAACTAAAACGCGGTTTAGCGGATCGGGCATCTTTGCCAGTCTAGTAGCACAGGTCTGCCCCCGCTCTTTAGATACCGGTTGCCAACAATCGCAACCACAATACGCAGGCTGACATATTCGTAGTTTCCGGACATAAGATCATTTGCAGAGGAGATCAGGCTATCTACCCCAATTTTCGCGCAACTTCAGCCGGACCTGAGGAGGGTGAAGCGCGGGCTATTCAAGGTCATGGTGCTCAATCGGCCCTTCCCCGACCCTACTACGGCTTCGCTAATTAACATGCTGCCCTCGCGCGGTGTGGTTGATGAGCTCGTTGGGTTATATATCACTTATATTGAGTCCACTCACCGCATTCTTCATGTTCCATCATTCTTACGTGAGCTTGACCAATTCTGGGCCATGTTAGACAGCCCAGCCTCAATATCTGCTGCCTTTACAGTTCAGGTACTGTTGGTCCTTGCCTGCGCATGGAACCTTGCGGATTTTGCTAGTCTGCAGTCAAAAAGTGTGGGCGAACTCAAGTGCCAGTCTGCAGTGGAGTGGACGCTGCACGCCGGAAAATGGATTGAGAATCTCCACACCAAGCGCCCGGAGATCACATCAATGCGACTCTCTATTCTGTTGATTTTGGCGCACAACTCTCACGGAATGAAACGCAGCCAGGCTTGGCTCACAACAAGTACATTGGTCAAGCAAGCAATGATGGCAGGATACCATCGTGACCCAAGCCGGTACACACGAATATCTGTATTCAACAAAGAGATGCGACGGCGATTATGGACAACCATTATGGAACTGGACCTGCAAATTGCTCTTGACCGGGGAATGCCACCGTCAGTACAAAGTTTCGACTATGACGCGGCTCCAGGGCTGAACATTTACGACGACGAGATCCACGAGAACAGCACTGAAGTTCCCGAAAGCCGGCCACTCAGTGAAGTTACGGACTCATCGTTCCAGTCTATCCTAAGTCGCTCGCTACCTCTCCGTCTTCAGGCATGTTCTCTCATGCACTCCCCACGGATCAGCTGCCGATATGAGGATATTCAGCGCCTGGACGGTGAGCTCAACCGACATCTTTCTCGGATTCCTGCATGGGTGACAGCAGACGCCAACGACATCGTCACACAACACAAGGTAATACTGTGGAAAGGGTTGATTGAGACCAAACTTTGCCAGTCTCTACTGTCTGTCCACACCCCTTTCGCTATTGAAGCACGACGGGAATCACTATTTGCTCCCTCCGCCCGTTCTCGCATAGATGCCGCAACTAGAATACTGTCAACCCAGCGCCGGTTACACGACATCTCGCGAACGCTATCGCTATGTATGCTTGGTGAATGGACTATCCAAGCCTACATTTCCATCTGTCAATTGCTACACACCACCGAATTTGACACCTGTAAGTTTTTCCTACGATTCAGTACTTGACCATGAAAACCCAAACTGATACTTCGCAGCTGCCCCCTCCTATCCCATCTCATCGACCTTCATTCTCCACAATATACCCGGTATCCCCGAATCGCTCCTATCACTCGTAGAAACAGCCCTTATTGCCTTGGAAGAGCGCTCCCTTTTGATGACCAAGGGAGCAAAAGACTATTATTTCCTCTCGACGATCGTCGCACTAGTCAAATCCCGACTCTGGCCCACACAGGCAACTATGTACAAGCAGCAGGTTGTTGAGCGGGTCCTGTCATTTGCACAGATTCTCTTCTCTCGGCACATGAACTGCGACCACCTCGGCGACAAAGGGTTGGGCAATTTTAAGAATAACCAGCTGGCTGCATTTATGGCGGCTCCAACAATGGTGCCCGTGATGCAGCCCGAATTTGATCCTAACGGGATGCACCCGCCGCCTCAACCTGGCGCGATAGTGAGTTGCATGTTCCTTGGTTTTCATCTTCTTTCGTGCTAACCATGAGTTCCTAGCCGACTGGCGAGTTCGATCCTTTCTTGGAGATTTTCGATTGGGAGGATCTGACAAGTATGACGTTTCCCTGTTGAGCAGAGCGGTTGGAGCAGGTTTTGAGTTTATATACGGACATTGTACGATATACGCCTCATCTTTCTGCATTTTCTACGCTCCTACCGTTGTACATAGTTGAACTTGCTCACTTAATACCCATAGTAAATAATCTAGTTATCGCAATGCGGTCATTCACATGTCGTTGCGTAATCAGGAATGTTGTGACTCGGTCGGGTCCACCATGAGATCATGATCGGAGATGTCAGGATTGACGGGATGCAAGGGGGCGCGGGTCGGACAAAAGAAAAAGAACAATGTCACGCTTAGCCTCGCAAGTGCCGAGCCTGATATAAAACTATTTTTCTCTAGCTTTGACAGTTGTGCATTGCTTTTTCAAAGAGCCTTTCTTTATAGGCACAGAGCCTTATTGGTTATTGATCGTCATGCTAGTCCTGGAGCTATTGTGGGGACGATATTCAGTAATCAAGTGGCTTTGCAGATCAAGGTCCAAGGCCTACAACATAGTTAGTTATGCTGTACGAAGTATATGTACAATATTTGTAGCTCATATCGCAGTGCCTTTAGAAGAGCAATTAGAAACACGGGATATATAAGTAATAAAAGTAACCATGGAACCTTCCAAGGTTGGATTAAAATAAACATGCGGCCAGGCAACAACTTACTTTAACAAAAGCCAATCAGAGTTGACTCTGTGAAGTAAGAATTGTGGGTCTGGTACCTGACGGTACCTTAGTACAAAGCAAAAAATAGCCATGGAGACAGGTACCCTCAGGTACCATTCGAAATATAGCCGCCTAAAATCCCCCTAAAACACTTGGCTTTGGAACTAACATCGATAAGCCTCGAAGGCTGTGCTTCTTTTCTTTTCTTTTTTTTCTCCTTGCTACTTGCATATTTATACCAGGTGTTTCTCTCTCGCTTACGTCAATTCTCCTCTATCTCCGCTTTCACTCCACCTACTCTCTTCCCCTATTCACAGCATTGACCACTCTAACATCCATCGATTAAAGAGAGGAGAAGAGCCATGTGTATCACGATCTGATAACATCCAACCCCCCGGCCAACCAAGCCGATCCCCTCATATAGTCCCTACATCCGCAACGCGGATATAATCTAATGTACATAACCACCGCGACGATGCATCACCTACCACTCCTCCTATCAACAATCATCGCGATCGCAGCCCCACTGGCGGGGGCCGTCCCCGCCCAAGCCGCGGGACACAACGCGAAACAAGTATACCAAACAACAGACAAGTTCCCACTCGCAAACTTGGGAAACATCGCAGCGCACGACCCAAATATCATCCTCCACGACGAGCACTACTACCTCTTCAAAGGCGGCATCAACATCCCAATCTTCAAATCAGCCAACATATCCGGGCCCTGGGAAAATCTGGGCACAGTTCTAGCCGGCGACAGCATAATCCAGAAAGGCAACCGGTCGCGGCCCTGGGCGCCAACAACAATCGAAAAAGACGGCACGTTCTACTGCTACTACACACTGAGCGCAAAAGGGTCCCGAAACAGCGCGATTGGCGTCGCGACGACAACATCCCTCGACCGCGGTCCCTGGACCGACCATGGTGTCGTCATTAACACGCACACGGGTGCTGGGTCCGAGGTGTGGCCGTACACGATCACGAATGCCATCGATGCATCTGTGATCGTCGACCAGAACTCCGGTCAGGCGTATCTCAATTACGGAAGCTACTGGCATGATATATGGCAGGTGCCGCTGGCGGATGATTTGCTTTCTGTTAAAAATGCCAACGGGCCGGATGCGGTGCAGTTGACGTTTATGCCGAGTGCGAAGTCTAAGCCTGAGGAGGGCTCGTGGATGAGTTTTAGGAAGGGGTTCTATTATGTTTGGTTTAGTCATGGGAACTGTTGTGACTTCCAGAGTGGATTCCCTGCGAGTGGGAAGGAGTATAGTATTCGTGTTGGGAGGTCGAAGAGTGTCCGTGGGCCTTTTGAGGACAAGAAGGGGACATCGTTGGTTGATGGTGGTGGTACGGTGGTTTATGGCTCTAATCATGGGGTTGTGTATGCACCTGGTGGCCTGGGTGTCTTGGCTGGGAATAATGATTCCGTGCCGGATATTCTTTACTATCATTACTTGAATACGTCAATTGGGTTTACACATGGGGTGAGTGTTTGCTTTTGTCTTTGTTTTGGGGTTGGGATTCGAACTGACTGTTCTTGCAGGAAGCCCAGCTCGGCTGGAACCATCTGGACTATGAGGACGGGTGGCCGGTGCCTGTTGGAGGCCAAAATAGCACAACCAATGCCGCCTTCGTTCATGGACCTCCTGGCTGGGGTTATCTAGGAATTGTTTTCGGTAAGAGGATAATTCCCATGTTTACATGTGCTATATGCTGATACCTGGCTTTAGTTTTACTGCTGTGCATATGGCTATAGCAGTGGCCCTACCCCGTTTCTCGCATCAATACCCCCATGTTCCTTTATTCGTGCTTTTCAGCGATTCTACCCATATACCATGGCGGTGGCGTTTGATTGGATTCCCAGCATTACATCTATCATCTAGCGAGCATTTCATTCTGTTCATCATCATCAAGTCATTTGCATATCAATCCATGGCGCTAAACCGAACAATTTATGCACTCCCCCGCGCTACATGTCCTTGAAACCACAAATTTATTCCCATCCACCATCCACACTTAGAATCTGTCCAGTCGTATACGACGAAGCGTCACTGAGCAAGAAAACAACCGTCTGAGCAACCTCCTCGCTCGTCCCGATGCGCGGGATACTAACCGGCGGAGTACTAATCCCGCCCTGGATTTCCTTCGCCATCTCAAGCAAAGGCGTCTGAATAGAACCACTAACACAACCAAATTAGTCAAATCACCAACAAAAAACAACCTAACACAAATACCCACGGCGCAACAGCATTAACCCTAATCTCGGGTCCAACCTCCTTCGAAACCGACTTCGTCAACCCGGAAACAGCATGCTTCGTAGTCGAATAAGCAGCATGCAACGCAAACCCCTTAATCCCCTGAATACTCGACGCATTAACAATACTGCCCTTTCCCCCGGGTGCAGTCGCAGTAATCGCCCTCAGCTGCGCGCGCAGACAGTACATCAACCCGGTGACATTGACGCGCATCAACATATCCCACTCTGCATCGTCCTGGTCAACGAATTTGCCAGTGCCATGTTGCTTGCCGATCGTGCCGGCCATGTTGGCCGCGCCGTCCAGTCGGCCGAAGTGCGAGACCGTGCTGGCGATCCAGTCTTGAACCGCGCTCACGTTGCTGATGTCCAATGCGGTTGTTGTGATTGTCGAGGCTGTTGAGGAACCGAATTCGGTTTCGATTGTCTGTCGCGCTGTGGAGAGGACTTTTTCGCTTAGGTCTGCGAGGGAGAGGAGAGCTCCTTGGGAGTGTAGTTGGCGTGCAACGGCTAGGCCGATTCCGCCCAGGCCGGTTACGGCGTATACTTTGCCTTTGACGGAGTCCATTTTTGGTATGGGTTTGTTGGTTAGCTGTTCGGTCTGTTGGATAGTGAGGGTTTTATGAATTGGGAGAGTATTTATTGTTTGTAGGACACGTGGGATGCGACGGTTACCTTGAACAATGGCGGGGATATAACGTGGGGTCGGAGATGCTCCGTGGCCAATCTGTAAACATGGTCGGGTATATTCGAGTTGTATTTTTTAGATAATAGGCTAAATGGTGTGTTTGAAGGCATTGTTGAATACCCATCTACCCCCCGGGCCCCATTTGCGCATAATTGACATGACATACTTCTCCACGCTCCGTTGGTATATTGCGAATTATCTGCCGAAACGCCTCTGGGCCGACATACCGAGGTGGAAGACTCATATCTTATAAACGCGAACGAGTTTGGCCAGAGTATGGATAAAGCATGTTAGAAGCAATCCAAAGCTCGCTTGCCAGATCGATTTGCAATTTAATGAATGATTGTATCATGGTATGCTCCTTTTCTCTGTATGGAATACTATTATTTCTCACTCACCACTTGTGGAACATTCAAAATTTAATCAGGTCGAATCAAATTCCCCCGCTTCATGTAGGCTCGCTGCTATATGCAGGTCGGCTCACCGCATACTGTGTGGCGGATGATTCTGTGAAGTGCCTTGCATTATGACCTCGGGAGGATGAAAGCGCTTATTAATTTGACACGCCAACCTTGGAATGCGGCAGTTGCTTATAATTGCCAAGTCATTTGGGGGCGTGCTTGGCAAGAAATCCATATCTCCAAGGGAACATCCTAAAGTAGTAATTGGTACAGAGAAATATGCCACGGGTCCGGGTAGTTCATATAAACTACATCTGGCGACAAGCGTGCATCAAACGAAGCTCTCGGATCCGGGCAAGGCCGATGGATTGAATTATGACTTCGCCTAAGCCATTAAATGAATATTGAATATATTTCCGATAGTTTTCTTCCGTATAGTATCAGCTTTCCAGCAATATGTATAGCAATTATATTCACATATTATCAAACCAACTCCATAAATCACAAATGGGTATCTCAAAATGCAACAAAATCAACATCCCTCCAAATCCCATCAAATAAACATCCCCGACAAAAGCAATCCCCCAACCATCAAAGACACCCAGCCCATCGCCGGACGCCTCACTGCCCCAGAATTCTTCTCCGTTTTTGTTCCGTGTACAACCATCTGAGCATTCAAGCAGTACATGACTTTCTTCGTCTCAGCAGAAGAAGTCGAATCACAGATAGCCGTACAAGGATCCGGATCCTCATAAATCCACACCCCATTCGAACAGCAAGACTGCAAAACAGCCTTCATATCTCTGTGTGGGCTTTTTGTCTGGTACAGCGGGACCTGATTATAATATTCGATATTGGAGGGCATGGTGGCGGGCACGGCATCGCGCGAGTTGTAGCACTCGGCTGGTTGTGTGAATTGTGTGCCGTTGGCATTGCTCGGAATGGGAGGTGTCATGGTGATTTTGTGTTTTCCGGGTGGTCCGGTCCGGGTTATTTCGCGACGCGACGCGGAACAGGATTTTAGCTGTTATTTAGGGCGGAGATGTGCAGTCGATCGTGGTTCGTGGAGAGAGAGAAATGTGGTTCGACAACGGAGAGGGTAGGGATAGTCGGGATTTTAGAGGGAAAGGACAGTCAGGGATTTAAGGACATATGAAAATCGCAATGTCCCCCCCTAAGCCTTCTTTTTAACTCCTGAACACGGGGGAAAAAAGTGCCAAGCCCGTACATTGGGGATATTGGCCTGAGAAGTGGAGTCGCGGCCTGAGTCTTTAGCTACAGCGATGGACTCATTCGTTCGTTGATCCTTTTTAGCCCCCCCCCATTAACTACCTAGCGCATTTAATCTAGGTAAATGCTAACGTGAGATAAAAAAGGGAAAGTGGGGACTGATATTTCGGGTTCTCCTTGCTTGACTATTTATTTTGTGATCTATGCATGTCTTTCTATCTACGGACTAGTACTCTGAACTCCTTAACTCCCTCGAGAGCAATAACCCTTACGGTCAGATTTACAACCGAGCGGTTTGATTGGCTCGCCGCCACATTTTCTTTCTACGCTCATGCCCTTCGTCGAAATCAGACAGCCATTTCTGCTCGAACCGAGGTAGGCGCCGTCCCGTGCCACGAGGTTCCCCCGCAAGTTGGCGGAGGCTCTCGAAGTAGGGCTCGAATTCGGGGTTGAGGACTGTGAACCCGGGGCCATCGCTTTTCTGGGCAATACGGTCGGTTTCCCACTTTTCCTGCTCGGCGATGGAGGGCAGGTTTACTTTGCCGGCTAGAACGCGTGCGGCAGCGACGGCCTGCCATTCGAACACTTTGAAGGTCAACCCAGCACCAACCTGAGCGTATTTTGTTAGCTTTCGATCGAGAAAAGAAAATTCGGCTTGATAGACTTACAGCGCCTACAAAAACCAGGGATGGATCATGTCTATAAAAGACATGTTGGTAGAGATCCGGCACACGATTGTTTCGTGTGGCAACCTGAGGCAAGAAAGGCAAAGTCCAGCTGAAGCCAGTTCCAAAAATCAGATGGTCGACACCGGTTTCAGAGGTACCGTCTTCGAAATGCACGGTCCGTTCGCCTTGATCACTACTCGTAATGTGTGAGATGGGCGGGCGCCGCTGGATCTTAGGATGCTGGAAAGCGAGATCTCCGAAATAGGCGTTGTAACGACCACGGACGACAGCAATGACTGGTGTCTGGGCACTATCAACCAGGCTCACTGCCGTATCAGCGGCAGAAACAGACGCTCCGACGGTGATGACTTTCTGCGATGTGTAAGCGGGTGGTGGAATGACACAGTGGAAACTTCATTTACCTTTCCCTGATATTTCTCAGGCCCCCGGTAATGCTTTGTATGTTGAACACTACCGGGACACCTCGCAGCAAATTCCTTCAAACCGGGAATTGCAGGAATAAAAGGCACTGCGTAATGGCCCGAAGCGACCACAACTGCATCATACTCCTCAGACCACCAGTAATCCGACTTGGCACCATTCAGAACTTCCGTCCTGCGGAATGTAAGCACCCATTTCTGGCTGCTGGGATCTTTGATCGCGCGTTCAACAGTAGTGTTGTACTGAACAAGATCCTGATACCCGTTCCGGTTAAACAGGTCCTCGATATACTTCCGGATGACTGAATGGTGCCTGAAAGGCGTGTCTGCGCCATGACGCTCGATCGACCATTGGGATCGAACTGTAGGAATCTCCTCTTGGGAGAACGACATGGCTCCCGCGTTTACATTAGTTTCCAGCGTCGGGTACACGGGCGAGTCCATGAACCGGTCCTGGGAGACTACAGGTGTCCGGCACGGGAGGTGCTCAGGGATTTTGAGAGGCGCATCTGCTGTTCGCGCAGAGAGACCGTCAAAGTCGAACTGCTGTGGCGGCTCGTCGTCTCTTGATACCCTGTTGTTTGTTAGAGTTAGAAATTGAAGATATTAGAGTAACATACCAGCATCCGCCGGCTTTCTCTTGTCTCTCAAATACGCGGATGACATCGAATGCTTTCTCTTGTGCTAGTGCATCGACTGCAATGGCGCCAGCTGGGCCGGCCCCGATAATGGCTATACTCTTGATCGGCGGCATGTTTGATAATATGATGTTTGGTGAGAGTTTGGGTATATAGCCGCTCTTTAACGTCCAAAGATGTATCGGCCGAGCACTCAAAATTGGGAATATCTGGGGTGCAAAACGTTTGACTCTATCACGCCATCCGACTCTGTTTTAGCGCAAATTTGGCATTGGCGTCCAATGAGGGCTCCAGATATAATATATGAGATAGCCAAGGGCGGACTCACGGTATGTAAATAAGAACAGCTTTCCTTTCAATACCCTAATGCCGAATTGAACGTGCCGAAACCCTCAACACTGAAAGTTTCTATCTTCCTCCCATCGGCCAGGCATCTCGTCCGTTGATCTGATTGGCTGTCGGCATTGAAGTTTTACGGTCACGTGCGTAGAATCAGGGGAGTTTTTCAGGAACTGCATTTTGATTGGTTGAAAGTGTATGCCTTGGTATTCGGGCCATCAACTGGCTCAACCAGGTGTTTTTCTATAGTTGGACACTTGAACCAGTGATAATTCGCACACCTTCGAAGGAATTGGTAAAAATATATATTGTCGATCATAGGCCGAGGAAGGTGAACGCTGCCACTACGTATTTATCAACAGCAGTTCTCCATCGTAGGATGGAGGACAGGGAAAACGACTAGATGTCTGTCGGATCAGTGTGCAGACCGAAAGTAACCGAGTTCAGAGCCTAAAGGTGGCCGTTTCTATCCTCGAAAGCGGTCATTTTCGGCGTCAATTTCACGAGTCCTCACATTCTGTGTAAATAGAGAATGATGATAATACAAGCGAAACCAAATTCAAGAGGCAAAAAGCCGCTAAACTAGGTAAACACATCGGTAGCAAACCGCTCCTTCGTCCGCAATTTATCAAAGAACTGCTCAGCAGCCTGATCCTCCTCAAGCTCAGCACCAGGCGGAGTCTGCCCCTTCTCCTTAAGCTCGGCGTGGATCGCACGACGCTTCTCGAGATACATCTCTTTGCAAGCCTCGCGAATACCAGCACCGACACCAGTACTACCGCAAACATATATATTCGCACCTTCATCAAACAGATTCACCAGCTCTTCACGGTCCTCAAGCATGAGGTTCTGAACATGCTGTCCCTTGCTTCCATCAGCGGGCCGACTGTACGCCCAACGGACATCGACAGCGCCCAGCTTAGCCCACTCTGCAAGCTCAGCAGCGTGGATATCATCCTGGCCCTGCGTGCGGCAGCCAATGTACAGCACCGCCTTGGCAGGCTTGACAGCTTCGTTGTTATGCAGCTCATCTGAGTCGGGCGAGCTGCGGCGGCCGCGGATCTTCTCCGCACGGTCCATGACGAATCCGCGGAATGGTGCGAGGCCGCTACCCGCGCAGGCCATGATCATGGGTGTTTCGAGATCCATTGGTGGCCTGAAGCCTGAGTGTGAGGGGCGGACGGTGATGTGTGCGCGTTCGCCGGCTTGGAGCTCGGAGAGGTAGTTTGATGCGACGCCCAGGTATTGCTCGATGCTTTCGTTGCTTTCTGCGGTATTGTTGGCGAGTGCAGGAGCGCTGAGGACGCTGAAGGTTATCGAGCATTCGGATGAGTCGAGTAGCGGTGACGAGGAGATGGAGTATTGTCTCACGCGCATTGGGGGGAGCATTGCGAGGAAATCGCCGATGGGAAGCTTGATTGATGGGTAGCGTGTTAGGAGATCTAGTGGGCTGACGCGCTTCTTGACGATTTCTTCGGTGAAGCGGCTGGGGCTGGAGGCGAGGTAGCGTAGCTCTGCTTGGAGTTCCGCGTCTGCGATGGCGGCGTCGGCTAGGACGTTGAGATCGCGCTTCGATGCGGGCTGGGATAGCTCGATGTAGGTGGATAGGAGCTCGAAGGCTGAGATGGGCGTGTCGATTGGGATCGAGGGGGAAGCTGTTGAGCCTGATGGCTTCTGGATTTTGATTACGGCGTCCCAGGGGAGGTCGAAGCGGCGAATTGCGCGACGGACGACTGAGGTTGGGTTCACTGGTAGCACTGCGAGGTAGTCACCGCACTCGTAGGTCATGTCCGACGGCAGCTTGAACTTGACCACTCGTTTGGCTGGGGCTCCGGGTGGCGTGAGAAGCTGGTTCTCAATTACGAAGCCCTCTTCGAGCTGGAGGCCGAGAGTGGATGCACGCATACCCGAGCTCACTTCGACCTGCAATGAAGACTTCGACTTGGCAGCATTTTCAGGGCTAGCTCCACCGAATTTAGCCATCACGGCCGGCCAGAATGAGGTCTCACCCCAGCCATCGAAATCGGTGAACATGTCTGAGTTTGCTGCGTCAGCAAGACCAATATCGCAGAGCTTGTTGGCCCCATTGTCCTTGGCTAGCTGGTTGATGGCCTTGGGGACACGGTGGAAGGTGGACGACCAATCACGATGACCACAGCCGAACACTGCGTAGTTGACACCTTCCAACTGGCTGTCCTTCAGGCCACTAAGCCACTGGAAGAAGTGAGCCGCATTATCCGGAGGCTGTCCTTCGTAAGAAGCTGAGATAAAGACCACGGGGTCATTCTTGGGGATATTCTGCATGGCTGAATCCAAAGAACTTGTCTGTGCAGCGTAGCCGTACGCAGTGGCATCATCAGCCAGCCTGCGTGCAAACGCCTCGCAAGTTCCCGTATTGCTGCCGTAGAAAATGTGCATTGGCTTCATCTTGCCATCCACGGGTGCGACCTTGGGCTTGCGATCCCGGCTACCGGCGCCAGTCTCTGTGGGCGCAACAGCAGATCCACTGAGTGTAGTGCTGAGCTGCGTAGGGTCGAGCCCATCTCTCAGGGTAGCCTTCATGTGGAAGTCCTTGGGCTTGATGGTAAGTGTCTGCTTAATGCGGAGATCGTAGCTGGGGTTGTCCATCTGCAAGTTGAAGTTCTGCAGCAAAATCGCAACAACAAGGAGAGCCTCCTGCCATGCGAACGGCCGCCCAATACATCCTCGCATGCCATTTCCAAATGGCTTCCATGCGTTCCTGGGCAGCTTCTCGAAGTTTTCATCGAGCATCCGCTCTGGCTTGAACTCATCGGCGTCGGGGCCGTAGACCTTGGGGTCGCGCTGCATTTTGCTAAGCATGAGTGCAATTGTCTCGTCCTTATGAAGCACATATTTTCCACCTCCAAGTGTGACAGGATCCTCCTGGTTCTTGGTAGGGTGGGGGTGCAGGGCAATCATCGGGGCTGTTGGCTTCAGACGCAGCGTCTCGCGCATCACAGCGGTGATGTATGGCAACTTGGACATGTCATCGACGGTGATCTTGCGTTTACCAATCACACGGTCGACTTCCTCTTGAGCCTTGCTGTATGCGCTCGGGCTTTTCAGAAGATAGTAGAATAGGAACGACAACATGCCGGAGGTAGTCTCGTGGCCTATCAAGTTCCAAGTTAGATCCGGAATAATATGCCCGTTACAGGACTTGTCCACTTACCAGCGATGAGGAATGTGATCATGTTGTCTACAATCGAGTCATCTGTCATACCACGGCCAGTCTGCGGGTCCCGACCCAGGATAAGCGCATTGAGGAGATCCTTCTTCTCAACGGGGTTCTCTTTTCGCGAATCGACTAATTCCCGGGCTAGGTTACGCAGATACTCGATATCACTCCAGTACTTGTTGTTTTCCGAAGTGGGCAGGCTGTTGAACAAAGCAGGCCGAAGAGCCCTATGTCCAGACCCAGCTAGCAAACCAACCATTGCCTCGACGAATGGGTGCATCTCATCATGATAGAACGAGTTGAAGCGAGTGCCCATGGCACAAAGAGCAATGGTATCCAGGGTCAATCGGGTGAAGTCATCCGTAACCTGGATAGGAACTGCAGGGCCAATGCGAGCCCATTTCATAACCAGTTGAGTGGCAATATCATACATTTCTGAATGCGAAGATTAGCCAAATTCGTTCCTTTCCTTGTCTAGGGTACAGGGTCTCAACCCCGACAGAGAAGAGACACTAACCATCAAACATCCCGCGAATCATCAGCGGACCGAACGCAGGAACAAGAACACGATGCGCAATAGCCCAGTTCTCTTCACCGGGATAGTTCGCGGTGAAGAGACCGTCGTGAACGCCGTTGCGGATCTCAGCCAGACCAGCGGAGACCATTTTGGTGAAGCGTTCCTCATCGCAGACTTCGTCTACTAGCTCATGGGAGCTGATGAATACTCGTGGTTTGCCGAAAGTGGTCAAGCGAAAGATTGGGCCTGAAAGGTGATGAACACAGCAATAAATTAGTCCATAAATTCGCAATATACATTCCCGGTCGTGCAGGTCTAGGTCCATACCATAGTTATCGGCCATCCGCTCGAAGCTGTTCACGGGCACCTCGGGCTCGACGTCGTAGATGTTCCCCAAGAATGGGACGCCCCTGGGGCCCGGAATTGGGACCTCTTTGGTCGAGGCCATGGCGTATGATGTCCGCCTTTCACTTGAGGACTTGGATCAGTTTCAATAATTGAGATGCGTTTAATTTGTGTGGTCGATCACAAATTGTTGGGATGCGCAAGAATGTAAGATAGCAATTGCGGGGTTGGAAGAATTTGTACTAGGTGCTACCTCGTTGACAGCGTATCCAGGTCAGCAACTGTACAATATATCAAAATGTACGTTGGAGCTGCCGGTAGAATGATATGATTAAATGGACCAAGTTTGGAAGATTAAAGATGAAGTCAGGAGGCTTCCAGAGGTTTATAAAAGAAAGTGGTGACCTCACCGAGTGACAAGCCTCGGTCCCATTTTTTTATGAGTGTATTCATAACAGCTTCCATATATGTAGACTGCACAAATTACATAACTTCATTTTGTTTCATTTGTTTCATTCGTTTCATCGGTGTTGCAATGCCCCCGGGGCCGGTTCCACGATGGGGCATTGAAGTCCAATCACGATCGCCATGTATCAATCGGCCATGCCGAGAACTCGTCAGCCACAATTTTTAATTCTACCGCCTGTCGGATTTGACGCGAATCCCGTATGGAATTCTATAAGGGGACTTCGGTATAGCCTTCACTATATCCACCTTGGAGATCCGCCTCGCAGAAATATCCCTGTTCGGGAATACTCTAACTGGGACCGGACCATAATCGCCCCGAATCCCGACCCCGATTGCTGTCCACGTCTTAACTAGTTATAAGATAAAGACGTGTTAATACGTGCAGGGACTTGCATCGCTCGAGGCTGTGCAGGTTTGTGGAATCATCCTGCATGAGAATCCCCCGAGGCGCATAAGACCAGTCTAATACACTAGTTGTAATACGGCCTGCAATTGTAAGGTGAGCTGTCATCGAGTGGCTTCACCAAAGTCGCAAATATTCCGAGTTCTAAATCCCCTGGTAACGCCAAATATTCAAGGGCGGATCGCGTTCTCGACAGGTAAGATGCACCGCAGATGGACTGGTCGGACAATTTCACACTCATTAAGATCAAGGGGTTGAAAAGGATTGAAAGAAACCCCGGTTTATATGGCAATATATTTACATGGATGTATGGAGAGGCAAATTGCAAACGAAGCAAAAGGCGACCTGAACAACGCCAACGAAGGGAATTGTGATCCGAGGATCAAAAAAGGGATATCAACAGAACGGGGGAGCAGAGCTGGTGGCTCTGCGTATACACGAGACAGAGGCAAGAGACAGTAGGAAAAATGACGGTAAGCAGGAAAGCCGGGACGAAAGGAAAGGGGACATTATTCCGACTCCGTCGGCCATCACAGATGCCCAAAATTGATGTGGTCATGGCGGCCAATCTGTGAAGAGGCACGGCGCGAAACGAAAGGGAAAAGAATCACAGAACTATTCATTATAGAGGTCCAAAAGCAAGTTCGTGGGGTTGCTAGTGTCTGTACTTAGACAAGCCGGCTAGTTGTTAACCTGCTGGTAGCCACCGTTCTGCTTCCACTCACTCTGCCTCCAGTCTTTCTGGAAGTTCTGCATCTCATCACGGTTAAGAGGAACCGGGTTGTTGCCCAACGCGTTCTCGAGACGGCCCTGGCGGCGCTGGCGCAGGCAGAAGAACAGGAAGGCTGCGATACAAATCGCACCGGCGACGGCGGCGCCAATGTAGACTCCAATGTGGGCTCCCTGGCCCAGATCGTCCCACTTCTCTGACAGAGACTTATCCGCTGGTTTGTTCAGTTCTTCCAGTACGGTCGAGTTTCCGCTGTTACGCCTCATTAGTGATATCCTGGGTGATTTTAGTCTGGGCACACTTACTCCGCCACTTTGATGCTTTGCCAGGAACCTGAACGGTCCCCGTAGCTGTACTCCTTGCCAGAGTGGAAGTCTTTAACACGCAGCTTTCCAAGGGTCATAGAAAAAGGGGCGGCATTCCAGTCGACAAGGCCACCGGCCCATACGATAGTACCCTCTTTTGCATTTTTCGAACCAGCGGGCCAGAGACTGAATTGGACACGACAGGGGGTCTGTGGGTAGTTTTCGCCAAACAACGTGCCCTTGTCGTCGTATTTGAGTTCGCGAACCATTTCGCCGTCAATCCACCATTGAAGTTTATCCTGGTCCCAGTATGTGGTGTAATTGTGGAACTCGGTGTCTGCGTTCGCGACGTAGTGCTTTCCGCCGCGATCGAAGGTGGTATCGTTACCCTTGCCAAAGAAGTTGGACTGCACTTCAGTAGTGTTGTATCCTATCCACTCCCAATCGATCTCATCCAGATCGTCAGACTCCAAGACCACACTGCTGACCAAGCCTCCGCCCTTGGCCATCTTGACGTGAGCTTCGACGACACCGAAGAAGATATAGAAGTTGGACTGTAGGAGGGTGGACTCTCCCTCCTTGGAGAGGGTGAACTTGGCTCCATCATCATCGTGCTCGTAGGTTCCGGTGGCCATATTCCAGATCTTCTCGTCCAAGGTCGTGTTGAAGTTCCATGTGTGTTCGGTGCCCAAGGCGGGATCCGCAGGACATGACTTCTTTGTTGGGTCACATTCAGTCGATGTTTGAGCGGTGGCGTAGCTAGCCAAAGCTGCCAGAACGGCAATCCGGGAGAAAAACATGGCGGGTTGAAATATATAAACAATTGCTCAGGGTGCTGCTGCTGGACTGTCCAAAAAAGGAATGGACTCGAGACTACTCGAGATTCGATAAAGAGTGGATGTGCGAGTGCACGGTAATGAGTGGAAGGCAGTCTGCCAGCAAGATCCTAAGAGTGTGTTGAGAAAGGGAACATCAAGAAAACGGGGGGGAATCAGCCACGACAGTCCAATTTAGGCGCATAGTGGACTCAGGACATTATAGGCTAGTGGTGTTTTGGGCCTGGTTATTTTTGTGTGCACCTTTGTACTCCGTCGAGCGTAAGGGGAAAGCTGCAGAAATTATGGTCGAGTTGCTAACTAGCCAGTCTAGGTTAGGGGGTTCCGTTTTGGCGCATGCCACTAACCTCATTAGGTCATCCCCAAGGGGTCCTGTGCGTGATGCTAAACCTTTTTGGGTTCGCCCAGTGTTTTCTGGTAAAACTACTTTTAGGCAGGCGAACCTGATTGGCTGCCGATTGCCCACCGATTGGCTGATCGCAAATAACCTCGATAAGTACCCTTGGATCGAACAGGCCCTGACATGAATTGCCAGGTACAATAAAATACACACTGCGGACTCTATAACTGGTTTATATGGCATTCAACACGTGTTCTTCGTCATTTTATCTGTAGAAATCTCTTGGCTCAAATTCAGGATAAGACTAGTTGTTTAGCTCAGCTGGGCACGCCTCCAGGGCTAGGCCATTCGAGGGAAAATCATCTCTGCAATGAAGATCAAAATCCCAACTGATAAGAATCGCCACGGGGTGGTAACTCCAAGATTGGACTCCATACAGATCATCATGCATGTGCCCCTTGAACACAACATTTTGAAAATCATAACAACTGGGAAAGAAATAACCTATTTTCAGAGTTTCTCCAGTTCCTCAGACCCTGTCAAGCTAAATTTCAGGAAAGCTCCGCTCAGGGGGTCCAATAACAAAGCCACCAAGATGCCAAATCCACCGCCCAGTCAATGAGTGGAGATGTCTAACCCAAGTTTTTCTTTTTTCTTCTTTTCCCCTGTGGACCCTTTCCCCTGTCTTACCTGCCTGCACACCCGCTCATTAATGCACTTTCCCATCGAGCGAACGATGTTAGCTTAATGAACTATAAGCCTACGCCCTCTTATTCGTGGAAACAGCGAAATGACGGTTGCGGCGTTTTTCGTTCGATGACTGTTGGATGGACTTGACTTTGGCGGCTTTTTGCCGGTTCGGAGTGTTCTTTTATCAGAGACTTCGGGAATTCTGATCGATCGAACGCCACTGCTCGGCGGTGACACACAGCCAAATCCTGCTGGACCAGGCCAAGGCATGCAGTCCCTCACCACTCAGGTACTACCCGTCAGCAAGTTGTCCAACTGGATTATGTAGACATCCAGCCACATGTGCATTGTGCATTACAAAGGCTAAAACAAATGGTTCTTGACCATGCACATGCACTGGGGTCCAAACTCAGGGGGTTGGCGTCCAGATCGAATTTCCAATTCAAACACAAAGGAAGCACACGCACAGACCAGGTAATCTATTCCAAGAATTATTTCTCATCAAGTCGTAAATTCGCGCAGTCATATGTATGTCATGTCTCATAATTAACATTGGCTCCGTCAAAACATGTCCATGCGTGGCCCACCCATTCCTTTCGAGAAACATCAAAACAATAATAGCGAACGCCAGTCCCAATTGATATGTATAGGGCCAACGGCCAAATACCAATCCACCCACTCCAGCCATTCCACATATCTTAGGTATAATCCCCACCGACCGTGATTCACGTCTCCGTCATATAAACCTTAGCCGGCCGTCGCAAATCATCGCGATTACTATACCGGCGTGCACTGCGTACACTAGTCGGCTTTTCGACATAGTCGACATACGTCGCGGACGGGCGACGGCGCTGTCGCCGTCCGCGGCTACTCGTGCTGCTGCGAGTAATTGGAGGCCGGTAGCCGACGTCAGGTGTATCGCCGCCGCTCCACGCACCGGGGAGTCGGAATATCCGCCACAGCCATAGGATGAGGAGGGTCCCTGCGATCGACCCGATAACGATACCCGCAATCCCACCGCCGGTGATTGTGCTTGGGCAATTGTCACCACTTGACTGCCGGGGCTCGAGCATGGAATTTATAGGAGCCTGGGGAAACGAAAGTATTAGCTCTTATGAGTTCCAAAGTATGCGATCCGTGGTACTTTGCTCGGCCCGCGCGGGCGTTTCTTGGGTGAGCCACGGAAGAGGGCTTCAGCAGTGTCCACCTGGGTATGGAGATGCACTTACCATAATCGCAGCGTGTGGAATAAGTATTTATCAATGCTTTTGATTTTATATCGGAGAATTGAAATTCGCAGTCCCTGGTGGCTGGCAATTGTATGCAGAACAGTGGGTCTCGATGCGATGTTGACTCCAGCACCCAAAAAAGCGTGCGTATAGAAGATTGAGACGAAATCGTCCACACAGCAGATGAAAAAGAGAAAAGGAAACCCAGAGCCAGAGCCTCACATCTTATTAAAACTGGAACCGTGTCTCACAATTCCCCTCTTGATTGCGCACCCCAACCTCCTCTCATCCCGCTTCTGACGTCAAGCGGACGTCGGTCTTGGCGGCTTGAAAGAGCAACGATCTTCCTTTTCGCACAGCATAAACTTGGAATTTAGTTCAAGTAATCCTTGTCTGGTGCCATTATTGGCTGCTTACTTTCATTGTCCTCGTAATTCCAGGTCAGATCCTGTCAATGGAAGATATTGTGCCGACCTGTGCGGAGGGGGTACCAAGCCTTGCAGCAAACCCACATGCATTTGCCTAGGTATGCATGTCACACCACGAAAAGTCTTGTCAATCTGACTTGTGGGGAAGAAATTCAACGGGCGATTCGGGCCATCTGGTGAATGAATTCCCAGGGCCAGCCCCAAAGCCTAAATGAGTTACCATTGTAGTATATTTGGATGCCGTGATCTGTCGCAGGTAATACATTTGCGGCTCAGCTCGAACAGGCTCAAGCGTGAAAACCCAAAGACCTAATCCTTGTCCAACCGCACGTGTCCGGGAGACGGCGGGATCTCCCCAGGCTCACATGCAATCGTGCCACCATTCGTCATAACATCATCGTGTTTGAACCGATTTTCCCCCACTGTTTACCATTTATCTTAACAATCTACACGTAGTACCCGCTCTCCAAACCGGTGGCGGGGATGCGCAGTGTCGTATTTCCATTGATCCTCGTGTTGAGATCCGGGGACCACGGCGATAAGAGAAAATAAGAAATTATACGGGCTGTGTGACGATCGGATAGATCCCGAGCATTTGCCATAAGAGCCAGGAGTTCATGGCACCCCCGTCTTTGTTTCCGAGGATTCCGTAGGCGGTATCCTTGAAGCTATTTATGCGAATGAGTTGTCAGCAAGGGTCTAGATAGTAAGAGAGACAAGTAGACTAAGTATTGAGTGGCCAGGCTGCGTAACTGGTGACCACTCTTGGATTGAAAGTTGATGTAGTTGTAAAGATAAGGTTGATCGGCAAGGGTCTGTGGAAGTATTACATTTGACGACATGTTGGGGGAGTTCAGAGCTAGTTCGGACATTAAAGTCCCGAAACTAGCAGCACTAAGCAAATAAGTGGAAGCTTGGATGACGACCTATGTGGATAAACAAAAAGAAGGCAAAAAGCCCGCCTCGTAGTTCGGCTTTCAGCTGTAAACTGAGCCTTGCATAGGCTCTTCCCCTTTCATGCATAGCTGAAACCTCGGTTCCAAACCCTGGCCCCTTGATCAGTATATCGTACTGGGAAAGATATATATATCATAGATCTTAGGTTGCTAGATTGTGTTATGGTGTGGCTTTAGGCCACTAGGTGGGTGTCTTCCGCATACAATAGTTGGGGAGCTTGTCTCCTTTCCAATACAACTCTCTCCCTCTTGCCCTTTGGTCCTATATACTATAGTCCCAAAAATTATTGAAGTCGAAGCACGCACTAGAAATTTTATATCGACATTGGATACGTGAAATAGTTTGGGCGTAGGGGCGGGGCTAACCATCGAAACAAGGCGTCTGAAATTACGGCTCGGAAGTGATTCGTGAATATCCAGATGAAAAGCTGATATTAACTGCTTCTCTGTTTATATCCTGTTACATCGTAATCCCCAATACAGTTGCATCAGTTCACTTCCAAGACGATTCCAAGAAATCCTTCACCTTCATCGGTTTGATTTCTGGAAAATCATTGTTCAACGCATGTGAGGGATTCAGATCGAGCTCTCTGTTCACGAACCACATTCCAGCAGTCGAGAGCAGAGCTCGAATATCAGCTTCGGGAAGCTGGAACATCTTCCCGTAACTGGGCAGTATGGAGACCCTTCCAGCCCTCAAGTCCGCTTCAGAGTCATGTATGACGTTGAACTTGGATCCTAATATGGAACCGTCAGCAAATATATTAGTGCCGAAAGAGAGCGTGTTATATACCTTTTGCATCTTCTGCCAGCCTGATGAACTCATGCCATGTCAGTTTCTCTCCCAGAATATAAGTCTCCTCTGGCCATTCTGGGAGATCTAAGCTCAAAACAACGAATTTAGCGATGTCAGTGCTGTGAGTGAAAACGACTAGATCATCCCCTGAGCCTGGAACTGCCGCTGATTCGTGGAGGATATCAACAAACAATGGCCAAGGTGGTATATTGGACTTCAAGTGAGGCGCGCCATAGTAATCAAGGAATATACCATTGTAGATCGCAGTATATTCCAATGATGTTTTTTTGACGGCCTTGATAGCTTCAGATTTGGCTTTCGCGACATGGGAACTGTCTGGGTATCTAATTAGGAATTAGCCTTTACTTTCCTTTGCCTATGCAGAAAGATACTTACCTGATGGGATAAGTAAAACCAGCAAAAATACTGGGTATAATCCTTCTGGTAATAGGCGATCTGCCCGCAGCAAGGATCAAATTTTGTTCCGGTTCAATATCGTCCTGAGAATTGATTGTGCATATGACAGTCTCGACGTTGTTGGCTTCCAGAGCTAATTCGATAGACTTGGCGTTCCTGTAGTCAACGGCGACAACAAGAGCTCCAAGCCTTTTTCCAAGTTCGGTGTTTTCCTGCTTATAGTGAGCCACTGAAATATTAGAGGCAAACTTTGAGTACCGTCTCACCTTTCGGCTCAAGATCAGAACTTCATGTTTGCCTTGAACTTTCAAGGCTTGAACAATAGTCAGACCAAGGCCACTGCTACCACCTGCAACAGCCACGACAACCATCTTCAACGCGTCTTGAAATATTTGTGAAGCAGGGTCAAGGAGTTCAAGTAAGACGCTAACGTAGACATTGAAACCTGGACGAAGAAGGGGTGTTCTAGGGTAAACTTGGCTTTAGAGGAAATGGAGAACGGACTCTAATGCGGGTTGTCTTTATTGTTAATAAGAGGATGACGTGAATTGGTAAGCTTGAACCCTAGTTGCCTATGTTGTAAGTCATAAAGTATCCGAGTCGGGATGTACATTCATCCGTTTGCGCCTAGTCGCCTATGTTGTAAAAGTTGTAAGTCATGAAGGATCCGGGTCGGGATCTATACAAAGCGGCTCTTTATCTAGTACATATGATTGGTTGTTGTGGTTCTATGACGGAGCTTCCGCCACCGGATGATAGATTGCCGGTTATCATTACTTGTATTTTAGATTTATCAATCTATCCGGTAAATCATTAATTAAGTCATGGGTAGCGGGTTTGTAAGCAGTAGTGAGGCTTTTCTAAGTGTTTGTGACCAGAGAAGTATACAATGGTTTGGTCGTTACGCGGACTACTTATAGATAACTTCAAGGTCTATACGGTCCGAGATGAATACTTCATTGTTTGAAGTGGCGAGCATTTTACCACAGACGCCATCAGGAATCTCAAACGCACGACTCGCTTATACAAACAAAGTATTTCCTCACCTTCAAAATGCCGCCTCTGACAAAATATATCTCCAAGCTTGCTGGAGCAAATATCTTCATCATTGGTGGGACTGCTGGTGTCGGTTACGCTGTCGCCGAAGTTGTTGTTGAACATGGCGCTGCTTCAGTCGTTCTTTCGAGTTCCCACCTTGATCGAGTTTCCGCCTCTACGAGTCATATCCATCGAGTGGTTGCCACATCGTCGGCTCTGTATGCGACTTGAAGCAAGAGAGCCTACTTGAATCCAACATCGAGGGTCTTTTCAATGCCGCCACATTAGAAGGGACGCGTCTGTTAAACCATGTCATCTTTACTGCTGGTGATAATCCAAACCCGAAACCTTTGTCAGAAATCGACTTCACTTTCATCAAAGAAACTGGCCTAGTGCGTTTTTTTGCCCCACTGTTGATAGCAAATCATGCGACGAAGCACATGGCACCAGGCCCGGCATCTAGCATTTCGTTCACGTCCGGAATTAGCGCCTATCGTCCATACCCCAATTGGAATGTGATGGGCGCCTATACCGGTTCATTGGAGGGCATGGTTCGAAGTTTAGCGGTTGAAATAGCCAGTGCATAAACCTGGTCTGCCTCGGTCCCGTTGACACAGATCTCATTGCTCGCTGGTTCTCTACTCCTGGGGAGCGCAAGAGAGGCATTGATGCTATCAGCAGTACTTCTGTGACAGGAGGTATTGGGGAAGCTGAAGATGTTGAAGAAGCTTATGTTTACTGCATCAAGTGAGCTAACCTTATTCATCGGTCCCTCTCCCTGCGATTTAAGCCGTCATTCACCTGGTACAAGGGCCACCACGGTTAGGCTCCGTTTATCATTTCTGGCCGCGTGCGCATAAACTCATCAAGAATTCGTCGCAAGAGTGTGTAGCAATTGGGGATGTTCGATACGATTACAGCCGTAGATGCCTCCCGAACATACCAGTAAATCCATTGGATGCTCACAATATTTGCGAAGGAGTATATCCGATTTGCTATTGCGCATGCCATCTACTGATGTTGAGGTTTAACAGTTAACCACGCCGGTAGAAGGGTAGGTCTCACTATGAAGATGCTGAGGCCGAAAGTACAGCTCAATAGAGATTTTCTAGAGATTGTTCAACTCGCGTCGGACGTATTGCCTCAACCCCATTGATTGGCCTTTTACTCAACTTTGTCAGTGTATCCATGATATTCTGCCTCCTAACAGTCTTCGTTGTCGCCATTGGTGTTCTCAACTATCTGCCATATATTTGGGCAGGCTATACCACCGTTGTTGTGTTTGTGATTTTTCGACCACTTTACTATTCATCTATTTCGTAAGTTCCATCATCTACAACCCAGCTTGGACTCTGACATGCTTCACAGTGATTACGCTACCAAAGTTTTTGGTTTCGCGGCCTTCGGGCGCATCTATGGAACAGTTGTATGTGTTTCGGAATTAATCAATCTTGCTCAGTCAAGGCTAGACGCCCTTACACGAACCGTCCTCGGTGGTAACCCGACTCCTATCAATATTTCACTTGCTACTTTAGGGGCAGTTGTCATTGCTACATTGTCAGTCTTTCTGACAGTCGAGGGCCGTAAGTTTGTCATTGGAGCTGGAATGAGACTCGGCGTTCATAACGAGCGGGAACGGCTTCTTCTGCTAACTGAGCGAGAGGAATATGGGCCCATCTGATTCATGTTCGTCGGAGTGTATTCAAGCAATTATTGCTGTAGGTTTTATATCACACCAAAAATTATTTTCTAAGATAGCAAGACAGTTGGGCGACTTTATGGAAGTGGTTGTAATGAACTATTATTTAAGTATCCGAGTCATCCTCCGTAAATTCATTTGCTTACTTGGGTCATTTAAGCTTAAAACATGCGTTTAGAAATCTAACTCGCCTTAAATACGCAGGGTATATTGAATAAGGATATATTCAACATGTGAGAAATATATGCGAAAATGCACACGTAAATCCTTCATCCATTTCACTTTCAAATGAACGTAGTTGAATATATGTGTGCGAAAAGAGGGGATTCAACCACATAGGGTTTCTTTTCCCACGCACGTTTATCATTCGCTTTACTGTCCTCTTGGCTTAGGGTTGTAGGGTTTCGTCTGCATGTTTATACACTGCTTCGGTATCTGCTTCTTGTTCCTCGACCTATTGCAATGTTGTGCCGTTTATGACCACTACCATGTCCTCTCAGTACGTTGTCTCTCATGTTTAGCTGCCGCCGTGTTTATCCCCCTTGACCCGAAATTTTATCTAATCGAACTTCCTATGGCTGTGGGCGCTAGTTATTTCTGCCTACGACTATCCAGCCCTCGAGATGTCCTGCTTATCGACTTTCTTGACTCCTATACCCAAAATACGCCCTTGCTTATAATGCTATGTACACTATTCTTGCGATCTCGCGAAATATCTGCTACGTGTGTTATAAGGCTATCCTCTTTTCGAAATATTCTTATTCTTATTCCCTATGCTATGACTGTCTAGTCCCCTTTCTCGCTCGAGCTGGCGTCAGGCGCTGTTTGGACTGCAGATCGAAGGGGTCAAATGTAGTGTAGCGTCCCATCAATGTTCACCACTCTTATGGCATTTCCTTTGATACTACGCTGAATCCATTTCAGGCCCCGAATACAATTCTTGGGGATGAGCACCAACACTTAAGCTCTGTAGAATGAGTTTCTACAAGAATCAGCTATCAATTTAAGTCCTCTCATTGGTAAAATAACATGCACCCTCTAATTCCGAACTATCATCTGGGCAGCAAGTTTCATCATGACTAGGTTATAAACAGATCTCCGTGTAAACCTAAGTTTAATACGCCTCACGAAGTGCTCGCTGGGATCTGTAGAGGTGACAAGGCCATATAATTTCAGCTGCATCAATATCACATATTTCGGTGGGCTAAGTAAGGTCTCTTCATTTTCTAAGCAGTAAGACCGTTGATACGATAACGACGGCAAGTAGAGCTCCAGTAGCTGTTACCACCTATGAACCAAAGATGTGCTTCCACGTACTTGTAGAAGTCATTTGATCGAGGGTGTGTTGACTCCAGTTCCAAGAATTCTGCACACAAGTCTGCAGCTTGGCGTTCGTGAACTAGAGCCAGCTCCTTAAGCATCCGAAGTGCCTCTTCTATGCCAACTCCTTTCTCCTTCCCGAGGACTGTGACACCATTCATGATCCTCATGCTATGCTGGTTATTATTGGCAACTTCCTTATTCCAACTCCAGTAATCGTTTGTAAGTGCCGCGCTGGCACATGTATGCCAGTTGATTGGCTCCACCAGCTTGACCTCATCAACGGTAATATCTAACTCCATGACATAACGCATCATTGCGTCGAATGGGCTATTCAAGAAATAGTCAATATTCTGAAGATTTCAAGAACCATCATATTTTCAGGACCCGTACAGAAGACCAACATTTATTGTCCGGTATGAGATATACTCTTCAATACTTCTGAAGTCTTCCACGCACTTGGAATCAACGTTTTGTAGCCAATAACGCCATTGACGCAAAACTGGAATTGCACGTGCTTGGTCGTGGGCCAAAAAATCCTTAACAAAGGGAGTAAGTAACTTCTCCATTGGAGACATATCAACCCGTAGTTCCACGCTGGGATCCTCAATGGAAAATATCTTATCGACCTCCAAATTCAGATTGTGTGCCTTTTCTAATATTAGCTTACATATTCTCCCTGACAAGTGGGGAAGAACCACATACCTCCTCGCGTGGCAGAGTCTCTGCTTTGTCTAAAATATGATCAGTCTCATATCATTGCCAAGAAAAAGCTGTGAAAACCTATGGGTCGGTGGAACTCGGAATTACATACCATCCAAAATGAAAAAGAAGATAGTCAGCCAAATTGTATAATATATTCGTTCTGGTTTTGCTTCTGGTAGAGCCAAGGAGTCCCAGCCTCCAGAGACATGGTTCATGCTTCCGAAACAAATATCTGTGACTCCATCCCCAATAATATCATTCCATTGATCAAAGAGCCGGTGTTCAACTTCGTCGTGGAGTCTGTGGTTATCGTGGCGGCGAACAGGCATGGTAGTGAAACAGCCATACTTCCGAACGTCTGAGACACTGACCCCCTTGGAGTAGAGCAGATCAATGCTTGAGTTTGTTTTGGACTGTGACATCCTTTTGAGGTTTATTAAATGTTGGAAATTTGAAAGTAGAACAAAATTAAGACCTTTGGTGGCAAAACTCTCTTGTGATTTTATTTTTTGTGGATCGGAAGGTAGACAGGCGGGAATGAACATTTTAAATAATGAAAATTACTCCAGACCTTTGAAATCTTGGTATTTTCAATGACCGAAACCTTCAAGCTCGAGACCCGTGTATGCAGCTGGACCAATATGGGCCAAAGAGACTATCTATGCATGGATCAGCTCTGTAGGTAACAAGGCCGAGGGTGGTATGCGCATGCATGTTCTGTTCTGGACATTCAAACTTCTCACTGCCTCTCTGTGGATCCCTGAAACTTAAATCCTCCACAATCGATTCATAGATGAAGTCTACATCGACGGAAGATCCTCCTAAATGCAGATAGGTAGCTTGGCACAGGTGTCTCGCACTTAAACAATGTAGCCGCGGTTTCGCTATCAGGGGACAAGAGAGTCACCGGTCACGTTTTGTGAGGGCTGGTACGAGTTGAAGTGACCTTTCGCGCCTGGTCCTGGTCTTTATCGTGGCCGGTCTGGTCAAGATTAAAGACCTCGTATACTGATCCTTCTCGACGACAATAGTTATCTGGTCAACCAATAGGTATGGAGATCGATAGATTCACCATCAATCCGCAGAGCTCCCAAAATTGCCAGCTCTTTTGGGGCTTCAATTAATGGTGAATCACCAGGGACTTACTTCTGCTACTTTCTGGTTTACACTAATTTTAAACTTTATTTCATGAAATAAAAAGCAGTCTGGATAAACTTGAATTCAGCGCACGGACTCTGCACGTTGCAATTTCCTGTTATGCGGCTTGGGGTAGGGTAGGTACTGGAATAATGGAACTGGAATGATGGATGGATTAAAAGAGACTAACAGTACCGGCAGATACTGCATCTAGGGGTGTAACTTAATAGCACTAGAAGGATGCACAATGTTAAAATTGCTGCCATTCATTCGTGTTTTTGGCTCTCCGCATTAGCTAGATTGGTATGCAGACCACTGGACCTCCTGGAAGTTGTCACGTCATCTTCGTCAAAGTTTTCCAAGCGCAGGCCAGCAAGAAGATCGGAGTAGCTGTTTCCACAAAGACGGAACGGGCCATTGAAAATATCCTGCTGCGGAGTCTCAGCATTGTCGGAGATTGTATGGAAACAGATTGCAAAGTGGACGATCTTATCTTTCTCAAGCCCATGCAGCATCATATTTAGCCTTTGCGCGTTACACTGCATTGCGATTATCACCACTGATAGAACCAATGACAAATATACTGTAATCCTTCGGCAGCATTCCGAGACACTTTCGTATCCTTGACCTCTTTCTACCGTAATTGTCAGGAGAGGACTACGTCGAAGTGCATGGTGCAATGTGAGGCAGATATATTGAAGAGTTGTAGAAGCTAGGTTCTACAGAGCTATGAAATCTGACAGTAATGCATATCCGGAGTATTTACCATGCAACTGGTAAGAAGCTGTCAAGAATAGTACAAATCTTCGGGGTTTGTTTTCAGTGATACCTGGATGTCGCTTACCATCACTCCTCATTTGCCGAAGCTGGATGGTGTGTACACAGACATATATCTGCAGCTAAGGATAGGTAACACAGGTCTGTCTCATCCGCTCTCAGGTAGCGAAATCGTCATCACTTACTATTGGGCGCCAATCTTTCGAGTGGTTGGGCTCGTGTGTTGCACAAGAAAATTCTTGCGCATTCCTTTGCTCGGTGCCGATCCATGGTGCTGCGTTGGCTCGAGATGCCACCAACATTCTTAGCCTGTCATATTAATAGTCAGCATGTCTAGCAATTTAAGTATTTTTATCACTATCATCAGAACTTTGGGTGACCTCTCTATATCTTATCCCCTTTCATAGTAGCCTTGGATGATTCAATCCTATAGCGGCTCCTCAATCGACATGTTCATCCTTGAATTGTCCGCTTCATTTATTCTCAAGTCTATTGCAGTGGGCTTGATTCAGGTTTTTAACACACCGAAGCATACTACCATATCCACTGACGCTGTATAGTATTCAATACTCAGAGCAATCTACAATATTTTCTTCCATCCCCTCAAGAACTACCCCGGCCCGCCAATTTTGGCTGCAAGCCGGCTCCTAATCACCTATGCGAACATAACGGGCCAGTCTTCTCTGTGTGCATTACAACTCCATGAGGAATACGGCCCCGTAGTACGTATGGCTCCAAACGAGCTAAGTTACTCGGATTCCAGCTCTTGGAGAGATATCTACGCAAGCAACCCAACACGCCCTGCCGGTATGGCGCGAGACCCAGCTTTCTACAATACTTTCGACGAGAACCACGCTGCCCCTTCACTTGCCAACGCTAACAACATGGACCATTCGAGAATTCGTCGCATCTACGCAAACGCATTCTCCAAACGAAACGGGCTCTTGCTGCACAAGAGCCTATCATCGCCGACCATATAACTCGTCTGATAAAACTGTATAACCAACAGCATCAGCCTATCAATATAATTGAAATGTTTAGCTTTGTGATAGCTGATATCGATGTCGATTTGCAATTTGGGGAGCCTCTTCGCTTACTAGATGATACAACTCACCGTGATTTGGCCAGGAGTCAATTTGGCTTGTTAAAAAAACTCTGCAATACTGGCAACTCTTGGGGATCTTCCTATAGCCAAAACTATATTCCAGCTGATGCTTCCCCGATTGGCCAAGCGGGCGCGAAACATTTACTTCGGATGGATGAACACAAAGCTTGATCATCGACTTGCAACTAAGACAGATCGACCCGATATTGTGCATTTCGTTATGGAGCAGAACACGCCGGAGGCGAGAGTATCGGAGGCAGGGCTGTGGGATAATATGCCCCTTTTGATGCTCGCTCGGATAGGTGACTACCGCGCTTAGTGGGCCCGTGGAGCTCGTTTTAAACGCGCCACATGTTCTCCAGCAGCTATAAGACGAAGTCCGCTCGACGTTTCAGAATAGATCAGAGATCGATCAGACAATGATGAAAGAAATGAGGGTGCTCAACGCTTGTATCATTAAGGCAATGCGGATCTATCCGCCGGCACCGAATGGGATGCGCCGTATAGTACCCAAGGATGGTGCCACAATTTCTGGTCGATGGGTTCCGAGTGGAACTCGAGTGTATACCTCTCAGCTGGCTGCCTTCCGGTCCTCTGCAAACTTCCATGACCCACACTCATTCCTCCCACAACGGTGGTATACAGAGACGGAAGACAAGTTCTCCACAGATGACAAGGGAGCATATAAACCGTTTTCCGTCGGTACCAGAGATTGTATCGGAAAACAGTTAAGTCCGTCATATTTTCTGAACCGTGAGAGTCGATGACCTTTGTTTTTGATTTGATATTAAAATAATTTCCAGCATGACCAATTATATCATTCCTATGATCATTTGTGAGATGATGTTGCATTTCGACTTTGAACTGTGTACAGGGAGCAATACATGCTTCTCCAAGCAAAGAATATGGACTGTCTGAAATAAAAGGCCCCTAATGGTGAAATTTGCCGCAGTTAAGGAGGTTGTTTGATATGAAAAGGAAGGGCGGAAGAGAAAAGGTGAAGTATTTTGAAATTCTCCAAACTGTTGGCAGGAACCGAGGGGAGCAAAGCATTGACTGCCCAGCAGGAAATTGTCAATGCTTTGTGTTGAACGGGGGTCATTTTGTCTTCGCTCCATTTCCGCTATTTTCAAACCTTAAGTTAGTCCGTTCATTCGTATATTTCGTTACAGCTCTCCTTTCCCCTTGCTCACAGACGAATAGGCTGTTCGTGCGCGGCTCCATCAGGTCTGGTGGATGAGTCTCCAAGCAACTACATCCCTGGGCGCCGTTTCGGGATCCCGCACGAACTGAAGTAGCTTTCCATCTTCTTGTCTGTTATTTGGCTACGTGCATGTACGGTACGTAAATTATTGTTGCTCTATTTAGCGATAGAAATCAAATCTCGAACCAGTTAGCTCATGATAACCAACCACGTGACCTCTCCAAGTATATCCTTTTTGGTCTTTCAAGGGTAAACAAAACTAATAAATTGCTCAGGATCGATGGACATGTCATTCCCATTACTGGCGGCGGGCAAGGTCTGTTGGGCACCATTCACTACTTCGCAATCCTCACTGACCTTCCACAGGGATTGGGCGAGCGACGGCAACCTTTCTCGCATCCAAAGGAGCCAAAATCGTGCTTGCGGATGTCGATGAGACGAAAGCCAATGAGGCTGTCAAGGAACTGCGACCCGTGGGATACGATGCGGTTTGCGTTGTGGGAAACGCTCTGGACAAGGCATTCCTGGCAAAAGCGGTTGATGCAGCGTTGAAGCCGTTCTAGAAAGTCAACTGTCTAATCAACAATGCCGGTACAACAATCACCATATCGCCACATTTCCAACGCTAATATTCTCAGGGTTTTGTTATGATAGCGCCATTCACAAGATGAGCGTCGAACAATGGGACATGATTATGAAAATCCACAACTATGTTCCTTTTCGAATGATCCGCGCCATGTCCGGTCACTGGATGGATCCTCAGACTGCCGATATGCCCAAGACAGTCATCAATGTATCCTCGACGTCTGGACTGCATGGCCGAATGGGCCAGATTAACTATTCCACTGCGAAATCGGGGATTCTGGGACTTACCAAGACTGTCGTGGCGGAGTGGGCTAGGTAGGTGCAGACCGTCTGGCTTCTGTGCTAAGTGAATATCGCTAACAAGGTAAAGATATAACGTCCGCCGCAACGCTGTCGCATACGGCTGGATGGATACGCGGTTGACAAAACCACCCACCGAAAGAAGGTTATGCTTGCTGGGCAGAATATCGTCACGGGTATCCCTGCCAATGCGCGGAAGTTTAGGGATACGTCGGACATCCCTCTCGGACGGCCGGGTACTGTCAACGATGCGGCCAATGTTATGCTGTTTTTAGCAGGCCCGATGTCATCCTATCTCACGGCGACTTGTATTGAATGTACCGGAGGTAGATATATGTAGATTAATGGGTTCATGTAAATACCAATTCAATGCAATAACACCGACAACGGGGAATATATATGTTGGTGTTGGGATGTACTCAAGTTCTCATTTCTAAAGTGCACGAGCATGATTGTAAAAAGAAAAATGTCCAAAACTCCCCGACCCATGATATCATTGAAAACAGCAGCATACAACCCTATCCATCCAGACAAAAGGGTGAAAGTCAAGATCCACAACACGGTATTTCATCTTGAGTCATTATCGACCGGTGATATAATCCCGGTTCTCGATCGTCACACTCTTAGTCATGTGGTTGACTTTATAGACACCGACAAGTCGGGCAGCAAGCTCGAACTAGAGAACATGTTAGCTATGTCAACTTGGAAGCGAAAATCAACGGCACTTACCATATTGTTTCTCAATGAAATGACAATGAATTGGGCATTTTTCGTTCGCTCCTTGATGTACGAGGCGACAATGGAAACCTTGAAAAGTAAGTTAGCACACGTGTCCATCACAATTCGTATAGGACCAGCTCACGTTTCGGAAGTCCAGGGCGGCATCGATCTCGTCCATGACATAGAGCGGAGTAGGTTTGTAGTGGTGAAGAGCGAAGACCAGCGCCAAACTGGACAGAGTCTTCTCTCCACCAGACAGGTTACCAATGTTCTTCCAGCTCTTCTTAGGAGGCATGACTGAGAACAAGATGCCTTCCGAGAAGGGGTCCAACGAGTCAACGAGCTCCAACTCGGCGTTACCGCCCATGGTGATCATCTGGTACATTTCTTTCAGGCGCAAAGAGATAATGCCAAATCCTTCCATGAATCCATTCAAGCGAGAAGATCGAAGACCATCCAGGCGTGCCTTGGCACCGTCTCGTGATGTCAAAGCGGTGGTCAGATCTGCTGAGCGCGATTCGTGCTCGGCGGCTCGGCGGCGGTACTCCTCAATGACTGACAAATCGATAGAGGCGTTTTGAACCTTCTCCTCCAAAGCAGCAATGACGGCTTTCAGAGAATCCTTATTCATGGCCTCTAGCTCATCCTTGGTGTACATCTGAAGCTCTGTGGGCTCCTGCTCTTCACCAATATCGCTGATGTTCTGGACAGTCAGCTTTGAAAGCTTCTCCTCCCAGTAACGGCTGCGCTTTTGGTTTTCAGCCAAGGCCTTCTGGTTCTCTTCCAGTTTATTGCGCATCTCGATCTCAGCTGCTCTTGTCTCATTGAGCTCAGCCACCTTTGCGTCAAGCTCGTCCTTCATGGCCTTCAGCTCGCCCTTTTTAGACTCCAAAGCCTAAGGATGGTCAGCAACAAATTCAATATACTCGCGGATCACGGATAAGTTACCTCCTGGGCTTCGTCGGCTTTCTGTCTCCATTCGGCAGATTCATTGGTCTGGTTGGCAACATCTTCTTCTAGTTTCTCCAACTCATCCGCAATCTGACCGATCTCGTTCTCTGAAACATCGCGGGCTTTGGAGTGCTTCTTGATGAGTTTTTCGTTCTTGGACAGCTGCCCCTCCGCGTTTGAAATCTCCTCGGCAAGCATGCCAATCTGCTCTTTCAAGCCATCCACCCTCGCCTTTTGACCACGAAGCCGAACACCACCGACCTCCATGATCTTGCTCTGCAAGGTTTGGATCTCTTCCTCGATGCCACTCTTCTCGTCGTTGAGTTTAGCGATCTCCTTTTGGGCTTTGGCAATCTGTTTCTCGAGGGCAGCAACTTGGGCTTCATCCGAGTCAGATGGCTGGTGCTGTGCGCCCAGCTCCTTTACGCGTCGCTGGGCATCAGCAAGACTGCGCTTGGTACTGTCGATCTCGATCATAATCTTTTGGATCTTAGTCTCCAAGCGTGGGATTTCTTCTGATCTTTCCTTCATCTGAGCCTCCACATGCCGCTGCTTCTCCTGGAAAGCCTGGAACTTCTTTTCCAGATCCTCGAGATCTGATTCTAAGCGAGACACCTGCTCCTTTGTAGTGTCGGCAACTTGCTTCGAGGACATACCGCCTCGGGCGACACGGGTGCCACCGCCACTCATTGTTCCTGACACATCAATCAACTGGCCATCTTCTGTCACCACTCGCCACCGGCGAGCACCATAGGCAATACGATTCGCCTGCTCCAAGTCTTTGGCAACCAACGTGTTTTGCATCACGCTGTAGAAAGCTGGGGCGAACTTGGGATCTTTCGGCTTGACAAGATCAAAGAGACGAGGGACGCTTTCAGGTGTGTAGATTGATGCCATATCACGGCGGGGAAGGCGATCAAGAAGGATGAAGTTCGCTCGACCAAGGTTATTCTTACGCAAATAGTCGATGCATTGCTGGCCGACTTCCACGGTTTCCACGACCATGTTATCGAGAGCAGGACAAGCTGTAGAAATAGCGACATCATACTTCTCGTCAATTGTGCCCAGGTTACCAAGTCGGCCGTGGAAACCATCGATACGGCCAGACTCCTTGAGACGCATCAACCCAGTCAAGACACTTCCGCGGTTTTGTGTGCTTGCAAGACTGACTCGTGCCTCGTCTGCTTTTTGACGGGCACTTGAGACATGCGACCGAACCTCGGGCTCACGACCAGCGTATTTCTTCAAATCGTGTTTGAGCTTCTCCACTTCAGACTCCAAAGTCTCTTTCTGGGCTTGTCGCTCTTCGAGATCGTTTTGTTTGGTTTGCAGACTCTCTTCGATTGCAACAACCTTGCCCTGTGCCTCTTCAAGGAGGACAGCGCCAGCATTACCACGCTCTCGCAAGATATCCAGCTCACTCTGAGCTACTGCAACTGCGGACTGTTTCTCGTTGATCTTCGCATTCCATGGCTCCAGTGACTTTTGCTTCTCAGCGATCTGATCAGATAGGCCTTGCGTCTTGCCTTTCAGCCCCTCACGAATTGAGTTCAGTTCCTTCTCTTCTGTCACCATCTCCTTCTCAAATTGAGTGGTTTCGGCAGTCTTCTTCTCAATGTCGTAGGTAAACTTCTCGACCAAGCTCTGGCATTCAGAAGCAGCAAGACGGCTGGTCTGCATGGCTTTCTCTAGCTTCTTCTGTTTGCCGAGCAAGAATTTCTTCTTCTCCTCAAACTTGACAGACTCCTTGTCATACTTGGCCATCTCCTTGAGCAAGCTTTGAGTCTCCTTCTCTATCGACTCGTAATGACGAACTCCCTTCTTGTAGGCTTTTTCGAGCTCTTTGATGCCGGATTCGTTTCCTTCATGTTTCTCGAGTTCCATGTTGAGTAGCTCCTGCATTTGGAGAATGGCCTCTTCCGTAACACGAACGTTATCAGCGCATTCATCAATGTAGATCTGATAGAGCGCTGATTGCTTCTGTGCCAGTTCGTTCTCCTCGCGGATATAAGCTAGAGCTTTGTCTTTCTTATCCACCAAGGCCGTCTTCTCCTTCTCCACGTGCTGGACACGGTTGTTCTTCTCCACGCATACGTCGTTGAGAGCTTCGAGCTCGGTTGCCGCTTCATCGATAGGTGTCTTGTACTTGGAAGTTCCAATGATATCTTCCAGGTATTCCAAGAGGCCTTCGTCGTGTTCGTTGGAGGCTTTTGGCTTCATCTGAGCGATCGACTCGACCTCACCCTGCAAAATCAGGAAACGCTTGTGGTCGAGATCAATTCCGCGATCACGGAGGAAGGTCGTCACAGCGGTGAAATTGGTCTCCTTTTTGTTCATGTAGTATTTGCTGGTGTTATTCTTGAACGCTCGTCGCGAAACAATCAGTTGGGAATCTGGGACCACTTCCTGGCCACCTTCGGGCAAATCGAGGACTTGTGAGAAATGAACCTCGACTTCACAAAATGCGAGGTTGGGGTACTGAGCAGAGTTGTGGATCAGCGCGGAGATTTTGCCCTGTCGCATCTTGCTGGCGCGGAAGCCAAACACGAATAGGAGCGAGTCGATCACGTTCGACTTTCCGGATCCGTTCGGTCCAACGACAGACGAAAAGGAGGCGTGGAACGGACCAACAATCTGCTGCCCGGCGTAACTCTTGAAGTTTGTCAGAATAAGGTTCTCAATAATCATGCGGGGCTTGGGCGCCGCAGGCTCCTCGGGCGCTTGAGGTGCCTGCGTTCTGGACTTGGCCACAATGTCCATAGGCCTCTCCAAAACTGTCGAGTTTGGGTTTATAATGGAAATCTGAGATTTGGGCTCTTCCAATTGTTTCGACGGCGACTGATTCACGGCGGATTCGGTGATGTCGGACAAAGGTGGCACGCTTGCTCGTTGCGCTCTTTCTTGAGGCTCTGGTGATTGGGATGGCTCTGGAGTTGGAAGTGAGCCCTGGGCCGGTTTGGGTGTGATTGAGCCGTGACTCTTGCGGGGATGAGCCATACTTTTTCTTTTCAACGCCGCTTTACTGGAAGGAGATTCTGGATCTGCTTCCATTGAAGCCATACTAACGCCCTCGTCGTTCTCGTCATTTTCTTCGTCGATGTCCATCGCATCAGCGTCCATCGCGTCGGTATCCATTGCATCGGTGTCCATCGCATCGGAATCATCTGTTGTCGCTTCTTGCATCTTGCTGACAGGGCGCACAGTAGAAGGTGTCACAGGGTCTAGTGTTACTCTTCTGCTAGATGCTCTCCTTGCTTTCTTAGGGACTGGGGTATAGTCCTCCTCGACCTCGTCATCGTCATCGTGCGTATCGGGTGTTGGTGTCACATTTCCGGGGTCCTCCGATTCAGATGTATCGTCAACGACATAACTCCGGCGGGGAGCAGAGCGGCGCGAAGCCCTGCCCTTTATGACTGAAGCCATGTTGTGCAGATCAGTGGGATGCCTGCTGCATAGAGAGGGGCGAGTGTTTTTGACGGAGGTTTTGTCGGTTGAAAGTGGGTTGTTTACCTCGTGCCCAAACGGGTAAAGTGGCCGTCGTTCTGCCACAACAAGCCCTTCACCGCCATGTCCCGCTGTAATTTACCGTACGGTAATTACTCCTCCGCGGAGCTTCATGGGGATCAGCTTGGGAATTGTTCACACAACCTATCACTTCTCTCATTATGCCCAGCATGGCTCCATGGGATAGTTTCGACCAAGTCTTCTCATTTAATAAGAAATACTCATATGAACCAAAGGTTTTTGACCAGATTCTATCCAGCCGGCGCTCGTTGGACCAGCTCTTTGCCGATCGACTCTTGGGGCTCCTCGGCATCCAAGGAGGTATTGTGACTTGAAGCTCTGCGCTTGAAGCCTCATGCTAATTAACCACTTCTCTATAGTGACTAAGGTCTACCCGCCGAAGTCCAATTCAGATCTCCGAACACTGTTCAACCACATCGTTTCTTCAGAACTCGATGTCCATCACAAACAGGCCTTGATCTATTACATCCTTAAGGACTGTCGCACTGCGCCAGAGGCTTCATCTCAATTTGCGAAACAATGCCACCTCCCAGAAAAGTACCGTTTCTTCATTGAAGGTCTTTGGCATTTGGATCGACTCGATTTCAGGGTAAGTTGTGCACGATCTTTAAGGCGGCAATCTTCTGACAATTACATATAATAGCGAGCAGTAGAGTTTCTTGCTGAACCCTCTCTCATTCCTACATTCCCGGATGAGATCCTTTACGTTCTTACCCTCACAAAGCTTCCCAAGCATGATGACAGCCTCGCAATCGCATACTACCTCACTGCGGCTCCTCCGCTTGCAAGCGCAAAGATCCGCAAAGCTTTCTTCGATACACTCGCCCGATCCAATGTCACCGAGGCATTCTTCTTCACGCGCAAGTACGACGACACTCTCCGTCAGAGCTTTTTTGAGCAGTTGGTGGAATTTGTTCACAGGGCCACCCCTGGCCAAACGAGAAGCAGACGTGCGATGGAGCTCGTCGGTCTTCCGCTCGACGAGGATGAGGAACAGTGGTTTGAGCATGTCTTACTGCAGGGCAATGCCAGTACTCTTCCTGGAGCTAAGGATACCGTGATGATGCGACGCCTTGCAACTGGGCGAACTGGTGAACTCAACCCGGAGCTCGAGTCCTTGGGTGGCAAAAAGGTCGATGGGTTGAATTGGGATGACCTTCGGGGGAGCATACGACGCACGTAGATGATATACCCAACCAGTTTTACATTCTAGATTCAATGTTTATTGGTTACTCAAAATTGAAATAGCAATCAGAGTTAATGGCCTTAATGATTTCCAGTGGCTTTTTAAAAGTATTATGTTATTCTGTCAGGTACATCATAGACTTAGGGAGCTTCCCGTGCCAATATATAAAACTCCTTGTTAATCAGATTGCATCCACTATGTAGGTTGGACTGGGAAAATGAACTCCTATGTCCCAAGAACCCTTTAATCTCATCTCGAGGCAAAGGGTAAAGTGATAGAAACCCAATCTCATACTCTTAAATATTAAAGACCCGTACTATACAAGAGTGCTGGGGTCGCTTTGCAGGCGTTCCGATAAGATACGGACCAATTCCGTGAAAAGTCCCAACCCCAGGAGTTCAGTGTTTCTCTCCTCGCGACAACCAACTCTATTCTTGCTTTTCTCTCAGATTACTTGATCATATATCGAAGCACACATATCCATTTGAGAAAAGTCGAGATACAGACCTTGCTTTGAAGGGGGAGCAGTTGAGCAAACACCAAAACCGCGAAGATGGTGGTATGCAGCTTTTTTCAGCAGGGTCGCTGCAAGTTCGGAGGTATGAAACCCTCGAGTATAGAGAAATCAAGTCACTAATGTACGTTCAGATCGCTGCAAATTCGAGCATCCTGGCAAACCTACTGCTGGTCCATCGGGGAATCGATTTGGCGCTTTATCCGGAGGGTTTGGAGGTACGTCAATTGAATTGTTTTGATTCAGCTCTCCTCAATCTGGAGAGCGCATCTATTGGATGATTATTTAATGTATTGTGAGATTAAATGTTCGATCTCTATGTTCATTTGTCCCCCCAAAACCTCTTTTCCCTGCTCTTACCCTCCTACCCATCCTGGTTTTACCCCAACCTACTTCGAATCTCAAGCTGCAAGAGAGTTTTCCCTATGCAAAATCATGATCGACCCTATGAACAACGGGCCCTTTCGGGCTAGCCTTCTTTCAAAGCCTAACGGCAAGTTTACGATAGGTCAAAACCAGACTCAACAAGCAGCGGAGTAAGTCACATTCCCAGCACCTTGAGTGGATTCGAAACTGACAAAAAGACAGCCCAGCAGTAAAGGCAAGCGAAATCAAGACAGACTTGACCGCAGGCCAGGGCCGTCCGGAATGGATTTTCTCCGCATATGCGCCCCACAGAGATGTTGCGCGCCAGCTATTCGGTGGAGCTCACCGCGAGCGCAGTATGGAAGAGATGCGTCTGCGCCATTATGAATTAGCAGCATCCGGGAACCTGAACCAAGCCGTCCAAGAGGCCTCGGCTCTGTGGCAAGAGTGCGTGCAACAGATGGAGATCTCACTAAATGACCTGAATGGCGCCGTCAAATATGTCGTTGATGGCAGGAATGAACATCCCAATCGACTCGACATCATCGAGGGAAAGACCCAGCCTAGTATGGACCAAGCTTCCGCACCATTTGGCCAACCCCCTCCATTCGGCCAGCAGAATGCCGCCCCTGCACCCAACGCCGGTCCTGCACCTGGAGCGTTCGGCGCTCCTTCCTCAACCTTTGGCCAGTCTTCAGGACTTGGCCAGGCAGTTGGATTCGGCAGGGCTTCAGCACCAGCGCAGCCGGCTGGCATGGGCCAGTCTACGGCCTTTGGACAGACTTCTGCCTTGGGTGGCTCCGGCTTCGGCCAAACCTCCACCCTGGGAGGGCAGTCGGCTTTTAACAAAACACCTTTCGGCCAACCAGCTCTTTCTCAGCCAGGAGTTAACCCCAGCCCGTTCGGTAAGCCGTCAGTCCCAGGTGGTGCCGCCCCATTCGGTGCTCCATCTGCCGCCTCTCCCTTCACCCAAATAGCTCAGAACCAGCCTGCTGCTGGTGGGTTTGGTCAGAGCGCTGGACAACCTACTCCGTCGCCTTTCGGTCAAAACGCTGCACAACCTGGCCCATCGCCATTTGGCCAAGCAGCTGCCAATCCGAGCCCATTCGGACAGCCCTCAGCCCCGGTAGGCGCCGCCCCATTCGGTCAGCCTTCAGCCCCGGTAGGCGCCTCTCCATTTGGCCAACCCTCAGCCCCGGCAGGCGCCGCTCCATTCGGTCAGCCTTCAGCCCCGGCAGGCGCCGCTCCATTCGGTGCTCCATCTACCGCTTCTCCCTTCACTCAGGTACCTCAGAACCAGCCTGCTGCCGGTGGGTTTGGCCAGAGTGCTGTACAACCTGGTCCATCTCCCTTCGGCCAGCCTGCAGTCCAAGGCGTGCCGGTGCAGAATGCCAACGCCGGCCTGCGTGCATACCTAAAAATCGACAATCCTCAGGACCTCAACCCGCTTCCACAACTGGAGGGTGAAACTCGACATAACCCATCCACCAAACAGCTAGTGATGTGGAAGGGCCGCCCCGTCAAGTATATCAACGAGCACCCGTGCTACCTTCACCCACAAGACAACAAAACGTTTGTCCGAATCAACTTCCCTAACGGGCCACCTGATCCAGCTAGTTTGAAAGACGCACACGGCAAGCCTGAGGAATACACACCAGACGTCGTTGAGGCATATCAGTTTTTCCTTCAGAATGGCTACTTCAAGGACGGCAATATCCCTGCGGTACCTCCCAAGCAGGAGTTCCTCAGTTTCGACTTTTAACCCCCGAAACCGAGATAGCATTTATTTGTCTGTGTCTCCTTCTTTTTTCTTGTTATTTTACCACGCGTCTCATGGGTTGAGATGATGTGAATGTCGTTTTCATTGTCACAACAAGCAACATGTTCCGGGCGTGCGGAACATGGGGAATGGCGCTTAGGAGCTCAACAATACTCAATTCATCAGTGTAGCAATTGCAAGTGCTTTATTAACAATGTCGATATGAACCAAATTACGGTCTGCAGACCACTACTGAGAGTATTTTGTGTTTCAAGATGTTTCCATTTTTTATTTTTAAAATTTCAGGTCCGAACGGAATCCCCCGCAGCGCGAAACAAGTCATGCGGGCCAGGACCGGCTCCAAAGTCGCGCTGTGCACTCCAAATTGGCCAGTCCACGATCCCTCCCGGAGGCAAGCCCAGCTTAGCGCATTTATGCGGCAATGGTGACCTCAACCTCAACACCGGCCTCGATGTTGATGATGATCTGCTTGACGGTCTCGGTGGGGGCGAGGAGACTAAGATAGAATGTCAGCAACTGCGTCTGCTAGGTACTGCGACGATAGTGCCGCAACTAGATAGGGTAGGGAAAAACTCACTCGATGAGACGCTTGTGGATGCGCATCTCGAACTTGTCCCAGGTCTTGGAACCCTCACCGTTGGGGGTCTTACGGGTGGAGATCTGGAGGGTCTTGGTGGGCAGACGGACGGGGCCCTTGACCTGGAGGGACTTGGAGCGAGCACGGTCGATCAGCTCCTGGCAGACCTTCTCGAGGGAGGCAACCTTGCGGGAGGTGAGGGTGATGCGGATCTTGTGGACCTTCTGTAGAGCGGACAAGAAGCAATTAGTACATAGTTCTCATTGGCGAGGTCCATAGACACATTGCACAAAGCGACAGCGACAGCGAGGTGCAACAGCGATGTGCGACAGTGACCATTGGATCAGGGACAACGTACAGGGCCCTCGCCGAAATCCTTCTCGGGCTTCTGGAAAGACATCTTGAATATGTATGGACTGAAACGGGTTAGTAATTCGATTCGAGAAATTTCAAGAGCAGAAAAAAAGGGAGCGCGCACAATTTAAAAGGCGATTGCCGTCAAGACCTGAACTACTAGGCTCGGTAAAGTGATGATGGCTGTTGAGGTGATGTGGATCGAGAATTCCATATCCAAAAAGTTCAGTGCGAAAGTCTTGGCGCTTCGGTTATCGCACGCTAAACCCCTTTAGGTCCCCTTTGATTTCCTGCTTATGTCATCACTCAAAGAGGACATGAGTCCGCCCAGTGATGGCATTCGAGATGATAATCATGAGCTGACTGGTGGTTGGGCTTTTTTTCTTTTGTTCTTGCTTTTCTCTCCTTTGATATTCTTCTCATAATCTCAGCGATAACCACCTTAGCTCGCCCCAATGGCGGAATTTCCGCCGCTGGCTCCAGTGCCCTCCCCCGCAGTGCGGAGGACAATCCCATCAAATGATTGGGAAGCTTGTCTAGATGCATGGATGGCCCTGTTGGGGATCCGCCTGACTGCATCTGATCAACAGTTTAAGGTTGCAGCAGCTGAAGATGCATCAATACCCCCATTCCTGGGGTCTTACTATCAATACACGGCTGCGGGGGATTCTAGTTTACAAAGTGGACCTAAAGCTCGACAGCTTCGGAAGCTCTGCTTTCTGGCGACAAGAAGATACATACTTGATCTCTCCAACCCACCAGACGGAATTATGGACTGGAGACTTCTCGGCAATCTATGCTGCTGTTACCCTTCTAGCGTGGCCTTGAAGATGTCATTATCAAGTGCCTGGGATCTGCACCAGGGCAAGATCACTTCCAGTATCGAGAGAGCAAAAGCTATTGTGATTAAGAACCTCTCTTCGACCAACTCATCCTCAAACCCTGAAGTCATTTCTGACATCCGCCGTCTGACCATCCTTGCTTCAGTGCTGCCAGCGTGTGGCCAGGTGCTGATGGCAGGCTCCGACTTCCTGGATACGATATCGGAAGCTTACCAGTCAAAAGGTGCTCGGGAGGAGTTCCGTAAGATCCTCGTTGCTAACATCTACGTCGGGCTCGTTTCCTTATTGAAGGAGCCCGTCAATTTGTCTTCGTTATTGGATCAGCTGTTCAGCCTCAAAGCCGCTGCTCGAGTGGGAGCACCGAAAATGAAGAGGGAAGCGACACTACTCTCTGATCTCATCTGCAGCTCGGACTTGCTTATTAGGCTGGAGAAGTATATGAGCATTCACCCCCAGAAACGGGGGCAAGACCTTCTTGCCAGCTTGCGCACCTATCAAGTGGAATCGAGGTCGCTACACCATCGGTATCAAAGACGCAGGAAGGTAGACAAGGGAAAAGAGGTGTCTTCGGACCCGATCGTTTCAGGAGAACTTCACGCACACAAGATGTCACTAGTCACTCAAGTACAAGACCTCTTCCCCGATCTTGGCTCAGCCTTTGTTGTACGGCTACTGGACTTTTACAACGACAACCCTGAGACTATCGTCGCCCACCTTCTCGACGACTCACTTCCTCTGGAGCTCCATTCTCTAGATCGATCCGAGCAACTGCCTCCTCCAGCAGAACCTCACCATAGCCATCTCGCACCACAGCCAACACCACCTGCCATGCCATCACCTGTCTTCGCACCACTCCCCACCCGCAAGAATATCTTCGACCAAGACGTGGACATCGCCGAACTAAGCCGCTCCGGCGAAGCGCAAGGCAAACTACACTTCGGCCGCGCCGACGCAGACCAAACAGCCGACACAATCCTCTCAGACCACAGCAAACACGCCGAAAACAAAGCAGCAATCCTCTCCGCCCTAGCAACCTTTGACTCAGACGACGACGAGCGCGATGACACCTACGATACAGCCGACGTAGGCGGCGCCATCGACGGAGCCACAGGTGGCGCAGACGGCGAAGCCGATCCTGCTGAGCGCAACCGCCGCGCAGCAGATATCGAAACAGTCCTCTTCCGAACATACAAGTCCAATCCAGGGCTCTTCGCCCGCGACTCAGCGACCCGCCGATCACAGCCTCGCATGTCGTTGAAGCGCGAGACCGAAATGACTGACGAGGCTATCGAGGGCTGGGCTCTCATGCTAACCCGTGATCCTAAGCGTCTTGCTAAACTCGAAGACCGGCTAGCTATGGACGCTGGCGGGTCGGCTGGTGCTGGGTCACTTAACCAGCCTGAGTTGCGTTCTACGTCTTACAGGAGGCCGCAGCCTCGTGAGGATGGGGAGGATGGTTCTGATGAGGGCGAGTCCTCTGGCCATGCTGGTTCGCGGGCCAGAGGAGGCGGTGGACGTGGTGGTCGAGCGCGGGGTGGTGGCGGTCGAGGCCGTGGGGGCCGTGGTGGTGGTCCTCCGTCTGGCGGCCAAGGGCAGCCGGATAATGCGGCGTCGAGACAGAGGAAGGAAGAGAACAAGGGTAGTCGGGCAAATCACAACCGTCGGCAGCAGCATGCGAAGAAGATGGCGCGTGGCGGTGGGTTGCCTGGCTAAGCACACGAAGTGACCAAGTTGGATTATATGGATGCAATGCGGCATAAGAGCCTTGGTTATTTTCATTCTTGATATCTAGTAATGACCATGGATGTAATTTACATAAAATTTGTTGGGCTTCTATAACAGAAGCCACGGCGCATTGGAACAGAACGCATTCAAGTGGTTCATTAATATACCTCAACACATATATAATGCGGTATAGGCAGTCGTGATAACATGTTTACACAGGGAACTCGTACTTGGCCAGCAAGGAACTGACACTTCATATCAGTGATGGTGATCTGAGAAGACGCCACCCTCGGCAATGGACTTGCGGCACTCCTCCATGAGGCGGACTTGTTTCGCGACTTCACCAAGCCGGCTGATAACCTCCTTGTTGCCATCATAGAAGGTAAAGATGGCATAGGGGATACCAGTATCGCGGCAGAACTCTATGACGAACTTCTGCGTACGACGCAGGTTGTGGCGCGGGATCCGCGGGTAGAGATGGTGAATGGCCTGGAATTGCAAACCACCGTGGAAGAAGTCCAGCCATGTTGGGCAGTCGACGTCCATAGTGGTACGCAGCATCTTCTGCGCGAAGGACTCACCAACACCTAGGTCGGCGGTCGACATAGCGAAGTGGGATAAAGTGATTTGGACGTGTAGTGGGGAGGAGACAATGTGTGAAACGAGGAGGAAGATGATACGGCTGCTTGCATCGGGAATCATCTTGTACATAACACCGTACCCAAACCAGGTCCAAAAGAAGACCTGTCCGACGAGCTCAAACCAAACATGCCACCAAGCCGGGCCCCGTTTAGGAGCTTGCCCCTTTAGCAGATACTCCCAACTCAGGGCGTAGAGATTGAACCGAGCGAGCATCATAATGGGATAGTAAGAGTAATTCTGGAATTTGAGTAGAAATCGAGCCGGGGCGTCGAAGGTCATGATTCGATCGTAATAGGTACTTCGGAGACTCGTGAGGAAGCGATGCGAGATAGCGAAGAATGGGATATGCTCGATATCCGGGTCATGCTCTGGCTCATTGGTCATGATATGGTGAACGTTGTGGCTCCGCTTCCACCACCCGAGACTCAATCCTCCGAGATAGTCTGCGATGAACATTCCAATAAGAGTATCCACATGGAAGTTATGTGTAATGCCCATATGACCAGCATCATGGGCAGTGAAAACAAGCTGATGCCAGAAACAGCCAAGGAAGAATGCCGAGGTCGCCCACCATCCCATGCGGAGGAACATGTAGGAAAGACCCGCTAAAAGTGTGTATCGACAGCATTCAACAAAATAACAAGAGTAGTTGCAGTCGTAAAGTCCCTCGGCCTTGATACGCTCGTGCAGTTCGCGATATTTCCGTTTGATCTCTTCTTGACTTGCGGTATCCAAAGAAGGGTATTTGGCAGTGTCGAAGAAGATTTCCTCCCGTGTTCTCGCATCCAAGAAGGCAGGCTTGGCCTGGGGTTGGTCGGTCAAAGCGGTTCCGGTCGGTTTCCGTTGACGAACTGTGGATTTAGAGTCGACGGCATCGAATATCGGCGAGGGAGGAATTGATCCATCTTGACTGGAGCCACTGGAGATATCTGGAGTTGTTGAACCCTCATCACTCGGGCACGACGTGTCTTCGGTATAGGCGCGGAACTTGCCGCCCTGGATCGGAGGTAGGAAGTTGATCCATGTTCCTTCAATTCGTCCAATCTGGTACGAGTGCATACGCTGGCGGGCTTCTTGGGAGTGTAGCCTGTATGAGACCGGTTTAAATTAGACTGATCAGAGGTCATGGTGTTTGCCGTTCCAAAACATACGCGTTGATCTCATCTGTCGCATCCCTGCCCACCATGTGCTTAATTGGCTTCTCTCCTCCGGGGTGATATCTGATGAAGGGGTCTACCCTTAGGACACGACCCTCGAAGATTATGACATGTTTGCCCTCCGCTATGAGGCCTTCAATATATCGTCGAGTCAAGAGGGTGTCCTTCCGGGACGGCCGGAGTGTCTTCTCCATCGTATGAGGTGCGGTGAGAGGGTGGATGTGCGTAGGGTCCGATAACAACGCGAAATTACAATGACATTGCTGAGAGTCGAATTAAGCAGCTCACAAAATGCAGGATGCAAAATGCAAATAAACAAAAGAAACAGGAATGGAATTAAAAAAGAGGCAGAAACGTTGCAAGGGCTATGGGGCGGAGGTGGATAACAGCGGGGACCCGATCAGCCCGTGAGATTGTACTTTCACATTACCAACATACCTCCAGGCACGTACATTTTTTTGACATGGCAGTGAGTTTCAACTATAAATTCGTCTTGAATAGATTATTCTAACTGTTCTATAGCAATCAATTTCCTCCTTGACGGAGCAATGGCTCCAATGGGACCAGGTCAATACAAGTCTTGTTTCATGTGGCATGATCCCACTGACTCGGACCTCGGGATAATATAGGATCATACAACTCGCGCGGAAATAGAGCAACTGCGGGACTCCAATGACACCGAGGAGCTGGAAAAGCGCCTTCAGAATCGTACGTCCTTTTTCATGTTTTAGTGCCTATCTAACCTGTGTATACATCTAGGTATTGAGTTCGGAACAGCTGGTCTGCGAGGCCGCATGGCCGCGGGGTTCTCATGCATGAACTCTTTGATTGTCATACAAGCCTCACAGGGGCTGGCTAAGTTCATTCGAGACAAACGTTCTGAGATCGCTTCGAATGGTGTGGTCATTGGACACGATGCGCGTCACAACTCTGCGAAATTTGCCGCACTCGCGGCTAACGCTTTCATCGCGCAACGTATCCCTGTTTGGTTCTTCAATGAGGAGGGGCCAACACCGATGGTAGCGTTCGGTGTGAATTATTTCGGTGCTGCTGCAGGTATTATGGTGACGGCGAGCCACGTAGGTCTACCCTGAAACCACTTTTATAGATGCATTGGCTAATCGACTCGAAGAATCCACCCCAGGACAATGGTATGTTACTAACATACTCATTTCTGAGAATGCAAAATAATTGCTAACTTTGAACAGGCTACAAAGTGTAAGGATCCTGGATCTATATCATGGAGACTGCTGACAAGATCTGCCTCATAGCTACTCTAGCAATGGCGCCCAGATCAACCGACCCGAGGACGGGGAAATAGCGCAGTCAATTCAAGAGAACCTTGAGCCATGGCCCACCGCATGGGCGGGATTACAACCAGGCGAATTCCTGCGCGCGGACTCCTACCAGAAATTGCTGCCTCACTACAGCAGCCAAGTCGCAAAGTTCACGGTACGTTGTGGGCTATGTTTCAAGGAGATCAATCTAACGAGTTTACACTAGAAATCTACGGTGACCGATTGGCAACCTCCAAGACCATTCGTTTATACACCTCTGCACGGTGTGGGAGGTTTGGTTCTTCCAACTCTGTGCCGCTCACTCGGAATCAACGAATTTTCATCCGTTGCTGCCCAGGAAAAGCCTGATCCTGACTTCCCCACCGTGAAGTTCCCCAACCCGGAAGAGGCTGGAGCTTTGGATCTTGCTATTGAGACTGCCGACAAAGAAGAAATGACCTTGATCATCGCAAATGACCCCGATGCCGACCGCTTCGCCGTAGCGGAGAAAGTGGAGTAAGCCTTATTTTCCGACTGCCACAAATTGACCACAACTAATGTGTTTTCCAGGGGGAAATGGCATACTTTGACTGGAAACCACGTCGGTGTCCTTCTGGCTTCCCATATCTTGGATTCGTTCGATGCCACCAAAGATTGGTCCCACATCGCGGTGTTGACTACAACGGTGTCGAGCGGGATGCTCGGAAAGATGGCAGCAGCAAAGGGAATTCACTTCGCAGAGACCCTGACAGGGTTCAAGTGGATGGCTAATGTTGCCCGAGACTTAGAGAAAGAGGGAAAGACAGTTCATTTCGCATACGAGGAGGCACTGGGATACATGTTCCCATCTGTGTGTTATGACAAAGACGGAATTACAGCAGCTACCGTCTTCCTAGCTGCGGAGGCGAAGTGGAGAGCCCAGGGATTGACTGCATATGCCAAGCTGCGACAACTGTTCGGCGAATTCGGCCATCACGAGACCTTGAATAACTACTTCCGATCACCCAATCCACAACTCACCTCAACATTGTTCCAGGGCATTCGAGGCAGCTCAGGCCTCGCCAATATGCAGTTCGGTCCCTTCAAGATTTTACGATGGAGGGATTTGACCGAGGGCTATGACTCCAGCACCCCTGATAACAAGCCGGACCTACCTCAAGATCCAACAAGCCAGATGATTACACTGTGGTTGGATGGTGGGGTTCGCTTCACATTCCGAGGTTCGGGGACAGAGCCCAAGGTCAAATGTAAGTTTTCCCACTCTTTGGGGCGAATCGGTTACTGACACATAGCTGCAGTTTACATCGAGAGTTGTGGAGACTCCCTCGCAGACGCCGTCAAAGCAGTCTGCGATGCATTCCTCACTATTCGGGAAGAATGGGTACAGCGCTTTACACCTTCGATGACATACAGCAAGCAGCTTTTTACATCATCTGGTAATATTCTGAACGTTGAATGAAGACGTTCATTGAATTGAGGCAGGAAACTCATCTCTATAATAGCTCCACTATCCGTTATTCCTCTGATATTCCTCTCAGAATTCTTTTCGATTTCACTCACGTTTCTCTCAGATCACTCTGATCTCGCTTTGATTTCACTTTTATCTTTCTATCATAGCTCAGATAGTACATAGCTCAGATAGTACTTCGACAGTCTTTCAATACATCTTGAACTGCATTTACATTCATATCCAGGATCTTTGACGAATATCTAATTGAATACTTATGTAGAGTTCGAATATGTATCACTTTCCCAGGTGTCATGCGAGAAATACAACACCGAATATCAGCTGGAGCTGCGTGAATACGGGAAAGATAATCTCGCTTTAATGATCACTAGGTGGATCAACCTTGGCCCTGGGCTGAGTCCGGATGATCCCCAATGGAGAGTCCATTCATGGGAATCGCAACTGGTTCCCCTTGCCCTAGACTCCAAACATATGCTTCCAAGCCCGCGGTCTATGTTTGAAGATTCCCCTGGTATATCGTTCGAAGATTTGTGCACTCGGAATCTGCTCTATCTAACCGATCGGAAATATCGAGATCTGATGGGGCAAATCATGCAGGATCCCGCCCTCATGGGCTCTATGGTATGAGCCAGCGTGAATATCCATTGTTTTGTTTGTATTAATATCCACTACTGTGACTCTCCGAGACAACACGCATGTAGCAAACACTGTAAGGCAAGGCCGCAAGCTGCCGGTCATTCGAGAATATCAGCCCATTATTGATATTCAGTTCCCTAAAATCCCAAAAGCGGACGACGACCTCAAGCAGAGCCATCAAGCTGCATTTTGCGGCAAACAAATTCAAAATTCAGACTTCAGACTTCGGACTTCAAAATTGAAATTGGTCAACCTCCCCCAAAAGCCACAACTGTATTTCCAGTAGTGCAGCGACATCATTCATCGGCAAAGCCACCTTAGTCTTCTCATCATGCCACCCATGCGTGCGTTTAACCAGGCTTAAATCATGACCATGAGGCCGAGCGGAGTCAAAATCGATAATAACAGGGGTGTCACCTTGAAACATGATGTTGCACGGGTTGATGTCATTGTGGACGATCCCCAACCCATGCAGATGTTTCAGGCCCCGAGCAATTCCCTCCACCCAACGGTCGACCTCGTCTCGGTCAGCCTCGCCCCTCTCGTGTGCAAAGTCTATCTTATTGCATCTGGTGGAGTTTACTCTGGACATAAGTGTTTCATCGTACTTTGTGAAATAGATGCCTCTGATTGAGCCGTCGTCGACAACGGCGCAGCCGTGGTATTGAGCGATATTCGGGTGCGGGTTTTTCTTCAGCAGTTCGCAGGTTTTCAATTCTTCGACCCAGGTTTCTCTGATCAAGGCTGGGTATTGGGGGCTGTAGGGTGAAAGGCTTGGCTTCTTCAGATACCAAGTTGAACAATCCGATGGCCTTTCTGCTTTTGTGAATTTGTCCGAGAATTCCGGGAAAATGAGAGCCCCTTGGATTTTGTTGGTGCTGAACATGTCGCCAAATTGGATCTCTTCTTTTGATGCATATCGCTTTCGAGAGTATGCTCTGTAGATTGAGCCGGACATTTCGTAGACTATGATGGTCTTTTGGAATGCGAAGTCATCTGCGGGACCAAAATCTTCGGAATATTCGAGAACGTACATTTTGGAGGGGCCCGCGCATCAAACAGGAGGAAAGGAGAAAAAAGCAAGGTCGGCTCAGATAGGTGACTGTTAGGGGATTCAAACGGTTCAAGAATCACAGGATGAAGCGGGTACCGACCTAGTCACGATTAAAAGTACTTCACCGGCTGTTTGCACTTCCTCGTTAGCCGAGGCTTGTGTGAGGGAAACCAGTGACCTTGTGAGTGAGGAGGGACATCCAAATTGGGAGCCCGCCTTTATAACCGAATATATCTCTCGGTCTTGGGCATATCCCCAAGTTTCTTTATTCACACATCAACATGCATCATCCTCATATGTATCGGCAGAGCAAGACGAGAAGGGATATTCTCCCTCCACAATACCATCGAACAGCACTGCGACAAAAGAGTGACTGTCATGACCATCATTACCTGTGTCACGTCCAGCAAGCCACGCCCTGCTCAAGGGACAAACCTCACCTCCATCTAAACGACAATGAGAGTGATACCGTCGAACCTCACCCATATTACCTCCGTCAAGCCTCAAGTACAAAAGAGACGTTTCATTGTTATTTTTGTCCTCGCTTTCGAGGTCAAGGTCCCGGCCTCAAAATGTAAGACTGGACTTGTACTTGAGTTGCATCTGCATTTCTTCACCACTGAACGAATTACAGGAACAAGGTCGAATCCAACATCTGTGTCCAACACCACAAGAGCTGCTGTTATGATCAACATGAAAGCCAGTTTATTCATCTCGAACACGGGTCTCGATCTCCCGAATCGAGTGAAGACGAAGAGCGCCACTACTACACTGGCCATTATCATCCTCAAGGAATCCACTCCAATGAGAGACAGCATCATCCACCCACAGTCAAGCACTTCCACTCAAAAATCTCAAATGACTCGTTTGACCGCGTCCACAGTGACGCTGCGCCACCAGCACGAAGTACTTGTGCTCGTGCGACTGTCTGTAAGTCACATGAGGACGGGTGCGGTAGCAACATAAAAGCCGTCAGATTCGAGGAGGATGACAGGATGCCCGGATATGCCGAGACCCAACATTCCAATTGTCCTATACATCATACTACGTCCGTTGTTGAGGGCGGATATCATTCTCAGCGCAGTTCACATGAACACCAGCGCCAATCTCGAGACTCGAGAACTTACAGGTGGGTTTGGGGCCCTCCGTTGCCCGCGGTGGTCCCTCAACGTGGAAAGATCTATTATGTGGAGAACTATTGAGAGTCATTATGGAATAATTCAATGTGTATTAGAAAAAATAGCCACTTTTTATAAATTTGATCGATCAAAAAGTTGGCAAAATATCAGCTTCCTCCACCCTAGTACCCACTCTCATGGAGCCACTATGCATGCCATGGTCGCAGCCAACGTGGAACTATCCGTATGATACCTTCGCACGATGCTAGGGATTAGCGACGGGCCATTCTGATGGTGGAGACTTTGCATTTGTTGGAGTGTCTGATCCAGTATCCTTTTTTTCTCTTTTGAGTCGGGAACAAAAAGAAGGAAGACTTCATGAAGCCATTTGGGACGCTGTTATGTGCTCCCTCGCTTTTTGGCTTTTCCATAGCCGACATCCAGATTTTCTATCTGTGTGGGTATTCTCGCAAATACATCCAGCGGGCTTATTTGGTTGTACGCCTCCAACACTGACGTAGGTACTTATGACTCCATAAACTTGCACACAGAGGAATACATGGGCAGCTAGGCCTGAAGAAGTCGTGCTCAATGGCTCGAATCAATAGATAGGAATGTCTTGACAAAATTCGAATAATCTTGAAACCTTTCCATAAAACCCTAAATTAATCGGCATGACAGAGAGGCGATCAGGTGAAAGAATCATGGATCATAACAGGCCATGATGGGGAAAGAGATATCACCATCAGAAGCATCTGGAAGATGCAGGAAGATACAGGAGAACAAAGGATCGTGTATGAACCCATCTATGTTGGAGGAGCTCAATAAATGATCTGAGCGGGCGCTTATTCATTTATAGCCGGCGCCAGTGGACCTGCGCAACCTCCAAAGAACCTTGAAACATCGTCAGAGTACCCCGCAGCATAAATACCAGGCAACAACCCCCCTTCGCTCTCACAAGTCTAGAGTGATTCTCCACTTCAGCCCAACTGCCATCTCACCCTATCCCGTTCTACTTGCTCGTGTTCCAAGATGAGTGATGCTGAGGTTCACCACGAACGTGACACCGAGGAGAACAAGCCTATCAACTTCGAATGGACTCCTGAACTCGTGAAGATTGGAACCTCTCGCGGCGCGATACATCCGTCGATTGGTCCCCTCGAATTCTACAACGGCTTCGGACGGGAATATAAGTACCGGCCCGGCATGACCCTGCCAGACCCCGCGGATACGCGGGAGTGTATGAGGTGGGTTGGGCTATCCGACAAGAAGATCATTGAGGTGGAACAAAAGTACAATGAAATACATCCAGATCAACAAGGACCCAGCCGTGGATATGACGAGAAATTTCAGCACCATGAACATGCCTACAATGAAATTACATTCCCTAAGATTGAGGAAATGTTGGATATGTTCATTCAAGGAATGCACGATGACCACGATGAGCCTGAATATACCCATAGTGAGTTTTTATTTAAGCAGTATGATAGGCATTTATCGGCTGATAAAATGAATACAGAGGGTTACATTGAGAAGGGCATCCAGCTAGGACTCCGGCCAGAATTTGCAATATTCTGTGGACTACATGAGACTGATCCCCGAGCTATTGCTGAGCCCCGCCTATTCGAGGAATTATGGTTTGTCATCAACAGCCCAGCATCTATCATGAGTGATACCCTTATTCCGTTTTGGATACAACTTAGGGAATTAATAATGTCGAAGCTGTTATACGAGGGGAAGGCATGGACGGATCGTGATGGAACATGGTTGGTCCGCGAGGGGGAAAATATGGATCAAGCGAAAGCGAGAGTGGATGATCGAGAGCGTCAGAGGCTAAAAGGGCAAGCGATAAAGGAAAATAAAGAAAGACTGGAACGCTACTACCAAGATCAGGCCAGAGAGCACGCGGAGGACTTGGCAAGGTGGGCAGAAGAAGACAGATTGGAGGCGGAGATGCTGAAGCAACAAAGTGACAAAGCCTGTTCGGCAGAAGGATGAGGAAGGAAATTTGGTCAGACGGTCGGTTCATTTGGTCTTATTAGAGTCAATGGGAGATCCTCTGCGTCTATGAGAGTTTGAATATCGAGAGGCAAAAGGATATCTTCCACTTCAAATGAATGCCTAGTGCAATCTCGGGACCTAGGGAAGGGAACTCGCTCAACATAGTCAAAAGAATCAGTACTAAACGTGGAGATGTGGCACTCCAAAACTGACCGATATGGTGGGATTGATCAAGAAGCTATAAGCTGATACTATGAAAATATATCACAAAATAACAGTAACAGTAGTAAAAAACAGCAAAAACAGTAACAACAGTAAAAAGAAAACATATCAAAGGATAACGGTTTTAAATCAGACCAAAATGACGAAATATATAAATGACAAGCCTTGACTGATTTGAAAAACCAATCGATCCAACGAGTGTCGGGTGACTTGTTCTTTCCACGCCCTTCAGGAGGGGTAGGTTCAAATATGATACAAAGGACCTTCTCAATCGTATGGACATGGAGAATAGACTAGCATTCTCTCAGCGCCGCCTGGGATCAGGTCGGGCAGGCCTCGCATGTCTCGGTAGCGATGTCAGTTCGGCAAGCGCCGTGCCTTGAAACCGAACTTGCTGGACATATTCTGGTCTTCTTCGATTCTCGTCAATGTCGGAGTCTTGAGAGGATGGCCTCCCCTGCTCCTGTGCGGGATGGAATGTGGCCTCGTAAGCAGGCCCCGAGGAACGGCCTCGTATGCTACGCAGGAACGCCGCTGTTTCAACATGCGCAGTTGGGGCTATGACAACAGGTCGTTGCCGAGATTGAGCGACAGCGGGAGGTTGTCGAGGAGTACGATCCTGCACCCTATTCGTATGGATAGTCGCATGCCAGTCGGGTTGTGGCACTTCGTCGAAAGTATAAGCAGCATCCAACATTGCAGAAGGGACGTTCTGTTGAATGACCGAGCCATGAACGTTACCATGTCGTGCGCATAAATCTGCGTAGTCTTCTACCCCGCACTATAAATACTATGCAACAACTCCTTCCCTCTCACAATTTTAAAATGATTCTATACTTTGACTGACTGCCAATTTACACTATCCCAATTTATTTGTTCGTTTTTCAAGATGAGTGAGGCTGAGGATCACCCCGAACGTGGGGATCAGCCTAAACACGATGATCAGCTAGAACGTGAGGATCACCCCAAACACGAGGATCACCACGAACTGCAAATCACCCAGAAAGTGAGAATCACCCCGAACGTGACGCCGAGGAGAACAAACTTATCAACTTTGAATGGACTCCTGAACTTGTGAAGATTGGAATCTCTCGTGGGGATATACATCCGTCGATTGGCCCCCACAAATTCTCTAATGGCCACCCAGATTGCACGTACCGGCCTGGTATGACCCTGCCCGACCCTGCTAATACGCGAGAGTGTCTGAGGTGGGTCGGACTATCCGACAAGAAGATCATTGAGGTGGAACAAAAGTTTAATGAACTGTATCCAGATTATCAAGCACCCCGCAGTGGACATGATAGTAAAGTTTTCACCAGGGGTTTCAGCGACATCACCTTTCCTTTGATTGAAAAAATGGCGGATTTGTTTATGCAAGGAGTCCGTAATAATAGGGATGATGACTATGATTACACCACTCACAGTAAGTTTTCCTGTTTAATATAATAGCGTATTTTCAGCTGATTAGATGAGTATAGAGGGTTATATCGAAAAGGGCATCCAGCTCGGACTCCGGCCAGAATTTGCGATATTCTGTGGACTATATAAGGATGATCCCCGAGCTATTAACGACCCCCATCTATTCGAGGAATTATGGTTTACTATCAAGAGCCCACAGAGCGCCATCGATGAGATGATTATTCTGTTTTGGATGGAGCTCAAGGAATATATGGTGACGAGATTGTTATACGAGGGGAAGGCATGGTCGAACTATGGAAGATGGGTGGTCCGTGAAGGAGAAACTTTGGATGAAGCAAAGGCAAGAGTGGACGATCGAGAGCGTCTGAGGCTAAAAGAGCAAGCGATAAAGGAACAGGAAGCAAAGTTTGAACGTGAGCAACAAGAGGAGGAGAGACTGTACGCGGAAGACATAGCGAGATGGGCAGAAGAAGACAGACTAGAGGCGGAGATGCAACAAAGCGACAAAGCCTGTTCTGCAGAAGGATGAGGAAGGAATGGAGCCGCTGTGCATGTCATGGTCGTAGCCAACGTGGAACTCAGGATGTTAGGGATCAGCGACGGGTCATTCTGGTGGTCGAGACTTCGCGTTTGTTAGAGCATCCGGTCCAGGATCCTTTCTTTTCTTTTCATTTGAGAAAGAAGAAACGAAGAGAAGAAGAACTTGATAAAGCGGTTTAGGATCCTGTTATGTCCTCCCTCGTCTTCCAGAGCCGACGCCCAGCTATTCTATCCGCGTAGGTATTCATTTCGCACAACTAGCTCATCGGGAGTTTCTTGGCAAATGTCTCGTTTATATAGCTGTTAAAATGTCAGTCTCGCTTGCTCTGGGCCCGCTGGCTGTGGAAATTCCGAGTACCTTCTAAGTAATGTCATGGCACATGTGGAGCAGCCTTATCATCGAAGAAAGAGAATCCTCCATATGGATTCGAAGCGGCCTCTCGTATAGCGGCGCATAGCGAGGAATGAAGATTGCCAGGGGGATTGTGAATGCAAGGAAGGATAAAGAGCGGGGGCGCCATAGGGAACGGAAACCTATGGCCATATTTCTTGGAGGCTTTACTGTATGAAATATTAACTGTGGTGACCGCTATGAATCAGGCTTCTTGAAAGCTTCACAGATTGCCCTACTGTTGACCAATTGTAATTATGGGCCCTTCGGCTGAAGATTCTACCCCGCATTATTGCTTGTATTGTGTCTTATTTATAGCGGTGTCATCGGGGACGATCGTCTTCTCCGAGGTGAGCTCAGGACAATTGTCGAGATTATGAGCCGCTGACTTCATGCGAATTTTGTTCATCCATATCTTATGGCACGGGTAAGTTGTCCTAACATACAGCGAAGGCGTCGTGAAGAAATGAAACTGTTATGTGCAATCCGGCTTTCTGGGTCCTCTTATTCTCCGCCATGGGTCCCTGACATTTCCGCGTCCTGCAAGCATACTTCAATGGCAGCAAGCTTGACGTGTGAAATTCTGGGTCACTGGACAATTTGAGCTGATGGTGGTGCGGCAGGACTATCGGAGACACTAAAATGGTACCAATGGGATCCAGTGTATGAAGAGAATGAAGACCTATATGTTAGTGAAGGGGCAGAATATTCAGCCAGGTATACGGCCTCTATCCTTAAAGATATAGGACATACAATTCGACTGCCTGCGGGCGCTTATTTATTTATAGCCGGCGCCAACCTTGGAACCTCAGGACATCATCACTGTACCCCGCACCATAAATACCCCATCCAAGAACTTATATTTGCTCCCACAAGTCCAAAGTGATTCTACACTTTGGCTCGACTGCCATTCCACCCTATCCCCTTTTACCTGCTCGTTACAAGATGTGAGATCCTGAGGATGAGCCCAAACGGGAGGATGACCCCGAAGGTAACACCGAGGAGCTCAGATCCATCATCAAAATGAGTGATGCTGAGGATCACCCCGAAAGTACCACCGACGAGATCAAACCCATCAACTTCGAATGGACTCCAGAACTTGTGAAGATTGGAACCTCTCGCGGCGCGATACATCCATCAATTGATCCCGTCAAATACGAAAACGGCCTCCCGAATTACAAGCCCGACATGACCCTTCCAGACCCTGCTGATACGCGGGAGTGTTTGAAGTGGGTTGGACTATCCGACAAAAAGATCGTTGAAGTGGAACGGAAATTCAATGATCTATATCCAGATTATCAAGGACCCAGCTGTGGATATGACGAGAAACACCACCGGACTGGCTACAACGAAATTACGTTTGCAAAGATTGATAAAATGTTGAAGATATTCATCCAAGGAATGCATGATGACCACGATGAGTTTGAATACACTCATAGTGAGTCTTTTCAGTTCGTGTAATATGTTATTCTCAGCTGATCAAATCGATATAGAGGGTTATATCGAGAAGGGCATCCAGCTAGGACTCCGTCCGGAATTTGCAATATTCTGTGGACTACATGAGGATGATCCCCGGGCAATCGAAGATCCCCGTCCATTCGAGGAAAATTGGTTTGATTTAGGCCCGGCGGACATCATGGCGGCGAAGTTGGTTCACGAGGGGAAGGCATGGGAGGGTGGGGGAAGATGGTTGGTCCACGAGGGAGAAACTATAGATCAAGCAAAAGCGAGGCTGGATGATCAAGAGCGTCAGAGGCTAAAGAGCAAGCGACAAAGGAATATGAAGCAGAATGGGAGCTGGAGAGACAAGAGCATGAAAGATTGATTGCAGAAGAGGATGCAAGATTTGCAGAAGAAGCCAGACAGGAGGCGAAGATGCTGAAACAACAAAGCATAGACAAAGCTGTTATGCAGAAGCATGAGGAAGGAACGCAGTGAATTTATGTTGACATTGAGACTGACTGGGTAAGACACAAATACTATGAATGACATTACCATCCTTACTGAATGTTCCACTCGATATAATATCAGTAGCAATACTTTTGAAACTACTCATCTTGGTCGATACTTTGCCATAAATGCTCGGAGCTATGAGTGTGAAATTGATATCAATGGAACACAGAATTTCTGAGGATGTATCCTGTACAGTAGTCGATTCCATTGTTAGTCCGTTGACAGTATCAGCCCGTGGACTGTGAGATATTTCCGTTAAGGGTGGATAATCAAGAGTGGGCGAAATCGTTTTTGCTGTCTTCATCAGCATCGAAATCAACACCAAGGCTGCTTCACTGGCTAACAATAGGGTTTTCATCGCTGAAGATGAATTTAATCTTGATTCAACTTTTATCGGGCTGAACGGCGGTCCATTTCAAATCTTGATCTCTCTCTGTTGGCTTGAGTTATCGAACAACGTCATAGCCACCTACTAGGGCGGTCTTATAGTAGGGACCTTGGAAAATCCAGCCAACCAACCTTGGAGTTCTATAGCTTCAATGTTGAAATAGTACAGATGGAACTATACTGCACGTGTGGGATGTATTTCTTGCAAATATGTCAATAATGGAATGTATCGAATGAATTGTAAAAGTGTCTAATTTCTTCTAGCCCTGTAAAATCCCTCATCTTATTGAATTTATAATGAAATTAGAAAGAAGGGCAACGATGCCGGATTCCATTGACTGAAAGCAGCCTGAACTGAAATGTTTCATTGCGATACAATACTATGCAATTCGTATGCTGGCTATGTCAAACTGTATAGGCGGTGTCAATTTTACTTCCGTGGATGGTCCAGATTATTTGCAAGTCAAAATGCCGAGTTAGGCTTAGCGTTGAAATCCCGATTCCATGTTAATTAATCACAACGGTTCGAGTCATCGTGCACGGATCAGTATATTTCCGACCGGCATATGTGTAGCATGTTCTTCAACATTTTATAACTCAAATCTTACAATCGTGTGTTTCCGATTGCCTTTTTTTCTCACTTCGCCAGGCGGGCCTCTTCACAGAATGCGCGCAGCATGCTGGACATGCCGCAGTCGCACTATCAGATGTGACCAAACCAGCATCCCTTGCGCCAAGTGCGAGAAAGCTGAGTTGGAATGCTTTGAACAAAGACCGCTTCGATGGGTCAAAGGTATAGCAATTCGGGGTAAAATGCGCGGACGTATTCTTGGAGAGAATCTCAAAACATCCAGTGAAAATCCACCTCCGCAACTAGAAAGGGAACAAGTCATACATTCCCGCGCGAAGTCTTTGATAACAAATATTACTCCCTCGTTTGCCTTGCAAGACCCTTGCATACACGATCTCGACCGGTCATCGAGATTCTATCTTGATTATTGTGGGTTTATATCGAGCTTAATATCTGCGTGGGTACGCTAATGCCAGACAAAAGATAACATACGCATCGCCAAGTTGTTCATTCTATATGACAGTGAGAGCAACCCGTTTAGAAGGTTACTCACTTATGCTATGGATAATTCAACCTTGCAAAAGTGCATAATTGCCGTTGCTGCACGGCACTTTGCTAATACAGGCCAGTCATTCGACCAGGGCGATGACGCTTTGTCCCCTCGATTTGTCAATGCCAATTTGGATGCACTCCATTTCAAAAAGCAAACTATCAAGGCATTATCATTGTCATTGTCCCATCCAGAGTCTTCACAGAATGACGCGATAATGACAACCATTCTCCTTCTAATTTTTCTTGATCTCCTCGAGTCTGGCATCGAAGGTTGGAAATATCATCTCCATGGTGCAGAAGGCCTCGTCAATCTTTCTCACTCGCTGCTGGGGCCTAGTACTAGTGCATATGTCAACAACGACCCTGGAGAGACAATAGAGGAGACAAGGCGATTCCTCGCCCGACAGTTTTCGCTGTATGCTTCTTCTCATTCTTCTCTATCATCAGTTTATATTGTGATGTCGCTGACAATCGTAGTATCTCAACCTTCGGAGGTGCACTATCAGGTCCAAAGTCGAGGCCAGGGTTTTGTATCGACCTTGAAGAAAGCAGGCATCAAGAGTCCATTATTAGGAGCTTTCTGGGATGTCCTGTATTCCTTCTAGGAGCTATTCGTTATTTCTCCAACCAAAGACACGTGGTTGAGACGATACACATGCATGATGACCACTCGATTCATCAGCATGTACGAGATACCGTTACTATGCTTGAGCTGACAGCAAACTTTGATTGTCTGGAATGGGCGTCAAACTCCGTTCAGTCTAGAGTATCCTCAGCAGCGGAGATTCTGAAGCTTTCTTTGCTATCGCAAGCATACAGAACTGCCACCATGCTCTATGGAAAACGAGTCCTTCGTGCTTTCAAGACATCCACTGGGACCACAGCATCTGACAATAAGGAGTTGGTCTGCCGATTACTCGACGTAATTGACTCTCTCAAATGCGACCCGGCTTTGTTCAAGTGCCTACTATGGCCAACCTTCATTGCCGGTCTCGAATGCCAGACTCATAGTGACCAAAAGGAGGTGGTCATTGGATTTCTAAAGATGCTTTGGAACCTGACCTGTTGTTTGAATGTGATAAGCGCTTCAAAAATTCTGCAGGATAATTGGAAGCGAAAGCATTTCGATGGCAATTTGGAGTCGGGGGAATCAGAATTATATGTAATAGAACAAGGCTGGCTGCTTATTTGATCTATGGTATTGCTTTCACGGAAGATTTGCAATGAATACAAAGTCTGGTTTGGACCCCCACGGAAGCCCATCATAAAAAGCAAAAGGGTCAACAGAGTAGTTGCAAAGCCACCAAATCCTAGTGAAGTCTAAAAATCAATGACAATATATCTGGCCCAAATATACAAGATAAAATATCAAATTGGTGCTTATGGGTTGGCGAAAGTACTGTTAGCCATTAAAGACCAAAAATTCTTTCACCATGCCAATGAAATATTGTTGTCGTGCTGAATCTTGTCGAGCGACCGTCTTCGACGATTTGAAGTACAACTTCTAGCATACTCATCACAAAGGAGTACATCGAATATTTTCAGTCCGAGTCACTTTATTCTATGATCATCTATCTGGACTGGTGGCGCATAACACCACACCATTTAGAAATTTGGGCCCACATGCCATAACTTCCTATACGGGCGATTAGAGCTTACCAACCATCCTCCCATGTATTTTCGGATATTATCCGACTATTGAAAGATTCTCCCATAGATGTGAGAGAACTGTGAATGACATGTGTCATTGCGCGCAAATTTTCAAAGTCGCGCCGGATAGCCAAGTCCCCACCAATGCCCCACCTAGTATAACTTCCTAATCGGGTAAGTATAGTTTCACCACTATCAACTTCAACCTACGAGGCCCGAGAGATATCCAGGCTCACGAGAGACAGATTTACTTATAAATCATTTCCAATTAGATGCCTTCAATCTCTATTGGACACAACATGAATTTTATTTTCTGCATTTGAATTAATAATGGGGTGATATTGGAGAACGAATATTTAAAGACTATATCCCGTCCGTTTTCATTACTTTTTTGGCATCATTCAACGGACTCTCACCACTATCAATTGCCTTCCACTTCTACTCAAAAACTTCTCCATTCTTCCAACTCTTTCCACTACACAATGTGTCATCAGGAAATTGCCGCCAATGGCTGGACCAGCGTAGCGGCTAATGCGGGCGCCATCTTTGGTGATCAGCCTTTCATCAATAAGCCGGGGGCTCTCGCTCTCACTGACATCAAATTTCCATTTGATGATCCAACGGTCGCGAAGACTTTGAAGTACGCAAAGGAAACCCTACATCCCGAAACCTTCAATCATTCGATGAGGGTCTACTTCTACGGTATGCTTGGATTCTGCATATAGCTCAAGTAATACCAAAAGTTAAATCTAACCTCTCTTAGGAATGGCTATCACCAAGCAGCAGTTCCCCGAGCAAGCTGCTGCTCTTAACCCGGTGACTTGGGCATTGGCATGCTTGCTACATGATCTCGGCACGGCTGAGGAAAACCTAACGGCAACCCGGATGTCTTTTGATATATATGGGGGCATCAAGGCCCTCTTTGTCCTCAAAGATTTTGGCGCCACTAAAGATCAGGCCGAGGCAGCTGCTGAGGCAATCATCCGACACGAGGATATGGGAGTGGATGGAACGATCACATACATTGGTCAACTCATCCAGTTGGCCACGACTTACGACAATACCGGTTTCCATCCACACGTCCAGGATTTCGGCAAAATGATCCATGAAACCACCCGCACTCGGATAAACGAGGCCTATCCGCGCATGAAGTGGTGCGCATTCTTCGCTAGCGTCATTCGCAAGGAGGAGAAGATCAAGCCCTGGTGCCACTCGACCCATCTTGTCAACTTTGACAATGAGATTGAGGCCAACGCCCTCATGAAGCAGTGGGAGTGAGAATCGATCACGCAATGCTCACCGATTTCTATCTTTCGGCTTTGGGGTCTCTGTGGCTGCGCCCACTCAACATGAAGTTGACTAGAGACCAGATAAGGAAAGCTCGTTGAAAGGAGTGGCGGCATGTATGAAACCAAATTCTAAGACATATGGTTGAATTCAGTGCTTATAAATTTTCAATGGCCACGTAAAATGACTTATTCTGGCATTCTAAGAGAAAGACTAAACTATAACGCATAAAGAATTGTCGAAAAGAAAATCGGGGCAGTTGGGTGGTCCCCCTCTTTATATGTATAGCAGGAACGACTACACATTACACCATGAGTCTGACCATCCTCCAGGGATGCACCAGACAGTTACATAGGGATACTGAAATATATATCACCCCGCCCTACGCGATATTTCTCTTGGGCATCATGATATTGGCCTTTCGTTTTGACATAAGCGATGTCACATGTGAACTTACTGACGGTGAAAAACAATGGCAATCGAATATGAAGTCGCTGCTAATAAGCTACTAATTTTCGGTACTAGTCAATGGTATTAATAGTCATATATTGTACAGGCTCAAGGTGCCAGCAAAGTAGAATAACAGATTGCAATCTAAAAGAGCATCCCTTCCTTGTCTTGTCTTGGATGTATATACACGCCAGAAGCACTGCCATCAGTTCTATCACTGGAATATTGACATATCCACAACAGAAGAAACAAATAAACAAAACGTTAACAAAGTAATTAGAAAACATCCAGTTTCAAATATCATCATCACCATCAACCACAGCTATAGCACGTCCACTAAAAGAGCGCTACTATTTCTCATGAACCTCCTCGATCTCTTGGCCACTGTCACTGCTAAGACCAAGCTCGTTCTTCTCAGGTGCGGCATGATCGTTGGTATCCAAGCCCAGATCACGAGACTCCTGGGTGATTTGTTCGAAAGTGAGCTTGGGCATGTCGTGAGCGACCCTGAACGGCATCCTCCCTTCGACATGGGCTTTGGCGTAGATTATGTCGATCTCCTCAAGCTCACGGCCGGCGGTCTCAACATAGAAGAAGAAGCCGAATATCAAGCCGATGAAGTTGAACAGTGCGAAGAAGAGATAGACGCCCCATGCACTCTGGCCAGCGAAAAGTGGCGTGAACATGACCACGGCAAAATTGCAGATCCAGTTAGTGCAGGTCGACGCCGACGCACCTATAGTACGGGTACGGAGGGGGTTGATCTCCGGTGGGTAGATCCATGGTAGTGGCAAGAGAGTGAATGCAAAGAAGGTGATAAAGAGGAAGATACCGACGGCAGCGCCCTTAGCATTCGACTCGCTCTCCTTGATCAAGCAAGCGAATGTGATAACAAAGCTGAGTCCCTGGCCTAGGAAACCAATCAAGTATAGGTTGCGACGGCCAACTCTCTCAATCATAAAGAAGGATGGGATGGTTGCAATGGCGTAGACGGTAGCGAACACACCACCCATAATCAAAGACAGGCTCTTCTCCATATGCAGATTTTCTTGGAAAAGTAGCGTTGAATAGTAGATAGCGGCGTTACAGCCGGTGAACTGCTGGAAGAACTGGCCGGAGCAACCAATAAGAAGACGCTGGAATTCCTGGGTCTTGCCACCTGTGAATACCTGCTTCCAGCTTGACTGTGCGCTCTTCGAGGATTCCACGTCCATCTTTAAGAAGTTGAAGTCGTGAAGGACTTTGTCAGAATCAGGAGTGGTGCCATTGAGCTTAGCGAGAACTTCGCAGGCCTCCTTGTCGTGTCCTCTGTTCACAAACCACGATGGGGAATCCGGGAGCATCAAGGCACCGAGAGCAATAACCATAGCGAAGAAGATCTGGAGTGCTATGGGGAATCGCCACTGGACAGTATCCGCGGCGTGCGAGAGACCAAAGACTACCCAGTAGGCAATAAAGGTGCCACCAGCGATCATCGCACCTTCAAAGCACACCAGAAAGCCACGATTGTGAGCGCCGGAGCATTCCGATTGCCAGACCGGGATTGTTGCCGTGTTCATGCCATTTCCAATGCCCGAGACAACACGGCCGACGACGAATTGACCGACTTCCCATTTACCAGTAAAGCAGACTGTTGTAATCAAGGCACCAACGATCAGGACATTGGCACCCATAAAGATCAGGCAAGTGCGGCCGAGTCTGTCGCCGTAGAACATGGAGAACAACGCGCCGAAGAAACAGCCAAGCTCATAGCAGGATGTGACAGCACCGCGGATGACGTTGATGTAGTGTGTTTGCGCCGCAGTGGCAGGGTCAGGCATTTTGAGGATTGGGAAGGAGTTTACAAACTCGTCGCCGTTGAGGAGGCCGGCCATCATGCCCTGGTTGTAGCCGAAGAGCGAGAAACCCATAACAGCGGCGATGGTGATGCTCACCCGGAGCGACCGACCACTCAAGCCGCTGGTGGTCGTCCACATGTTGACGGTACGGACAAAGAGCCGTCAGTTTGGGGAGTGGGGTAAAAGGAAGTTGGGGAAGAACTATGTAGTAAGGAAAGAAAGAGGACGAGCTCGGGACAGAGGAATTGGCGGTCTTATAGCAAGCACCTCCATGGGGGATGTAAAGCAATACGGTAATTAAAATCTCGAATTTATATCGCAACCTCGGCCAGACCTCAAACGGGAAAGTCCAGCGAAGGCGGTGCATTTCCCGAAGCGGAGAGACGCGGGGGAATCCTTCACCTTGGCACTTGGCGGGGGACTTGGCGGGGGCACGGGGGCACTTGGCGGGCGCATATCCAAGGTTGGCGGGCACCCTTGGCGGGTCCACGGGTCCACCGGTCTGGGCGCGGATGACTAATATGGAGGCCGACTTCCACCTGGGAGTGTCCAGTATAGATCCAGCCTAGGGCTGGATCTCTTTTATTGAATTCTACCATACTTTCCTCTATGTAGTACATTTTACTCTCCTCTCTTCAACATGATATACATATTATCCATACTCGCATCCTACTATTATAGTATATGTTGTACCTGAAGGCGCCAAGACCTTTTCGCCCCAACATGACGTCGAAAATTTTTCGCCAAGTTTCTCAAATCGCGCTAGAGAAGGTTTGCCAAGCCATTTATCAAGCTCCGGACCAACGAAACCCAAATTTTTTGTGGCGCGGCACAAAGGCACAAGGCACACGGACCGGTGCCCTGTGTCAAGCCGGCTTTCCGATCATGCTGTAGGAGTAAGGAGCACGTGGTATCGGGATCGACTCGGTATCGCCGTATCCTGTCGTATGTATGTATTAGTATTAGTATTTATATAAATCGATATTAAAAAAACGATTTCCGGGGGTCACCCCAGGGCTAGTCCTTCTCCCCACGCCAAGAATTGTAAAATCTCAAGTCCGCCCCATTTCAATCTCGCGTAGTAGTCACACTGACAGTATTATGGCATGGTTAGATGCAGTTTCCATACACAGCCGAATCCCATCAGAGGGGTCTATGGGCTTTCCGGTGCCATGTATTAATTTGCTTGGCATAAGAAAACAAACGGTTGAACTTAGAATAAGCAATGCGGAATACTACGCTCCCAGGAGCAAGCCAAGCTTACAGCCATAATACATCTTAGCGATGACATCAGGACTCGCTAGACTTTCCAATGTGTGTCTATCCTTGCGGTATTGATTATATACTCATTCTATATGGACTATGGACTACGAAAAATAGTATAAAAAGATAGAGCAGGCAGTGGGTTTCTGGTTAAACACATTCTAGAATTCGTAGGACCCCTGCTCATTGGTCCGCACGAATCGAATTGAATCAGGCAAAAGTTCGATTCGAGGTTGGCGATGTTCAACTTCTAAAGCAGATTTTAGGGACCCGCTACGTAAGGCGATTTGATTATCTTGATATGTGACAATTCGGCGAGTGATCGGCATTTAAACAGATGCAAGTGTAGCGGATAAAGGGCAAAACTACCTAAAATTATCCGTTACTGGTAGGAGAAAAGGGAAACGGGAAACTCCGTCGAGCGAGTGAAAGTAGCGTAAATTGCTCGAGTGAGGCATTTTACTCTTCACCTGGCTCATGGGCCCCGCCACTTCCGTCATTTTCGGGACTAGTCAGACCACCCGTAGACAAAGAGCGCTAAATCCAAGTCAAGGCTAAACCTAATGGGGTAATACACTATACCTAATTTGACTAGAACTAAAATGACCGTGTGATTTGAAACCGAAAAATCGTGGTTTTCCACCTATGTGTGTACCTAGGTACCTATGTCGTAGAAATTTTAGACTGGATATTGCCCTAGCGTGGACGCTACACCCACCGGGTTAGTAACCCGATACTAGCGCAAGTATAGAGAAGAGATAACTAATTGACCGAAACTTCCCGAGATAATATATATACGGAACCGTGAGAGCCCTTCTAACGTGAGTGCAAATGGAGCGTAAAATGGCTGTCTATGTCTTTCGATGGCTGTTTCGATCTTTCTCTTTTTTCTTTCGAAAGCCTTATGGACCATAGTGTTCCTTGCAAATATTCAGCTCTATCGAAGTATGCCTGCGCTCGTAAGACGCCTTTAGTGATAGTAGTTGAGACTGTATAGATCTCCGGGATACGGCGACCGCTTGGAGATGTGGTGAGATGTGATGTGGGTTGAGGGATATGGATGTTTACATGCGGTCTATCGGCATCTGCTTAAAGCTTTTCAAATTCGAAGGCTGCTCTGGGTCTCGATATAGCCGTCATGAAGCCTTGTCATCGTGGAAGGCCACAATAACACTATGTTAACCTCACAAACTCTCGCAGACTTAGCGTTTGCGGCCTCAACATTACGCCACTTCGCCAGTCTTAGTGCCTTAATCCAACCCTGTCACGCTCAAGGTAAGTGACCGCCTCACTAGCAGCAGCAGGCACCGAGGTCGCCCGTCATGCGCACTGGTTACAATGGCAAACCCCAGAAGCTTGTTTCTACCGGTCATCCCTTTCAGCAAAATTACCAGGGGCAATGGCCACGATCCCACCGTTGATCGTCACAGAGCGAATCCTTTGCTGCATATAATCCATTTAATCCCAAGCCGTTAGGTGCAGAACGTGCCCTCTGTGGCAACCAACCCCTCAGTCTTGTCGTTAGCCGTTAGTCGAACCCCTTGGCCGAAAGTAGACAAGGATTACATTGCTTTTGCCGTCTGCGAGGACTTCTGCCTTAGGCAGTTTGTCGTTCATGGTGTCACATACTTAGCCTGTTGACGCCTCTGGCGGTACTCGCTCCTTGTCACTGCACCACGCGTCGAAGGTGAATGTCGCCCAGAACACGGCGCCTCTTGGCAATGTTTCCGAGAATCGACATGCGGCTATCTTTGGCGTGGGCGTTGGGTTCATTGCGTTTGACTCCATTATCATCGCGCTGCGTATCTATGTACGCGCCTTTATGCTGCGCGCTTTGGGGGCGGATGATAGTAAGTCAATGGAGCCCAATGAACGCCACGATTGTGCATGGTTGTCCGGGCGTATAAAGTATAACGGGTTTACAAATAAGGTTGAAGGTGAGATCTTAGCGTAGATAACGATATCTGATCGACTTAAATTAACTTATTTCCAATTAATTAATTTATTAATTCTACCTAAGTTTACTTTTTAGCTCTGGTTTATGGCCATAGAAAAGACTGAAGAGTACTGCGACTCGGTCATAGCTCATATTTTTCTTCTTTTGCCAATTCGCTTCGTACACAGTCACATTGTTGATTGAAATCCTCACTATGACCTAGTATAATGTCCACTCGGGTTACGTGACGTTGTAAATTCAAGTTTATCCATTGAAGGACTTATTCTCGAGATGGAGCAACTGCGAAAGCAGCTCTTCCGCCGCTGCACAATGCAGATAAGCAATCTTAGAAGCAAAATTAAACCCCTATTCTCCATCATTGACACACGATGAAGAAAACACCCATCGCCAAAATGCAATTAAACATAATACGCAGAATCTTATTGAAATACTTCCCATTTCCTTGAATGAAATGACTGACATAGATAATTTATATCAAACGGATCAGCATAGCTCTTCGAATTTGCTCAGCCGAAGGAGACAAATAAGTTGTGACTTATAATTCAAGCAACCACTATGTGGTTAGAGGCCCCTCGCAGAAAGCACGTTTTTCAACCTCTGTTGAAACTTTGGTACACGTTCTGGGGAGATCATCGTATAATGCTGGCCATCCACCTCATGGAACTTGAGATCATTGCTCACAAACTCCTCCCAACGGTTCAGCTGTGTGTAGCGATACTCTTCCCTCGATGCTGCCACGCCTCGTAACGGATCACAGAAGAAAACATCCATACAAGAGACTGTACCGGATGGATCGTAGTTACGGCCGATATTTGCAAGGGAGAAAGTCACTTCAGTCCAGGTATCCAGCGATACAAGTGTTATTCCCAACTCAGCCCTACGGACTGGGTTCGCTTCGGCCATCACTCGTGCCAGCTGCTCTGACTTAGGCAAGGGGCATATCTCAGGTGCCAATTCATCAGCACGGTCTTCTGAAAAGAGGTCACAGAAAAATGCAACGTGTAAAAGACACCCTGTCCAGTCTAGTCGCCTCATGACATGCTTGATGTATGGTGGTAGGTCGAAGCTACCTATGAACTTTACTTCATCACCAGCTGCTTCAATCTTCTTTGCGAGTTCAAAGGCGACCATGCCACCATATGAATATCCTGCTAAGGCGTAGGGCCCACTAGGCTGTTTTTGCTTCAGGGCATCGTAGTATGTGGCATGGAGGTCATCTAGATCCTGGAAGGTTTCCTCGCCCGGGTTGAAGCCGCGTGGTCGCATTGCATAGATGGGCCGGTCCGGGAAATGCTGAGCTAACGCGAGGAAGACTAGAATCTCGCCGACTCCCGGATGGAACAGCCACAAAGGCGTCTTGGATCCGTGTGGTTGTAGTGTGACAACTGGCTGATACACACTAGTGAGATCTGAGGCCTTCAGCTTCTGGACAGCCGCTGCTAGGGATCGAATGGTTGTGTTGGTCATGATGGTGATCATGGGAATATCTTCAATCCCGAAATCCACCTCAACAGCTCTCTTCAATCGAATCAAATCCACTGAAGTGATTCCAGTGTCTAGAATCGGCATATCAATATCAACGTCCTTGTCGAGTCCGAGCGTCTCCTTGAAAACCGCGACAAGTTTATGCTCAATATCATTGCTAGGCCCGGAGAAGTGCGACTCTCGATATGCTTGTAGTACCCGATCGTTCAAGATTTCCTGGTCCTTGTATTTCCCTTCTGCCAACGCATTTTGAATTTTCGGCCGCGATAGCTTTCCTAGGGTTGTCTTTTCCAGGCGACCAGGTGGCAAGGGCAGAACTCGTGGCCGTGCGGATGTAAACAGAATAACAGTGCGCATCAGCGTGTGCAGCGTCGACATACGGGCCTCAATATCATCACTTGCGAAATCGTGTTGATATACGACATAAATTTCCTCGGGGCTGGTGTTAGATTTCTTGTGGGAGAAACACACAACAAACGAAGGGGCCACTCCTGGAATACGTGCTTGTTCAATAGCACCTTCAATCTCATATGGTAGAAATTTGACAGAATTAATGTTGATCAGCTCTTTGAGTCGACCTGCCAGCTTTAGCTGGCCCTCTGCATCAATTGTACCAAGATCTCCTGTCCGAAACCATCCATCCTCCGTGAAGGCGGCCTTGGTAGCCTCGTCATTGTTGAAGTATCTTGAGAACACGACAGGTCCACGTACTTCCAGTATACCGGCGTCATTGGCTGCGCCACTGTTCACGCCATTGGACTGGGGTCCAGGGCTGGGCTCGTTTGCGTCAATCGGCGCTATCCGTATCTCGATGCCTGGAATGCTGGAGCCAAGGGCACCAGCTTCGCGTTGCGCCTTGATATCGATATCAGGGAAATTGCGATTGTAAATGGCTCCCGCACAAATTTCAGTCATGCCAAAACCCGGAGTGATGAGGTTTGATGGTGAAGCTCCCAGGCTTTGTAAATGCCTTGTAACTCGCGAACCAGTATCGACATTGTTAGGCTCTCCACCCGAAACCAAATAGAGTAGTTTGCCGAGATTGAATTCTTGCTTAGCCTCTTTGGATGTCGTATCCAACATCACTAGAAGCTTGCGCAGGAAAAAGTCCGGCGCGAAGGTCATGCAAACTTTGTGCTTGGATAGCAACCGCAGGAATAGCAGTGGATTGCTGAGAACCTCGGGTGCCTGGATATGAATCTGGTCGACTCCCGCGTACATAGAAAGAAGATGCGTTTCCATCAGGCTGGCAACGTGATCTAGACCAATCCAATTGAGCACGGAACTGCCATCGCTAACTGGCATCACCGCCAATTTTCCACGAATCGAGGCAAACATTTGCTGGTGCGTCAGGCACACGGCCTTGCAATTGCCAGAGCTCCCAGAAGTGAGCATGAGGACAGCAACATCGCTGTCGTTGGCATGACCCTTACCATCTCCATTGATCTGGCTGTAGGTAGCACTGTCCGATTCCGTGTCTTTGAGGCCAGAATCTTCAAATTCCTCCACTGCTACAGTACGTAGAATTTCGTTCTCCCCAAACGAGTCTGTAAGTAAATCCCGACGACTGAGCAGCAAAGGATCTTGCAACATATTGTGTAAATGTTTGAAATGGGCTTTACGGCCCTCGCTCGTGCTAACCAAAGGAGGAGATAGGGCTGGCACACTGCCAGCTAGGATGGTTGCCCAGAACCATGTGATATTATCCAAATGACGCTGGAAATGGACAAGGATGACACCCCCGGGGCGAAATTCTGCACGTCTTCGTAGCCAGGATGCTCTCTGTAATGCCTGATTGCGCAGCTTGGCATAGCTGAGCTTTACCGGATGAGTTCGGTCGCCTTCAGGGTAGGCAATAATTCCAGCGGACAAAGCGGCTACTTGATCTAGAAGAGATCTGATATTGAATTTTAGGATAGGATCCATATTTGATGTCCTTGGCGCTTTAATAGATGAAAAACGGAACGAGAAGTAAAATGAGCAATTGACGAAAGAAGAAATTGACGAAAGGAGCAATTGAAGAAAGGATTATCATGGGAAACAGAGGCATAGACCGGCATCGGCTTGTTTGGCCCTATACTATTATCCAGCTATCGTTACAGATAATTAGCGCCGGATTTGACACCGAGCTTGGATTCAATATCGCAAGCCCCAATTTACTACCTGTGCATGTAGATGTTCAATTGGTTACATCGACTTTCATATTATTCCGCCTTTTGGGGGCCGGACCCAGTCTTGGAACACGCTTAAGCAAAGTTGGTTACATCGCTTACATGCATCATGCATTATTACATATTACGCCTGCAAGGGGCCAGGCAAACATCATCCTAGGCGCCATTTAGCCGTACACATGTCGACTAAGAGAATAAATCAAAGTTCACGAATCCCTCCGTTTAGGCTATCCAAGAATCAAAGATCCCCCTTATTCCTATCATGACTGCCATCTCCTCTTTGAGCAACTCCAACCATGGCTACTGATGAGCAAATCGACCACATCGCCATTGTTGCCTCTGCGGTAACATGGCCGTTCGCAGCAATCAGCACTGTGCTATTCTTCATGCGCATATTTGCACAGTTGCGACATACAACTCAAAAGTCTTACTGGGAAGACCTCATGTTAACCCTTTCTTGGAGTTTTGCTATCGTGCAAGCAGCCATTTTTCAGGTAGCGCTGAATGCCGCGAAGGGTCTCGACGACACTAATCTACCGGCTACCGTCCCCAGGGCTGCTTTCTGGGCGATCCTGAGTAACAACTGGTCATTTTTAAGCATAGAGCTTCCGAAAGTCTGCGTCGCTATTCTACTTATTCGCCTATTTCGACCGGCACTCTGGCTCCGGATTGTCATCTGGAGTCTTTGCGTGACAATTAACGTACTGGGAGTTGTTGGCTTCATAATAACCTGGGTAATGTGTAACCCGGTGGCCGGACAATGGAATCCCTACAAATATCCCACGGCCAAGTGCTGGCCTCGCTCGATCCAGATCACCTACGCCTGCGTATTATGCGGTATCTCCTCATTTATCAACATTGCCTTCTCCGTTTATCCAGCCATTGTGGTTTGGAAGCTGCAAATGGCCCGCTGGAAAAAAGTCAGTACAATTGGACTTATGAGCTTGGGGCTGGTGTAAGTAAAAACATCTCCTTTGCTCACAACTCCAAACTAATCCAAGCAGAGCTTTCGCTTTTTCTGTGATCAAGCTCTATTATATGACATTTTTGCTTGCGGGTCCAGGTCCCTTGGATCTCATCTGTAAGCGTCTCTCCCAGCTGACACTTACCAGTCTTGACGCTAAACTTGACAGACCTCTGTGCCCAACTCGGCATTTGGAATCGTATTGAGAACGATTTCGTTTTGATGGTCGGCCTTTTGCCCTTCATACCTGCCTTCTTCCAGGCCTGCACGAGTCTCAAGAAGACGCGCTCCTCCTCAAACGGCTCACACTTCAAGAGCAATCAATATTACTCAATCAATTCCAACAAGCAGCACAAGGACCCCGACGACCAACTTGAAGTGGAAATGACCTCGCTCGGGCGACAACTCAAAGAAGATGCCTCATCCTCTCTCAGTTTTGACAGGAATAATGGAGGAAAGCTAGCTAAGCCCGCAAGTTTCTCTTAATACTCGACATTCTCTCTTTTCTTTGCTTCTCTTGATTCTCTCCAGTCACGTTAGATCAAATGTAAATATGCTATACTGTATTCAATACAATACTGTTTTTGTTTGGTACTTAAGTCATTGTAGAAAGCATTAGTTCTTGTTTTTCTCAAATCTCACGCTAACGTGGAACTTCAGGCCGACCAGGGCGACGACGATGCAACAAAAATCCTTCGGCCCCCAACATTCTAGTATAATCCCTGTCTTGAAAGATGACACATGCCAAACGTAGATAAAAACCCTAGTGTCTTTTCGTCACGTTGCAGATGGCGTACAATAGCGCGTTTTCAATTGAGGGGTTCTGGGCTTGGCTGGGGGCGGGCCCCAAAAGCCAAGAAGAGGAGTTACATCTGTTGCGCTCATCGTTCCGAAAGAACCATGCCATACCTGTATAAGCGAGCAGCTAAAAATATGGTAGGTTTACGGCCGAAGTACTTGCTGCAAGTGCTATCCCTTAAGAAGTGATGGTTTCCTTTGAAAGCGCTATTCGCAAATTTAATTTCAACATATACCTCACCATTACTCTCAATGGACCGTGCAAACCTCACCAGTCGCGCCACCGAAATTGCTGAGGTTGTTCGCAGCCTAGCAGGCGATCTGTCTTCGCAGGGAATCCCCGAGCCTTCTTTCGAACATGGATTACCCGCTGTGCTGCAGACCGATGCGCCGGATTCAAATGCCCTGGCCGCACGCATTAAGCTCCTGGGCTTACTAGATGAGCTACGTGATCTCTTAACCGATCCAGCACTCTTGGGTAGCCCTGAATTGGTGAGTAAAAGGAAATTACACTATTCAAACTGACTAACCTCTTTAGCGTAACCCTTCTTTGAGTATATTGGCATTGGTTCGCCTGAAGATCTTTGAGAATTTTCCGAGTGAGGGAACTACCATCAAAGATCTAGCACAGCGCGTTAATCGCAATGAGAATATTGTTCGCCGATTGATGTCTCATGCCGCCACCTATCATGTCTTCTTCCAAGAAAAGCGTGATTTTTTCATCCACACAGCTGGCTCCCGTATTCTATCGGAGAATGAGGGTATGCGTTCTTGGATGCTGGTCGGACTTGGCGAGACCATGCCCGGTGCCCTTAAAGTATGCGACAAGTATACCCAGCTCCTGTTCATACCAAGCTGATATCCCAGATTGCCGAAGCTGTATCGCAAAACAATGACTCTGAAGAGCCACAACATAGCGTAAACCATTCCAGTGACAAACTATGTAATGCAAGTTAGCTAATAGCAGCAGGGATGGAGTATACAAAATGGCACTGATCTCCCGGTCTTCCAAGCCCTCGCCAACATGCCTGAACGCGCGAAGATCTTTACTACAGCCATGAGTTGGCACGCTCAGCTACCTGGCTACTCCCCGCAGTATCTACTAGATCACTTCCCGTTCGGATCTGGAGATATCACGGTCGTCGATGTAGGCGGTGGCATCGGCCATATCGCCCATGCACTCGCGGATCACTGCCCCACAGTTCAGTGCATTGTACAAGATCGCCCCGAGGTGATTTCTCAGGCAGAACAAGCTTTGCCGGTTAACCTCAAGGATCGTATCCGCTTCCAAACCCATGACTTTTTCGAAAGCCAACCGGTACATGGTGCTGATGTTTATTTATTGCGTCATGTACTGCACGACTGGTCCAATAAATACGCGCGGAAGATCCTGCAGGCTTTGATACCAGCTTTGAAGCCCGGGGCCAAGGTCATACTAAATGATCGCATCATTCCCGGCTATGGAGAGGCACATTACTTGAAAGAGCGTGAAGCACGGTACGAGCTTTATATTTATTGGGGCTATGGGACTATACTGATAAAAAGAACCAGGGACTACGATATGTACATGCTTGGTTTACAGAACGCTCAAGAGCGCACACCAGATGATTGGAAATCTCTTTTTAGAGATACAGACTTGCGATTTAAAGTTACGAAAATATCCCAGCCATCTAAATCATATCTCTCCATTATGGAGGTGACCTGGGAGGGCTGATATGCGAAGAATTCAAGAAGACAGTGGCGTTGGAGAATCTACCAAGCAAATTTCAAGAGGTCAACGAAACAAGAGGGACCCATCAAAATCAGATCTATTGTAGCCACATGAGATGAAAATAGCCGGGAATTAAGTTCTCTTGATGATATGCCTAATACTCACACAACACATGACAGTGACAGGTCCCTTAAACTCCTTTAGGCGGGCCCCTACCGAGGAATGTCACAGCAGCCCAGAATAACCTCACGAAACTCGCCGGCTCGTAAAGCCGCATATATCTTGCCGATATTCGACCCGATTGATTCTTTGACAATTTTTTCGCCAGAGTCATAGGCTGGATGATCCACCAGACCCCGATGCATGGCCACCCCAATGCTCTGACGCACGAACCCATAGAGCTTCTGTGATGAATTACAGAGATACGGTGCGGCCGATTTGCTCTGGAAGAAGAGTTTTCGGTTTGCTCCGTACCTCGTCTCCAAAATATTGGCAACGTTACTCTTCCATTGTCGAAGTTCTTTCCCAACGACCTGGTCACCCAGAAGATCGAGGACGGCACCCAAGGAATCAGTGGCAGTAACTTGGCTCCGTTTGTGCAGATCACTAGTGCTGTTTCTCTCCCAGTGGCTCATAAGTTCTTTCCAGATGATTTCTTGGCTGTGTGAGAGCTGGGCACCCGCGCCGCTCGACTGAAACAGCTGCGCATTCGCATTATCTACGTCCTTGCGAGCTTGAGACACAAACTCAAGATGCATAGCACGAAGATCCAAGGCCTGGCACAGAACGTACAGGTATGTCGCAGACATTAGCGCCAGGAGTTCGACAGTGTCGCCTGCATACCGAGCGGCTATCAAAGCCAGAGAGTTCAGGCTTTGATTGTGCATCTCTGCAGACTGCACATGGTTGCTGACCGGGTGGTTAAGATATGCCAGTTCAGACATATATGAAGCCATGTTGATATCAACGCCTTTAAACGCAAACGAAAGGCTCGGATCGTCAGCGCTGAGATTTGGTGGCAGTCCTTTATTAAGCATCGGGTTGAGAATCTCCGAGCATTGCGAGAAGATCATTTTGCCTAGCATCTGCATCGCGCCCATGGTTTTCTCCATTGCCGATGTTATCGCTGCTGCTTGGAAGTTTCCTCCGTGGTGAACCCGCTCCTCGGCAAGATCCAGGAGTGGGTTGTCTGTGGTAGAATTTAGTTCCGTCTGGACTTGTTCAAGTGCGAGTGCGAGGTTCTCTAGCTGTGGACCGATCCACTGCGTCGATGTGCGTAGCGCATACCGGTCTTGCGCCAGGCCTTCACCATCGGGATCCGCGCCACGCACCAGTTTAGAACCAGCTAAGCATTCAAAAATAAACGCGGCTGACTCTAGTTGGCCTGGATGAGGTCGAGCCTCGGCGATGAACGGATGATAGTTGTATCGCGATCCCAGCAAAGCCTCTGTCCCCATCGCGGTCAGCAACTTCGACAAAATGGCCAGCTGGTTTGCCTCGAACAGAACTAGAGTGGCTGCACCGGAACTGAATGCAGTTCCGTTCAAAAGACCCAGGCCTTCCTTTGGCCCAAATTCAAGCGGGGTCAACCCTGCTTCCTGGAGAGCCTGGCTGGCCGGGATGATTCGATGATTCTGGCCCTCCCCGCAATTCATCGCTATATCAGGATTCCCTTCAATCGCCCCGCAGATGTACGCCAAAGGTGTGAGGTCCCCACAAGCGGAAATACTTCCTCGCAGCGGTACCACTGGTGTCATATCGTGAGCGAGGAGAGCAAGAATATTTCGAATAACCTGGATGCGAACGGCCGAATGTGCTCGCAGCAAGGAATTGCAGCGAATTAACATAGCCGCCTTAACAATGGGAATAGGCATCGCATGACTTTTCAAAAATCCTAGGCGCGTTGAGCCTGCTCCGGATTCTCGGTCTCCAGGCAGAACCACGGCGGAATGGTGGTGCTGGATCAATGCCTGCTGGAGGGCGGCATAGTCGTTTGTGCGAGTGTCGGCGCTCCCTCCGAATCCAGTAGTCACTCCATATATCACTTCCCCGTTTTCAAGCTTTTCCGCGAGTAGATCTACACTGCGTTCCAATTGAGAAAGCACAGTTTGGCTGTCGGTGATGTCGGCCGCAATTTTATGCCTTAGTTTGCTTGTTAGTGTCCAATTCAAGTACATGTCTTACCGAAGAAGACGGAGCGAGGAATTCACATACAAGCTGATCGCAACGACTGAACTTAAGTCCAGCGAATGCCCATCAAGTACGATGTTCCGGCCCGAATGGACAATCTCGTCCAGCTGGGTACATGAATCGAGAACCGAGCTGATGTACCCCAATCCTCGAGGATGGTTGTCCCCGTTCTGATACTGCGGGGATGCTTCGCCCATGGTCGCAAGATAGTCCAGTGGGAAACAATTCAGGAGTGGACTTAGTCGAGCATTGAATGAGGTGAATAGCAATCAAAGAGATTCAAAGCAACCACGCCAAGGGAGGGGCAGGCTTAGATTAAAATTGGTCACCCCTCCCTCTGGTAATTCGCCCTAGGCAGTGCATGCCCAGCCCCTCTCTCCAGATACACAATCAGTCACTACAGTATCTATAATTTCTCTGAGAACTAGCGTTATCCTAGGAATGATTCGAAAACTGCGAGATTTTAATTTTAATTTCATCAAGTGGAAAACAAGGTGAACAGGTCTTAAAACATTAGCGCCCCTCAAAAGAGCACCTTGTTTACACAATAACACGTGGGGGCCAAAGTGCGGAAGTATCCTCATTCCTTGTACGAGGGTGGAGAAGGCGGTACCATTTAAATGCATATGGCAATATGCTACAGTCATCATTAGTAAATTCAAGAGTAAGTTTGAAACCCCTTCGAGCTTTTTATATCTTCTATGCAGCTACAGGTGCAGTAGAATATCAAGAAAACAGCTAACTGGATGTAGATAGGTCTCAACTGGGCCCATTCAGCAATACTGCTATATCGATAGAAACCAAAGCGGCACTGGATAGGGGGATGGTAAATTTAGAAGCTCTTTAGTAAAAGTGGAATAAGATGATTAGTACTCCTATAAATAAAATAGGCTAGTGGGAGTCAAGAGAGATCTTTGTGCTCATGCCATGGTGTCAAGTATTGATCACATACAGTACCCTACAACGGTCCGCTCACATTGCTATAAAGACTATCTAAGAGCCTGCTTCTCATGGGCTTTTAGCATAAAAAGGCGCAGAGAGTGCAATAATGCCAAATCAGCAAAGACTAATTGAAACATCCCTCGGCTGATGCCAGATCAGAAGTCTATCTCTTCGACCAGAAAATCACTAGAAAGGTGCCTTGTATTTATAGAACCACGCACGAGACGCACAAGGACAAAGAGCGCTAAACCAAAGGGGCTGAAAGACTAAACCTATATAGACCTCTACCGTAGCGGTCAGCTCTTGGTTTATATAGCCAATAATATCAATTTCCCTACAACATCCGATATGGCGTAAATGGCCGTGACGATGGAATGGCCATAATATGGCGTGGCCTGGAATCGAAAAATCGTGGTGTTTTCACATAGGCGTTGTAGCTCACTTTGTATATACTAGTGTCGACACTATACCTATCTTTAAGGTCCATGCAGCTCGCAAGATCTCAGACCATGTGCCTGATCATTCGTCTTTAGACTTTTACTAAAATTACAGACCCTTGCTAGACGAAAGTCTGTTAGAATAAACTAGTTTTAATCGGGAGGCCTTAGGGCGTACTAGTAAAGCGATTGATCGGGTTTATGGGTATTCTTATCCAGAGATCATAAGTACATATTGTTGAGATGTGTCATGATTCCGTCGGTTTGACCGTTCGGGCGATAGAGGCTGTTTCAACTGCCGAAGTATTTACGAGGATTCTGCATATATGTTTGCTATCATCTAGAATTCAAACCATGAACGTGACTGAGAAACATGGAGAATCATCGAAATCTAGCTATGGAATCGCCAATGTAAAAGGAGATTCTGCGAGCCGGGTATAAATGTACCCACTTTTCCATGTATGAATCGATAGACAGTTTAAGATTTCCTCACTTAATTACATACTTCCATTTCTCTATAAAAACAAACAAATGCATGCTGCGTTAGTCTAGCTTGATAGTGGTAATTCAACATATATATCCTAAGACTTAGCCTACGCCACGAGGTAGCCGATCGCGTGAAATAACCGTATACTAGTCTTACACTCCTACCGGGTATCTTCCGAGTGGAATTCTTTTTTTTAGAACTGGCTTATCACTTGCCAGATCGCCAGCTATTAGTCCCACTGGCCAATCGAGATCACAACATGTCAAAACTACGCCTGCTTATACACACTGTTATAGATTGTTCCTTCTCACGATCTATCCACCCCCAAATCGGCACGCAGCTTATGGATCAAAAATGTCAGCATCCAGAGGATTTCAGTGTTTCTTTCCTGAGGTTGGTGGTGGAGATCGAGTTGCCTCATCATCTGTTCGTGAAGATGTGATGTTGGCGACGATGCAGTAAGCCATTGGGGTTCGAGAGGACCGATGTCCTGCTCATCTGAATGCAGTAGCGGCACAATCCTAGACCAAATGACCCCGAGATCTTCACTTTGCAAACCATCTCGAAGAATAGTAGTCAGCCATTCCATTTCCTCGACGATCAGGAGGTGGAGCAGGCTCTGCGATACCCCGCCATCTTGAATGGACTGGGGGGCGGAGGGCGTTGGACGGTCCGTACTCTCCACCTCGGTGCTGGGCAGCGATGGAGTCAAGTGGGCACCATGGGAATTTGGTTGATGTGTGCTCTTGTTGTCTTCTCCATGGGATGAAATGTAATACCTGTGCACCATACTGGCGACGGCAACGCAGTGTTTCCAAATGGTGGCCGAGCAGAATACCAGGACTTGATGTAGGATCTCACCCATGGCAGTAACAAGATTAGTTAGAATAGGCAGAGCGAGCAGGGACCAGAAGACGAAAAAGGCTTTGCCCAGGCTGCTGGTGGGATAGAAGTCGCCGTAGCCGATGGTAGTGAGGGAGGTGTAGGTGAAGTAGAGGGCGACGAAGTAGGACCAGTCCTGCTCCTTTTCAGATACGCAGAAAATAGCAGCACTGATAAACCAAAGCACTAACCAGGATAGCAGGAAAATAATCAGGTCTCTACGATGCATCATATTATGGAAATGTGTCTTGGTGTGGTGAAACTCGCGCACCTGCGCGCCTCGGGGCAATGGCAGCTCCTGTCCTTCGGAAATTGCGCGCTGCTCCCACTTCTCGCGCATCTGGGTCATCTTCAGGTGCAACTTCATTTCGTGCATGTCGTGGGTGAAGGACATCATGGCGCTGACCATCAGACCCAGCGCAATTATCCCGGTGGCGGCGTAGGGAAATAGAAGGCTACGCCCAAGATGTGTGATGGGCACAAGATTGCCGATGCCAATAGTGAGGATAGTGTAGTCGGCAAAATACAGCGCGTCCAGCAGCGACCAGCCCTCTACTGCTCGGTAGATAGCCGCGCCGACGAGCAACACAATCGCCAACCAGAGCGACCGCAGCAAAACGTCTATCCGCTGCACTCGGCGGCTGTTACGGCGACTGAGCTGGATCTGGTGCGCGCCCACCACATATAACGCCAGCAGGAGGGCCACTAGCGCATACAGTGTGGCTGCGAAGACGCCGTAATAGAAGGCTTGTGTATATTCAGACCGGGGTTGTGATGCTAGGCGGCGGTGTTGCTGTACGGTGACCCCAATGACGCTGAACAAGAGGGCTGCAGCTATCAGCCAGCCCAGGACACTGACCCAGAAAAAGGTGACTTGTTGATCATGACGCCGCATCAGCAGCAGGTAGCTGATATATACGGAGGCCGCAATCACGAAGGAGACGGCTTGTAGGGCGATCATCCTGAAGCAGATATGTCAAGATGTCTCTTTTCATGTCTAGGCCTAGACAACTTACCAGGCTGGAAGAGAGATCCGCCGCCCATCGGTCTGGACAGGCTGCTGCCACTCACTCGAAAGCGCACAGATGTTAAACATCATCGCCATGACACACAGCGTGCCCTGTTCAGAGTCAGGCATAGGAATGACACAGGTTACTCTATAGGACCTACCGCAATGACAGGAAGCGCGGTCACAAATAGCCATCGCTTCCGAGAATCCTTATCATGGCTCTCAGAGACCCTGTGCTCCTTACCATCAGCCGTCGCCTTCCAGGGAGCCATATAAGATGGATGTTATTGGCAGAAGAGAATGAATGATGGCAGCTCAACAGAATCATTATATGAGGAAAGGTTCTCTGGAACGGGTAGGTTGGACTGATAAGTTCAATATTGCGATCGGATGCTCAAGGTAAAACGTACTGATATTACGATTTCACAGTACCATGGGAAGGAGAACGGGGGAATATACTATTATATGACGAGAGGATAGGTTCATTTGGAACCTCGTATAGTTGTCCCTTGACAGCGGAATCATTCGAAATAATTCTCTGATTGAAAGATATATTTTGCAGATCTAGTGATTTGACAATATTTGGGCTCCCGAACTAACTGTCAGCACATCTTGATCAAGCTAATAAATGTGATGAGATATAATTATGTGTGAAAAAAAAAACGTTTGTCACTGGCGTATGATGTCACTAGGTAGTGTAGTCTACCCGAGAAGCTGACCTAGGGAGACACCTGACCACCTGACTCATATCGGACTTGACCTCGGGAATCTTAGAATCCTCCTAACGTACGTACATAGTCTGTGTTAGTGGTCGGATACGAGCGCACGTATCGAGGGAAGATGATTGGCAGGAATGTCCTCCCATACGTAGCTTGTATATAGAGCCTTGCGGGCGCTTCCATTGTAAGTGCAGATAGAATGAAATGGACCGAGTTTGCATTTCGAAAAATTTGCCCTTCAATTATTATCTCAGTCAAAAAATAGACAAAGAAGCTTAGAATAACTACCTATCAATATTAATTATCTTATTTAAGAGCCAGACCCGGAAGTCTAAGCGACCTTAGGAAACGGATAACAGACAAACTATACGCAGCTTTAAATGCCTTTCGAAGATAACTATTACTTACTTTCTATAGGTTACTCCCTAGCTAATACGAAAGTAGGTTTTTAAAGCAATATTAGTCCACTAGCATAGGAGTATATGCTTTGTCTGGTTAGTATCCTGTCAATGAGGCAAGAGAGGGAGAAACAATCAGGAATCAATCATAGTCTGTGCATTATAGTCAAGAAATATTTCGCAGCTTGCAATAATCTAGGATATAGCTCAAGTCTAGGTCAAATAGTAGTACTCGTTATGATCGACCGGCTCCACGCACATGATACCCGCATTCTCATGGATCTGGTTGTCAATCACACCAGTGACCAATATCTCTGGTTCAAAGAGTCCCGCGGTACCAAGACAAACCCCAAGCGTGACTGGTACATCTGGCGCGATCCCAAGTACGATGCCCAGGGCAACCGCAAGGAACCCAACAACTGGAAATATAACTTCGGTGGTAGTGCATGGGCCTTTGATGACCATACTGGTCAATACTACCTCGCTCTGTTTTTACCCAGCCAGCCCGATCTCAACTGGGAAAGTGCAGAGATGCATAAAGCCACCCACGACGACATGTCCAAGCACCCAGATCTGCCGGATGCGAAGGTTATCAATGACGAGCCGTACCAGTTCGGTGCGGAATTCTTTGCTTCCGGTCCTAATATGCATGATTACATCCGCGAGATCAGGACCGAGGTCTTCGACAAGTATGACGTGATGACGGTTGGCGAGCTTGGCTTCACGAAGGACGAGAGATCTGTTAGCGAATACGTCGCCAATGACCGACATGAGCTAAATATGGTCTTCACTGGTGATATTGTGGATATGGACTTCGGCCTGAACGCCAAGTACGAGCGAGATGACTTCCACCCTCGGAAGATCCGCAACTGCGATGCCCAAGTTTGACGGGTGGAACACCGTCTATCTCGACAATCATGACAGTGGCCGTTCGCTATCTCAATATGCTTCCGATGCCCCAGAACACCGCTCGACTGCGGCCAAAATGCTGGCTACATACTTGACGACTTTGAGTGGTACTCCGTTCACGCTTGCGGGCCAAGAGATCGGCATGGCGAACCTTGGTAAAGACTACGGGGCGGATGCATACATCGATGTGGAGGGCAGAAACTACTATGATGAAGTTTTGAAGTCTAGAGGTGGCAATACCGGGAAGATGGATGATGTCCTCCGGGAGCTGCAACTGAAGTCGAGAGATCACGGATGTCTGCCGATGCAATGTGATAGTTCGCCCAATGCTGGCTTCACCGTCGCGAATGCAAAGCCATGGATGACCATCAATAAGGCCCACACTGAGTGGAACGTTGCCAGTCAGCTCGACGATCCTGAGAGCATCATGGCTTACTGGAAACAGACGATTGCGCTGCGAAAGGAATACTCTGATCTTTTCGTCTACGGATCCTATACCGCCCTCGAGGAATCCGAGACGGGCGAGATGGTGCTGGGATATGAGCGCAACTGGAGCCAAGCAAATCAGGAAGCGGTTGTGCTGTTGAATTTCTCTCATCAAATTCAGACTGTACCCCTGGGAAAGTATGAGAATTTCTCGGTTTTGATTTCAAGCAAGGGTTGCATTGATCGTGCTAAAAGTCAAGTTGAGCTGCAACCACATGGCTCAGTGGTCCTTCTAAACGCATAGACTATTAGAAGTACCAATGTGACTCAATTCGAATCCATGTACTTATTATGCTGTATAGCTTTCCCATATATAAAAAGCTTCCAAGCTGACTTAATGTCCTCCAACCCCCGGGATCTTCCCGTATAGTCTGTTGCTCACGATAATCCAAAATTTCCATAGAGACTAGTGGTACCTTCAAGAGGACAACATTCCAACATGGAAAACATAGTTCTATGTCCTCATTCAATAACCGATATTGGCCCTTCAGAAGGACTAACAGTAGACACCTACTAGCTACGCCTCCGCTCGGTCATACACTCTGAGATCTCCACTCGTGGGCAGAGGTAGCAAGAACAAACGAAGTCCCCAGACGTGAACTTGAAAGTCCAATCCAGGGGACTCCTCAGTATTCACCAAGAAACCCGCCAGTGGGTCCCAAATTTTCTCCAAGCGCAACTACGACATCGCATTCGTCACATTGCTGATATCGCCGGGGGTAAGACACCACTAAATCCTCTGACTCTCACCTTTGATATTACAAATCCTTCAAAGATAATACGGCCCTCAAAAAGACCGGAAGGTTTTAGAAAGTTCATCAAGTTATTCTATCCATTGGCGTACATGAAGATATAGATATTGAAGCCGAGGTGTTAGTACACATGCTGCAATGAGCCTTGTGGCCTTATCTGATTTGTATGAGCTGTTCCATTGTCAATATATTCAAGCATATAGGTATAATGCGAGTTTATCACTATTGAAAATCCACCAAGTCCAGTGCAATATATGGTGGCTAAGGAAACCTATGGACCGACGAGAATTTTTATCACTGACAAGAAGACCAGTACTGACCACCGGAGATGCACTGGTACGGGGGCTGGCACTGAGTAGAGCTAGTATATCCATCACCACCACACTGGCCCCACTGAGCAACGAGGGTTCCACCACTTGGGCTGAGGCCAGAGCTCGATGTTGTCATAGTCGTAGCTGTGGTTGTAGTCGGAGAGCTCTAGACACTGAGACCACTGACAACCTGATCGAGGAACCCGCTATTTGCGTAAAGCTGCGACATATCCCACATCATGACTCCCCCAAAATTGCTATACTGCTTAGAATAAGCGATAGCAGCCTTGAGCTGGGACCCACTGGTATAACCAGCACCAGCAGCGCCAGTGTTAGCTGGAATGCCTAAAAAGACCTTCACGTTGGGGTTTTTGCTGCTCTTGGCCCAGCTATCCCACACATCAAAGTTGAAAGCGGGCTGAGTAGAAGATCCCACTTGGAAATTCGACGTTTGACACCAGTTATTGTAGAACTGCACTAGGACAAGATCAAAAGCAACGGCGTCCAGTGTTGTACCATCAGCAGCATCGGGGAAAACACATTGGGGTGCAGCAGAAAGGTAATATTTCTTCCCACTAGCGGCATCCATTAGGCTGCGAAGCTTAGCACCGAATGCCGGAAGATTGCTGACTGTTGACTCAAAATCGAAATCAAAGCCATCAACGACAGCGTCTCCAAAAGGACGGTCAATTCCGGTACCCGTCAAGGGTCCGAACATATTCCACACTGTTTGTGCGGCATTTTGAGCATCCGTAGCTGAAGACCATCCTCCTTGGGTATACGTGGCGCCTCCGAGCGATAGGAGGATTGTTTTGCCATAGGTCTTTTGGCAGGTCTTGATGTCATTCCTAAGCAACAGTTAGAAAGTGTGGAAGTGGTGACGGGGATCGACTTACGAAATCTGAGTACAGTTAAGGAGATTTGGGTTGTCAGGGAAAGTGGTGCATTTATCTCCCGCGTTGGCAAAGTTTGTAATAGGAGGAGTTATGCCGTTCATGAATGCAACAGGGATAACCTAGCGAGCTCGTCAGTTCCCGTAAATCACGAAGATATATTGAATCTTACATCAATATCAGTATCTGAAAGCAAAGGGGGGTTTGAGTTTAGCTGTAGTCTCCGCCCGATATCACTTTCCTTCGGAAGACTTACTAGAGCAGTAGTAGGCAAGATTCTGCTGAGCAAAGGAGCCGCTACCCTGACCATACGAGTTTTGTCCTAAGTTCCAAACAAATCAGCCCCATTCCTATTCCATTTGCTCATATGTGGAAGGTTAATCGTACCCCAGTATACTGCAATGTTTGAAGACGAGCTAGGATCAAACCCAGCGAAAACAAATGGAGCAATAGCCAAGGCAAAGCCCATAATGCTCAATAAGGAGGACATTATCGACAGAGATGGATTAAACATTGAATTGTAACACAAAACACTTTTTGAAAGCGGAAAGGTTTTGATGGTAGATTTATATCGTTATGGGTGATAAAGATTCAGAGGGTTTGCCATGCTTAATTTATATGATTCAACCCTGGATGCTAGAAGCTACATGAAAGATGCTAAAGACACTTGTCCCCCGGAGGCTTGAGTAGAGTTACATGGCACGAAAGCCTAATCGTTTTGTGATATGTGACATTAAAACACCGTAGTGCCTTGCGGTCTTGCTGCTTGCTGCATCGGCGTGGAACATAGCATACCAAAATTTAATGAAGGTCAGTATTTTCTTCGGGCATGTCACTCCAGGCTTAGCTAGCGGGCATAGTAGCAATGGAAAGAATTCATTCAGGGCAGGGAAAGCAGCGTTGAACTTCCATCAAAATGCAACGCTCGAATGGCATACACCACCAATAAAATCTATCACTCCAATGATATGTAACATATGAATGCGAGGGAATGAATCGAGGCATGATCAACTGAGGCTTGATATCAGGCACTAGAGGAATTATAGGATCATTCCACCATGGTGATTAGTTGATAAGGCTCATGACTACTGTCACGTCTATGCAACTGTGCAATAAATTCCATCTTCAGGGTGACATCCCGATGAAACATAATAGCTGAAGAGATTAGGGGCCCGTAGTCACTTTGCAAAGTAGTAATGATGGCGCCAATCATACTTTAAATTTGATATGTTGCATTACATCCCTGAGCATGACCGCGGAATCTTTCTTAGCCCCCTTTTGTTCCTCCCGCAATGCGATATCTAAGACCCTCTTATTCTATCGGGGTCAAGGACTCGAGTAGCTGTAGTTGTGTCTGGAGTATTTCATCTACAGCCCCGGGTACAAACTTGTCTGTTAAGTCTATTTTACTTTCTCTTCTTTCGTTTTGTTTCTTCACATCCCAGGATATTAGAAAGGGCCAGATAGCTGCCGATGAAACAGACTAGCGCTGGGCCGCTCCTCGTCGGCCCCCGCTCTCACCAATTAACCCCGCTCTAGCGATTGTGACCCATGTCTGTATCATTCTGAGATGCTCCTTCCCCCGGCAGATGATACATGTGAAAAGGGGGTGTATACTGACAGAAATCTGGCGGTATGATAACGTATGGACAAAATCAGATATATTGGAATATCTAACTAACTAAAATGACAGAAACCCGCAGTTTCAACAATCTGCGCGGATATAGATGACTAACTGTAATATGCACTTTTGTATGGTATGGTTGGTCCTACGGAATCGAGGTTAGTCGATGCAATTTGCTGTCCACACCACCAATTCCTATATGCAACCGCCAGCTTGTTGTATCACAGGAAGTGATTCAATTCAGGCTGCATTCAGTGCTATCACCGCCCTTTCAGCTTGTTTCTTTCTATTTCCATTACAAATTGATAGATTGCAGGGGGAGAAGAAGAAGCCTATAAATATGGGCGTCTTTCTATATATGAAGAGATTAGACAGTTTTACAATTTCATTTCTGGTACTATACTCATAGTCCCATTTATCTTTGCAAGAGATACTTGATGGAGAATCTACGTAGTGGGGATCCAGATATGGAGAAACAGAACAGTAGATTCACCTGGGAGCAAAAGGGACGGAGAGGAAGAAGAGAGAGAGAGAGAGAGAGCTATCTGGCTATCTACTACTATCGGGATCTGTCCCATGTGGGACCTGCTGCCTGAGGCAGAATTAGGCACAAAACAATACTCCATCTATTTTACATGCTGTATAGTCCCTCAGTGTACTATTTCAACATATTTTATATCCTATTATATCTTACGTTATATTTCTAGTTCGCTACTACGGACGGTTATACGCTACTATTTAATAAATTTCGCCTTCGACGCGTGGTTTATTATATTAAAATATTCGATTGGAGTGTCCTAGGAAATGGTGCCCAAGTGACCATGCTTTACACCGTTAATCAAAGGTCTAAGCGACCTTCTAGGTATCTCCCTCTGTTGCTTCTCCTATTTCCTTTCCTACATGTAGATTCTAGTCATCCAATACTACGTACCTAGATATTGCTGTATTCCTACTCCTGCTCTCTCCACGATGTATCAGGAGCTTGATGCTAGCAAGGGCATTCTATGAGTGACTGGTTCGATTTCTAGCTTATAAAAATGCTTGAAATTAGAGTCTAGCAAACTGCCATCCCCACGCTATCATGTTTAAGCAAAAGCTTTGTTACTGCATGCTTATCAGCGGCTATTTGTGCCGCATTTCGTCGGCTTTCTTTCTGGTGTCTCATATTCCCAAAATAACGATACTTTTCGCAAGTTTCTTGAGCCGCTTCGAGGGCATTATTGAACCCGGAGTGGTCTTTCGAAAGGTTCACAATAGCCCCAGCACCGAGCAATATTTTCACACATTCTGTCCGCCCCCAATGCGAAGCTGCGTTCAAAGCAGTTCCATAACTTCCAGCAATCAAAGGCAAATTCACGTTGGCTCCGCATTCTTCAATGAGATACTTGACAATCTCCACCCACCCTCCTGCCGCTGCTGCCGCAAGCGCACTTCCGAAGTGCCCGGTCGGAGGAGCCATATCAACAATGACCCCATTGTTTATCAAACATTCGATCATTTGTAAGTTACCACCACATGCGGCAGCAACGAGCGGGCTTCCGTAGAGTCCTTGAAGAACTATATTGACAGTGGCCCCGTTTTCTATCAGTAATACGGCCGTTGGAACGTGCTGATACCGTGATGCAACAGCAAGAGCGCTTCCGTATGATCCCTGAAGCGCCAAATTGACATTGGCCCCTTTTTTAATCAGAATGTCGACCATATTAAGATTCACGTGGGATGCCGCCTCGGCGAGCGCGCTTCCAAAACTGTTTTCAAGCGCCAAATCCACCGTAGCCCCATTTTCCATCAGAGATTCAGCTGCACAAAGGTTCCCAGCCCCTACCGCATGGGCGAGCGCGCTTCCAGGCCATTCTCCAAACGTTAAATCAGCGGTAGCCCCTTTATGTATCAAAAATTCGATCATAGGACGTTGATCACCCGAAGCCGCAGCAGCCAAGGCACTTCCACAAAATCCCGGGAGCTCGAGATTAACATTGGCACCTTTTTCAATGAGATATTCTGCCACCCTGAGGTGGCCACGCTGTGCTGCAGCACCGAGGGCAATTCCAAACGTTGCTTGAGCGTTTCGTTCCATCGGCATATCAGTGATAGCCTCTTCTTGTACCAGAAGTTCGACCATGTGAAAATCGCCAAAGAATGCCGCAGTGGCAAGGGCGTTTTTGAAGCGTCCTTGAAATGCCATATCAATCCTGGCCCCTTTTCGTATCAAGAGTTTGGCTATATCAAGTCTACCAACGGATGCCGCAACGGAAAGGGCGCTCCCGCAGTCTGTTTGAAGTTCCATATCAATGGTGGCCCCGTTTGCGATCAAAAGTTCGATCACATCACCATGGCCAAAAAATACCGCAGTAGCAAGGGCGCTTGGGTAATCTCCTGGAAGTGGCATATCAATGGTCGCGCCATTTCTCAGGAGAAGTTCGACTGTATCAAGGTTGCCAGTGCATGCTGCGGCCGCGAGAGCGCTTCCAAACTGTCCGTGAAGAGCTAAGTCAACAGTAGCCCCTTTTTCTATCAAAAGTCGGGCTATATCAAGTTTCTCATCGTAAACCGCAGTGGCAAGGGCAGTAAACTGATCAGTGGCAAAGGTTACTTTAAACTGATTACCGAAGTGGTCAACAGAAGCTTTGCGATTCAGAAGTTTTTCGCAAATTGAAATGCAACCCGCCTTGACAGCAATGATGAGAGGACTTTCATTGTCTTTATTCCGGTAGGTAAGGAACATGTCGTCTCTCTCCCACCAATCCTGGAGTATGGTATTGAACGAAAAGCGACAGACTGCAAAGATAGGCAGAGTGGGCGGCGAAATATCTTGAAGCGTGAGGTAGTCGGTGAAGATGGCTGAATCTCGTATAAGCCGCACGTCGTCTGAAACGTCCTGATGCCATGCCTGATAGACAGTTCCACTTTCTGATGGTGAGTTCAAAAATTCTCTGAGAAGAGTATTCAAAGGATAGTCAAATTCTTTTGGTGCCAAATACTCTTGGCGCTGAATATGCCGCATCCAATGGTGTCGAGAATAGAAGTGGAATGGATAATCTCTTGAAAGAATGACTGAATCCTCATCTATTTTCGGATCCTCCTGGGTTCTGATCATAACGTCCTCGTATCGGGATTCAGGGACTGTGCTAAGTGCCGGTTCTCCATATGCAAGCATTAGGAAGCGCAGGCACGACTTGGCAGCATAGCAGTGGGCTCTTTGCGAATTCCATAGTTCCTTTTCGATGTACTCCGAGACGGAAGCATGGCAGAATCTGAACCGGTTCAAGGGCTCATCAAAAACAAGCAAGTTCTTACAGAGACTCAACAACATGGTCGTATCAATCTCCTCTTCCAGCTCATTATGATTTTCATCATGACGAATGGCGGATAGAAGCTGTTCGCTTCTCATGGGTCCGTACGAACACATCACCCATATAAAGGCACGATCCACGACTATCTTCTGATCTTCATCCGCAGATATTTGTTCATAGATCTCCTTGTAGGTTCGGGTGAGGCCTTTAGGCATTCGGCTGATGCGACGAAGGATAGCCTTGCCTAGTTGCACGTTGCCTAATTGTTCAATCTGCAGGGAAGCCCACAAAAACCTGTCAATGAATTAATATCTTGCCTTTGAGTAAGATGGGTATTGAACAAGGACTCACATCCCGTCGCTCTTCTCTACCAGAGCTTCAACGGCCTCTTCTCGGAACTTCACCGTATTAGAGTTCCAACGAAGTTTGCCAATCTTCTGGTCGATAAAGCTTTTTATGTCTTCCCTCACATCAGGAACTCCGGTTTTGATGATGGGTTCATTATTGAAGCGTTCCTCGATGTCAGGCTCTGGACGAGCGGAGATAAATACTCTAACTGAATACTCTGATTGGGAAACAAGAGAATCAATGAGGTCAAATAGCTCACTTCTGGGCTCGGCACATTCGTCAAGGGCATCCAGAACAATCGTGGTTTGGCTGTATTGGCTGACCGACTTGATAATTTGCTCCTTGCATATCGAAATTGACGGATGGGTCATTCTCTTCGATTGAGCGAAGAGGTCTCGCACATCCTTTCGCATTTCATCCTCTTGAAACTCGTGGGCCGGGGTTGCCAGCTGGCGAAAAAGGGCTCGAATCACATCACTTGGGTTTTCAAAGGTTTGTCCGCTCCGTTGACAGTAGTAAAAGGCTAGCCCCTCACCTGGATGTAAATTCGCACGAAGATGATCGATAGCCCTAGACGTGAGAAAGCTTTTTCCAGTACCAGCTATAAACATCAGCTTTAGTGGTCTCATAGGACTATATGAAGGTGAAAGACCCACGGAGACCTTGCAGCCACATGACTGCCGGAGATGAGCTTTGCTCCCACTTTTTGAAAATCGAGCTTTCTAAAAGCCACCCGCACGTTTCGGGTGTCCGAGCTTCCGCTTTTATAAGATGTCGATCGAGTTCCCGATACGGTGAGATCCAGTCGAGGATGTTCATCACTTCCTGCTTATCTAGTCGCTCAAAAAGCTCATCAAAACGTTGCTCGATGACCGAATTGAACATGGAGAACTTTTCCAAAAATTCCATGACGGTGGCATCAACATCATCCTCAATCTTGCTTCGACAATCCATAACCACTTCACGAAGATTGGAACGACAAGTCTCCAAATCTGAAATCTGGTCTTGTGCTTTCGAGGGGTTCAGAAGGGCATTGACTAGCCGACGACCTGTTCGTTTATCGCATTGCCGAAGGGCATAGATCAGGAGTCTCAATGATGCAACATATAAGTTCAACAAAGCTGATTGGAAGTCGGTCCAAAGATCAGCGTATTGATTTTTGATCTTTTCGCGGAAGATGCTTTCGTATGTCTTTCCACAGCGAATGGTCCGAACAAGGATATCCGCCGTCATGAGTACTGCGGCAGTCTCTTCATCTGCGTCGACTGTGACCTAGATAAACTAAGAAGTGTGGCTAATCTGGGGTTGAACGCAGCGTACCTGCATCAAGCCTTTCACCAGCGGCCAGATAATACTCGCCGGCTGGGGCATGAATTCGACACTAACGTCACCGACAGTGGTAAGACAAGTAATGACTCTTGCGGTGTAGTCTCTTGGAACAATTTGGCGTCCATAAAATTCAAACTTCCAGATTTTGTCTGATAACCCGTCCTGCTTTTTCCGTGTAACCACAATGAGATCTTCAAAATCCGTACCTTTGAAATTCATATTCTGGGTCTGATTATTAGAAATCACTTGGCCTGGCGTCAAGAAGGCTTGAAGTTGTCCTTGCTCCTCTTTAGAAAGTTCATCAAAGCTCATTTGCCAAAAGTCCTCGGACTCGTCTTTGGAAGGCATGAAAAGCGAGCTTGAGTCGTTCTCCGAGGTATTGTCCCTCTCTCCGTCCACCTCAATCCCCTCCGTGGCTGACGGCTTGACAAAGGCATCGTCGGTGGTTAGCAGTGAATCTGAGGCAGACCTTGGAATTTCGGTAGATTGACGAGATTGAAGGTTTTGTGATCGGGGTTTGACACTGGAAGAAGTGGAGGTGGGTGTGTCGGAGATTGCAGGCGTTTTGGCTGGCTCCCCCTGCGATTTGCCGTTCACCTCCACGTTCTCGTGTGGAGACTTTCCGCCTATCCATCTCTTGTAACGGCTGCGAATCCCCATACTTGAAAAGACCGAAACGAACTTATTTAAAGGGGAGAATGTCATATATTCCAATAAAATCACCAATGGTCACGGTATCATGGGGTTCTGGGGTTTTGCTGTCAGGGAAGATGAAAAGTCAGATTGAAGACCAAGGGGAAGAGGATACCTTTCTATATAATAATTTCGCACCGGTCGCAGAGCGCTAATTCGTGGTTTCAGGAGCCAATCACATTGATGAAGTCCCGTATTTGCAGCTGCGAATGCAGGCGGAAGACGCTAGCTACTACACATCATAACCAGGAACGCATTCGAGTTGCCGTCAGGCAACCTCCCCATGGGCGGCAAAGGCGCTTTCCGAGAGAGATAACCTGGAATGGGTGAAGGCAAGAGATCATGCCTCATCAAAAGTTTACTTAGTACAATTATCAAGGGGAGTTTCTCAGCCAAGAGCCTGGGCGATTCAAAAAGGAGCCAAACAAGTCAAGGCCACCAATGAAAATATCGATTCTGCCGCCCAGGTCGCTTGACAGTCTGTGCGATCAAGGGGCTCAGCCCGCAGTTCTCAGGCTAGCGGTCTCCCCACCCGACCACACGTGTACTTGTTTGATACGTAGTGCTCTGTGATTGTAGAAGCAGGCTCATGCAAATCTTGTTATAATTCTCAACATGCACGATCTGATAGCGATTTGCTAAGGATTTATCTAGGTATGTATGCTTCGAGGCGTCAGCGCTTGTAAGGAAGGAACTAGGCTTTCCTTCGCGAACTTAGAGAGTACGGGCGCGGATATATATATTGGCATCGACAAAAAAATGACTAAAAACTAGAAAACGCTGCTCATGAAATGATTATAGTGTCTCGCCATCTTTCGCATATGTAACGTAACATACATCGAATGACTGCCGACAAGGAAGTAGAGCGACTCGATGAATTTAGGATGAGGCTTGAGGTCATTGAGGATGCAGGTGAAGCTCTCCTTGTCCAGGGACAATGTAATGTGTACCTGAGGTCGGCATCTTTATCAACACTAGTATCTCGGTGATGGTATATATGTGACATGAATATGATTGATACATTAGGGGTATGTTGGATCAAGGTGTCAAATTTTCCCCTGCCCTCTGAGCCCTAAATGAGCTAGGTAATAGTGGTTGGAATCGAGATCAAAAACTCTTCGAGTTCTTCTAACAGCAAGCAAGCTATTTATACAAACAGCATTGTAGTATGGACTGTTTCGAGGCCACGCCGGACGCATTTTCTCTGCCGCCATCGGAACGACACTTAGGAAACCATCCTAACCTTCTAGTGAAATTGTAGGCTCGTTGAATATCCGTTTAATTGTGTAGTTTCATCTATCAGGCCTGTTTGGGAAGCAGGGGCATCTGGCACGCAGGGGCGTCTGGTATGAAAGAGTGATGGGTTACGTTACGACAGTATCTTAAGAACTCTACCAATGAGCCGCTCATTATCGATAAGGCTGTACACCTACTAATGCAAACGTGCTGAGCTACAACATAACTAACCCTCACAAGATATGACCGACCATTAAAAAGGCGATCAGTGCGGTTCACGTAACCGTTTATACTAGCGGCTTCGTTACTATCTAAGCGAAATAACTTATAGTAGGGCCAATTATTTAACCTCTTGATTTCCTATTTTAGCCTACCTATACGTTGAAGCCTTAGTCATGTGATCTGGATTCCATCCATGTATGTGCCTATTGGCGACCTCCCGCCCGAGGTCGGGAACAAATGCGGGGAAATGCAAGTCGTTCCACGGTTCCCCACAGGGAAGTCATGGCGATTGGACCAACCATGGAACCTTGGAATGTTTATCATCGGAAAGGTCCGATAAGAGATGTAAACCCCGGGGCCGTCTACGGGTCGTATCTGCCTTCCTCCGGGAGGATTTCCAACTTCTCTTTACATCCCGCGATGAGTCTTCGAGTCTGTGCCCACTGCTCTCGCATTGTCAGTGCTCCCGAGGAACTAAGACATACCATGTGCTAACTGATATTAGAAGCAGCGATGCGACGGTGGAGTGCCCTGCTCACGCTGTAGACGTATGTGTTTGCTCCGCGGGACTATCTCGTAGCAAGAGAGTTGACCTTTCGACTATAGGCCTGGGCCACATTTGCAAACCGCGGAGCCCAGAAAAAGATCCATCCAATCTCACTAGCGGAAGTTCGCCGCGACGGCCCCGTGCATCACGTTCCCGCGGCGCCTGTCTCTCCTGCAAGGCGAGGTACAGTGGTGGAGCTCATCTGTCCTTACAACAGATACAGAGTACTAATTGGGTACATTGGGTACAGGAAGAAGAAATGTGATGAATCTCATCCCCGCTGCAGTGATTGCCGTCGGCTCAATCTACCCTGCCAGTGGTCAGCAAGCTCCACGGGTCGCAAAATGAACTCTTCCGAAATCGCGGATCCTCCTTCCCCTATCCCTTATGCGACGGCTTCCGATGATGGCGTTTCGATTGATGATTCGGATGGCGGTCCGCGCATGCTTAGCCCCATCAGCCCCTCTGACGCCGCGGAGTTTATTGCCACGCTCTTTCCTCCCTCCTTATCATCGCAAAGTACGTTCACTCTGTCTCTAAACCTATCACCTATCTCGGCAAATCCCTATCTACGCACAGATAACGATCGGTCGCTCTTCAACCACTACATTCATGTCGTTGCGAAGGCGCTCTGTCGCTCATATGATCCGGATCGGAATCCTTTCCTGGTTACCATTCTACCGCTAGCGGCAGCTTCAGATATGGTGACTAGTGTAATTTTAACCTTGAGTGGCTGTCACTGGCGAAGGGTCTACCCCAGCATCTGGAGATGTGCTCTAACTCACCAAGGTCAAGGTAGGGGATATCTATGGGTTAGTAGGCTGTAGGCCAAGCTGACATTATCCAGCAATAAAACAAGTCAATAACCTACTTGGATGTTCTGATCGGCAGTCTATCTTTGAAGCATGTGCTACAATATTGTTTCTTTGTCTAACGGAGCTGTTTGACGGTACATCTCGCGTCTGGAAATGGCATCTCAAAGCTGCTAGTGCTATTCTCAAGTCACCCGCCTCCCAATCAATCGTCACATCCAGTGAATGGACCTTTTGCGTCAATTTGTTCCACTATTTGGACTCCATGTCAACCATTTCCCGTTGCAAAGCACCCTTGCTGCATAATAATGATGCTATCGCCGAGATATCAACTTCCCTTCACAACAGCAGCTTGCCTAGGTTAGACCACAGCGAATCAGCGGATGCCATCTACGGCATCTCTCCAGCCCTATTTGACTTGTTAGGCATGGTGAATCTCCTGGCCAATCATCGCAGCAGGCGCGTTGATGAGCTTTCCGAAATTGGCTTCCGAGCAGCAGCGACGCACATCGGAACGCGGATCGATGCGTGGCACGCTGATCATGACTGCAGTAATGTGTCCGGCAATGCCCAACCGCATACTGACCGCGCCGCCACAGCTTTTGAATGGGCGATTCGGCTTCGATTACATGAGATTGTCGAGGGCTATGACCCTTGCCACGAGTTTGTGGAGCGCTCTGTGAGCTTCATTCTGGAGTCTGTACAGAAGATACCATACGCCAGCAGTGTTGAGGGCTGTCTCTTATTTCCCCTTGTCATCGCAGGATCCAGCAGTGTCAGTGTTGAGCGAAGAATGATAGTGAAAGAGCGGCTTATGGTGATGGAAAATACGTTGGGATTCAGCCACATTCACTATGCCCGCCAGCTCCTGGAGACTGTATGGGAGGGGCCAGCCAGCGCTGCCGATTTCAACTGGGCTGCTGTAAGATATTGTCACTTTCCAGGGGTCGTCTTTATTTAGAACCTATGTTCCATCTTCATGTTTCCTATGATTTAAAAGATAATAAGGGTGTATTTAGCAGGTCACAATCCACGTATTTAGTGGTTTCCACCTCGCGTCGACGGAAATTATTGACCTAAGAACCAAAATCTGCTTCTTTCTATATCTCCACTGGAGTCAACATTTGAAAGAAGTCACACACTCGCTGCCTTTAGCTCTCCGATTAACTCGTCAAGATGCTCTCTCATGTTGTACCCACATACTTCCTCGATTGTCAATTTCCCTTGCCGATCCGTAGATGAGCTCCATCCAATTCGCTCATTGAGATTTTCCCGAGCTCGGAAGCTCGCATCCTGTACACGAGTCGCACGCTCTTTGCGAATCTTCTCGTACAGAGTAAGACCTTCGAGTGTCCCATATTGTGTACGAAAATCTTTATGGAAAACGAGACCCAGAGCCCCAGCATCTTCGAAGGCCATGCAGGAGCCTTGTGATTGATCAGGCATCATAGGATGCGCTACCGCTATGTCAGCAAGACTGGAAATTTGGCAAAAGAGCTGGCAGTGATTACCGGAATCTCCAAGCAGGCAAACATGGCCTTTCACCCAGTACGGGTAGGGCTGATGCTTATACACTGGACTTCTCGTCAGTATGCCAACACAACATCAAAAGATTAAACAAGACTTACATCGCCACATTTTGATATCTTCGGCATTCAGCATCAAAGTTTTCATTCTAGGATCCAGATCGGGAAATGTATCCACCAGCTGCTGTGGCGTAGCACTGATGTTCCATCCATCATCGCGTACGTTGTTGTGGGATGCTGGATAGAAGCAGTAACAGCTCACGACATCGCCATTGCTGCAGGGAGACATGACAATCTTGTTAATCCCAAATCCGCCCCAGTATTCAATTGCTTCATTGGAGATGTAATCTTCGAGTCCAAGCGTACGCAGCTTGTCTGCTCCAATGATGCATCGGTAGCAGCACGAAGTAGACATCTCGACGTCCGGTATTATGCCGATTTGGTTCCGTGTCGAGGACTAGATTTTCAACATCAACTTCAACGTCATTTGCTGATAATTTAGAGAATATTTCTTACCCTGATACCATCAGCGGCCACAATAATATCGGCCGATGTTTCAGCACCATTCTCGAACCGGATGAGACCATCCTCGGCGTTCACATCGATGGCTTTGAAATTCACCTTCAATTCACACTTGGGACCGACTCCAGGCTCTTCAAAAGCTGACTTGAGTAGTTGTTTGTGAATGTCAATACGATGGAAGTTGTTGTAGTCCTTTTTTCAAATTAATACAACTCTAGACGCGGTCACACGGGGTTTTGTTACCTACCGTGCCAAATTTAAATTTATAGTCGCCAAGCGGGTAAGTGCTTTGCACTGCACCATCAGCCCAATTATGCATGATGAGCTGTTTCAAGATAACCTTTATCAAAGTCAGTGATCAGATACACAGTGCACGCATGGATTCCAAATCGTACCGGCTTGGCTTCTTTGATGTCCACACCCCATTCTTCTAGGAACTGGGATCCGTTCGACGCTGCGCTGAGCGACGCCCCAACCTCGCCGGCGAAATCGTATCTTTCATAGACTGTAACGGTGTGACCTTGACGCCGAAGTGCGACAGCAGCAGCAAGGCCACCGAGACCGGCGCCAATAATGGCGACTTGGAGAGGCGATTCAGTGCGAGAGGGCATGGTTTATTTGGATGACTAGTTGACCTTTTGTACAAATATACGGACAAGCCCTCCCTTCAACGATAAATATATATTTCATTTCGAGATCTGGTGTTCTTTTATCGGATTACATTTACTCTCCACCATAAGCGACGGCGTCGAGCGCCTTATCTATCCGACGGCTGCATTCCCCACTTCCCAGGTTCCCCGCAATTTGATCCTTTGCCGCTTCACAATTCGTCTGACACCAAGAGGCCAATCGCCCCTATCAATGGCCAGACCAAAGAAGGCGTAGGCGAGCTCATTAGAGCAACTATCTCGTCTCTAGTGTATGGCCCAAGCTCGTTGATAAAATCAATCCATCAACCGACAAAATGCTTGAATCTGTGCATTCTCAATATTTCCACATCCTTCACACCCCACAAGTAACAGAAGATGGCGAAGAAAATTGACCTAACTGGAAAATGTCTCTATCCTGAGGATTGTGCTATGGGGAGTATGATGATGGATGACAAGAAGCTGCTCCGCAAGGTTGATTGGCACATCTTACCTATCATGTTTCTCACCTATTTTTTGCAAATGATCGATAAAATATCCATCAACGTATGTATCGTACAATTTCCTTTGATTGTGGGTGCCAAACTAAACAATCATAGTACGCAAATGTTATGGGCCTGCAAGATGACTTGAAAATGACAGGCAACGATTTCTCCTGGTTAGCGACGGCCTTCTTCATTGCATATGCTGTGGCAGAGATTCCCCAGGGAGCGCTTTTGCAACGATTTCCAGTCATGAAGGTCTTGGGGGTCAATGTACTCTGTTGGGGTGTAATTTTGTGCTGCTCTTCCGCAGCGAAGAACTTTTCCCACATGCTGACCTTGCGAATTCTCCTGGGCTTAATGGAGGCTGTTATTGGTGAGGCGTTCCAAGGAACTTGAAGCTTTCGCGTTCTAATATATTCTGTTTTATAGCCCCTTCTCTCACAATGTACACGAGTATGTGGTACACTCGTGCGGAGTCAACACCGCGCTACGGACTGTGGTACTGTGGCTTGGGTTTCGGGCAGATATTCGGGGGACTGATATCCTTTGCGGCTCAACATGCCCCTGCAGGCATTTCATTCGGTGGTTGGCGCATTATGTTCGTGGTTATTGGTGTTGTCAACATCTTGGTTTCACTGCTCGTCATTTTTCTTCTTCCTGATGACCCCAACAAAGCCAAGTTTCTCACCGAGTCAGAAAAAGAGCGAATTACCCAGCGACTCATTGATGATCAGGCCGGCGTTGGGGTCAAAGTGTTCCGATGGCGGTCTGTCATAGAAGCATTCGGAGATCTTCAGACATGGATGCTTGTCTTGCTCACAATCCTCATCACAATCCCCAGTGGTGTGGTTACGACTTTCTCTGCTATTTTGATAAAAAGCTTCGGATACAGCTCCAAGGAAAGTGCATTGCTTAATATGCCATCTGGTATCGTCAGCATTGTGGCGACGATGGTGTCGACATACGCCATTGCCAAGGGGTTTTCGCGATGGTTGGCTATTAACTTACTTTTGATTCCAACACTACTTGGTTCTTGTTTGATGTCATTTCTCCCTTCTAATAACCAGGCGGGGTGTTTAGCTGGAATCTACCTTGTGAACACGGTATGTAAATGCCCAGGGTGCAAGCAAGCCAAAGTTGCTAATCCAGACAGACTGTGGCTCCGTTAGCTTTGATATATGCATGGACTGGTGCCAATTTCAAAGGCTATACAATGAAGGTATACTATAAGTCTTTATTCAGATAGGATTCATTAATGACTTGAATAGGTCTCTGGTGCTGCGATTGTCTCTGCTGGATTCAGCATTGCGAACATTATCGGTCCGCAAACCTTTCAGTCCAAGGACGCACCTCGGTACGCTGTTGAACTATTTGAAGAAGTATTCCGCCTTAGACTGACAGTCACATCAGATATATCCCCGCGAAGATTACTATAGTCGCCGTGAACGCCGCAGCGCTCGTAGTCTCAACTGCGCTACGCATATTGTATGGGAAACGCAACTCTACCGCGGATCAATTGGGTATAACAGCACGCAGCAGAATAGAGGCACGTCTTGATTCTAAGCGGGAAGTACAAGAAGTGTGCAACGATGACAACTTCCGCTATGTATACTAAACATGCGGCTGATTGAGCCTGAAGATTGTTAACGCACTTTGTTCCAGACGGCCGATGAAGTCAGTGTCTGTAACTAGATCACTCGGCCTATTATTTATCTTCCTAATTATTTCATATCAATCCCATACAAGCGTAAAATCTGTGTTCCTGAAGCTATGCTGAAGAATTCCCAACACGAACGATGGTTGAAAATGGTCAGGCGACTGTCTCATATTTGCTAGGATTTCAGACTTTTGGTCGCGTATTTCGAACAATAAACCATGCGCCCAATATGAGTCAACCAAGGACCCAATGACACATATAATATCCCAGAAAGGGTATCATGGGGTAACAAGTATCCATCTACTCCGTACTAAGGTTAGGATCCCGACCTATCTATCCGACGGCGGCGCAAGGAGACTCGATCTTAGCGGAACGGAGCTAATCGTGACCCGTCTCTCCCCGTATAATTATGTGCCTTGCTGCAAATTTTAAGTCTATTGTTCTACTCAAGATACTCCGAAAAGAATGGCTCCTATCGACCCCAAATCATTAGTATTGGTGACAGGAGGCAACGGTTTCATTGCCGCCCACTGCATTGCCACTCTCCTACGTTCCGGCTATCGCGTTCGAGCTACTGTTCGCTCCTTGGAAAAAGGCAATGCAACGCGTCAAGCACTTTCATCCGCAGGGGTTGAAAACCTGAAGTATCTTGAATTAGTCGTCGTATCTGATCCAACGAATTTGAAGGCTTTCTCCGCTACACTGGAAGATTGCCAGGCCATCCTGCACTTGGCTTCGGCCTTCACCTACGATGCCGTCCCCGGGGAATTTGAAGAGAAGTTGATGATTCCTGCTGTCAAGGGGACACAAGTTGTCTGTGAAGCGGCGAAGCAGCATTCAACTATCCGACGCGTCGTGATCATGTCCAGCTTCGCGAGTATTTACGACGCAAACCGAGGTCTGCAACCAGGGGTCGTCTACACTGAAACTGATTGGTGTCCATTGACCTATGAGGATGGTGCTAATGCTGCAGCTGTGGTTAGTATTCACACAAGAATATTCTTACTCAGTTCATTTTATAACTGAATACAGCCTATCGCATACCGGGCTTCCAAGGTCGTCGCTGAACGCTCTGCTTGGGAGTACATTCACGATAACCCCGTCGGCTATCAATTGATGACCCTATGTCCTGGGATGGTGTTTGGACGAATGATCCATCCGATCTCATCCCTGTCTCAACTCAATGCTAGCAATCAAATCGTGTGGCAGGTCTTGAGTGCAGGTAATCAGAAACAAATTCCGCCGACAAAAGCTCCCGGTTAGTAGCCCGCCCCCCCACCATATCCAACAAATATATGCTAATCATCTTTAGTTTGGACTGATGTCGAGGATCTTGCTGAAACATGTCTCAAAGCCTTAACGTTCTCAGGTACAGGAAACGAAAGATTCCTGGTAACTCAAGGTTGTTATGATACACAAGAGATTGCAGATATCATTCGATCTCGGCTTCCAGATACTCATCGCGTACCATTGGGAGAGCCCGGTAAACGAATTTCCAGTACTCACTACTCCTGTGATTCATCGAAGGTGCAACGGGTTTTAGGAGTGAAGTTCCGAGCTTTAGAGGATTCCATTGTTCCACTTGCACAGCAGCTTTACGACCTGGAGCAACGTTAAATTTATGTATGTAGTTCAGCAAATGAAGGGCAAGTAAATATATGAATCATGTTTCCTCTGTATGAGGACATTAGCCATTATAATTCAAGGCTCAAAGGTTGGGACCGGACGTCGACCACAATCAAGATAACCGGTCAGAGCTCCTTCCAATGGTTGATTTTTACTACCTCAAGATACAACGGTTCTCCTTTTTTTCATTAAGATGGGTTACGACCCGACTATGTTATTTGACTGGGAGGACTGGAATACCTTAACACGAAACGAATCAGAAGCCACCAGTATACTATCCTAATTGTAAGGTATCCGGACAGAAACGAAGGATTAGATTACGAATTCCTAGTAGTTGCATATTTAGTAAGCGAATGAACATCCTCGTTAAGAGGATTTTAATATTAGTGATTGTGTCTTTATATTAATGAAGGACTAATTATAGGATCGACCCAGTCGAAGGATTACATACACTATAATATAAGATCGTCGAGAAGATTGGAAATATCTATAAACTAGAACTACTAGCGTCTATCAATATACACCCTGTTTTCTATTTGAGCAAGCTTCGTAAAGTAGCTATAACTAAATCACAACAAAATTTCGATGACATATTTTTCGACATTTTCATATGTAGTTGATTTATCTCAGTTCTAGGAATGGGCGGACAAGCATTAATCGGACTTGAGAAACAGAGCAATTGGTTACATCTCATTCATCATAATGCTCCTATCACTGGTGTAATGTAGCTTTTATGTGCTGGGCTGTCAGGTTGATAAATTCCTGAGCCTGCCACAGATCTAAAGAACCAGTCAATATACCTCTCTTCAAAGGGCAAGAACATGTGGAGTGCCTACCATTATCCATATGCATAAAAGGATGCGGAACTCCCATGAACCTCTTCTGTATAACTTCATTCCCACCTGCAACCAGCTTCTGTGCATATGTTTCGCCCTCATCTCGTAGTGGATCACAACCAGCGGTATAGATCACTGTCTTTGGCAGACCGGTAAAATCCGGGGCATCGAGTATATTGGCATACCAGCTCACCGCGGCGATTTGTGACTCCCGAACAGGGCCCTCAGCCGCGATGCTTTGCCACTTGAGGTTATCGAACCACTTCAGCCGGGCCCAGTTGAGCGTGGGTGCATGTTCCATCTCATGCATTGATGCCCATGGTGCGTCGGCTGCAGATTTGTATTTCGAAATATCGTCAATAGTGGGTGTACCCACTGCGACCAATCTGAGCGGAATACTAGCATCCCGTGCTAGATGGGCGCATACCAAGGCGATGTTGCCGCCAGCTGAAACGCCACCAAGTGATATTCTTATAGGGTCAATCTTGAACTTTTCGGCGCCATGTGCATGGATGTACTGGAGCGCGGCGAATGAGTCCTGAATCCCAATAGGGAAGGCGTGCTCAGGCACTAGACGATAGTCGACATCAATCACGCACACATTTGCCGTCACACAGAAATGTTTGCATATATGGGACTCAGTGTCAAGGTCACCAAGACCCCATCCTGTTCAAATCATTTAGCTAAGGCTCTGATTCATTAACTGCAGTCTTACCTCCGCCGTGGAAATCAATATGCACTGGCCATGGCCCTGGTGATGCAGGCTCGTAAACACGAACTGGAATCATTTCTCCATTGTGACCAGGCACTTCGGAGTCATAAATACGCGGACAGTCTGGCGCGGGACCAGTCCCATATGAATATAACACAGAGTATTTCGTACGTAGGACTTGCAGGTCAATCGGACCCGCCGGGGTGTTTGCGACATGTTTATTGTATAGTTGAATGAATACAGGGTCGAGGTGGGGGAGAACAGAGGGGTTGATGGGGTTGAGAGCCTCGTGAGACATGATTGAAACTGAATATTTTTGAAATTGAAGCAGTCCAACAGACTTCATATTTGAATAACCAAATTCAGGGCGGCAATTTACCCGTCCGTCGCTTCAAATTTGCCGACGGAATTGGCAGAAACCCCCGCACTTTATCTATGCGACGGCGCGGATCCGAGACGGATAGGGAAACTCGGCCTTATTTTCTAGTCAAAAGGAGCAGGTTGGTGACAACTATGGTTTTTAAACACACATCATGGAGCCTGTACTCATTGTGGGCGCGGGCATCGTCGGCCTGACCCTCGGCCAGGCCTTGAAGCAGAAGAACATTCCCTTCGAAATTTACGAGCGTGATGAAAGCCCAGAGGCGCGCGGCCAAGGATGGGCTATCACCCTTCACTGGGCTCTGAAATATATGCCGGAAATGTTGCCAGAAGATACCCTGGCGCGTATTCGAAATATTCAGGTTGACCCTGACGTGGCGCGGAAAGACAGCGGAAATTTCCTGTTTATCAATCTCCAGACTGGCCAGCCCAAATTCAAGATTCCTCCCAATACACGATGGCGCGTCAATCGAGAAAAGATGCGCGGCGCACTCTTGCAGGGTATCGAGGACCATGTTCATTGGGGGCGGCGCGTGGTGGGTTTGAACTTCCCGGCAAATACACAGCGAGTGCAAGTGGTGTTTGAAGATCAGAGCACCGACACCGGAAAGCTGGTTGTTGGGGTTGAGGGCAGTCGCTCTATGGTCCGGCAGGTCCTTCGGCCAGATTCTTTCAATAATGTTCCACTTGGAATCAACTTTACTGGAGTCGCAGTCGACATGACCGCCGAGGAGATCAAGCCGTTGCGGGATATGGATCCATTGTTATTCCAAGGATGCCACCCACCTACAGGAGCCTTCTTCTGGTTCTCAACGCTTGAAACACCAGATGTGAATGGAACAGCTGGGACCGAATCTGAGCGATATCGAGCACAGATTTGCATGTCGTGGCCAGAGAGGGGACCAGAGGATAGGGTGGCTAAAACAGATGAGAGTCGCTTGGCCAACATGAAACAGCGAGCACGGGGATTTGTGTCCTTCCTTCAACAAACGGTTGATCGTATACCCCTTGGAACGCCCGTAACCGAGATCAAACTTGCAGATTGGGAGTGTCTGGATTGGAGTAATCGAGGGGGTAGAGTGACCTTGGCAGGGGATGCGGCACATGCCATGACAATGTGTATGTGATACTAATGGACCGAATTCTGAGAAACAAAAATAGTCGATGCTGACAATATCTTAGATCGTGGGGAAGCAGCTAATCATGGTATCCTTGACGCGTATCGTTTGATGGGGGCCATTGAACAAATCTACAATGAATCTGCTACTGCCTCTGTCGCCATCGAGGGCTATGAACTGGAGATGAGAGATCGTACGAGACGTGCGGTGTGTTTAAGTCGCCAGGCGTGTCAAGATGCGCATGACTGGGAACGACTAGATGAATCATCAGCTATATTGACAAGGCGAGCCGTCATTGGAAAATGAGGCTTGCTCTCGTTGACGTCTTTTTGTTTACTTCAATATTCGCAATGAAATTTCTGCTACGAGGTTTTGAGAGAAGTTTCTGAGTAATATAATGTAGTACATAGAAGCGGTTTTCAATAAAGCTACTGTGTACTAAATGGTAGTCTCGGGTGAATCTGGGTTGCTGTTCTTGACCTTAAAGCTTGCTCTATTGGCTATTTTACACACATTATACCATACACAGCGAATAGAAATAGGATTCCATCGGGGTAAAAAAGTATATATTGAACTCCAACTTCCTTCATGCCGGTTACTATATTTTCAAGTCCCCACCATCTATTAGCACATTCGTTGCGCGCGCCGGGTTTGTTCAAAATCAACGTCCATCTCTTCCCTTAACTTGATGAGCCCTTCTGTTCCAAGTGGCTGCTCAATTAATTCTCTTCTTTGGCTACATTTTTCTCGAAACTTCCCTACCGGCAAGCCTTCATGCCATCCGCGGAATCCCCGAATCGGTGCTGGCTTGGGAATAGGCCGTTTCATCGCTTGCACACGATCTTCACTGCGATATCGTGAGCTGTGAGAAAAAGCACCCTGTCTGTCGGGAGTGGATATGATATCTCCCTCTCTAGTTTCACCACGTCCACCATTAGAGACTCGACAGGTAGCGTGGTGGTCTGGTCGACGGTTATTCTTTCAATAGAGTAGGAAAGACACTTTGCTGAGGATTCGGGTGTCGAACTCTCATCCATCTCGAGGTAGATATACAGAGGCCTGGTCAGGAAGAAGGAAGTGGAGGCCGTCGAGCTGATGACGCCGGTAAACGGGTCACTGGGCGCTCGAATGCAGCGCCTAAATACTTTGAAATCCACAGGCAAATCCTTCCTCTCCAGTGGATCTGCAGTTGAGACCGCAGTTGAGACTGCAGTTTTCATGATTCCGGAGCCTGAAGAGACACTAGGGACCAACATCGTTCTCTCCGGGATGATATTGACCGGATCTTGTACAGCGCTCATTGTCCATGCCAAGGCCAAGGCCAATATAGGAAGTAACGTGCTTTCATTCGGGCACGGATGAATACCCTTTTGACTTTTGTTTAATAGTCTTTCGACCCTGCTTCAGAGGGACTTCATTGAATCGGTGCTCCAGTGTCTTTAACGACAAAAGCATTGGCAGTCGCCAACCAGGGTACAATGTCCCAATTGCGCGTGATGTGTGCATCTTACCATGACTTTGGATGAATGCATGGCATATAAAACAAACATCCTTGCTGGAACGGATGGCCCGCGGGAAAAGCGGAGGCGATTGAATTTCGGAGTAGGCGATCAGCTGGATCTCCGCATGGATCTTGGCTTCCTGGAGAGTTCTGGTCATTTGTTCGGAGAACTGATTACTCGGATCCTTGGTCTTATCACACTTTATCAATCGAGAGATCTAGGAGATTTTATACTGTTTGCCATTGATCTTCCCTAAATGAGAGAGCACTGCTGAAAGACTGCGCGAGTATGCCTGGTGACGGGGTCGATCGAAAGCCTCTTAGGGAAAGGTTACCAGATGAATCTCAATGCTTCGGACAAGAGGGAATTTCTTGGTAATGCGATGAAGCGCTCGAGCGGCTTCTTTATATCTAGATACTTTTCGAATAATGTTGAGGAGAGTATCTGTGAAGGCCGACTCCTTGATCACTCTTGTGGCGCCAGAGGGAATCAGATGGAGGAGTTACTGGAAGCCATGTAAGTTGTCCAATTGGTACATCTTTTCCACAATATCATTCAGACGAGATGTGACACGATGATTAGACCATTCATTGACGGACTGGATCACTCTTTTGGACTCTTCTCTAAATACTGACAAGCTTTCTTCTAGATTGAACTGGCGAAGCTTCTGGGTATTAATTTGCCGGGTTCCTTCCGTCGCCTTTTGTATAATTTCTTTGATGGACGCTTTAGTTTCTTTCCATTCTGTGCCAGTGAGCCATAATCGACAAGCAATTCGAGAAGAGCACTTTTGTACGATCGACTGGAGAATTTGTTTCGTGATCTCCGTTGAGCTGCCTTTCTCTGGCCACACTAGAATCAGCAGCTATGTACGACGAATGGAGGAGAACAAGGAACGATATGGGGATCTTCGAAGTACGTTAAAACATGGTTTCAAATCCCGTTTTCAGGGTTTGAAGGAAATCATTTCCATCTGTATATGTTCTCTTATTGATCGCCAGGAGAGCCTTCATTGTTGCATTAGTTAGCCTCAGCGGGCAGCTATAGAAGACCCCAACGACGCTTTTAGGGGCCAGTATAATGTCCACCAACGGGCTGTGTCTTTGAGGCTTAGTAAGCTATGACGCACTCCTTTTTCTTAAGGTTCAGGCCTTGCGTGTTTCGCAACCAGACCATTTGGAACATCGAGTCCAATAAACATCTCAATAGGCGCATTCATACGGCTACCAAGTGACACCTCGAAATTGATTTTCTCATTAATATTCAAAAAAAAAAAAAAATGGTACGATGTCGCGCCGCTATAGCGAAAGAGATAGTAACTTAGAGAGGATACCACTAGCTTCTATCGCGTCTGTCGTTCCAACACTGCTTCATACTCGATGGTCGAAACTCGTCGAACTTCGTATTTATAATAACGAGTCGGTCATGCCAGTAGTTGTACTCCCTGATCTGGCTGAGCGCCGAACAGTATCGTACCTAGTATGTTTCCTTCCAGGCCATCAGGCTCATTCAGCTTCCAGGCTGAATATAGGCAGTTGCACCTCGTTCCTTTTCTGAACGGTCGGTGTTGCTAAAGTTTTGGGTTTGATCAAAGAGACTTTAGTCGCCGGCAGAGGTAGCGAGGCGGTGTCGATAATGAAAGGAGCGAGGCTGGATGTGACTCGGACGCGTGGTTTTGGGAAGGTTCAACGGGGCTGGCGATTCCAAGGGGGCCATGACCAAGTCCTCACCATATGAAATGGGCGCTTAGCATGCAGGCGGGCCGGCTGCGTGAATTGATTGTCTGAGCTTGTAGTCGCGTAATGTGGCCTGACTTTATCCATATTTGACGCCTCTGACGTCGAGTCACTATCCGAAAAGGCAGCGCGGCTATGCAGGAACAGGAGGAAAATCGAATTTTCCATCAGGTCGCGAATACTTTTTATGCCGGGATCAAGAGCCTCGGGCAGGGGCGGTGTCGATACATCTTTATGTTGCAAGAGGGAACTGCGCACGTTGACCGATAGGTTGACTTCACGGGGTGCTCCAGGCATAATGTACGTCGTCAGGAGAAGCTGGTAAAGTATGCGCAGGTGCATTGCCGCCGAGGAGTCGGCCGTAATTATAGATTCACCCGCTTCATCGACGAACGAGTTATAAGTATCGCAATAATGCTTTGCTGCCATGATAAACTGCAAAGTCTCGCGACAATGGTTTTCGGATAGATATGTCATGAATGCGCTAAGGGTGTATGGTGGAGGCGTGGTGTTAGACAACACTTCATTAAGTGTCGGCCACTTGGCTAACTGGTTGGACTTATAGCGAGATTCACATGCCATTATCGGTGCTCTTAAAAGGCCTGGTGAAGAATCGTAAGAGCCGAGAGAGTTCCTCATGTAGAATTATGCAAGGGGGTAGTAGGCATGGAATCTAGGCGGCTAAGGGGTGCATACATATCGCTAGGAGAATGGTCAGTGCGCTTTATGAGGCAATTTCCTCGTGAGAGGTTAAGGGAAAGCTTAACGAAACTTTGGATACCATTTGACAATCGAGGGGTCTAGTCCTGCATGTGAGTGCCTGAGGATGTATTATAGTGGTGACAAATGGGTAATAATGTTCCAAGGTATTCTAGGCCTTTACTGAATCATGATTTCCTTGTCGACTAATGTGGCGCCATCCGTCGGAAAAGGAAACTGACATGGTGGTCCATGGAAACCAACACAAGATGCAAGATCTGTTCATATCGACGAGGTTGATAGGTTCCAGCAGATGGCTTGGGCATTATCTATACCGTTTGGGCTAGGATGCATATGAGGACAGATATAACAATCCTTTTTCAGTCACCAAAAGTGGTATTTGTACTTTTGAATGTAATCACATTATGATCTCCATGGGATTGTGCCAGAATGCAGCACATTCGGATCAACTCTGCCTTTGAGCAAGTTTAAAATAATAGAATTAGGTCAAATAGCGTCAAAGTACGGAATTCTAGACCTTTGTCGAAAGATGGCGTTCCATGTGGCGAAAGCCATAATATCATAATGTTGGCAAAACTGGCCGTTCACAAATCTTTCGTAGCGTAAAACTGTTACATCTTAAATATCAACACATCGTTTCAATGGCATATTTCAAATACTGTAAGATAACTAGGTCTTAGGCTGCTGAAATATCGGTCTATACAGTTGGGGTTGTTAACACCTACATGTTGGTACTATGTATCCATTTCCCATACAGTAATCTAACATACCAAAGTTTATAAACAGACTGAACCATGCATCCATGGATAGTCGACCTCGGATGTCATGTGGTTTACAAGTCCGGCACTAGCCGGATGGGTTTATCTACGAATCACCTAGCACCAATGGGCCTGTATATTACAGAATTACTTTTGTAATAGTCAAGTTTAAGTGCTTCCCATAACTACAGCGAAAAGCTTAGGTAACAAAGGCATCAACTTGGGTCCCTTGGCTTTGATTAGTTGAGATTCTCGACCTTGATGGGCTCATATCTTTCGGGACACTTGAGCCAATCACATACTATTTCAAGGCTGATTTGCGCCCACTAACTCACTCTACCTATAGGTTCGCTATCGTCGACACTAGCCCCATACTCAGTTGGCCATAATATCTAGGTGGAAACAACACGATTTCATTGATTTATTTATGACCAAGAAACATCGTGAAAATCGTGGTTATTCCACCATCACCTCTATTTATATCAGATCGGATATTGGATATTAATTCCAACGAAAGTTACTACTTGGTTTGGCGTTATAGGTCCTTGTAACTGCCCGTGCGTGTTCATAAAATCCCACATCACCCGCTCTACTTTTCATTCTTGAAACGCCCTGTTTGCTATTGACCTAGATCACAGTGATATGCCATCCCTCTTGCACAATCTAGGCTGTTTTCATTCGAGCAAAAGCAATCTAGCCCTTGTGTAGCAATTCATCTCACATGTCTTGTTTTCCCTGTATCTGCCCACATCATTACGATCATAACGCAGACTAACTTTGGAAGCAAAAGTTTGCCACTCAGCTAAGATTCTCCACTATATAGTCGATCATCGTAAGTATTTTTCTCATACACTTGTCGGAATTTCCGAAGATTAACAATAATCATATTAACCATGTCTTTCCACCACAGTGCATGTGATATCCATCTAAGAGGCGAGCCCGGTTGCACTTTTTTGGCTGCGATTTGCAACAACGAGGAGGGTAGTGGTCTTTCCGACAATATCACTCTTGATAAATGTCTAGGAAATGACAATGGTAAGACACTTTGGTTGTAAATATTATCATACTTGACTAACTGTGTTTTTTTAAGGCCATTTCAGGTGGGGTGGGAGAAATTTCAGCCGCGATGCACGGAATATCACCCTTGTAGCCCAGGGACCAGATAAAAATCCTGTGCTCCATTCTGATCTCCGGAACTCTTCTGGTGATTATGTTCCCAGCGAAATTGATCTGGCTACACACATAGCCAATATCGACGGCCAGCTTGTTTACTTATGCTAAATGTCCGCCTCAGAATGGGAAATTATCATGATGAGTTAGCTACCGATCCCATGTCATATCCTTTATATCATCAATAGTCAATCAAGTCATCATTTGGCAATTTTTATAATACTCAGACTCTAGTCAGAATTGAATTAGTTTAGCTAAGACTTTTTTTTCATACACAGGCATTAGGCTAGTAAACGCTTAAAGCTAAGGTATAGTGATACAAGTAGTCCCGACGACGCGTGGTGCGTGGCGGAAGGACTGTAAGTCACCCAGGCAGGAACCTTGGTACTAGTTAGCCAACACTTCAAAATAGCTCTCTCCAAGGTTCCAAGGCCCCGGGTTAGAGTTGATTAGTCACCTCTTTCGGTGCGCTCAACGTTCGTTTGCGGGGTCTGGCTGCCGGCACCGGCCCCCACTGCCGCCCTTGATCTTCGCTTTTTTTGGTGGGGGTGGGGCTTTTTGGGTACAAAGGCTTGAAATAGTTGGATCTGTACCACGGAATCGTACTCTACTAGAATATCACATGATGGTGCTTACGATAAATCACATCAATGTTGATCATCTCATCCATGGATGGATGTTCCCGGGGTTGAGTATCACTTCGTGACAGCAGAGACATCCGATGAATTTGTTTGCCATATTAGACCGAAATTCGTCATCATAATATGGATAAGCATTGTTAAATACCTAGATCGATCGCATATAGTCATCTAAGGCACCTTTCTGAGAAACTAACGATATCAACCAACCAGATTCTTTTTGCTGGAAAAAAGTCTCTCTCCGTCCGACAATCACCGTATACTATATTGTGCTTCATAATGTCAAGTCAGAGTAAGTGGTTACAACAAGTATCTGCTTTAGCTCTATTAAACAACAATTAGGTTATAGTTGGGCTTATGGTCCTCTTAAAGTATAGTCGTTCTTTCCTCGGCGGATGGTACGTATATATTTGCTAATTATCTTCGTAGATTAAGGGCGAACTTGATCCTACGTCTGCTGAAATCTCAGCTGAATATTCTATCGTGGAGAATTCCCATAGAGACAAGATTATTGGAGAGAAGTCTACCTCCCTCCTTAGCGGTGAGCCATTCGTTTACTCCGGGGAGGCAGGTACATTCACATCCACCTTATCTATACAGGGAACAGCAATTATGGCCCATGTTGAAGGAGATGTCTATAACACATCCCTAGCTATTATTGAGAAAATTGGCGATGTTGAACTCGAACCATCTTGATAATCTCGCATAATATAAATGTCTTGTTGTTACGGCTCAGCGGGATATATACAACAGATTGCACCCTGCACTACAACAGGAATTGGCTTCTGAGCCTTCCAAGGTTGTACTGGTAGCCTCCATTGACGAGGTCAGGCACTGTTTCGCGCACGTTTTGCGGTATTCATCGGCAAGCCGGATGAGAAAATATATTCATTTGCTGGCGAATATTTAGCGAAGACGAAATTTAATAACACATATCTTAATACATCTACGAAATGTTCTCTTGTAGATATGCAGATATGCATATCTGATTGCGTTCGATTACGAGAGGGTGCCAATGACTTCAACGGATAACCTGCTTTGACCGTCTTGTCATCAGATCAGTGGATGCAGATCAGAGATCCATCCATCCATTAATCCCTTCAGGCAGGCCAACGTAAGAGTTCTGTCATGTTTTGGCTTTATTTTATTTATTTTTTAGGCGGATCCTAAAGCATGCTGGCAGTATGGGTTATTGCGCCTCCTTAGTTTCATTATGTTGGGGCTACTAGCTAGGAGGAGAGAGAAGAGGAATCATGATATATTCAATCTATCTGAAGCAGAGGATTTATACCCTGCCAAACAAAGGCTGTCATCAAATAAAGACAGGCTCATTCTGCAAACACATGGAGGCATCAATGGGATGACCGACATTGTCTAACATATTAATACCCACTTGTCAACTTTCAATGCGGTGGTTGTTGCTATGATTCTAAATGCAGAAAGGATATGGATCAGCAACGTCCTCTGTACCGTCTTCGGGTGTCGGATGTGCGTCTTGTCTCGCAGTGGGTCGGAGCTAAAACGAGGCTGGGTTGGTTTGATTAGCTCAATATAGGGGATTGATATATTTGCCTCCCCTTTGGCTATTCCTGCCCCCGCTGCCTGATTCTGCCTGGTTTCTGCCATATACCTAAGACATCAATTTATTCTGCCAGACTTTTTTCTGCACTTTTGAATTCTAGTTTATTGTATGGAGATTGAATGTTCAACGATATTCCGTATTGTCATATAGGTCGTCAGATATCATTTTAATGTACGTTTTTACTGGCCAACTCCGTGGCGCTTCAGATCCCGCAGGTTGGGGATTTCTTGATCACCATCTCGGTTCTCTGCCTGACTCTTGACGTCGTCTTCGGGGCTACCGGTGCCCTTGAACTGGCAAGCTTTGGGAAGTCTATGATAAGAATGAGAATATTTTAGTAGTTGTACGATAGCGAGAGCGATGAAATGGAATGTTCCTTACCGGGTTGCGATCATCACGAGTGCCACCCTCATCCTCGGGGATCACGCGGTGGTCGCTGCTGGAGGCAGTAGAGCCAGGGCCGTACTTGAGACCGGCGGGCTGCTCAAACTTCTTCTCGGCCATCTCGTCGACGCCGGACTGGAGAGCTAAATTACTGTTAGTATGAAAGGCAATGAGGTGATAACATAGTGTCGCTAGTTCGACACTAACCGAATTTGGGAGAGATTGAAGGGATCATTGCTTCTACTTTCATCACCCTCAAAATGGTAATATATAAATGAAAAGCCAAACTCAAACCAACTTTCCCTTAAGCAGAGACGCGAATAACTGAGTCGCAATATCAGAGGTTTTCAATTATAGAGAGCAAGAAGAACCTCTACGATGGGACTGAATATACACAGACACACGCCAGTAAATTAGCCGCAGAAAGTGATCCAAAACCTAGTCCCCCTATGCTATGGATAGAGAAATCATCTTGCAATACTGATTTATGTTACCCTTTGCGTATATGCGTGGCTCATATTGACGGAAGTGACTTACATCGAACTTCGCCGAAATAGCTTTGACATCGTCCTTCAGAATAAGTTGCATACTCATCTCATCTTGTTCCGAGTCACCTATCCAACTTGTGATGGTTTCGCTGTTGAAGACTGGGCGTAAGGCACGGATTCCACCACCACCAGTGATTATTGTGAATCCTCGCAGATGTCGGCCATAGAAATTGATTGTTACTTGGCTTCCTGGTAGCCGATGCCCAAGTGTGATGTTCGGGATTTCCGCATCTGCACTTATCAGATCAAATCCAATGATGTGAGACCTCTTTCCTGTTGTCGTTCCTTCATTTAAGATGAACACAGTCAAGCCTGCAAGGTCGTGTAACAAAACTGTTTGCGACACGGGAATTGGCTCTTCCTGGAGACATTTGCACTTAATCTCTTTTTTCCACCACTGTCTCCGAAATCTATCGCAGCGAATCTCTGCTGCAGCCTCTTTCCAGGCTACCTCACCGAGCGAGTTGTTTTCAAACTCAGTTTGGCCCTTCAGGGCTTGTGTCATTGAGTACCTGTCCCTTAGCCAACAATTATTTCTCCACTGTCGACGCATAGACCAGAGGTGGAGATATGGTTGTTCAATTCTTGCTGTACAATGGTATATCGATCGCCAGTTCTTATGTTTCCGGGGTCCATCCGCTAGACAATCCAGAAACCCACGGTCTCCATTTACTCGAAATCTCGTCCTCCAGAATGATTGTAGCGAGAAAACAGGTACCATCGCTCGGGATACAAGTCGAAGGTCGAGGAAATCGGCTGTAGAAAGGTAGGCGGCGATTTCAAGTCGTATCTCCATGGGAAGCAGGCCGAAGCAGTCAGCTCCAAGAAATGTATTGTTGCTCGCCGCTATGTTTAAACGTTGAATTTTCGAAAGTTGTTTAGTGGCATCTCCAATGCCTCGGATAATCGGTCTTTGGAGTGGATGTTGGAGGCTTAACCAAATTGAGCTAAAATCGCTCGAGCTCAAGCCGTTCGTTGTTCTTGAAGCGGGTCTGCTCCTGCAGACTTCGAAAAGTCTGTCTAGATCGACCTCATCATTTGCAAAATGCCGGATCAATAGAGACCAACAGCAAGAATGAATCAAGAAAGCTGTGGCTGGCTTGTTATTGGCCATACTCCACCAAGGGCCAAGTTCTACATCATCAAGGTTGCTATCAGGGGTGCTGTCCCCTTCTTCGAGTTCCTCTGATCCGGCTTCAGAAATGCCTGACAGTTGCGTTCCCTCCGGGGTTAAGTATACTATAGGCGTTGAGTCTAGTGAAGAAACTTTGTCTGCCTAATCGATTGCGGACTTACTGGCTTGATACAATGCCATCCAAGGATAATCAGTGCAGATTTGCCATTCACAAGATACGCAGTGCGAGGATAAAGTGAAGCACCACGGATTACTTTCTTCCATTGTGGGGTCTGGCGATTCTCCATCCATGATGAGGCCAATTTGATCAACGAAGATATCATGTAGGAGTGAAACAACTGAAGCTAAAACAGTAAGGTGCGGACTGTGACTTATGAACAAAAAGGGTGAAAGTGTCATTGTGATATCAATCTCAACATGTGAAAATTCATGGAACCATCTGGATGGGTGGTTCGAACTCTATATTCTCTTCTTTTGTATAGCACAAAATATTCGCAAAAAAATCTACATTCGATATGTTGTAAGCGACAACACGGCGCAGTGGTGTCGGGATGTGGCGTGGTCTGAAACTAAAAGTTCGTCCCGGATTTTCACTTGTGTATTGTAGCCAGCTTAACATGTCTCTAGCGTCAACACCATAGCTCTGTACGCTTGAGACCCAAATCAAGTTTGCGGATTCTGTTGGTCTACATGTGTTTGATATGCACTTTGATCGTCGGGATTGAAAGAACGACTGACGCCTGTGGCATCATTCTTCATCTCATTTATTAAAGGCCCCATTCATAGGATGCATACCTCGATGGCAAGCGACATTACACCGGAAGTAGCCCGCAATATTCTTTGGACCACTGCAAGATTTAGTCTCCCTCATGGGCCTTTCTGCGTTGAGTACATTATATTGAACACCGAATAGGGCTAGATCATGGCTGTTTGACGAATATTGATTACCCACAGACGGCGACACCAAACTTACTGGCTACAGACATAGACGTCTATCCACAATATTGATCACTTCGTGGGTTTAGATTAAGAATGGAACGTTAAAATACCAAAGTAGCTGAAAATGAATGTGACCTTGGAAATTCTGCCGGTAACCCAATGATCATAATAAAAAGAGCGATTCACGCGGTTGAGCAAGTAAATATGTAAAATATAGGTGCCGGGGGAACTACCCCCAGCAGCAAATAAGAGAATGTCGATCGCATCCACTCTTAAAAATACCGTATTTTACCAAAGAATTACCTTTTTATGGGTAGAAGAATTTAACTTTGAATGGCATTATTACAAAACATTACGGTACCGGTCCGGACCCGCGTTCTCTTATTTGCTGAGTTGCCGTCTTACCAGCCCACCCCTCTGAAAAAGGTATGGGGGCGGTAAGACGGCTATATTGTATAGTTACACAGAAATGATCGTTCTGATTAGCTAAACAGGCTTTCAACGCTCGAGGTCTATATTGACTTTTTTATTTACAAACTTTGGGACTCGCGTACATACGTGTTTGATTGTTCCCATTGATGATTATAATCAACCGCCATTGTTAAGTCTTAAGTCTGCGATCATACATCTTATTGATGGTTCTAATCACGATCCTATTCATGAGTTTGATTAACACCCTATTAACGAATTTAATAGTATTATACATCCTATCAATCATTCTAATTCAAACCCCATTAACGACTTTACTATTATATCTTCCATTGATGATAATTTTAATTAATATCTTATTGTCGAGTCCAGTCGCAAAAAGATATATTCTTACCTAGTGTAAAAAGTACTTATAGTTTAGAGAATTGAAAAAATATCCCACTTCCCCTGAATATTCCTCTTCCTCGTGCAAGCTTAAAATGTCGTTACCTCAAACTGTGAGTCCATTTTGACAGACTAGAAGGTTGTTCCGATGGATTACTAACTTTGAGCGTGGCCACAGTATAACGACAACCAGCTGATACAGCTATACATAAACAACATCAAGACGAGGACCAGAGAGGACAGAGTGGACCATGTGTGGACGCAGATACTCAGGTTTTATTGGCCCATCACTGCCAATTATGGTATTGAGCGTGAGCCGTATGCCGCCGAAAATGCGAGAACGAAAGCCGATGTTGTCCTTACTACTATGTCGATGAACAAAATCGTTAAATGCGTTTTTGTTGAGTGCAAAAGGCACAACGCCGACATCGAGAATAGCGACTGGGATTCCTCTAAGGCCCAGTTGGAAAGGTTCATCCGACGTTGGGAAGAGAGAAGCCCTACGCAAGTTATTTATGGTCTTCTTTGCATTGGACACTCCGTGCGCTTCTATTACATGCCTCAGTTCAAAGACAAATTGGTGGATTTCAAAACGAAGGATCTGACTTTGTCTATCCAAGACAATGCTACTGAGGTTGATATGATTCTCAGGGAGATTCGCGAGTTGATTGCTATTGAGTACCACGTGTAGGGTACTTCAGCCGTTGAATGTCCCGGCCGATATACTTCCCCTATTTCTCTACATCATTCAGCTGTTTAGTTCATCTTGAATTACCATAGCTTGCCATTGATAATTCAACAACAAGGACGAAACGTTACTATTCAATTTATTTTCAAGTTACAACGCCGCCAATATCAAAACCTCTTTCAAAGCATGCTACTTATTCTGGCCTTCGGGGCAATGGATAACCTAAAAGCCCATGATGAGCCAGGAAAATACAGAAGAAGGATACTCGGACTTACCATCTCCACATTGTTCCCAATCGGATCTAAAACAAATGCCCCGTAATAATTCTCATGATACTCTGGTCTCAACCCAGGCTTGCCATTGCTTGTGCCCCCAGCCTCGACAGCAGCTCTGTGGAAGGCATCTACAGTAGCACGATCTATCCTAGATCGGTCAGTGGATATATAACTTAAGATCTCTTAGAAGATTCTCTATAAGAGAAATATCTAGGAGAGGTTACCGTACTCGGAGCAGAAAAGGCAAAATGAAACCCCGATGGAATATGGGTCTCCTTCTGGGCGATCCAGAAGTCAGGAAACTCGCTGCCCAGTCCGACCATACCGGGGAATCGCATAATTTCCTTGTAAGCTAGTGGAGAAAGGGCTTTCTTATACCACTCGACCAGAGGCTCGAAGTCCTTTTCCGGGGCGGGGGTGGTGATATGGTCGATGTTGCTGGACGGCATAGCTGTTGACTATTAGAGACTAAATTCGGTGATAATTAGGGAATAATAGGATAAGAAGAGTATTTAAACCTTCAAGAGTCCATTTCACTATCTTTTATATAGGAGGGAAAGCGATAGATTAAGTATCCATTAAGAACTATACGAACTATATTAATATTGTTTTTTATGTGGTCACGTTGCGCTTGGCAGTATCTAATACATCATACCTAGGTAATATTCAATGATCTAGACCTTTTACGCAAACATCCGCTATTTTTAAGTAAGTTTTGTCACTCGAATGATAAATGAATCTAATTATTCTTTTAGAATAGGCTTGCCCACGTTGATTGCTCAATCAGTTTAGGTTTGTTCTCTCGTTTGGTTCCCTTCCCGCCTGACCTTATGGATATTGATAGCATTGCTGTTTCCGGCCTGCCCGAAAGATGAATAGAAAAGTGCCGGAAAACAGTCTTTCCATTTCCTGTTTTAGGGACTATGTGTGAAAGACCTTTCCGGCCTTGATATTTCCACCCCGCATTCGCCTTTCTAGACTCGGGAATTCGTGAACTCAACCGTTTTTTCTTGGGTGCATTATCTCATGATCCCATCATTTTGTCCATAATCTATTGTCATCTGAACATTGGGCCCCGGGGTTGTTTTTGATTACCACCAGGACATCATGACATCACGAGGAAGCAATGGCGATGAAATCCCCGGCATATTTAATACTTTGAAAATTATAGAAGGAACCGTTTTTACAGACTTGAATACATCCTGGATTCGGGCAGTCACTCGATTTCGGCCTTAGTTTACCCATTGGAACAACACCGTTTCAGCAAATATGGCTGAAAACGCTGCTACACTGACCCGGATGACTCCCGGCGTCGTGCTTGGCTATCCCGACGTTCAAGGGAAATGGCCTAGGGACCCTGAACAACTTTCTGTCAACGGCATTGACAGCGGCGTATTCATCAATGAACTAGCGAATATTGAACTTTTGCCGAAGAGGCTCAAATCATTCAGTGACGGGGAGAAGAAGTCTTTTGATCAAAACCCCGAGAACCTACATTGGAAAGCCCATGAACAAGGGCCGTCTCCTATTCACGAAGGAACATATCGGGGGACCAAGCTGGCACTTACCAAGGCCTATGATCTTATAGAGCAGCGGTACTTGCGCCGTATTCTTTTTTCTATCCTCAGATATCGCTAACATACTTCACAGCTTTACGTCCTTCATGGATGCGGCCAATTTTGAACCTCTGGTTCCATCACCTCTGACCAGAGACGAAAAACAGCAGTTCTTTGATTTCACAGATGGCTCAGACGGCTTTCCGCCCCATCTGAACCTTGCTGGTAATGTACAAGCAGCAGAGGAGGAGAAAAACAAGTCAGAGAAATCAACACTCCAGCCATCTGATCTGTTTAACAAGATGCGCCTGCTTCAGTTAAGCTCTCTATTACCGACCGTTGTGCCTAATAAATACATCAGAGGAGCTGCCGGGATAGCCGCATGGGCTTGGTTTGGCTCTATGGGCACACCCGATGAAGGGACCAAACTTGAAGATGTGGAACAGTATAATAGGAAATCTCGCGAATCGTCACACCGTGATGATATCTTTGATCTCCCAAACGTGGGCGATTTGCCGGATTGGTACTGTGATAACCGGTTTTGCCAGCAGCAGTTTACAGGGGCAAATCCAACAACGATTGAACTGGCTTCAGATAGTTGGGTAAATCACTTCATTCAAGCAGCTAATGCACCAGAGGATTCAGCAGCTAAGGAGAACATCACCCATCTCAATAACAGCTGCCGAGAGTCTTTGTACATGCAGGATTACAGCTACTTTCGCGAAGCTGCTGGGTTGGAACCGAGTGCTGTTATTAGTTCTAGGTTTGATGAGTCAGAGGAGAAAGATGTGGTTCATCGCTATGGCTGCGCGTCGGTCTGTCTTTTTTACCTCAATGACAAAGGTCAACTCTACCCGCTAGCTATTGTGATCGACTGGCGTGGAAGTGCAGAGAGGTCTGTGACGATCTATAACCGGGAACTTATGAAGCGGAAGGATCTCCGGTCAGGAAACGAAAAGCATGACCAGAAGGAGAAGCCAATTGATGAGGCCTATGACTGGCCTTGGAGATATGGTAAACTACCCTACCATAAGATCCCTTAACCGTGCAGTGACTCATCGCTTTCGCTCTAGCAAAAACCTGCGTGCAATGCAGCGACTGGCTTCGTCATGAAGTCACTGTGCACCTCACTAATACGCATTTGATTGAAGAGGCCACAATTGTCGCAGCTAACAGACAACTCGACCCGAACCACCCTGTGATGAGGTTGCTCTATCCGCACTGGCAGAAAACTCTGGCAATCAATGCGGCAGCCCGAAACACTCTTATTCCCCACATCATTGTCGAGCTAATTGGGCTTCAACCAACAGAGGCATATAAGTTTATCCGGCACGCGTATAAAACCTTCGACTTCAAGCAACGCTACGTGCCAGTAGACCTCAGCCAGCGTGGGTTTCCTCCAGAGCAACTTGACGGTCCAAAGTTTCACAACTACGCCTATGCTAGATGTATCAACAGCATGTGGCATAAGATCAGGGCCTACGTTCAAGACACACTTAGTTTAGACTACCGACAGCCTGGTGCTGATGAAAAGGTCCATCATGACCAACGCATTCAGGCCTGGTCGGCAGAGATGCGAGATCCCAGTGGTGCAGATCTGCCATCTTTCCCAACTATCAGCACATTTGCAGAGCTAGTTGACTGTGTGACAATGTGCATCCACATTGCATCCCCTCAACACACAGCAGTCAACTATCTTCAAAATTACTATCAGTCGTTCGTCGTCAACAAACCTCCCTGTCTCTACACCAACCTCCCAGCATCTCTGCATGACCTGCTCGACTACACCGAGAAAGACCTTGTTACGGCGCTGCCTATGAATCACACTCGGGATTGGCTTCTTGCGTCGCATACACCATACCTACTCAGCTACAAACCGGGCAATAAAGAAAGCCTGATTGTCTACGCTGCATCGAAGTTCCGGGTATATCACCACAAGAAATCAGAGGAGGACCAGGCCATCGCAAAAGCGACCGGAAAGTTCTACACGGCGCTTGCTGATAGTGAAGAGGAGTTCAAGGGATACGGGCAAGCGACGGATGATTGGGGAATCATACCGTACGAGGTGTTGAGCCCAGAGTGGAATGCTGTCTCAATTTTGATTTAGCTGCCTCGGTATTTCTGGAATGGCCAAAATTCTGCTGCAATCATTAATTCAACAGTCACAGATCAAAATAACGAAATTGCATCCTCAAAAGTGAACTTTTCTCCCCGTTTACCATTCAGCGTTGGAATTAATATAATTTTCGATCCGAAATCCAGCTTATTAGACACCTGGGCAACCATAAACCCCGGGTGCGAAGAGGCATAACTAGTTAACGTATGGTGGGGAATGGGTGAGCGCCAGCTCAGCCTCGCGCGACAGAGGTCGATAAAGCTTCAGCATACCATATGAGTGAACCTCACCAAAATCTTCTCGTGATTTGCGGGCTGAAAAAAATGGCCTGCCAAATTAAGGATTGTGCGTGGTTGGTATGTAGTCGTGGCGTGACCAGACCGGGCGCATATAGGCGATAATTCATTGCCAAATTTAGACGTTCACTGCGAATTAATTATCATTATTTTGGCTCGCAGTGGTTAAGTATCGTACACTCCCCTCTACCTAGATCTTAATCAAGCTTGCCCCTCCCCTTTAAGCCTACCGTAATCGAAATGCGCCCCCAAAAGGCACCAAAGCAGGTTAGAGACTAGAACACATTTATCCGTTAGCCGGATCTAACAGACTAATAAAAGTCTTATCGACGAAGGAGCGGTTAAACCTTGGAAAGGAGCCTCGATTACATAACATAAATTACAAAACATGCAGGATTAATAAATCCTCCGGTATGCCGGGTTCATTACGCCGACAAGTAATCGCTGCCTAAGCCCGCTAACAACTTGGTGGGGCCAGGCACCGAGCGTATGCAAACCCTGCAAACTGCTCAAGAGCACCGAGGTGCCCGAGTGCCTGCTTACTTCCAGGATGTATATCTTGCCGACGTCTGTCTCAGTCGCCCAGCTTATCCAGTGATTACCCATGACTACTCGACCGAGCGTTTCGGTGCCTGGGCTTCCGGGGCATCAAGTCGCATCCCGGCGCCATAAGCGGGTCCAGGTGGCTAGGGCATGCGATGAATGTCGACTCCGACGCAGGAAGTGCGATAACAAAGTCCCTTGTTCAAACTGTACAACAATAGACCGAATATGCAGCAACAGTGGAGCGCCCAAAGCATCTACGCTCACGCAAGCCTCTGAGGAGATTAAGTGGCTGAAGCAGAGAGTCCAGCAGCTAGAAGCGGAACTGGAGCAGCGGTCCCATGAGAGCAATAATCTTCCCACACCAACAGGGTCTTCATCATCGCCACCTCATGTCTTTTCATCGAGGAACTCTGAAATTTCTGACTCGAGTGATTTGAAAAAATACTGGGGCGGCATACAGCTTCGCCCTGCGCGATCATCCAATGATACATGGCTTGGCCCGTCATCACTACATTCTTTCATCCAGCGCCTCAGTGTGTATTTGAGTCTCAATCTTCAACAGACACATTCTCCCAACAATTTGTTGCCCATCTCAGCAAGCGACAACAAATTGCTGGACAGACCAGAAGGCCCTGACATAGACCCAGTACGTCGGCTGGTCTCAACGGGGAATCTTTCTAATGCCGGTGTCTATTTAAGCCCGATACAAGAGGAGTATTTTATCAACTTCTTCTGGCAGACATATCACACCTCATTATTCCCAATATTGGATGAATCCCAGTTCAAGAAGCATTACCAGTCTCTATGGGTGTCTGGTGGCAAAGAACGAAAACCATCAGCCCTCGTCGATGTCATCATTGCCATGTGTATGCAATATGGTATTTCAGCTCTGCCCTCAGACACCCAAGGGTTCCTTGTAGAAGGCAAGGATGCTTTGGTTGCTGGTCGATGGCACTTTTGGCGTGGGCAGACGCTGCTCACATACGAGCTCGAAAGTCCCTACCTTTCAACACTGCAATGCCATTTACTCTGCGCAGTCTATCTGTGCGGCGGGTCTTTCCACAATATGTTGGACAATTCAATCGGTCAAGCTGTGCGCACCGCTTACGCTTTGGGACTCCATTTGGACCCCTCGCCGAGCATGCCTGAGCAAGACCGCGAAATGCGGAGACGCTTATGGTGGGCGGTCTATCTTATGGATAGCAAAGCCGGAATGAAGCTCGGTCGTCCTTTCTTGCTGCGTGATTCTCATGTCATGCCTCGTCTACCTAGTGACAGCTTGGAGGCTGCAAGAATGTCGGGATCCGCTTTTGCACCTATTGGCCACAATTCCACCTGGCTGAGCTATGACCTCCACCAGACGGAGCTATACATCAAAGTACGAGCTGCCTACACGAGCTTCTATGATCGGGAACTTCACTTGCGGAATGGCCAGACGATATGGGATGATCGTCATGCCCTCGAAGCCAGCGCGGAGGTTCTGTTTCCACATATCCAGATCCTGAAAGAATGGAGCAACACCGTACCAGAATCTCTAAAGTTGAAGCGTCAAAATAGCGGCAGGCCTCTTTCGACGGATGGCACACGCCTGTTAATCGAGCAGTTCGCTCCACTCTGGCTCCAGCGGCAGCGCGTTCTTCTTGAACACTCATACCACCATCTCAGCGTCAATCTATACCGACCACTGATCTCCTTATCTTCCAAGCCGTCACCAGGATCTCGAGCGGAGGAGATCGCTATGCGCTGTGCTTCCCATGGTATCATGCTATCGAAGATTACGCAACAGGTTCTTGTAGAAACTTCCATTCTCGATGGGTGGCATGAGGCCTTCCACTGCCAATGGAATGCAGCTATGACATTGATTGGCTTTGTCATGGTGTATCCGGATGCACTACTGGCCACCGAAGCCAGGAATGCAATCGACCTTGCAGTCGATGTGTTTGATAACTTCGGTGCCAAGTTCTCTGTTGCGGCTAATGCGGCCAAAATTATGCGAGATCTATGCGCCAAGGTTGACTTCCTGGCAAAGCGTAACCAGTCCCATCGTGATCATTTGAATGGCGTCCAAACTATCTCTATGGATGATTCTATGAGTATACCGCAAGGTCTCTCATTCGATACTTCCTCAAGCTCATCACTAAGAGACTGGAGCTCATACACAAATGTTCTTGCACCAGATTTGAGTTTGTTTGACATGGCGGTTGATGTGGATTTCTGGAACAATCTGGATGCGCTCTGGCCAGAAGCTGACAATTTGTTTCAATTCCAATCGGAGATCTGAGAGTGAGCTTTTACTCGCAAACATAATGACCAATCCTACAAGGACAAATCATGAATATGAAAGTTCCAAGGTTGAAACCATCGATGGTCCGGAGTTGCGGAGTCTCAAGATTGGTGACCACGTAGCTCTGGGGGCAGAATGTGGAGCTCTACTAAACTTAGATTGAATGCATACCCTAACTGGCTTTGCACTAATTATTCAGTCTTGAAACAGCCACTCATCACGGATTGACGGAGTCGCGGAGTGCTGAGGGTGGAGTTGCGGAGTTGCGGAGTTCATGCGCACGGACCGGGCGACACTATACAAATCCCCAATGCGACAAGTCGACGGATATAAATACCAGATGATCTGCCAGTTCCAGAATTATCATCATCAGCATCAATCCAAAGCAATCCAAAGCAATTCAAGTTTAATCCCAACTCAAATTCCAGCCACCTTCAAAATGACTCCCGCTCGCAAAGCCCTCATCGCCATCACCTCGGCCAAAGCCACTTTGAACAAAGAAACAACAGGCCTCTTCATCACCGAAGCCCTACACCCCTACAATGTCCTCGTAGCCGCCGGCTTCGAAGTCGACCTCGCCTCCGAAACAGGCACCTACACCGCCGACTGGCTCTCCCAAACACCCGACTTCCTCAACGGCGACGACCTGACAGTCTGGAACGACGTCAACAGCGACTTCCGCAAGAAGCTGGACAATATGCCCAAAGCCGCCGACCTGGACGCATCGCAGTATGGCATTTTCTATGCCTCCGCTGGCCACGCCGCTCTGATCGATTACCCGACTGCGACTTCGCTGCAGAAGGTCGCTGAGCAGGTCTGGGCCAGTGGTGGTGTTGTTGCTTCTGTTTGTCATGGTCCGGCTATCTTTGCCAATATCCTTGATCGTGAGACTGGAAAGCCTGTTATTCAGGGTCGTCGTATTACTGGGTTTACTACCGAGGCTGAGAATACTATGGGTATTATTGGTGATTTGAAGAGTTGGAATGTTGAGCTTTGTGAGGAGCTTGCTGCTCGTCTTGGCGCTAAGTGTGAGTTTTCTCTTTGCATTGGAGAATCTTTGGGTGTTTACTGACTTTTTTTGATAGATGAGCGCTCTGTTGGTATTTGGGATGACTTCCATGTCGTTGATGGTCGTCTTGTTACTGGTCAGAACCCTGCTAGTGCGACTTCTACTGCTAAGGCTGCTGTTGAGGTCTTTGAGAAGCTTTAGACAAGTGATTGATATGTTTTAGAATCTTATGGAGATGTTGTTTATGCCATAAATGTTGTTCACACTGCTTAACGTGCCAGCTATCTTCATTTTTTTATCCATGTCCGCAGATAAATACTTCTTCTGAATGCATTTAGATTAAAATAGCAATATACTCGACTAATTGAATAGGGAAAGACCTCTAAATAGTAGCGGTTAATATCCTATCTATACGAGAACCCTGGAGTATAGAGTGGCATTGACACATACTGTAGCGGTTGCGTTAGTGATTAAGACAAGATAAGTCAGATACGTGGGTCAAATATGAAATAGCGTGCAATAAAGTGGCACGTGTTAATCACCATGTTGGCTCATGGCATTGGCCGAAGGTATTTCAAAGTTCCAAGATATTGTGGCCAAGTGTGCACCAGCATAAGCGTTGTGAGTAGACAGAGAAACATAGATAACTATAATGAGTTGACGGGGGACGTGTGGTGGGTCGCGACAAACTATTGTAAACTATTCATTAGAGGAAGTAATGTAATTGAGATAAACTACTATATACTGTTTAGTGCCACCTTAGGTTTAAGAACGACACCGAGCAGTTTCACGACAGGTTAAACCGCTTCATGTCAGTGCGTGAACTATGAATCTATATCCTCTTGATCGCCTACGTGGCTAGATTTTTTTAAGGATTTTCTTAAGTAGGTTTGGAAATTGACTAACCGGTTACCGCTGTCAACCTGAAGGAGAATATGAAAATCTGCACTGTCGGAGGACCTCGAGATGAAAGAACCATATGCATAGAACGAAAGCGTTTAGTTTGTTTAGACCAAGTCTGTTCCCGATCGGAGTGGGAATGATGTCCTGCTCAACGTCATCTGATTGCACTAAGGAACACTGACTCTGAGTAAAGGGCAGAATAGGGCGAGAGTATTATAAATACTCGCATTCTCCTGACGGTCGAGATGCAGTTCTTAAAACTTATTCTTACTTCCATACTTTCTGCCGCTGCTACTGCAGCTCTCCCGATTCATGATGCTTTGCCGAATGGCATAACTACGCGACAAGATGACAGCTGTTCCAAAGTAAAATCGGACTTTAACAAGCCGATCACGGTTTGAACAACAGTCATATATATGACAAAGCAAAACAAGAGGAGGTGGATTCAGCCAACATCAAGCTTACAAAGGCCGTCAATGCCAAGGTGAGTGGTCTGAGCTACTTGGATCGTAACCTAAATACAGAGCTAATAATATAAAATGGTTGGAATAGCAAGCTGCTGGTTGTTATCCCTACTATCCGCTAGGCCCTATCCTAGAGCGCAGTATTGATACTTGACCTTCGCATAGGAACCGCGCATAGAGGTATGCCCAGCATCGCGCGCCTTAACTGGATGACGCACCACCAGGGGTAGATGCCTCAATAATATCTAGTCTTCGCGCGCTAGGTCCAAGGAGGGACGAGCCATTACAGGAGCGTATCTAGGAGGATGTCCACCCTGAATCGACGTTGTCACTACTAGCTAGGTCTATAGAAAAGTATGGTTATGTAAATATACAAACATCAAAAACAAAAACATACAACAGCATGTCTAAGGTGGTGGTCACCTAGCGCCCACGGTTCGGGCATGGGCGGCTCGCCGCTCTATTCAGGGCACTCAGGGCAGATATTCACCCACCTGAATATTCCTCACCCAAATATTCAGCCCGTACAGCAAAATGTACATTTCCCATCATGACCAAAAAAGCTACAAGTACCCTTCTTTTCCCCTCCGCTTTCATCTCTCCAGCCTCGCTTTATCACTACAACCCCACTTCGTCACTCCAACCCAACCTCGCTTTGTCACGAGCAAAATGCGTACCAAGCATGACCCAACGTTGAAATATATGGCCAATGTTGTGGATTTCGGGGAGCATAGTAACAATGAAATCCAGCGGGCAGTGCTGCCACGAACAGAATCTGGTTACAATCACAAGTTACTTATTTTCGACGAGTAAGTTTCAGCCCTGGGAGCAGAGAAGCAAATCGCTAAATTGTGCCTCTACCCCTAGTTTTGTCAAATTACATGCACAGGCCGTCATTCCGCCGGACATCAGAACTTGCAGGGCTTTTCTCGAGTGGGTTGCAAGAGGAATGGACGGTCGGATAGAAGAAAGGCCCACAGTCGAGACGATTCAGGGATTTTTTAGGAAATTCGCCACTGGTATGAAGAGAAAGAGAAATTTTGAATTCCCACCAGCCACTAGGACTACAATCAATGAGGTCTGTACTCGCGTTGTTTCGGATCAATCGGGGCTAATACCATATAGTATATCGTGGGAGAACTAAAGACCAAGATCCCTCTCTCAACTGAGCAAATGAATAAGGATGGCGGTGTGTCCCCAAATGATTTGACTATCTTGATGACTCAATTATGGTGTCGAGACCATCATGAGTACCGTGGAACCCCTGCCGATCGGGCCAGAGTTCAACTGAGTGCCGCAATGCTCCTGTATTGCTTTACCTCTGCACGTACAGGGGAGGTTCACGAATCAACCGCTCGGAGACATGGAGCCCGGGAAATCGGGGAGGACAGCGAGGACGTTGACTTAGAATCTCGGGTGATGGCTGCCTGTTATAAGGTATGTTTAGATAAGGAAAAATAAGCCAATGCTTGAAGCTGACTGCATCAGCATTTCGAACTGACTATCGAGACTGTGGATGGCATGATAATGCTTGTACTCACCTACGAGCGCGAATTTGTCAAAGGATATTGGCGAAAGACAAAATGGGAGATTCCTAAGCACGCATTCTACGAAGTATACGCTGAGGAAGTGCCCATCTTTCTAAACCTTTTGACATTCTTTTTACCAATGGCCACCGCAGACCAAGCTTTCAGAGATTATGGCTCAGTGAGCGAGATCCTAGATGCCGTCGAAATGCACGAGAAAGTCGGTCCTTCGGAGGATAAGATCCTGGAGGTGATTCATGTCCGGCAAGAAATGAGAGATCTGCCGGTTTTTCGCCAATACCTTGAGCATAATGTGGACAATTTCAAAGGCCATGCCAGGGGAGCGGATTCCTTCGGTAAGGCCTTGGTCAATCTAGGCCATAGAAGTGGCTACACGCTGAATATTACTGTTCGGGCGTGTCGAAGATGGGCTTTGCAGCAAGCAGGTACGGATTTATTTCAAGTATAGGCTCACGGGCTAGCTGATGATAAAATAGACAAAACATATTCCGAGTCTGCAAGAATGAAGTTCGCTGGGCAAACCAACCGGAACACGTACGGAAAGTCATACGCGCATCCTCTCAGTGAGGTTGATGGGCCAGCAAACTACCTCGGAATTGCCAGCCGACAAGAACATATCCAGAATCATCGGGGAATGGGTCTTTACCGCAATTCCTCTTTATCGCAGCTCCTACCTGCGAAATCTCAGTATGAATTTCTTGCCCGTGAAGATGTTTATGCTCTTGACCAAATCATGGCAAATTTGAGTTTGCTACTCGCAGACGCTACACCGGAAGAAAAACACAAAATCCAACTTAAACAAAAGGCGGTGTATAGGAAGAAACGGAGCCTTTATACTGAAGAGCTCCGAAAGGTCCAGGGACTATCAGGGAGGCAACATGGAAGTATTTACACTGAAACCATGTTCCACTATAGGAGAAAGGTAATGCCTCACAGAGACTTCTTGGCTAGCACATTGCCTTGTAATCTCAGCCTCCGGAGTTTAGATGGAAGAAGAATAATGCAGGCATTAGAGTCCCTCTGCAGCGAGACAGATACGGTTTCATACCGCGATAGCCTCAGCCCCCTAGGCCAGGCCTGTCTCTGTGGAAGGTCCATTGAAGAGTATGTCGTGCTGGCAATGGGAAGATATGATTTTTCTATTACTAACCTGAATAGATTTAAGGATCACCGAAAATGGTTACATCTCTATCGTTGCTACTCAAGGCATTATAGAACCACGCACGGATTTGCGGAAATGTGCTTTGAATGCGACCTATGGTTTACCAATAAATCAGAATGGGAGAATCATTGCCAGGAGCATCTTGATACTCCAGGCGACTTACTCCGTTGCGACCCTATGATCTTTCGGAACGCACCTATAAAGCCAGGGCTATGTCCGTTTTGCCTGGGTGCTGAGAGAGAGAAACCGTCAAAGAGAATGCTTCAATTCGTCCTCTCACCGCCAAAATGGCACTCCCATATTGAAGATCATTTGAAAGAACTCAAAGTTAATTTCGACTGCAAGCATCCAGCCTGCTCCACAACCTTTAAAAGCCGAGAGGAGCTTACCTACCATCTGGTTGACACGCATTGTTGGCGCCCTAGGCGGCAATCCCCCAAGAAACGAAAGTGGGCAGACATTAAATATTGAGGCATATAGATTGGGGTTCGGCTTTGGTAGTTACCCTAAGATTATTGTCGTATGTAATAATTGGATGTACATTGGTTACTATGCAATATATGTCCCTCATGTATATAATTGACAATCTGGCCGTCCTCCGTAAAGATTTTACTATCGGAACGCAAGACACTCGGCTGTCAGGACTAATCGCCTGATCAAGGGTATTGCAACGCTATCCAACTAACAATATGTGCATATCGATTTCCAGTATAACAACGACTCATGCTCTTTCTACTCTTATACCTGCATGTCGAAAATGTGCCTCAGCGCTCTGCCGTTTCGCACTAAGATCATGACCACAAGTATGGTGGGATTTTGGTCATGCTTTTACAACAAGCTTTTAGCCCTCGTCCTGTGCGGCTTCTTGAGGCATTAAGCCACATTTCTGAAATTTCCTTATCCAAACCCACAGTTAGTCACGCACATCGGAGCTCATTCTATCTCATGGCAAAAAAACTGGATCCCAAAAGTGTGAGGGCGCGTCGTTTGCTACAGTACTTCCGGAAATCGGCGTCACCACCTACACTGTCCGATTGTTTCTCGAACCCTAATGCCAAAATCGACTAGACTATATTAAGAATAGCCCCGGAACAGCAATTTCATCATTGTTCGGCGCTTAATGATAGGTACCTAGGTAACTGTTTGCATGAGAAATAGACATTCAATTGCAGTTCCTGTCTTATTATGAGGGCCAAAGCAGCTTGTCTCGATCCTCATGCAGGGAATTAGCTTCCATCACTAGAATTATGTGGCGTTGTATGTCATATTTTGGGCTTGTAACACGCCCTGTGCCATTTGATGCCGGAACCCCTTTCCCAGCCAAGCCACGTCCTATCATTAGCCGCCGACCATCGTCCTAATCTCATATAGAGAGCCATTGTCAAGTTAGGGTGACATCCCAGTAGTTTTGGACATACGGACGGGCGCAAGTTCCCAACTGCGTCAGTCTGTGCTTCTTTGGAAAGTGTGGCTAGCTGTAGCAGTTTCGTTGATGCGCTGGAGTATGATTACTGCTCTCGTGTTTAAGATGGAGTTAATAGTTCGCGGCTTGAGACAGCGACAGTTGCACATCGGTTCCGAAAGCACAGCCATGAGATGCTACAAAAAGACGCTTAGCTGTGGGCGGCAACCAATGTTTCATAGCCGAGGTTAGACAATGTGCATGCTGACAAAGCGCCTCTGGGTGGACCTTGTTCCTCCTGAATTCTCATCCTACCACCATATTTTGCCCTCACTTGCGTACAGCTGAAGGAAGGTTGTTATTCACGGCATGTCATCACGAGGCGCACACCGTCAAAAAGTGGCCATCATCGGCTCTGGAATGGCAGGCCTTGTTACTGCGTACCTACTAAGAACCGATCCTTCTAGCCGATTTGAAGTGGAAATATTTGAAACGGTGTGTACATATTAATCTCCGCTGTCGACCAATTTCTAATCTGCATGGTAAAAATTCAGCAGGACGAATTGTCCCTCGACTCTGCTTCGCTTACAATTCCGTCCGATCATTGCAAAGATTCAGTACCGGATCGAGTGGACCTTCCCATGCGTGCCTTTGCAGATGGCTATTACAAGAATCTCAAGCGAATGTATGACTATTTTGGAATCCAATATGCCTCGCCTCGTTTTATATATACGCTGTCTTCTCTACCTCGAATCGCGAGCGACAAGATACGCCCTTACTTCATTCATTCCTCCAACAACCACCAACTGCCGCCAGCCAAACCCGAAAACAATTCATGGGGATCGTGGCTTGTCGAACTAGTCTACCTTATGTTCTGCTACTACTGGTTCACTGCCTGTTGTTTTTGGATCAGACCGAAGATAACTGTCGAGTCAAGTGTGGACGAATCGTTTCGTCAGTACCTAGAGAGGATTGGTTTGCCACAGTACTATATCAAGTACTATCTGTTACCATTGATATCGAGTGTCACAACATGCTCGCATGATGCATTATTGGAATTTCCCGCTATCGATCTTGTCGAATACGAAAAAAGGACTTTCCGTCAACCCCACTACACTATTGAGGGTGGCGTCCACAAGATTCAAACCAAGCTTTCTAAGGGCTTGAAAGTGAGGTTTCGTTCCACAGTTACAGCAGTTCAGAATGCTGGAGGAAAGGTCAAGGTAACAATGAGGAACGAACACACAGGTTTTCTGGATTCCGCATTGTTTGATCACGTCATCATGGCTGTCACACCTGACGTTGTTGGCTCAATATTTCCGCCCCTTGAAAGTGTCATGGCCGCAGTCCCTACCACGCGGGTACTCTCGGTTGTGCACCACGACTATACCAGATTCTCTACTTGTCGTCAATATGTGAGAGGGCGAATACCTTTTGATCACAGGGGTAGGGCTTCTCAGCCCATTCACATGTGCTCAAACGCCTACGCGACAGAGTCAACACACGAGCATCCATGTTCGGTTCTTATTACCACATCGCCCATTATATCCGTACGCCCTACACATATTTTACATTCTGTCACGTTCACTCGGGTTCTACGGACTCCCACAAGCAGACAATTGCTGAACCGGGTTTTCGGTGCGAATGAACTAGAGTGTCGCGATGATAATTTGAAAGGCTGTTGGCGAAATGGAGATGGCAATGTTTGGCTTGTTGGAGGTTGGTGTTGGGATGGAATGGTCATGCTCGAGGGATGTGTTGCTTCAGCCATACGTGTGGCTGACAGCTTAGGGGTTGAAGTGCCCTGGCTATTAGGCTATAGCTACGACCAGTGCTGCAATGCTAGATGATGTCGTCGGTCTGGTTATGGTCCAAGTTATTTCAAATCCTGGCGGGAGTGCTTCATCTTTTGATGCGCTGACAGTAACAGACCGAGACCTGAAAAATTATGGTAAAGATACGATCCTGGAGAATGTTACACCTGAACAAAACACGAAGTCGTGAGACCGAAGCGTGATTCAGAACAGTAACTTTTGCAATGATTTATTTTCCTCATTCTGGGACAGCGGGTTGATCCAAACCTTGACGGCAAAGCACGATGAGCTGCGATCAAGGAGCCAAGAGAGGAAAGATAGCGGAGTAACGGATGTCCAGCAAATTCGGGCATGGGGAATGTAATATTTAGGAACTGATTTGTGGCAAGTAGAGATGACCAAGTAGTTACTCGAGAAAGAGCAACGCCGTACAGCTGTTGCAATTTGTATATTATATCAACGTTGCGTTTTAATTCATGCCCACGATGGTTGCAACCTACCCGTCTGTTGGGTATACTAGAATTCTCAACCTTGGTCCGGCAGCCCAGCGTAGCCTCCCTCAATAAGCGGAATTCACTGAACCTGCAATCTTTCGAACACGTAGAAATGGTGAGATCACTAGGTGGTGAATAGTCACTTTAGTACATGCGCGTCGCCTCATCTTTAATGTGTCTACTCTTTGCGCAGTCCATATTGCCGCTTTTGGCCTAGTGTCATTCTTAATGCAGAGATAGAACCGCTAACAATCGCACCAATCAGGTGTTTGTGGCTCTTCACCAGTTCAGTAGGGCACCGAGCACTGCATCAACAGCGGGTATAGTATAAACATCCTTGGTGTGGATATCTGTGATATCAGGAACCGTTAAGACACCCTTGCGAGAGACTGTATAGCCTTGCCTATGCTGTGGAGTGCGTTATTGCGTGGCTACGTAATTTCTACATTGTCCTTGAATTCATGCACAATAGCATCATTCCTTCTTGTCTTCATAAGCTACAGTATTAATTCCAAATTACCGCCCGCCCTTGAGCCGCTTCCATCACCAGACACAGCACTTTGTTGCCTGGGTCACCTACGGGCTTATTCATACCTCTAAAAGTCACCCTTTCTCCATGGCCACGGGCGAATATGACCGATCGGTGAAGTACAAACGCGATAAGCGGACCACATAGCGTATCTAGATTCCCCTGATCCTCGACCATTAACTAGCCATGATAGAAGCCAACAATTAGGGTAAAAGGATTGGAAGAGGGCTTGGATCAGAGCCCTGGGGAATATGGCAGGAAAGTGGACAAGCACGTGCTTGTCCTCCTGGACATCTTTCTATGACATCGTTCTGGGTGGGAAGGGTGGAATAATTTGTGCAGCAGACTTGGGGGTTGCCGGGGTATCAGAAAATGCGCGTGATTTGGCGTGGAGAGTGTTGTTTAGCCATCTCGCCACAGCGATAACGGACAACGACAATATGAACCGAGACCAAGCTAGGGTTCGACTCAATTTTAGAAAGGATTTGTAACATTTGACAGTAGGTGTTTCCCAACAAACGTTTCGATAGGCTAAAAAGATTGCTAGGCCAGGATGATTTAGCCGCTAATGCGATGGACAATAATGATGGAATAAAGAGGAATCTTAAACCGCCCGGCCGTTGGTCCGATAGTGGAAATCTTTCCAAACCCGCGCGGGCCACAAGGAAAGTCAGATAGGAAACAAGGGCCTTTGCCAACGCACTCCAGAGGACCTTGAGTCCGCGACCCTTTCCATCGAACACAACGTCAAATGGGACAGATGGTACATCGGTTGGCTTCATTTCCCTGCAGCCATGACTATAGTTGTCGTAGGCCTGTCCTCCTTTTTTGTCGACGGCTCCGGCTTTGCCCTGGTCTGCCAGTTCCACAACATCCATGTCGAGAGCGCGGCACATGAGGTAAGCAATGCCGCTAATTGTGTGGCCATCACAGCGCCCCTCCATGGTACATTTTTGCTGGAATACCAACAGACCATTCCGAGAAGGAATTCGACGATCGAAATATCAAGCAGCGTCAGTGGCAACCACGCGATAGCGAAATCTTTCCGAGTTATTTTTTGTATGCCCTCAAATTGAAATAGCAACATGGTGGCCACCACTGCAGAAATCACTGCTGTAACTGCAGCGCTGCAAAGAAAGCCTTCAGAAACCCTTATCAGTCCAGAGCTTGTCTGATGAAATTCATCGAATTGTAAAGCGCCCACAGCAAGACCGCTGATCAGAGCTGCCAGCACAACGATTGTTTTATAGAAGCGGTGCATCATCCAAAACACAAGGATGCCACCAGAGCCCAGTTCATTGTCCCATTGTGGTGAAATCATGCTTCCTCTTCTGATTTAGCAGAGCTCTCCAGGAAGTTATTTCCTTTCACTTACATCAATAGTTATAGTGAGACGAATTTCAAAGTTCCAGCCGGTTCGAAGGAAGGTTGACGGAATTGTCAACGCGTCACTGGTGGCAAAAGGATGAAACGGCAAGTCTGAGGGATGTCAGCTGGTGGTATTTAACTTGAAGATTATAACAGGTTCTTTAGCAAAGTAACTCTTTGTTTCAAGTTCGATCTTACCAAACGATTATTATATCAATATGGATCCTGCACTTGGAACAGTGCTTGGATGTGAAAATACATTTCGGAAGTTGGTGGGGGAATGTGTCGGAAATATAAGGGTCCGTCTCAGTCTGGGCTGCTTACATATGTCGCACCCCCTTCAAAAGTACCTTGCAGATCATAGTGATCAGGAAGTTACAGCTGGTATTTCTCTTGCAACACGACCCGCAGTTCAGCAACTGTTCTGTCAGCAAGAATTTGCAAAAGATGAGTAAGTCGAGTATTTTATGGCTGTGTTACGACCAAGAGTTGAACCAATTCCATCAGACTACTTGCGCTCTCTGGGAATATTGGTCGCCAGAAACAAGGAGTCTATGCGAACATTTTGACCTGTAACAGTAACATCGGCTATACCGTTCCGCGTGTGTACATCGGTGGGGCCGCCGGGCCGTACAGCTCTCAGTCCCAAGGCATGCGAGCTAATATTCGTGCACACCAAAACAAAAATAAAACTGCGAAAGCATGTTCTAATATTCATGAAAAGTTCCTGGTAGCAAAAGAGTGGGAGGCGAACTGGGCTGCCCTTGTCTTGTTTTCGTCTGAGGTCGACAGAGAGCTGGTAAAGTTTGCCCATGCTGTCATGGTTATCATGTTTGCGTCGTGCCAAGACGTCGATTACATTGCATGCCGACCGCCAACACTGCTTCCTATGCCTCTACAATGGGGTTTGAATGAGACAGGACCTTTGCATTTCCATAACATTGCTACATACAATAAACTCTGCGGAGTTTCCAATCCCGAAGAGAAGGAACGCATTCGCTGCAGGCAAAGTATAAACAGCTTAGCCAGTGCTTCCGCTAAGAAGAGACAACGCTGTGAAAGATTGAGACGAGGCGGGGCCATTCACGTGAATGTACACAGAGCGGGCTCGCACATCAAACGATTTTTTATCACACCAATGAGCGCTGCTGATGGTGGCCCTATTGATATCACAATTCCACTCAAAATAGGTCTCAAAAACAGGCTTGAACAGTCTCCCACTGTTGATATGACCCTTGATCTGAGCACAGCCAACCACCACAGACCATATGCTTCCAAATCTGAACGAGATAGCCGGATGCGCCGACTCGGTATTTTGATCACCGGAATCATTCCAAGTGGCCCAAGAAAAGGTGCTCAATTTAGACAATGGCTTCAATCATCGAGAAAAGAGGGCGAACGCCAAGCGGAAAAGCTCATTGGTTTCCTTGACCCCCACAACGGAACTCATCTCCACCAGGACACAAGTGGCGAAGACTGCTCAAGTTCATTTGCGAGTACGAGGAATGGAGGCAGCTTTTCCAATTCCACGCCGCCGACACAAGCGGCCTCGCTTCTTTCTAGCACCGCAAGGCATTCACAAGTCACTCCACAGATTGCAATCTCCACAAAGAACCCTAGTTTCTCGTCGATGATCACTCGGCTGGTTCAAAAAATTCGGCTGAAAGTGCTTTCCCGGAAAATGAAAGTGACTCCAGCGGTTCTGGTGTATTTCAAAAATCGTACCGCCGAATCAATAGCAACGGCCTTGCTTCGCGGTATCCGTCAGCCAGTTGTGAATTTGATTTCCTCCAAAGAAGAATTGACTGCTACAAGGTCAGTGCTTGTGGATCATAAGTTTTATGTTAGCTAACGAAGTCAACCTTAAGACTTCTTTCCCTCAGTGGTGATACTCGCGACCTCAGCCAAGGGGTCTATGCGGATATTGTAACCAGTGGAGATCCAACATTTTTCAAGATATATGTGGGTTCCGCCGCTGCTATTTCTACGAAGGGGAAAGTCAAGGGCATTAGGAGGAGGATCCAGGATCATTTATCGTATCTACGATCTACACGCAAGCCTCAAAGTGGCCAACCGCACTCCGGCGAGATTCGGAAGGAGGGAAGGCTCTGCAATTTCGTAGTGCTGGTCCAGTTTACAGACCCGGTTGATACGCCGTTGGTTTACATCGCTGAAGCTATCATGATGATCCTCTTTGCATCCTGGAACAGCCAAGCCTTCAACTGTCTTCGTCCAGAAGATCTTCCACGGAGCCTATTCTTGGGTCTCAATAATGCGAACCCCTTGCATTACGGAGTTTGCAGTAACATGGGGGCCAGGGCACGTCAAAATCAGAAAGAAAGTGGACTTAGAAGGGCTCGGGCTTTGATAGATACGAGTGTTTCGAAGGCAATCAAAGGCGGGCTAGTTCATATCACTGCACATCAACCCAGACAGTCATATTGGGATTTTAAATTCAAAATTTGTGGAGAGACCATCAGAATCCCATCGAGTCAGGGCATTTCGGTTGGCCTGCATCTACGAAGACTTTTGCATGTTCAATGTGAGGTGAGTTCAGACCAACATAAGTTTCCTTACGCCACAAGGGCCGAGTCGACAGCAACATCAAGTCGCCTGGGCATATGCCTCAAGGGCTACCATGTTCATGGTCCTGACCAAGGCAAAGATTTCAAAATATGGATTCAATGCAATTCAGGTAAAAAGGCAGTCACGCGGGCCAGCAAATTAATTGCATTGCTTACCGAAAGAGGCTGACGTCATAACCTCCATTACGCGAAATCGCTGGTCTTTCCCCGGCTTGATGGAAGAGGCACAAGCAAATTCCGCTCGAGATTATTTGGTGATATGTGTTGGCGATGTCCTTTTGTATTCGTGCTGGGTGGGGTTCGATCGGGTTCCATGGTCGAGATGTTAGATCCTTTCTAATTACTCAGAAGAGAAATATTGATGCGCGAAAAACAATGCCGTCGCAAAACAAACCTGATGGGATCGTACATCTTGAAGATCAAAGCGATTAGAGATCATATGAATCAAGCCCGGCGGCTTCTGACCCAATGTCTACAAAACATTTTTCATCCTTTAGTGCACCTTGTTCAGTTGTATCGTGTAGATAATCTATTTTCAGACAAAATTGACCAAGAGCGTCTGAAAATCCACGTTCCAATTGAATGTCCCGTTGAACATAGCATGACAGCCTCTATATACATTAGAAATCGTAGTATAGTTATTAAACCCTCTTATACATGGATTCAAGGCCATCGTGGCCCGATGTGAGGAGTTCAGCATCCAAATTCGCAAGTGATAAAATATCAGAAGTATGATGGCAGTAAGCTGTAGGTGACTGCCTGCTGTTCCAGAGCTTAGGAAACAAAGGCCGCGATCGAGTGGTCGGGAGCACCGGTCGCCAGTTAACGGCCAGTGGGGCTTACTAACCTGACAGGCCAGGGGAAGACGCAGCTACAGTGCTGATTCGATCACGATCTGGGTTTCTTGGAGCAGAAAGAACCTATTAGAACAAGGCTACATCATCCGGCGCTTTGGTCACCTATGCTGGCCACTAGAGCACGGGAAACAGAGATATATGTTACATACCAGACACGCAGTCAGATAGCTGAATTATTTCCAGATAATCTATAATCTATAGACGACATCAATTTAACACCCTGGTATGTTCACCTCCGATATCTTCCCTGTTCTTCGACACATGCGCATCATATCGAAACAACTTTAATTTGAGTGTCGTGACCACCATTCTCTGCAGAATTAAACTTCCGAGGAGCTGAAGCTTGAGTAGAGCCTCCAATGCCGGCTGACTGGAACTGAAGATCGACAATGTTCACTAATCCTGTCATTTGATGGGCTACTAGCCCATAAAGCTCTGCGACGATACTTTCTTCTGCACAGACTGAAGTGGAAGGCGATATATCAATTTCAAAGCCAATAGAGGGGGGCTTTCTACACACTAACCGGCAATCAACCCTTTTCTTCCGTCCTCAAAAAAGTCATTGGGTATAGCGTCCTTTGCATTCACAGCAGAGTAGAGCCTGAAAATTCTCCCGTGCTTGCTATTCCACGTTTCGTGAGTGTCCTGAGCAGGTCGGGCGGATGGTATATGTAGCGCGAAATGAAGTTTCTAGTGTTGTTAGCACAGATCAATGTCAAATCGTAATTGTTTCGACATACATAAGCCCCATTGTCCTTCCGAAGGAGCTCATCCATCCAGTCATATATCCAGTCGAAATTTGCTTTTCTTTCGTCAGAATCTGAAAAGGGATTTTAAATGTCGGGAGATAACTTACACTCATGATCAACCTCCCACACAATGAATATATCGCAATGTGTGTGGTTATTAATATTGCTCTCAACCGAGAGTCTAATATAGGATAGCAATGGAGCAATTCCAATTCCAGTGCCAATACAAAGAACGCGGCTATAACCTGCGAGTCCCTCTAAACGACCATACGGTCCATCCAACCACGTTAAGAACTCGCTTCTCGGGTGATTCATCAGTCTTTGCGCGAAGCCTCGTTTCTCACGCACCAGCAGCGTGATACTTGTGGCGTTTCCATTGATATCGTTCTCCCACCAGGATATTGGAAAGGAATATGTTTGGAGAGCAGAGCGCAAGCTGACACCAGGCATCCAAATGTAAACACTCATTCCGGGTTGAACTTGAAATGGTCGGTTGATCGGAATCACGACTCGAATGGCATCAGCATGTTTCATCCGAACGATGACTGCACGAGATGCGACTTTCGCGTACTTGATATTGCGAATAAGAAGCAATACCCATCGAAGTATAAGGAGGAGAGAAATAGCGATGCTAGAAATAAGAACTCCTAATTTAGGGAAGATCCTAGATTGTATTAGGTGGCACAAAACAGTTATGCCAACGAGAACGGCCGCGAATTTGTGAACTTTAGATAGTATCTCTATTGCAACCCTTCGAAGGAGATGTGTGATAACGGCAAGTGCAATGCCAGAAAATGCCTTTATAGTGAACGTCAGTATGTTAGAAAGAATAATGGAATATTCTTACCAGCAGCCCATAAATTTGCAGATTCCGCTTTAGGTGCCACCCAGCTTGGTGTATTGCAACGGAAATGTGAAGAACGCCTTGCAGAGTGGACATTATGCCTAAAGTACTGTGTATAGTTGTGAATGTTTGAATTGAAAGTCCAAGGGCGTCGGCGAGAAAATTCAATCGATCGCTCATAAGAAGGGGGAACAAGTTTATAATGGCCATATACCCTGACCGAATTCTGATATCAGTCAGGCTATGCGTTTGTATAAACATGCTGACTATATTGCCAGGCCAATAAATCAGCTGTAAGAGTAGCCAGGCTCTCGATTTTCTCCTCACAATGGGCGGATAGATGAGATACTTCAAAATAATCATTGCTGCCCATTGTGTCGGAGCGGCTGGCGAAGTTCGCACAAAGTTGAAGGCGCGACTCGTATTAGTCCACAAGAAGAACAAGAGCAATAACCCCCCAATTATGATAGCATATAGAGTGGAGGGATCAGTGATCCACATTCTGTATCTGAAGGCGTGAGCAACGTCCTGTCTAGTTGCAGAAATCAGTATTGGGGTTCTTATAGATGTGCGAGCGTGTAGATTTGGTGGACCATCAACTAAAAATAGCCAAGTACGTACGTCACTCGTGGGCGATACGACGAAGATTAAGTTATTTTTAGAGGATCCAAAGTATATAATGTACAAATCGCCACTGGAGACTTTTGATTTTATCAAGTCTACTCTACACAATGCCGCAACCTACGGATCGCTCCGGTGAAAGCCGCCGCCGAAAAACATGCTTTAGAAAGATTCGTCAGCTCTGTGCTCTGTGTCGAATGAGAGCAATAGTGGTGTTGGTTGATGAATCCGATAAACATTGGATATTCAAAACGCATGATGATATTCCGGATTTAGAACAGGTAGGATTTATACTCTTCATCCCTGAGTCCATCAATTGACCTTCATAGCAGGCCATACAGCATCCCCAGACTCACACCTACGATGATTTTGAGCCTTTACCTCCTTCCAGCCGGCGGATTCCAGCTACGCAGCCATCTCAACGCCAGATTACCATGCTAGCACCGCCAAGCTTTCGTCGTGATTAAGGTGGGGCTGCCGTGGGCGAGTCGCCCGAAAGACTACCTCGTGGGCCTTGGCGTATTGTATAAAGGACACTTATTCCTCATTATTTTATTCTATATAATACCATTTGATCATATTTAATCACATCGAAGTCCATAACCTTGTACGTAATGGATATCAACCAGCCGGAAGATCGCAAATCACTCAACCAACTGGATCATATCCTTCAGAGTAGCGTGCATACGCTGAACACGGAGCGTCTTCCAATTTATTTGGAAGCGCCAACAAACGTGAATGCACCTCACTTAGGTGATATTCAACAAGAATTCTTACGCCTTCGTCAAGAATTAGCTTGGCATCAGGAGGCAAAGGAAGCCCTGTTGGGTCTTTTTGGGGACACAAGGGAGGTATATCGCCTCCTTCAAAAGGCACTCATTAAAGCCAGGGTCCAGCATAGTGGGGACAACTGTTTTTCAGAGCTGGTGAATGACGCGCAGCATGCTGGTTTTCTTCTTCGACAATGTCTGCAACGAGCATCCTACAGACTTTCGGAGTCAGAGAGTCATCTTCTTGAGGCCCTAGGTATCTCGTTAGATGATACCAATAGGAGAGACGTCACAGTGCTATAGATGATGGTAGTAATTTCATTTTTTTAACTTCATACTATTTAAAAACTCGTGAATCTGCCGCTCAGTTTCTCCAAGGCACCGGCCAATGCTGTGGGCCTTTCTGAGGTAAACAATAAAAGCCTGGCGTAAGCGACGGTTTTGAGATAGTAAAGTTCCCTCCCTATGCTTGTACTCCTCGATCTCGGTTTCCAATTTTTGAATGGTGTGTATGGAGTCCTGTAGTTGTTTTTCAAGGTTATGTGTATCTGCTTCCAGGTCGTGGATACTTGTCCGCACTTCGAGAGGACAAGGCGAGTGATCATCGTTGCAAACTGCTCGGATATCCCCACATTCTAACCCATTCGATATCTCAATGTACATGTTGGTCGACATATCGCTAAGCTGTCTATCGAACAAATGGCTGGTCGCATTGCTAAAAAGCCAAGTATAGGCATCTTTTTCCGATGGATGAAGGCGGACTTCTGACGGTCGCACGCATAACCCAAGTCGATCATCTTTGTTTTTGATTAGCAATGTCCTCCCCTTCCACCTTCGCTGGGTATACTTACTAATGTGGTTTGCGAGCACTTCCCGACACCTCCTCCTTTCCAGAGCACGTTTTCTATTAGCTGGGTTTGACATGTCATGTAGTCGAAAGGGCTAAGTTTGGTAGTCTACAACTATATATCGTGTATCCCGTAGAGAGTTCCCCTGTCGATCCTTGCTAAGGGTGACCCGCCACGGAAATAGAAATGTGGCAGGTGATGAGGCTCATCACAAAGTGGGGCCATCGTGGGCGGTTCGCCTAGGCAGGCGGTGGTCACACCTATGACTATCCGACCGCTTGATAATAATGCTATTTATATCACCCACCGCAAGATATGCTCTCCTTAGCGGGTAAATTCACTCGAATGATAAGAAACAATCGAAAGTGCAGCCAGTAAAGTACCATAGTTGAAATGTTACGAAGATTAAAAGTAGAAAAGAAACATTCGAACATTTCCCACTTCTGAGAATCTACATTTCGCTTAAAACCCATTAAAGGACACTGAAAAATGATGGATCCATTCTCAACACATGATGCTGCTCTTCATTATTTTAGCCTACTTTCAAGCGTGTGTTCTAGCAGCTGGGAGTGCGGCTAGTCATGACATACATGCAATAAGCACCCCGATGAGCATCACCATAACGACGACAGGCACCGCGACTCGATATACGACGGTCATAGCCTTAGAAAACACGTCTTCAGCTAGACATTTGCACAGTACTCTGGCAAATCCAAAGAGCACGAATAGTCTTACTCGAACGCGAACAATGAGGCCCCAGGGCGCTTCTCCATCTTCGACTGACCTTTTGTGGCATACCCCAATAGGAAGCGTCGACGCGGCCCACCACCCAACAACCCGCGGGAGCCGTTTCCCCACCTCTACGCCTGTTTCTACCCCTGCCACACCCTCCATACCCACTCCTATATCCCCAACCTCTTCATCACCTGGATCGACTTCATCACCTGGATCGACTTCATCACCTGGATCGACTTCATCATCTGGATTAACTTCATTACCTGGATTAACTTCATTACCTGGATCGACTCCATCGAGTACCACCTCAAATGGCACTGAGTCGGTCCAAGTCCCGCTGCGAACAACGTTGATAATAGGGCTAGGGTGTATTTTCGCCGTATTTGGGTTTTTCTGAGCGACAGCTAATGGATATACGAGGATAGAAGCTAGGGCATCGAGTAGTAGTCAGATAGATAATAAAGAATGAGACTAAGGATGAATTAATTGATTCAATTAGTGGCGCTATACAGTACTTCCGGAAATCGGAGTCACCACCCACACAATCTCTCTTCCAGGTACCAAGACACGGTAAACGACTTTTACAACAGATCTAGGCCTTGTACTGTGAAATACCGGATTACTGTACAGTACTTCCCGAAACTGGTGTCACCACCTACGCTCTTCGATTGTTTCCCGAACCCTAATACCAAGATCTACGATACCGTATGAGGAGTAGCCCCGGAGTATCAATATTCCCGTTAGATTACCTATTCGGTACTTTACGCCAAACGATACATGACTCTATGTATCGGCATTGTATGGAATAGCCCCAGAACTTTCTATAGACATGCAAACAAATCAGTTGTTGACCTCGAGAATATGATGTCGAATACTAAGATTGAATACATGGTGGAAACAAGGTATAATACCCAGAAAATCATGTGACAACTGGTACCATCCATACCATACAAAAGTGCATATTACAGTTAGTCATCTATGTCCGCCCAGATTGTTGAAAGCGCGGGTTTTGTCATTTTAGTTAGTTAGAGAACTCAATATATCTGTTTTTGACCATACGTTGTCGTACCGACAGATTTCTGTCATATGACAAGGTCTCACTTCTCTCTCCCACTCCCCACATCTAAGTAACAATTTACAGAGAAGTGCAAAATCGGCGTCATTAATTTGCACTCATTCAGTTACGATGGACTCCATTGCCAAGGCGCTGGGCCGTCAACTGAGTGCACATCAGTTAGCTATGCGTGCAAGCATCAAGTCTTGGCGAGGTCCTCCACCAAAGTCCTGATGATATGTTTTTTAAATATATTTTTACTCCGCCTTAACTTATTATCACTATGCTCGGAGCCTCCTAGATCTCGTCATAGACTCATTGGCCTGGAACTAGTCAACTATGGCAAACCACAACGAAATAGAGTGTATCGAATTTAGAACCTGGTGGAACTGAATGGAACATTCCACCAACACCGTAGAGCCATATAAATTGACTTCTCCTGCCAGGCACTTCTTTTACACAGAGATTAGAAACCAGAGAAAGGAAGCGCAATCTAAATAATTGACATCTGCTAGACATGAAATCCTATAAATGAAATGAGCCCTGTTGCGTGTCCTAGGGCAAGTAAATTGCCATTGATCGCGGAACAGCTAGGCCGAGACCCAGGAGGAAGCCAAAGAACATTTTTGCCATTCAGCTTTATCCACTGTTGCTCGAGGAGTATCGCCGGATTCGCTTTGTTTGAACTAGTCGCATGATTTTCAGACCCACATTGAATATCAAGGGATCCCAGATTAGTGATTAGAGAGGATCCATCGTGATCAAATTCAACGTCAGTGACTGATCCATTGGCTCGAAGAGTCTGCTGCAGCGCGCCTGTCGCCGTGTCCCAGAGGCGCACGGTTTTGTCATGGGAGCCGGATGCCAGCAGCGCGCCGTCGGGTGAGAAGGCGACCGACCAAACCGAGTCTGAGTGGCCCTCGAGGGTCTGCTGCAGCGCGCCTGTCCCCGTGTCCCAGAGGCGCACGGTTTTGTCATAGGAGCCAGATGCTAGCAGCGCGCCGTCGGGTGAGAAGGCGACTAACCAAACCCAGCGTGAGTGGCCCTCTAGGGTCTGCCGTAGCACGCCTGTCGCCGTGTCCCAGAGCCGCACGGTTTTATCATGGGAGCCGGATGCTAGTAGCGCGCCGTCGGGTGAGAAGGCGACCGACGAAACCGAGTCTGAGTGGCCCTTGAGGGTCTGCTGTAGCGCGCCTGTCCCTGTGTCCCAGAGGCGTACGGTTTTGTCATAGGAGCCGGATGCTAGTAGCGCGCCGTCGGGTGAGAAGACGACCGACTGAACCCGGTCTAAATGGCCATCGAGGGTCTGCTGTAGCGCGCCTATCTCCGTGTCCCAGAGGCGCACGGTTTTATCATCAGAGCCGGATGCTAGTAGCGCGCCGTCGGGTGAGAAGGCGACCGACCGAACCCAGTCTGAATGGCCCTCGAGGGTCTGCTGCAGCGCGCCTGTCCCTATGTCCCAGAGGCGCACGGTTTTATCATCAGAGCCGGATGCTAGTAGCGCGCCGTCGGGTGAGAAGGCGACCGACCGAACCCAGTCTGAATGGCCCTCGAGGGTCTGCTGTAGCGCGCCTATCGCCGTGTCCCAGAGGCGCACGGTTTTGTCATGGGAGCCGGATGCTAGTAGCGCGCCGTCGGGTGAGAAGGCGACCGACCAAACCGAGGCTGAATGGCCCTCGAGGGTCTGCTGTAGCGCGCCTGTCCCCGTGTCCCAGAGGCGCACGGTTTTATCATAGGAGCCGGATGCTAGCAGCGCGTCGTCGGGTGAGAAGGCGACCGACCGAACCCAGTCTGAATGGCCCTCGAGGGTCTGCTGCAGCGCGCCTGTCGCCGTGTCCCAGAGCCGCACGGTTTTGTCATGGGAGCCGGATGCCAGCAGCGCGCCGTCGGGTGAGAAGGCGACCGACCGAACGCGGTCTGAATGGCCCTCTAGGGTCTGCTGCAGCGCGCCTGTCGCCGTGTCCCAGAGGCGCACGGTTTTGTCATGGGAGCCGGATGCCAGCAGCGCGCCGTCGGGTGAGAAGGCGACCGACCAAACCCAGCGTGAGTGGCCCTCGAGGGTCTGCAGTTCTGAACTCCAGGTTTCCTGAACCCGTGGCAATGGACATATCCAATCAGGAATTTCCGCTTCAAATTTCCTACGGATTATCGCTTCTTTAGGTGCAAAGACAAGTCCTGAGTAGTAAAGTTGAAGGGGCGCATCATCGGCCATCTGGCGGTTCTTCAGGATGAACCGCTTTGCGTCATGCAGAAACTCGGAAATTACAGACTGGTGATCGCCCTCGTTCTATTAGTGTAAATTCATATGACTTCCAGTGGGACATACTAGTTCAATCTTCTGGAGGAGATTCAGCATCCCCACCACTTCCGATACAAGACCAAGTAGGCACATCGCTTCAACCCAGTGTAGAAAATGCGCATGGAGAAACAGTAACACAAAGTCCGCCTCCGAGGATGAGATAGGACTTTGTTTAAGATGATGTATCCAATATCGACATGAGTATTGTAGTTCTGGCGGTAAGTGCTGGCGTAAGGATTTAGGATTGATGTCGGCCCTAAGGGTTGCAAGGCCTTCTAGATTGCAGATATTTTTCCGCAGATGGCTTCTCATTTTTTCAAGACACAAGAAAGCAATTTCCTTATGCTTATTTGGCTCGTCCACATGAAACTGGCTTTTGGTTTGAACCAAAAAATCTCGGAAAGAGAGATGTAGAATCCGAACAGGCAGATCTCGATCACTAGGAACGCTTAGAACAGACCGGAAAAAATCCAACAGGTTGCTAATCCTGTTTGCTTCTATCCCAAGAAATAGCGCCAGCGCATTTGTTGAAAGCGGAACAGCAAGAAGGATGATGGCACCGACAATTTTCTGGAACTGGTGCAGGAGCTGCTGCTGCTCTGACTCATCGCTCTCTTCATCGTCGATGAGTTGTTTTAGAACTGGCATATAGGTCTTGTCCATTTTTCCTGCATAATGACGCGAATCCTTAAGAAGCTCTGCCAGACGTGTTGTTGGTTCCAATTTGGAATGCTCGATATATCGGCAAATAGTAGCAGCAGAAATAAACAAGGGAACAGACATTGTGACAATTTCTTGGACAACATCATCGCCAGGCCAGTCTCGAGAAACATTCCTATCGTGTTGGATTTTCGTAAATCGGTCGTGGAGAAACAACTCTATGTCGTGTTCTATCACTTCTTCGGGTATTTCATGAAGAGCGAGGTCCCGATAATCATGATCTGCGATCTTTGAAAAGCCGAGGTTGATTGGAAATTCAGGCCTGCTAGTCAAGAAGACCCGGATACGAACCGCTTTTGCCTCCTGTAGACGAGGCAGTAGTCGGATTATATTTCGTACATCTTGATCACGTTCACATTCATCCAAAGCATCGATCACTATCACAGCGATTTGAGGTTGCTGGCCGAGTTGGTCAAGATTGAGCAGCGGTTGAAAGAGTAGTTTCTCAAACTGCTCACTAAGTGATTTTGACGTTATGTCAGGGTCATCGTGGAGTGCCTTTTGCACACCAGGCCTCAGCTCAGAGATCCTAAGCACCAGTTGCCTTACTAATGTCGGGAAGAACTTCTTCGCGTTCCCTCGTTCCCCTTCACCTCTCTTAAAGAAGAAGTTAGCACCTAGGTGGTTACTGTCCTTAAGCGACCTTGCCACAGTCCGAGATATTGTGGATTTTCCCGTCCCAGCCATGCCATTCAACCAAAAAATGGCTTTTGGGGACGGCAAAATAGCCCATTCCATTATCTGCTGGAGAAGCTTAGTCCTAGTGCCTTGGAGACATTGGACTTCGTCTCGATTGGAGAATGACTCAAATCCCGCCTCCACCACACCTTCCAACTTCACAAGGTCCATATTCTGATTAATGCGGTCGGTAACCTGCGCCACGCCGACCATCAGAGAACTATGTAATCTTTGAATCAAAAAAAAATAGAGTCAAAATGTCATGCTCGATAAACGTACGTTTGATCCACATTTAAGGATAAGATGAATAAAGATTTGTATCTTTCAATTTTCTGAATAACACCTTCCACCTCTGAGCGCTTCAGGGGCCACTTTAAGGCTCGTAGTCCCAGTTTCCTCATCAGCTTCTTTCCCTTCCGTGGATCAAGTCTCCCTTCTAAGGCTCGGAGGTCGGAGAGACAATCGGTAATATTGCTGACCAGCTGTGAAGAGGCAGGAAGCGTCTTTGGATCGTTACTTCGAAGGAATCTTTGCAGTTCTTGGAGTGTGCCTTGGAGGCTTGCAATCGCCTGTTGTAGGGTGAGAATTTTATCCCGTGCATCTCTCACCTCTTGAATGTAGCCCCCGCAAAGTTTCACGAGACTTCCCGTTAATTGAATGACCGCAATAATGCTTGCTGCCGAGGATATACCATCCATTTGGAGGGAAACGGCAATATATACGATGTTCAACGTCTGCAGGTAAAATAGCGACTTTATGATTAGATTCCGGGTTCAGAGATATAGGTTCGACTTTTCTGGCGAAAAGATAAAGAGGGGTAATTTAGACGCTAGGCGCGAGGTTGTGATCCAGAGTGCATTTCAGGCGCTAGTGTGACTAACCTTGCATTTCCCTAGGGAAAACCTAGGACTGAAGGTATGAGGAGACTAGTTTTCGAGAAGCAAGGATTGTCATATATTCAAGGTTAAATACTAGTTATAACGGATATTAATCTTACTTAAGTGAATACTATAGGCAAAATCTGTTTAGTGGGTAATGATCGTCGGCTCGATGGCCGGCCCGAACCGACCCAGACATCTCGTAGCCACGTCCCTGGCCACCCCATCCCATCAACGTCTTTGACAAGAGGAAAAAGACATCACGGCATCGACCTACATAATCGTAGCCTGTGATGACCTGCGATATGATCTGCGGCAGATCACTAACTACTTCTCAGATGGCTAACTATAAAATGCCAACATCCAAATGGTTTCCGCCGTCCCGCCGTCCGAGTACCTCTGATCCCTGGCAGCCGTCCCCGATCGCATTCGTCATACTCGAAGCACTATGCGGCCATTTGCTGAAGAAATTGAATTATACCTAGATGAGATAGTAGAGTTTCTGTACGATAGATTCGACGTACTTGTATCTATGTATATTATCAATTAGGCCCTTCGATTATATAGCTAGACTAAGAAATTGGCCCAACGGATAGCACAAAAAAGACATACCGATCTGAGAGAATAATTTATGTATCTATACCAGTTGTTATATTCTCTGTCCTGTCACTTAGTCTATATAGGTGAAGTAGGCTGTGACAAACGTGATCGCTTTAGGGGAGCAGCTGGTCTTCCAGCAATAGCACCTGTCTAAGTTTCACGCAGCCTTTTTGACTACTCGGCCCGGTGGGAGTTGGGCCTTGCGCTGGGCCGAGTACCATCTGGATGTAAGCTCGTGACTAAAACTGGACATTGTTGCCTGAACATTGAACTGTCATCTCGTTGAGAATAAATAAACTGATGCGTCGATATCCATCATCTTTATTGGGCGGTGCTCTGACGCTACCAAATGTCCGAAATGTAAGAGAGTCTAAGAGTAGTACGCTCATTGCAACTAGCAGCTTCTGCCATCTGCGATATAGATAGTTCCCACTGCGGAGCATATCGTGTATACGCTCATGCTTTGAAGGGGACGAAGGCTTCCAAAGTGGGGTATCGAGGTGTCAGGTGTATCAAATTACATGCTAATACAGGTCCCACTGACAGGGATACTCCGGAATAATTTCCAATATAGACTAGTCTATCTTGGCTATCAGGGTTTGAGAAGAATTCAAGAGTGTAAGTGGTGACACCAGTTTCGGGAAGTACTGTATTATACTGGCCCATATTTCGTACCTGTCGGAGCTGGACAGTGCTATCCCGGAACCCCATCATCGTTCCCAATTACCCTCGGGAACGGGCATCTTAGTTGACGACTAATAACAGTGGACAATCCGGATTGTAGCTTAATAGCCCCTCTTTGATGGAATTTGCCGCTGTGGGTCTCCGAAGCCCCCAATGCTTGGGAGATTTGCACGCTGACGCTCCTGGAGAAAGGTACATCATTTCAGGGGCAGAAGGTCACCTGATCGTGGGGCTGAGAATACCCCCCGCTTTCTGAGGCCTGGGGCCTTCACTAACACTATCGTAGTACGCACCGCCTATTGACTATGAGTCGAATCTCGTTTGGCAACGACAGCTCGGGGCCTCAGTTTGGGATTAATCACGGAGTAATCAATGTTTTATCCGGTACGTTTTTTAAAGCCTTATCCAAGCCGAGCTTAGCTGACTAAAAGCCTCTTTTTGGGCCAGATGGAATAGAATCCCCACAGCAGAGGGTAGATCACGGTTCGCTTCGCCCCGTATCTGTCAAAGAGACTATCACTTACTATAGTGGTAGAGATACTCAGGTCACTAGCATTTCCGCAGATGCTAGACCGGAGGGAGAATGTCGAGCCATGTCATACCAATACCTGCCAATGGATTTTGGACTTGGAAAAGTACCAATCCTGGAGGAGCGAGCCCCGTGGTCTACTATGGATTAAGGGCAAACCGGGTGCGGGCAAATCGACATTGATGGTATTCCTACACGGCAAACTCAAGAGTTTACAGAACGGCGACCAGGGCATTCAGGGCATCCAGCTCGACTTTTTCTTTACTGCCCGGGGCACAGAGATGCAACGTACACCACTAGGCATGCTTAGATCACTATTAAACCAAATATTTGATCGCGATGCGTCCGTACGCCCTCAGGTACGCGAGGCCTATGAACAACGATGTAGGCAGTTTGGGTACGCTGAAGGCAAGTGGGAATGGCCACAAGCGGTGCTAGAAGAGTTACTGGCAGGTGTCATCCTAGCATCCGCTAGTCGACAACAGGTGACGGTTTTTGTCGATGCTCTGGATGAGACCGGAGCTGAGTCTGCTCAACAACTCGCAGCATATTTCCATCGACTGATTGACCGAGCAGAAAAAAAGAACGCTGCTATTCGAATCTGCATTTCATGTCGACACTATCCCATCATAGGAAGTGCCCAGACTATGGAGATACATGTCGAACAGCATAATCATAAAGACATCGCTGCATACATCAAGGATATACTTGCCGAGGCAGAGGTCGAAGACAACCCTAGCGAGGATATAAGACAGATGCTGATGGAACAACTGATCCAGCAAGCCAATGGTGTGTTCCAATGGGCTCGTCTTATAATGCCTCTTGCCCGACAGAGGATTTTTGAAGGGGAATCGTTTGATGACATCTGTTACTGGTTACGCGAGGTCCCGGCCGGGCTGGAAGATATGTATATGTACATTTTGAACGACGTGATAGAAGTGCGGAACTTGGAGCAATCTTTCCTACTGTTTCAATGGGTGTGTCTGGCCGAGCGTCCACTGACTGTGATTGAAATGCGGTATGCCTTGGCAGGTAAGAATGCCCAAATAACGCGTGCCCCAAAGACATGGGAAAAGATCCATGGTTTTGTTGGAAGCGACGAACGCATGAAGCGAAGGATCAAAGCCCTTTCTGGTGGATTAGCGGAAGTCCTCTCAAGCGGGGCTTCGAACGAAACTGTCCAGGTGGTACACCAGTCGGTCAATGATTTCTTGCGCGCGAAAGGGCTAGCTGCTTTAAGTGATAATATCGGCGCCAGCAGTCCAGTCTTAGAAAGAGAAAAGATCCTGTTACAATGTCAGGCAAATCTCTACCGATCTTGTCTTGTTTATTTGGCCTTACTCCGTGTACATGGTGATATTTCAAGTGATTCCCAGGAGTCGAAAGAGGACCTTATCCGGAACCACCCATTACTTTCTTACGCCACTACCAACCTCTTTATTCATGCAGAAAAAGCTGCTCACTCTCGTGTGCTCATCCTACTGAACGAACAAGATATCCTACAGCAAGTGATAGGTCAGTGGGCCCAGATTTACCGGATTCTCGACCCTTTTAACCCCGCGTGCCCACCGAGAAGTACTACAATCATGCATATGGCGGCAGCCGCAAATCTCGTTGATATCATAGAGCGTGTGTCTTTGAACAGCGAGGGCGTGGCAAGGAAAGACGGAGACGGAAATACAGCTTTCCATTTAGCAGCGCGACACGGTCATATAACAGGTGGAAAAATTTTGCGTGAGAACGCAGTGGACTGTGAAGCAACAAATCGGGGAGGAAAAACGGCATTGTTTGAGGCGGCTATCTATGGGCATACAGAATTTGTCGAATGGCTCCTGCTCGAAGGTGTGAAGCTTGAAGCAACATTGGGTAGCCAAAGTGCTCTACAAGTAGCTTCATTGGGAGGCCATCAGAACGTTGTTGAAATATTGCTTGGAGCTGGAGCAGAGGTGAATGCAAATGGTGGTATATATGGCAATGCCCTACAGGCTGCTGCATACGGGAAAAGCAGTGAGGTTGTGCAGATGCTCCTCAACGCTGGCGCCGATGTCAGCGCTCGGGGTGGTGAATATGGCAATGCCCTACAGGCTGCTACTGCTGCATACGAGGGAAGCAGTGAGATCGTGCAGATGCTCCTCGACGCTGGCGCCGATGTTAACGCTCAGGGTGGTGAATACGGCAATGCCCTACAGGCTGCTGCATACAGAGAAAGCAGTGACATCGTGAAGGTGCTCCTTGAGGCTGGCGCCGATGTCAACGCTCGGGGTGGTGAATACGGCAATGCCCTACAGGCTGCTGCATACAGAGAAAGCAGTGACATCGTCAAGGTGCTCCTTGAGGCTGGCGCCGATGTAAACGCTCAGGGTTGTGTATACGGCAATGCCCTACAGGCTGCTGCATACGGGAAAAGCAGTGAGATTGTGCAGATGCTCCTCGACGCTGGCGCCGATATCAGCGCTCGGGGTGGTAGATATGGCAATGCCCTACAGGCTGCTACTGCTGCATACGAGGGAAGCAGTGAGATCGTGCAGATGCTCCTCGACGCTGGCGCCGATGTTAACGCTGAGGGTGGTGAATACGGCAATGCCCTACAGGCTGCTGCATACGGGAAAAGCAGTGAGATCGTGCAGATGCTTCTCCACGCTGGCGCTGATGTCAGCGCTCGGGGTGGTAGATATGGCAATGCCCTACAGGCTGCTACTGCTGTATACGGGAAAGGTAGTGAGATCGTGCAGATGCTCCTCAAAGCCGGCGCCGATGTTAATGCTCAGGATGGTGAATACGGCAATGCCCTACAGGCTGCTGCTGCAAGCAGAGAAAGCAGTGACATCGTGAAGGTGCTCCTTGAGGCTGGCGCCGATGTAAACGCTCAGGGTGGTGTATACGGCAATGCCCTACAGGCTGCTGCTGCATACGGGAAAAGCAGTAAGATCGTGCAAATGCTCCTCGACGCTGGCGCCGATGTCAAGGCTCAGGGTGGTGAATACGGAAATGCCCTACAGGCTGCTACTGCATACGGGAAAAGCAGTAAGATCGTGCAAATGCTCCTCGACGCTGGCGCCGATATCAGCTCTCGAGGTGGTAGATATAGCAATGCCCTACAGGCTGCTGCATACCGGGGAAGCAGTGAGATCGTGCAGATGCTCCTCGATGCTGGCGCCGATGTTAACGCTCAGGGTGGTGGATACGGCAATGCCCTACAGGCTGCTGCATGCAGAGAAAGCAGTAACATCGTGAAGGTGCTCCTCGACGCTGGCGCCGATGTCAACGCTCAGGGTGGTGAATACGGTAATGCCCTACAGGCTGCGGCATGCAGAGAAAATAATGAGATCGTGCAGATGCTCCTCGACGCTGGCGCCGATGTCAAGGCTCAGGGTGGTGAATACGGCAACGCCCTACAGGCTGCTGCATACGGGAAAAGCAGTGAGATTGTGCAGGTGCTCCTCGACGCTGGCGCCGATGTCAGCGCTCGGGGTGGTAGATATGGCAATGCCCTACAGGCTGCTACTGCTGCATACGAGGGAAGCAGTGAGATCGTGCAGATGCTCCTCGACGCTGGCGCCGATGTTAACGCTCGGGGTGGTGAATACGGCAATGCCCTACAGGCTGCTGCATGCAGAGAAAGCAGTGACACCGTGAAGGTGCTCCTTGAGGCTGGCGCCGATGTCAACGCTCAGGGTGGTGAATACGGTAATGCCCTGCAGGCTGCGGCATGCAGAGAAAATAATGAGATCGTGCAGATGCTCCTCGATGCTGGCGCCGATGTTAACGCTCAGGGTGGTGGATACGGCAATGCCCTACAGGCTGCTGCATGCAGAGAAAGCAGTAACATCGTGAAGGTGCTCCTCGACGCTGGCGCCGATGTCAACGCTCGGGGTGGTAGATATGGATCATCTCTCTTGGCGGCTGTTTATCAGGGTCATGCTGATCAAGTTCAAATACTTCTTCACGCTGGCGCAAATGCGTTGCTTGTCAATGAACTCGACCAGACTCCTCTTCACATTGCCGCCTCGAAAAACAGGCTCAACCTTCTGCATCGGTTCCCGAAGCTGCTCTCCCCTATTAATACCCGGGACAAGCTTTTACAAACCCCCATTCATCTAGCTATTTGTCTTGGTCATATCGACTTTGCCATAAAACTCCTCAACTTTGGTGCCAATCCTTCTCTTCCAGATGGCTATGGCAGAAATACCCTGGACTGGGCAGTTGGAAATGAAAGCCTGGTGCACCAAATCCAAAACCACGGCCCTTCAATTGTCGTTACGCCTGATAATACTCAAGAGCTTGCTGTCCGTCAATCAATCCTTCGAATCTCAGATACGCTTCTTCAGTCTCAGCTGCACTTCCCATGGCCACTTTTGCAGCAATTAGGTCGCTATCTATTGTTTATCAGCGACGTAGACAATGCCCAATGTCTATTTCAGCTGCATTTGTTTCAGCAGACTTTCATTGGCACCCCCACGTACGAGACTACGTGTGACCTTTGTAGGGGGATTATTAACGGCTGCTCTCGTTTTGTGTGTAGAATCTGCGCCCATGTGGATCTTTGCTCGTCCTGCGTGCAGAAGTATCCCTTCCACAGTCGATTACACCCAAATCAAGAGCATAAGACCTTTGAAGTATCGCATGTGCTTGATCGAGAGTCTCCGCTCACTACGTCAGCATCAGAGAAGTTGAGAAAACTCGTCGATATGCTTTCTGCGCTAAATACCCAAGGAAGGGGGAAGGGGCCATCAAATGATTACGTGGCTTATCTGCCATCCAAGGTCACGGCACCCAAAATGACAGCTATAATGTCAATGGCTCTTCTAGGCCCAATCTCAATATTCTGTCTTCTTTCGTTTGGGCTTATAGCATTTTCGTTTAGACACTGGTATAGCTTGATCTAATTGAATATATTCCTCACGCTTGCCGTCTCTAGCTTGTTATCAATAAAGAACGATCGTTCCGGTATACAGGTACCGCACCCCAGACTATCATCTTCTGTATGACTATCGTAAGAATGGTGGTTTTTGGAGTTCATCTGAAAAATGTCAGTGTCTTTTTAGTATTCTAGTATTCTAGCTATTTAAGTAGCATTACTCATACGATGAAACATGATGGGAAGTATTGTGTAGGATAAAATACTGTATATTAATAACACGGAGGTACTAATATCCGGTGGCTGCTCTCGATGTAGCATAGTAGGACTTGGTACTGTAGTCGTGGGCGATTCGCCCACGAGTCTGCTAGTAGTGCTAAAAATATAGCGAGTATGCAATATTCCACTTGTGGCTACTGCTCGGGAATTACTTAAGCTCTCTCGTCCCTGGACAGACACAAAGAAAAAAATTAACCATGAGTGACAATCGATGTACGCTCTTCCCAAGGGGTACGGATATTACATCCGGAACTAGCCCTAAACACAACAACCATAACGATAGCAGAGAAATAGAGAGCCACACTAATATCAACGACAATCGATGTACTGTGTTTCCGAGAAGTGGGGAGACAGGCGACAGTGAATTTGATACCAGAAAGCTCAGTCAGCCCCAAAACAGGGAAGTGCGGCGCCTTCAAAAACGTCATTTGCCGGCGCGGTGGCTTCAGCTCCCAGTCCAAAGCGCTGCTAATACTGATGAGCCACTCTCCAAACGCCAAATGCCAGTATTTTGCAAGGACCACACGCCCTGGATAAAATATCAAAAGTTCAAAGAGGGAGCGAAGCCGGGGAAAACCTGCCTAGCCTACGTCACCGATTCCCCGGGAAGGGTAGTTGCAATTAAGGAGTATAAGACGAGCGGTATCGACAAGACTTGCCATCTGAAGATGATCAGTCACCCAAATATCGTGAATCTCCTTGATGCATTCGAACAGTCTAGAACTCTGTATCTAGCGTACGAGGTTATGGATCTCTCATTGGAGCAACTTCAGTCTGGCATTCAACTAAAGGAGTCTGATCTTGCTTTCATTTGCAAGGAGGTGAGCTACAGAAGCATACCAAGCATTTCTCTTACCCACTGATATTTATGTAGCTCTTGCATGGGCTTTGGTATATTCACCGAGATCTCGGTGTTTGCCATACAGCCCTTACTTATGACAATGTGTTCATATCATCACAGGGTAGCGTGAAGATTGGTTAGTGGTCAGACCAAATATGACGACGTAGACTAAATTCAAGCAGCGAATATAGCAGCCTGTCTGCTTGAACGACATCAAGGGTCCGAACAGTTCGATATCAAGTCTATTGGTATTATGATTTGCAAAGTCCTCGATCCAGGGCTCTCTGCTCATGACCTTCAGGCTTCTTATGCCAGTCTCTCCCATGGTAGCGATAGTCTACGTGCGTTTATTTCTTCAACTGCGACAGCCACAATACAAGCACTTTTGCAGGTGTGTGTGATCGCAATAGGCTCCGCTCATTACAGTTACTAATTCCCTACTAGCATGTCTTCATATCATATGCAGCTGCTGAAGGATGCTTGGTTGTACCTGTTATGAAGGTCCGAGGGTTGGTTCTACATGATTACGAATAGTGAACCAATAATTGGAGCTCAAGCAATTAGTTCGCGCAAGTTAACAATATCAAGAAATCCAAAAATCCTGTTCTGGGGTTGAGACATGAGACTCCTACTCAAACCCATTCGATCATGCTTTGGTCCGACTAAAATAAGCTTTTCACGCATTGCCGTATCGTAGAGATCTCTGGGAAGGACCAGGTGTGGCTTAGTACGACTTATAGATATGAACATCTGATGCTGGTTGGCCAGGAGCCGCGTCTTGCTGTCAAATAAATGTTCATCTTGGGGCCTACTTGACAGCTGCGTGTACTGCCTGGTTTGCCAAAAATAGAGCAGGATATCATCCGTTTGTGAAAGTAAGTCATTAAGAAAGCTTGAAGGCGTCATCAAGGGGTCAAGTGACTTCAACTGCTCATCAACAGCCCAAAAGTTTGATAGGGTTGATATGGAGTGGGTTTCCCAGGAATCGGCTCTTGATTGACGGGCTTGCGGCTGGTTGAGTGGATCATCGCTCTCGAGGCTTTCGCTCAACCTAGAGTCAAAATCTCCAGACGACTCATGCTCTTGATGTTCAGTTTCATCTTGAGGCGCATCTTGGAGCTCATTCGTATTTGTATGGTTTCCTTCGTTTTCCCAAGACTGGGTATCGTAGCTCTCGGGCATATCGCCGTGGTAGCTATTTTCAGAGGAATCAGGGCTAGAAAAGAGCTCATCCTCCGTTTCCTGGGAATGTGGATTGATTTCGCCGAAGAATGAGAGAAATATATCACGCTGTATTGCAAAAGAGGTTGCATGTGATCTCGGAACCACATCTTGTTGGTAGATATTCCCCAGAAATAAGAGCTGTCGATCACTTAGGTACCTTTTGTAAGACGGTCGGCTACAACGAAATTTCTTGGGTAGCTTTTCCAAGTCTGTGGTGAGTTCTGCTTCTTCTATAGGCATCCGAATAGCCGAGGTGTTGCTGATTCGATCGGACACGTTCTGAGCGACACTCATGTTAGTCTCGGTATCAATATGATACCGATCCAAAGGCTGTAGCTGGTTAAGAAACTCTTCAGTGACGATTTGATATCGGCTTGCTGCAGCATGAGTATGTAAGGTCATGATCTCATCATTCTTAAAACCCAGTTTGATAGCTAACTGGGCTAGATTGATAAGTCTTTCTGACGGAACCCCAGATGTCTTAGCCTTTCCCTTCTTGTCATCTTGGTAGGGCCTGAGGCCGGTAAGGGACGGAAAGTCACGCATCACGGCAAGGAAAAGCTGTCGATAGCATATATTCATACCATCCCCATCTTCGTCACGACGTTCAAATACATCTTCGGCAACTTGAACATTATATAAACCAGTTTGATCTCGCATATAACTTTCCAAAAACGCTTCGGACATAGTTCCCCTATACCCTTCAGGCTGCAAGCTTTTGAGAGCGATCATACAGGCCTCGAAGTAAATAAAGTCTCTGGTGAAGGTATAGAAGGATAACACCCTCCCACTGACCTTCGTAATTCTTTCTAACACTAGGATGCGATCATTATCAGACTCTAATTTTCTGAAGATCCTCCGTCTCCGCATTCTGTCTTGGATTATAGCCCTATCGTGTAGAGATAGGTGAGGTATAAGCGTCTCAAGCTCATTCACAGTATCAGGGTCTAGGAGCTCTGGTCGATAGCCCTCCATGATGAATGACCACTGATCGTAGACGCGTCCTAAATATCGAACAATCTCCTATATTCTAAAATTAGTAGTGTCAAAATTGTATGACTAGACAAACTTGCCTCAGGACACTTAACTGATAGCCATCGGCCAAGATAAGACAGTTTGATGACTTGCCATAAACCCAAGAAGGGCAACAACTTATCGAAAGCCCTTTTGATTCTCTTAAAATCTTTCTCCATTCGTGCAAGCTCATGATGTACTCCTTTGCTGAATCTGCCCCTCCATCTGAGCTCTGACTCAACATCTCCAATTCTTTCGTAGTGCCGTACGTTCCGGTAAATGTCACCATCGCAATATGGCTGGCCATTTGGATGCTCATCTCTGATCCCTTGTTTGATTTCTGACCTCATATCTTCGTGATATGAGCGATTGTAGATAATAAAGTGAGATAGAAAGTCTTACCATCACTATAAAATTCAGCCACCCACCATCGTGCAGATCTCCTGATTGCAGCCAGAACTCGGTGGTTCCCATGCAGAATATTCAGCCGCACTTCATCTGGGAGGTTTAAAAAGTGCAATGGGCCGGTTAGGAAGGCCTCATTTTCATCCTGGGTAGCCAGAGCTTGCTGAAGAACATCATTGCTTATTGAGACCTTCACATAATTCTCAGGGTTCAGGCGAGAAAGCCCCTCCGACTGAAAGACTCTGTCCAGCCGGTCCACATGCGAATCTCGAATAGTTCGAGGACCCGAATCATTAATTTGGAAATGGCGCAAGTATATCTTTGCTCTCCCTTTATAGTAGCTCTGACGGTCCTGGAACACATCTTCTTGGGACATGATAAATTTCCGAGACAAGAAGATAAAAGCGACGAGAAAATAGTGAGACTTGAATTTTAAAGAGCTTAAATTTCAAATGAGCCAGAATAAAAGATCCATTTAAAATTTCGCGTTTGGAATATTTGACCTTCAGGAAAATTACAGCGCGCAAATTTTCAAGAGGCAGTATAATTCAAGTGATTGTAAAATTTATGGCCCGAAATTTTCGAGCCCTAAGAATATTCTACAATCCTGAATATTGTACACCGATAATTTTCGACTCTGGCGGTGTTAACCGGACATAGGAAATTGGCGTAATGGTTATAAGGTGCAAAAGCGCAATGTGGACAAGGTGCATAAGCCTAAGGGTCTACTACGACATAAATATGTGATATAGCCACTTCCCCGTCATAATATTTATATCTTCTAGTTCAATTATCTCACATTATCTCTATTGCCTCAGAATGGGACTTCTTTCCAAAATCGCCCGGAAGTTGGGATTTGTGCGCGGGTATCTAGTCGTGGTACGCCATACTCATGGGCAAACACGGATTATCCACTCTATCTGGCCACCTCATGAAATTGTAAGAAAACCAGAATAATCCGTTAATTTTGAACTAACTAAAAGATGTAGAGTGATAAGCTTGAGCCGTTGGACGACGTTGATAGCGATGAGAAAGTTGAAAATATCCCGAGGGTCTACGACTGACACGGTCCCGACCCTTATCCTCTAGTTATTTATTGTAGACTTCACAGTGTTCACAAATTACAATCATTCTCAAGCTGAGAAAGAGGATTTCGAGTAAAATCACTAAGTGCGTCGACCTCAAATTTGGTCTTGAGTAGAATATACATGCACATCTATCATACAAATGGAAAGCATTTGTTAAACCCGGAAAAGTCTTTTCTACACACAGGGCATAGATCTCGATCAAGCCGTTCTTCGCATGCCTCACAAATCAAATGCCCGCATGTCCGCGCATACCAACGATCCGGCTGCTCGTCGCAAATGCAGCATTTCAGAATGCGTATTCGGGAAAGCTCCTCTTTATGTTGGTCTTCCTGTAGGAGAAGCTTGCTCTCAAGTTCCTGTACTTTCTTTTGCAGCTTTTCAACTTCTTGATCGAGATTTTCAACTTCTTCGTCAAGTGTCTTACGCAGCTTCTTGAAACAAGTATCCTAGTCCATCATTAGCTCAGGAAATCGGAGCGTCTCGGAAAAGCTATACCAGAGTGTCACGTGGTTTTCCTTTGGCCCTTTTGCGTTTGCGTGATGGTTCTATGCTACCACTCGCAGCATCGTTTGGTTCGATTAGGATCCCAAGAGATGTACGTGGAGATCTTCTTTGGACTTGTGAATCGGTTGGCCGCCAGCTCGGGGGTAGTTCGTCATCTTCGATAAGAATCGTGCTTGACGGACTGGTCATCGTGGCTGGAAAAGAAGAGAGGTGTACCTAGGTGCTAGGTTGACCAGGTGGGAGGAAAGTAGAAATCTGACTGAGCCAGAGTTGGGGCAAAAGGCTCATTATATACCCGAGAGCCAACAGTTCGAGTGGGCTATTACTAAGAGACGATTGGACACTACTTTGCGTGATTTATCGTGCATATGTATGTAACCCGATTAGATTTCCCAAACTGAAATAGCATACATAAAACATTGAGTCACTTTATCATCCTAACCGCAATAAGACTGTTATCAATTCGGCAACTATCCCGATCCCTCCGATTGACACTTTAGGTTCTTGCGATAACTGGGAATGTCGGTCTTTTTCCAGTCATGGCCTTGAGATAGTCTCCTTCCTGAGATATTGCCATGAAGTATAAGAGGATGTCGACTTCGAACTGGCTGAGGTCCCCCATCAAAGAATGGAAATCCTCACGAGACTCCCATGTCCAGATATCACCCTCCCAACGCACTGCAATAAATGTAGTCGGATATGTCCCGTTTGGAGTCGGGTACAGAGACTTCGTTGGTTCGAACACAGACTTTGAATCCACTTCCCAAGCTATTAAGCCGATCCCGAGAATTGATAAAGAGCGGTCCTTCATCACAGACTCCTGCCCATCATTTGGATCCTTGTGCTGCTTCACACGGGCAGTCCGCTTACCCCGACATTCATATCCCATCACTGCTACTAGACCTGCCAGCTTAGTCTTTCGCCAACCTAGGATGAACCCCGAGGTCAAGAGAAGCCCATAATGGTTTTGTGCTCGGCGTCTGATCAAACCAATATCGACACTCTCTAGCTCACGCTCTGTGTGGTAGGCAAATTCTGGGCCTTCATCGATAGAATCATGGTCTGGACCCTCTTGATCGAGCCCATCCTTCTCAGAGTCCTCATACTCGTCATCGTCTTCGCTATCATCTTCGCTATATTCACCTTCTCTTTCGTCGTACCCGTCCTCGCTTTCTTCGTCAGTATATTCACCATACCCCTCCTCCTCTCCATTGTCACCATCATCGTATTCATCCACTTGGTCACTGTATTGATTCTCGTCTTCGTAGTGCCCATTCTGGACAGCCTCCTCCTCCTCCTCCTCCTCCTCCTCCTCTTCTTCCTCCTCATAATCAACACCAGAATATTCGTGGTAATCCACCTGCACATCTCCATCATTGTATCCATCTTCCTCTTCCTCATAAAGGTTCCTTTGAGCGTTCGAGATTTTTTTATGCTGATTGCCTTCTGTGTTCGCACGACCTGTATATCGGTTAGAACTTGTAGGATCAGGTTGGCCGTGAAGAAAGTCATACCAACTCGTTCACGATGAAAATCCAAAAACACCTCCCATTCAATGTTCCAAGACTTGGGCAATTTGCCTTTTCTGATGCATTCGTCGAGGTCGCGTTTGGCATGCGAAAACAATGTGGTGTCTTTACTCCCCGCAAAGGCTATTGAAGCTTGACCTAGCTGCTCGGCAGCTGTCTTGAAGGCGGCAGTATCGATGCATCCATTTGCCTTACGGATCTTATATCTGATATTCTTTGCCTCAATTTGATCATTTACAGAATCAAGCTGAACGGAGGCCTGTTGCCTTTCACTGGAGCGACCCCAAAGGATGGATGCAATAAGTGGCTCTGCAATATCATACTCCTCAGTATATTGGGGTGCTCGCAATGTAGGCTTGGCGACAGGCCTAGGAGCAGGTCCAGGTTTGAGCGCAGGTCTCAAAGAAGGCTTCATGGTCCACAAAATACTAGTATTTGAAAAAATGTTTCAAATGAAGTCCTTTCCAAGGTTTATACTTTGTCAAGCTTAGGCATTTGACAGTCTTATATGTAGCATAAATAGACTCCAAAGCTTTTAAAACTCAATGTTACCTTTGATAAATTTTACCTTTGTACATTTTCACATCTGTACATTTACTTCTGTACATTTTTACTTCTGTACATTTTTACCTACGTCACGTGGCATTAGACCCATATTGAGGTTTGCAGGGTTTGCATACTCTCAATGCCTCAGGCAAACAGCACTGGGCTAAGCCGGCACTTGTGGCGCTCACTACTACCGAGGCTCAGTGAGAGTAACATTGGACCAAGAGAGGGCTTGGCAGATTATGAGTATCTAGCACTATCCAATAGAAACCATACGATCCTAACAGAATCTCATTTTCCGCCACCTATCTCTACATTAATACAGACTGCATGGTTATTTTCTCCATTCGTGGAAATTTTATCAATTTCTCGCTTTATTTGAGAAGAACATCATTGATCTACTATAGTGGAGGGTGTAATATCGACATATGCATGGATCCCGAGCATTAGGTCTTTCTATTCTATCTGCCTTATATCGCTGCCTCCGGTTTGAAATTTTGATTTCCTAATAACCTAAGCAATATAGCACTTGAGACTTTAACGTATACGTATAGGTACTGTATATGTAATCAAAATAATACAATAGAATTTAAATTGAACTCGCATGAACATATGACAATTTGTAGTATCAATAAATATAATAACGAATGTTTGTACAGACTTAAGGCGGTGCTTGGACACTAGCAAGTCGAGTGCTACGTCGTGTCGGTATGGTACGGTCTGCGGGGCGGGGCTGACCTCGGGGCCGACGGCGTCCAATCGGACCCTGGTTGCCCTCAGGTATGGCCATGTTTGATTCCGTACTGCGATTATCGATTTGGTTACCTTGGTTTTGGCGGCTGCCCTGGCCTGATTGCGGTGTCCGTTGCCGCTGATTGTCAAGATTTGGTTGGTTGGGTCGGTTAGAGCGGCTGGATTGCGGTGTCTGCCGCCGCTGACTACCCTGGCTGGACTGTGGTGTCTGTCGCTGCTGGCCGCCCTGGTTGGGTTGATTACCCTGGTGAGAACGGTTGGAGCGGTTGGACTGCGGTGTCTGCCGCTGCGGACTACCCTGGCTGGACTGTGGCGTCTGTCGTTGCTGGCCGCCCTGATTGGGTTGGTTGGACTGTGGTGTCTGTCGTTGCTGGCCGCCCTGGTTGGGTTGGTTACCTTGGTTAGAGCGGTTGGAGCGGTTGGACTGCGGTGTCTGCCGCTGCGGACTACCCTGGCTGGACTGTGGCGTCTGTCGTTGCTGGCCGCCCTGATTGGGTTGGTTACCCTGGTTAGAGCGGTTGGAGCGGTTGGATTGCGGTGTCTGCCGCTGCTGACTACCCTGGCTGGATTGCGGTGTCTGTCGTTGCTGGCCGCCCTGATTGGGTTGGTTACCCTGGTTAGAGCGGTTGGAGCGGTTGGATTGCGGTGTCTGCCGCTGCTGACTACCCTGGCTGGATTGCGGTGTCTGTCGTTGCTGGCCGCCCTGGTTGGGTTGGTTGGACTGTGGTGTCTGTCGTTGCTGACTACCCTGGCTGGACTGTGGTGTCTGTCGTTGCTGGCCGCCCTGGTTGGGTTGGTTGGACTGTGGTGTCTGCCGCTGCGGACTACCCTGGCTGGACTGTGGCGTCTGTCGTTGCTGGCCGCCCTGATTGGGTTGGTTACCCTGGTTAGAGCGGTTGGAGCGGTTGGATTGCGGTGTCTGCCGCTGCTGACTACCCTGGCTGGATTGCGGTGTCTGTCGTTGCTGGCCGCCCTGGTTGGGTTGGTTGGACTGTGGTGTCTGTCGTTGCTGACTACCCTGGCTGGACTGTGGTGTCTGTCGTTGCTGGCCGCCCTGGTTGGGTTGGTTGGACTGTGGTGTCTGCCGCTGCGGACTACCCTGGCTGGACTGTGGCGTCTGTCGTTGCTGGCCGCCCTGATTGGGTTGGTTACCCTGGTTAGAGCGGTTGGAGCGGTTGGATTGCGGTGTCTGCCGCTGCTGACTACCCTGGCTGGATTGCGGTGTCTGTCGTTGCTGGCCGCCCTGATTGGGTTGGTTACCCTGGTTAGAGCGGTTGGAGCGGTTGGATTGCGGTGTCTGCCGCTGCTGACTACCCTGGTTGAACTGTAGTGTCTGTCGTTGCTGGCCGCCTTGGTTGGGTTGGTTACCCTGGCTGGGCTGTGGTGTCCGTTGTTGATTGCCCCGGTTGAGGTGCAGTATACGCCGGTTGTTTGGCGTTTCCGGCATGCGCCGGGCCTGGTCTCTATTTCCCTGAGGTATATAACCGGAGCTAGGCGACCTGGTTGCTCTTGGAGTAAATATACCATGTCTCTGCTGTGTTCCAGTAGGCCATCGAACTCGGCTAGGGCTACCGTTAGGCGTAAAGAAGGACCCGGCCTCAGAAACACTACCTTCCTCATCAATAGGGCTTAAACCACGCTGACGCTGCTGCATATTCCCATAGTGTTGTTCTCTATCGTCCTGAACTTCCTCTCCTCCCTCAACATTGTCTATCTCCTCTCCCTCATTAGAGCCCTCGTTAGAGCCCTCATAATATCCTTCTTGATATTCTTCACTGACTTCTTGGAAGGTACCGCTATCGCTCATACCTATACCGCTATCGAATTCTTGAGAGTTATCCTCTCTCGAGATAACTGGTTCGTATCCGATGGTCGTTATGCGCCTATTTTCCTCAGCACGTGGATGAAACCAGTGTGCACCTCGGTATGCATTCACATTTCTCCAGTGGTCGTTTGTCATATGGGTATTCGCCGGAGGATAGTCTGGCCTCACTCCTGTAAGTGCCTCGCGGTAATTGGCCTCTTGCTCCTTCGCCACATTGTAGATTAACATGTCTGTCTTTAGCTCGTCGCTAGCACAAACGAATCGAAGATTGTCCCGCGATTCCCAACTCGCATCTCCACCCCACCAATGAATATAGACATATGTCTCTGGATACCACGCTCTGTTCATCGGTTTCAATAAGGATATTGGGTCCTGGTCGACTGACTTCTTATCCACTCGCCATGCGACTATTCCCCAACTTTGAATATCTCTTTCGGTCCGGATATAGTCTCTTCGGCGGCCAAGTTTTTGTTCTAAAATATTAGGTGCTCGAGAGGGAATGTGACGCCGGGCCGCTGGGATTAATCGTGCAGTTACGAACCCGCCACACGCATATCCGACTATCACTGATTTTCCGGGGCCGTTGCCGCGCCAAGCAAGGACACTTCCTTCCATCGGTAAACCCGATGTTTGCGCGGTATGATCCAGCAGCTCCGGTGTTGACCACATAGGTTGAAGGAATAATACTGCCTCGCCATCCTCATCGGAGAAATTCCCTTCGTAAACTGGGATGTTTTCGCCTTCCTCTTCGTCATCGCTCTCAACGCGCTCAATACCAGGAGGGGTATCGTCACTGGTGTGGGAGTTATTGCGGTGGCGGCGATTATTAGCGTTGTTACGCCGATTATTTTCGCCTTCAGGTTCGGCATCGCTCTCAACTTGCTCAATACCAGGATTGGTGTCGTGACTGGTGCGGCGGTAATTGGAGGTATTGCTACGGCGGCGGCGGTTATTAACGTTGTTACGGTTATTATTTTCGCCTCCCGCCGGTGCCTGGATATGTTGGCCGTCTATACTCCCAGGGTCGGGAGGGGACTCGTCACTGCTGCGATTGCGATTTGACATTATTAACGATGGAAGTGGGTGAATAGCTGTTATCTGTCTCCGTGGAGCGAGCAAGTTTATAACTCTCAACTTCGAAATGTACATTGGGGGCAAACCCCATTTTCGAATATACCAAAGTAGCTATGTACAAATGTGCAAAGGGTACAGTAGGTAAAAGGGGAAAGGTGTCATTTGTACCAAATGGCGTTTTTGGGTTATTCAAAAATATTCATAATTCATCAATTAATCTCTGTCAAACAGGTTCTCCATGGACTTGGCCCCTGCATATTTGGCGCCCCCTGTGGGAGTTCGTCGCAAAGTAACCACTGACGAAGGCTTCTCCCGACGCAATCCTCAAAATGGGCCGTATGGTGTGTTCATCTCGCACCTTAACGAGGGAGTTTACTCCGCCATCGATACTGGCCCTTACGAGCACCTATGGAACCAGTCGACTAGATTCGTCATGTCCCTTCTTTGGGAATCCAATGATCAGCGTGAAAGGGCAAAGGAACAGTTGATATCGATGAATATCGCAATTGACCGACAGAATGAGACGAAATTGAATCGTCCTCCTGGCACTGGCTGTATTGAAGTGCATAATCTTCATCGCGCAGGTATTCAGCTAGACCTAGCGGTTAGAGATGTTAAGTTCTATCGCTCAACTGCGCGCTACGAGGATGTACGTGACTTTGTCTGGGAGAGAATCCAGAATAGAAACTATCCCGAAAGCTGGGCTATTACAAGGCGCCAGTTTCAATGCCATGTCACCAAATTTCAAATAAAATCCTCGGTGTCTAATGCTTTGGATAGTGAAGATGGTGCCTATCAACAACATAATGTACAAGCCATCAACGCCAAGACGAACCTAAAGGTCTCATTGGCCGATGCTCTTCACACACATGCAAAGATGGCTGCATCGCAAACGTCTCGGAAGCCCGTTATGCTCCAGAGGATGTAGCATCGACCATGAGGAATAGGGACATCATTAGATAAACTTCATTCAATTTACGTCGCATTTCGAGACAAATATCCCCTAGAACCATCCAACGAAGAATAAGAACAACCACATAAATTCGAGCATGTAGGCGGTATAAAATATTCCCAGCAGAAAATATCATGCGTTCTCGGTGATGATATCCTCAGACGTGAGGCGCTCTTTTGGGGGAAGATCTGTGATTCCTAGTCCGGCATAGTTGATTCGCTTCTCAAGGTGCTCGTAGGCTTCGAAAAGTTTCAAATAGTCCCGGTGTAGCTGGTCGTAATGCGCGGATAGGGCATTCTTTTCAACGACGACATGCTGCATTCTCCACCCTGAAGTATGCAGCGAGCTTTCGAGAGATAAAATATACTTTCGAAGGTTGGTGATTGAGTGAGCATCTTCTTGCTCGCGCTGGAAGAACCAGCGTACGACGCTCAAAGGGACAACGACATTTTCAGAGTTTACCTTGACTGTTAGTAGGAAGTTATCGATTAACCACAAATTGTATATACATACAGCTTGATTTTGCATCTTAATGGATTGATTCGGATCGGAGAGATTGACTTGTGGAATGCGAATTCTATGGAATACCCGGTGGGAAAAAAGGGGGGGGGGTTTAAATATATATATCTACTCAGTTATTATTGACTCGCAGAAAGAAGCCAAAGGTTAAATTCTAAGCGCGCACATTATGCTCTGTGTGATACGAAATCTTATTCCGTGTAGATCATTTCCTAATCCCCTTTCATCCCCCGATCGTAGTCTGAGTTACTACTCCTGCTCTAAGAACATATGAAGGTCGACCAAGCTATGCCATATTTAGAAACACCAATATAACCTGGGGTGGCATCATCTTACTGGTGGGTTCTTCGTAGCTGTCGCCACTTATTCTCTAAGGCTGATGCAGTTCTGTGTCGGTCGTCCGGGACCCTTTCGTTGAATCTGAGCGCAATTTCTGTCCATGAGAGTCCCTCTATTTGCTTGAGCACAATCAAAAGATTTTCTTCCTCTTCATAGTATTGTTTGTTATGACCTGGGGCATTCGGTTCGGCGGCCATCGGGGCGACTTTGTGACAATATGGACGTGATCGGCTTGGAGGAAATGGACAATCTAATGTGGGAGGCGTCTCGCTGGCGCGATCTTCCTTTTAAAACAAAAGTTTCTAAATTTACGATCATACGTGGGCGCTGCGCCGCGTAGTGAGCGCCAATTACATCCCTGTTATGAGGTAGGTTGCGCAGGAACAACAAGATAAATTCAGCCGGCTGCGCCATTTCTCATCCTACACAATTATCAGCATGGAAAGCGCAGATTTTGATGCATTTCTTAGGTGGGGCGAAGATTGCGATGAGTTCCCCGATCTCCAGTATGCCCTAGGCAGCGAGGAAACATTTTCATGGGACCAAATTTTGGATGAGTACCTGGACCCATACGAGTATCTGGACCCATTTCCACTTGGCGCACTTGCTCCAATCGAAGAGAAAGTGGAAGCGATTGATGCACTCCCCGAGCTATCACCCAGTCCGGCACCGCAATACGACGTTCAGATGTTAAGCGAATCAATCACTGAGCTTAAAGACCGTGTCAATGGGTTGGAAGACCGGTATGGTACCCCTTCTCATCTCAAAATTGAAAATATTCAGATCCTGACTATATTAGAATTACGGAGAAGCAAAAGTTAGTCTGCTAAACAGATAAATTGCCCATCCCATGCTAATTCCAGGCAGAAGGATCGCCGACTTGGAGGCTTATCTCGAGAACCTTCAGCCATTTCTCTTACAACTTGGCACATCTATCGAGGGACTCCTGACTGGGGCCCCAAAGTAAGCTGTTCAATCCGGTAGTATCCGGATAGCGGGGATAGAAAGAGTTTTGAGGCGATAATGTTTTTGATTTGCTGGAGATTTCTTTGTTGTATTAGTTTCATTTAGCTTTGCGGTCAAATTAAGTGGTCTTGGGCGCCTATAGGCTGCGTCGAACACACTAGTGGGAAATTAATTCCAGATCTTACAATTAGATCGGCCCTACGGGCTATATACCACACTAATGCACCATAGGCACCTGGGTGTCGGTCACGCCGCGCTGTGGCGCGGAGAGAAGTTTTAGGATTTCCATGAATAGCCTAGCCTATAATTTAGCGTCTTGGCGGACGATCCGGCCCACGAGCTAAATTGGACGAGACAGGGTTTATAAGGCGTAGGCGCATTGGGTTCCGCGATGATTCGCGCAGCAGTCTGCCTTGTTAAGTGTCCTACGTGGGGAACCTCCTACGCAATCGAAATTGCCTCGCCTCTTCCACCTTATATGACGTGACATAACTCCTTCCTTGTCCTTGTAGGGCGTTCCGTTCCCATGGGTCTTATCGGCGTTGCTGATTACGTGCTGGCCGTAAAAACTGGAACGTAGTAGTGTGGTGATAACCGTATCGGAACAATCGAAGTGGGGCCGAAGGTGTATGTGAGTCATGCGGTGATGTTACCCCTCGGTCACATTTCCTGGGCGCTCTCTTTGTGCCATTGTTTAGGGTATTCTAGTGGGCGTTACAACTTGTGGGCATCACTCCATGTGGGCCCCGTGGGCGTTACTCCTCATGGGCATCACTCTATGTGGGCCCCTCGTGGGCGTTACTCCTCATGGGCGTCACCCTATGTGGGCCCCTCGTGGGCGTTACTCCTCGTGGGCGTCACCCCCTGTGGCGGCCCCTGTGGGCCCCTCGTAGGTCGTTCTGATTATGGGAGTCCTCTTGATAGGCCCTTTCTTGGTTACATTGCTTTTACCGGCTGAGATCTGTAGAACATCATCAGGGCGGCTAATTTGTGATGGTTCATTAAAATAAAAGGTCTTATACTGCCAATATGAGATGGAGTTCACTAGAGATTCTGCTATTCAATGGAGGTGAGTTCTAAGATGTTGGTTGCTAAAATTCCGTGTCTGATATCTGATAGTCAAAGAAACCAGCAAATACAGATCCCACAATCCCCTCAAAAGCGGATTTCATAAAGGCTCTACATAACGAACGTCGAGAATATATCGAAATTGCCAACGATTTCCTCCGGTCGACTGAAAAGATGATTACGCTGGTCAAACAGCTCGAGAACAACATTTCAAACATGGAAACCTTAAACCGGCAGCAATCCATTGTCCTGGATAATCTTCATAAGGGTGAAAAGACTTGATGCACATGTTCCTGTACGTTATTTTTAGCTCATCCACTTTGCACATTGAAACAATCTTACATTTGAGCATATACCCTTTGCTACAATCAAAGACTTCCAATTTTCTATAAATCAAAGTAAATCCACGGAAAGTATGAGATATCAAACAATGGCTTCTTGTAAACATGCTGGATGGCTTCGTGTCATAGAGAACCGCGATTCGAAAGAGCTCATTATAGAAAGAACCGATCGACTGCGCGCTCTGGTTCGCGAAATGCCTGAGCCAGACTTTCAACGCCCTCAGCTTTGTCTCTTTTTGGGTACCTCAACGAAAGATGAGGCCATGCGGAACATCTTCAATCGAAATAACATACGCCGAGGAGATCGAGCAAATGTCAACCTACGGGTTGATACGACGTCTTTAACGAGCGATAATCCTGTGCTTTTTGCCGACAGCAACCCATTGCAAATTCCTCTTTCCGAAAAGAGTCATGTATGGTGCCATGAAACTGCATCTTATGCTACAACATGGCACACAACTGCATCACGTGCCGTCATCGACGTTCTATATTCTAGACTAGTCTTCACTTTCAGCGATGTCATATGTATATTTGCGGATGACTTTCAGACTTTAGAAGCAATTATGTTGCGCTTGATAGCATGGGTGGAGGTTCAAAATGCTTCTTCGTTACCTTCCGATACGCTTCCTAGATTACTAATCATTTTTTCGGAGGATGGCAAGTTTAGCGAGGCTCATATAGAGGACTACTTGACCTCATCTAACATTGGGCGCCAACTTTCATCAAGCTTTTCCGCACTAAAAATCTTCCAACTAGCGGGCAAATACCTTTCCCCATCCACCCGTTATCAACGGCTCCATGCGGAGATTCGATATCATATGGAAGAATCCAGAGAGATAAAATCAAGCCTCAGATGCCTTTTCTCCGCCTCTCACCTTCTACATTTTTTCAACTCTGCAGTAAAGCATATGGCGCATAACCCAGCAGAGGCATTCGACTTTATTAAGGTCTCGAGAGACGCAGATCCCGTCAAAGCAGACCACTATGTATATTTGCAGAAGTTTCTCAAGCTCTGCGTTCAGTTCAAAATTTCATACAACATGGTCGCAGCATTTGTTGCCTCAAGCATTATGATGAATGCGTACCCGAAAAAGATGCATCGTGAGTGTTGGATTCCACACACATATCATCTCCTAACTTTCTATAGTCTTTGACCCATGTTTGATATACTGTAGCCTATACAAGTCTCATTGCAATAAGGCATTTCAATTTTCATATGGACCACAGTGTTCTACCTATTTGGATCGAGAGGTTCAAACTCAATGTGACCGTATATTCGAGGCCCTAGAGGATGGATATACGGATGCTGCACAACTTCACCGGGGAAACGCCCAAAGGTATAGCAGTTTCCTACGCCAGGTTGTGACAAACACAGTCTGTATCTGGTGCCTTTGCCGACCTCCCGAGAGACATTTGAGCTGTGGTCACTCGATATGTGATACATGCGCCACTCTATTTGGCATTCACCTCCCAAAATCGGATAGTCAAGTCCGGATAGATTGTCTTTTCGATGATGGCGGCGAATTACTGGTTAATATCAAACCACCAACAGCTGGAGTGAGGATTATAGGCATTGATGGTGGTGGTGCGCGAGGTGTGACGCCCCTCGAGTTCTTAGGTGAATTACAGAAATTACTTGGAGATTGTCCAATCCACGACATGATTGATCTTGCAGTTGGTACAAGCTCCGGTGAGTCTTCAATAGTATAGTATCGGATGCACAATATATGACTAACAGACCAGGGGGGCTGACTGTACTGGCCAAATTCCACCAAAAGTGGCCTGTCTCCCATTGTGCTAGTGTATTCGAGACTCTTGCCCGTCGATGTTTTTCAACCTCTGGGTCCGCATTAGGCCGATTGAAAGCAGTGGTTAAGTACATAACTAGCGATGCAATGTACGACGAGCGATTTCTGGAAGGTGCCCTTCAAGAGACTTTGCCAGGACATTTATTTGGTTACGTCCCTGGCATAGCATCTGGGACAAAGGTGGCACTTACTGCGACGTCAGGGGGGAATGCACGTTCAATATTCACAAACTACAACGGTTCAGCACAACCGATGGGTATGTACGATTTTGACAATGCTTCTATATCTTCCTAATGGCTTTCAGGGTATACAGTGGTTCGACCTGAAAACAATGATGACGAAGCTTTGCTATGGCAAGCGTAAGTTGAAATCCAATCATTGTTCTTACTCGATTGTGCTAAACTTAGATAGAGCTCGTGCAACAACAGCAGCCCCTATGTACGTCCATACGTCCATATCTATATATTACTTCTCTGTGCTGATGATTAGTCTAGTTTCTTTAAACCTATTACGGTTGCCAGTCAAGAGTTTTGGGATGGTGGGCTTGGGTTCCCCAACCCGATTGAACTAGCAATGTGGGAATCTTCCCGTATTTGGGGCAAAAATATATCCCACGATGTCACCATCTCTCTGGGGACGGGAGAGGCCTCTAAGAGCCTACCTAAGAGAAAGACCCACTCCCTACAGAGGTTATGGACTTCTTTTATGGACTTCCTCGATGGACATACTAGATATGGTGATATCAGAAATGGGTTGGATGAGCAACGCAGGCAAGACTTCTTTCGTTTGAATACCGAGCTACCATTCCCAATTCGGCTGGACGATGTTCAAAGTATACCGCTACAGAAAGAGCAGATACATCTACGCCCGCAAGGTCAGCTTATTGAAGTTGCAACAGCGCTATTAGTTTCCAACTTCTACTTCCAACTCGATACTTCGCCTACCTATAATGGAGGCTTTTACTTATGTGAAGGCTCAATTCGGTGTCGCGGCGTCTATAAAGACATATTCAACGCTCTCATTACTCTACATCAGCCGAAGTTGGAGTTTGTTACTGCGAACGAGACCCTCACCTCGCTGGATCTACAAGGTTGTCAAATGTGCTCCCTTTATAACAAACATGTTTCATTTTATGTCAGACACCCTACAGAAATCGTCACGATATCGCTACGCTTGGCGAAGGGCACCGAAAGGAAGATAAGCGGCTTTCCCAAAAGTATGCAATGGTTCGAAAGACAACAGGGCCTCGACTCTCCTTTTACTGGCTATAGAAGCGGCCAGAAGATCCGAGATTGCTCAACGTGCTCCAGATTACACAAAAGAAAGTATCAGGATAGTATAGCCTCCACTCATACAAAGCGTGTAAGGAGATAATTTTTACAAATCAAATTTGCATTTAGATGTTTTTTCCAACAGGAGAAGCGAGCCCACCAGGGTAGAGTAGACATATCACTAATCATAACATGTTGAAATGTGTTCTCCATGTAATTGTAGTTTGGAATGGATATTGGTGAGTTCAAATGCCCCCTTGGATATATGCCATGTCCAAGGGCGGGATTACAACGTATTACTCGGCCATCAAAGAGAACTATTTTCACTATTATTACTCGGTACATTTAGAACTTAGGGTGGTGGATATTTCGGAGGTTCCGTTTATATCAAAGGGCCACATAATCCTATAACGGTATAGTTCAGGATTTACACTCTATACACACATTATGGCGTCAACAGAGTCTGAATCGGCCTATCGGGAGCACCCGTTATCGGTTGATTGGACTCATTTCTTCCGTAAGATTCAACCTTAACCTTACCCGCATTCATTTCATTGGGCTTCTACGAGAGAATGTACATTATTGATAGAAATACCATAAAATCAAGTACTGTAGCAGTGAAGCAATCGATGAAGTGATACAAGCAAAATCTCATTCCGGAAGCGGAGGACCTTATACTGCCACCAGGAGGACCACAACGAAGACTTCGGAGCATTACTTTGGCGGTGGAGGAGGGACGCCCGGCTTTTTGACCCCCGTTGTATCGTACGCGCCACGACTATAGGGTTAATTTAGCTTGGTTGAAAGCTCTAGTGAACGCAACTTACCTCATATTGGACATATCCCCGTTAGGAAGACCTGGCCTCTGTACTTTATGTGACTGTCGAATGGATAAGGTAGAGTGATTTCACGTGTGATATAGGCTTCTTTGCGATTAGGGATCTCAAGCGAGGTACAAGGATTGATGATTTTATATATGAAGTTAAGTTAGTTTAGATCTAAGAATCGAGCACGGGGATTTGTATACTATTTGCGACTGTGGAGTAATGGGACGTAGTCAAGTGCATAAAATGAGAACCGGAGCTACGTCTATTGTGAAGGCGAGTAAAAGTTCTTTTATGTAGTGATCAGGCTTAATAGACTATATAATTAGACTGTGATATACGACGCGATTACTAATAATGTGTACTTCTTTCTGAATCGGAAAGATCTTCCGTTCTACATTTGCCCATAATTCTTATCTGGGTCTGCGCGTGCTTGACAGCTGACGCTGATTGAGGATAAAAGGATTGGCTGGGCAATCTTGATAATCCTGGAAGATTGGGCAAGAGATTGGAATAGCGTATTAGCACGCTAGGATTATGCTGAACAAAGGGATTGCTACGCCTTTGAGACAACGTGATCTTGAACCATCGGGTTGCTTTGTATGTTTATTGATCCAGGAGCTATTGTGGCGTGAAGGCAGAATGTGGTGATTAGAATTGGCGGACGCTAGGAAAGAATTCCTAACGGAATAATTAAAAACCGGGGTGCATTGTGTAATCGTCATTCTTGCAGTTATAATTAAGTCTTGCAGTTATAATTAAGTTGGTGAGACTGGCTGCGATAAGATCTATTGGCGCCGAAGGTACATTCTTGCTTGGCTGACTCCGGTCCCATTAGACGCTTGGGCTCTCCGATTATGGTGGAGTCTGTGTATAGATCTACACGCGCTAGACAGCTAATGCGCATTAACTTTATCAGGCTAAAGGCTACTTGTGTACTTTTTGCATGGCCAATCAGCACGCGTTAACAACTCTTTGTGTCTATACCCCGAGTACTTGCAATTTATAAGGGATTCTGACTAGGATAAAAAAACAAAGCAAAGCAAAGCAAAACATGCAAACTAAATAGATATATCCATGTCTCCTCCTCTATTAACTTGTCGAAGGTTTTCACTGATTGTAGCGATCGGGAGAGTTTCAGATACTCTGGTCATAAAATCGCTGAACATAATCTCAACTTGGTATCCACAAATCTTTTCCTCTTGGTCAAACATCGGTATAATGCGTTGTAGTACCTCTATATCTTTCCAGCCTAGGAGATTCCGTTCGACGCAAACATATTGCTGGAGCATAAGAGTAACACGCGTGAAGAGCCCCTCGTCTGTGGTTTGATAGGATTTATTCTTTTGATAGTCGGTGGTGATGCGATCGCGAAGGTCTCGTCCAGTTATGCCCTCAAGAGTGAGCTTCGGTGAGATATCCATCATTGTATCATAGATCAGAACAGGTGAAGGATTCATCAAACGGTATTTTTTTGTGCATTTAAAGATAATCCATTGGTCTTTTGATAGTCGGTTCAGTATCTCGCTCATTCTGCTTGAGGCTAAAATAATATTAGTATGCGGAAATTCAACAGCTATAGCGCGTTGTGTACTGCACCTTTATATAGTGATAGGCGAGGAGATGGGCGTTTGTAGGGCTCTCTTTCAGATTAATGGCATGATCCCACCGGGAGATGCGTTGATTTTATAGTATTGGTATAAGTTCTTGATCCAGGTATAGATTGTTAGATATGACTAATATACTCCCTTTCAGCCTCTATTCACCTTGATCATTCGAGATTTTAAGCTGCTTCAAAATTTGTCAAACGTAAGTCACGATGATTCGATGAAGAAGACCTAGCATTTCCACTGAGTCTAAAATGCGTTATAACATGCAGCGCCCCTAACCACATATACCAAAGCCAGTAGTCCACCAACTATGTTCTTAATAGTCTTATATATTTCAACTCCTACAGCGGAATTGGAGGCTTATGAGCTCCATAGAAGAATGCATCATTAACTAGTCAACTTAATCATTTATCCACAAGTAGAGTTCCCATATTTATAATCGATGATAGAAAAAGTAAATCAATATATCAAAAGTACAAATCAAGTGCTGTCTGAGCGGATGATTCACTGCGAACTCAACAAAGAACAAAAAAATGAAATGACAACAAATATTAAATGGAGTAGTAAAGTGGCAGCCCATTGGAGTATCCACTTGATACAGGGGGGTAGTCGCTGAAACTGCCTGGAAGAGAAAGGGTTGGCTCCAAATATATATCCCCAATCGAGTGTGAAAGATTACCTATGGGATCTTAGAACGACCGAACTCCGTTGCCTAGATTCGAGCGACCTTACACATTTTGATGACTATCTAGCCAGCCACTATGATCGTGTAAATCACCAAAATAGTCTGCTCCCATCCTGTTGAGGGAGATTTGACTAGCAAATGTCGACTCTCGTCGCGAGATTGGCGGCGATGGTAGTTTAAGGGATCGGGAGACCATCCCGAATCTGGAGGAGCTTCTTCGCGAAGTCGGCGGCATTAGGCGCGGTCCCCCACGGAGTACTTGACAAGTTGGACAAATCTTAACAAAGCGGGCGATCAGTTCCTTAGGGACCCTAATAATATAGTTAGTGGCTATAAACCAAGCACATTATATATAATATATCTTGGATTTGCCCACCATGAATAGGTCCGCCGGACATGAGTAGATGTCTTATCTCGGCCACCATGTTGGCATTGCTGATGGGCCTTAGTGAGGATTTTGAACAATTTTTGTCGAATTGCAACCGGCTTTCCCTTATGGCAGATCATCTTCCTATGCTTTGTATCGCAAACTACCCCATTAGCATTGATTAATTTTATCCGTTAGAATAAGTAAGACTTACATCCGATCCCACAGCTTCGAGCTTAAACATCTTTTTGACCCAAAACCTGTTTTATTTAGCAATGCGGATAATAGATTAAACTAAAGAGATCCATACCGAAACTGAGCCGACTCCACCGCCGTCTCTTTAGGGTCAATCAACACAGTTCTAATCTTCCGGGCTCTCTCAGCATGGATCAACGCTTTATCTTGTTTCCGATCAGATAGGTCCTCAATATAGCTAGAATGATAAGATATTAGTATTAAGTCCAGTAAGGTTTATCATAAATCACTCACTTCTGGATCAGTTGGTCAAACTCCTTTACATCAGGGAAGCCGCTAAGCGCGGGCACTATTTCCTCTGATAGTAATATAGTCTCGTTATGACACTCCTGGCTTTCAATCTCTGTTTCACCTAGCGGGTCGCGGGGCAAATACCTTGGCCCTTGAAGGTAGCGCGATTGGGAGATGAACTGCGGCGGATGGTGTAGCCTAGGGTCATCAAGTGAATGTTCCGACGTGTACTGCAACCCCGGAGATAAATTCGACTGTGGGGCAGAGGGCTGCCCAAAATGAGACCCGTATATGTTGAAGGAATGCTGAGGGAAACCAGGTCTATGTGTGTTGAAATCATGGCCCTCTTGCTTAAAGTCATGACTCTCCGGCTGACCGTACAAGCCGGACACTGCCATTTGGTGATTCATGAGACGCGAATCATCCCCTTCACTGCACCTTGCAAAACTGCTCATACTTGATGCCTGACTTGGTTATTGACCAACTCACGCTGATCTGCCTCGGACAGAGAAAGGAAGAAGAATAAGAAGAAAGCCAGCATACGGCAGGTCTCCGAGGGTGGTGATATTGATGGTGACAGGAAGAGGCTACCTCGCTTACATGTAATCGAGGAAAAATTGCCAGCGTACTCTAGTACACCACAGCAAGCAAGTATCACAAAGAGAATTGAACTGTGTCTAGAAAAGAGAGAAAGACCAATAATTCATAGAAAGCCCATCTAGAAACGGGGCAACAACTCTATTTAAAGACCCCAATGGACAAGTGGTCGCCTAGAACCTCGAAAAGATTCCGGCGGAATTCCGCACTAAAACTTTTACTCGTGGGTGAGATATATTACAGCGTAGTGGGGGTAAGGAAAATCGGACTGGAACACAATGTCAGCGAAAATTAACCAAATTTGTCAAGTCATACAAGAGCATCCAATACTGATGGTGATGCAGATATGGAGAGGGCTCGGACAGCAGAGTAGCATCAATACTGGCCAATCGACCTTTCTCATTCAAATTTAGTTTTCTTTGGGTATGTCACTCATTGATTTTTCGCTTTCGCACGAAGGAAGCGATTAGAGTAGGCAGCAAATATTCAAGTTATAGCTACGCATTGTTACTATCCTTCGAATAAGGGGCTGATCATGTTATTGGAAATAATAATAGATTATGTTCAAAGAGAAAAGTGATAACAACGATGCTACTGGTCCACAGCAAAAAGTCCACTATCACTATCTGGATCTGTCCCATGTGGGGCTTCTACCTAAGGTAGAATCAGGCACCAGAAGCATATGCAACCACATAGCCCCGGAGGTTTGCGACCACTTGACGAGACTGGAGAGCTCTCTCTCTTCGTGCCCTTGCATCTTCGACTCTTCCTCCTCCAAGATACGTGAACGGAGTAGTTGGAGTGCTTTGTGTACGGATCAATTCTGCAGTCGTGGCAGTGTTTACTCTGGACCGCGATGACAAGTTGGTGTATTGGGTCGCATGGTGCAATCGCTGAGGCTGCCTGGGAGAGAACAGATAGTGGCCGAAGGTAGATCCTCAGTTGGTGTGGTCAGAGGAGTAGATTCTTGCTCTACAGGCTCCAGTGCCATTTGTCCTTCCTCGTGGTGCTTGGCCTCTTCGATTAAGGAGTATGCGTCGGCGGACTTATCATTTTCAACAACGCAGGTATGATTCTTGACATCGACAATCACGTTAATATCTGGGAAGCGTTAGTCAAATGCAAAGCGCTCGCCGTGGATATACTGTATTTACCGGATTGGCCTCCCTCAAATTGTTCCTCTATCTTTCGAACCCAAAGGATGTCAAAGATTATCTCGGCGCGGCTTCCGCCCTGAAACTTCAGCCTGGTGGCTTTGGCGACTTTCTCTAACTTATCGGCCGTAAAACCATAGCTGCCGAGTCTACGGAGAATGTGAACCAGCAGTTGGACGCGGTCTGTTGAAATAAAATGTCAGCACGTACTAGGCAGAATTATTCTATAGACAAACATACCTTTTTTCCTCATATGATCAGGTTCCTTATGATTAACTCCCGAGGGCCACCACTGAGGCTTAGTCGCTTCTGGATTTCTTTCGATGCCAGGTGCGGATCCTCTAGGTGCCGTCCCGTTATATGGATGTTTGGATTGCTTGTGTGGCTCAATAGCACAGATAAATGCCTTAGCAAGCGCGCGGCAGTTCAGCTGTTGGAATTCGCTAAAAGCACGTTCATAGTAAGCCATGACCTTCTGAGTATCTCCAATTCTGAAAACCATGTTGGCGGAACTACTGAAGTCCTGGGTGTTGGAATCATGTTCAGCCGAATGCCTATCAGAAGGGGACATCATGGATCCATTGCTCTTAGGACATTTCAATGGAGGGTTTTTTGCCTCTGTAGAACAATTAGTGGGCCATGATATATACAAAAATATGACTTTGCATACGAATGGACTGGCGACAGGCAACAGATTCGCCCAGAATCTGGAGGAAATTCTGCTGGACCTCCGGAGTGAACATACTAGGGCCTCGTTCCTGAACAGATCGAGATTCTTGGACTTTGAGATTACCCTCATGATCAATATAGATCATAGCGTAGTGGGCGCAAGGAATAGCGAATGACGGGTGAGAGATAGGCATCTCAGACTGGACAAAAATCAGTGAGAATCAACAAAATTTTAAGGATAGTAATACAGGATGGCACTTTAAGAGAGCTGACGTAGCATGAGTTGTAGTCTTGGGCGTTTTGGAAACCATTACGAGTACGTTGGCAAGAAGCCACTGGAGACGTATTTCAACAGGAATACGCTAGGCTGTAATATCGGAATCCGGACGGTTGGCTCTCATTGCTCGGGGAATGAAAGTCTCTTTATATAGTGAGTAACCACGATTATAGCTAAACGCGGACAAACTCAATTTACTTTCTGAAAGTTTGGATGATTGCGTTGGGTGAATCCAATTAGTAGGTGGTGTTTTCCTGCACGGTTGTGGGGGAAAAAGCTGAAGATCAACAGGGGTACGGATTTCAGAGGAATCCAAGGGGTTTATTGTATAGTTATTGAGAAGCCAAGTCTTCTTTCCGTCCTTTTGCTCGGGATCTAAACGCGACTTGATGTTTTCGAGTAAGATCTAACCCTTGCATTTCTTTTGTGATATCCAAGAACCTTATTATCAATGATATATACAAATATGAATTTGGTGCTCGATGTTAAAGAATCCTACGTACAAAGCATCATGTAATAACACACTACTGCATGTGCTAAAAGTCTATTCTCTCTCCACCTATCGGAAAATCAATATTTAACCATAAACTTAACAATTTTCATACAGAAAAACGACCCTCTCCCCTGGCGCTCAATGATTCCGTTGTCTCAATGGCTCGAGATGCGGTGGCCAAATTCCCATCATTAGGCTAACGGAGATCACGAAATTCTTCCTAGCTGTCTTTCTAGCAAATGGCTGGCCTCATTATCCAAATTACCCACAAGATGACGCATAAGGTGGTTCCCGTCATGTGAGTAAAGTATGCGGTTTATTGACCCACGCAAACCACTAGGAGGCAGGAAATCCATTATCAGAAGACTGTATAACACGACCATACATTCCAAATCCGTATTATGACTATTCAGTCCCACTGATTTCTGAATGAATGTCCAAGGGGTATACCCTATATGCTGAAAAAGAATATCGGACAGCATATGGGTAGTAACAGGCTCATCATGCACCCGCGGGGCCGTAGAGACGATGTATGCAGTGACATCGCCGTGTTCAATCATGAACTGAGGGTTACTCATATCACGCCTCATTTTATCAACTGAATAGTTAGCCAGGTATCTACTACACATTAGATCAAAAACAACCTACAGAATTGACTTATAACCCGTAGCAATTGACTAGTGAGGGACTTGGTAGGTGTCGTTATTGACATGGCTTAGGGAAAAAAGGACGTAAAATGCCATGTGACTGCGATGGTTAGTATAATAATTACATGGGAATAGAGACACTTTATAGCTTTCTGCAGTTTCGTCTTATTGATAAACGTTAGCAACAGTTGGGCTTCAGTGAAGAAACTAGGAAACACCCAGTTAGTTGATCGCTTCCTAAGATCATAGCCTTTCTTAGTGTCTGTCTTGTTAACGAATAATGACGAGTTCTTGTAAACACACTCAACTCCTGTAGGGCCATTGGAGGCTCGTGATCTCTAAAGAGGATAAAGAAGAGAATATCTTTTCTCTCTAGAAACCTTAAGTTAATATAGAAGGGATAAAAACTGGTTCTTACTTTCCTGCTGTAATGAACCACCATGGGTCTCGCTTGTTAAAAGGTGATACGTTTGTTCTTTAGGATTAACACCCATTGTTGGAGTATCATTTGAACTTCATTCGAATCGAGATTGTTGATTTTCTGTTTACATAGCTTCGTTATATTCCATTAGGAACTTCGGTCATTGATAAATGAAACTGAGAGGAGAGATATGCGATGATGTGTTCTAAGATGCAAGGTCTTCGAAAGGGGCTTCCTGGATGATAATCATGACCTATATATAAATCTCGTTCACAAAAAAAAGCCCGACAAACAAGCAAAGATAAAAAGGCTATGGAAAGACGGGGAAATCATAAGAAAGATCTGTAGAAAAGGTGTCGGACAAGGTGAGACCAGAACGCAAAACGCTAAATTGAGGTATGATATCGGAAACTGCAAAAACTCCCGAGAGTTTTCTTGTCCAGTGTTTCTTATTATGACATCGCCGGTTTTTCAATCCGTAATAAACAAAGAGAGAGAAATGAAAAAGACAATAAGTCTCACAGGGCCACTGAAATTTAGGCGTAGTAGTAGAGTGGCAGCCCATTGGGGTGGCCGATTGATCCTAGGTAGAATGGCTGGGACCCTTGGCTTATGGTGTTGTAGTAGTCCATATCGCAAAAGCTTGTGGAGCCCATAAGTCTTTGACTGTGCATTGTAGTACTTTGACTGGTTGCCAGTGAGCCGTAGTCTTCTGGGCTGGCGACATTTTGATAGGAGTTTGTATCGATCCAGCCGCCGTAGTGACCTGGTGCTTCAGTGTGCTGATGATCAGAGGTACACCCTGGAAAAGTGTTCTGCCTGGAGACTGGAGTGTCGCTTATCATAGTAGTGCTGAGTATAGGCTGCAAAAATGAATTGGTGTATTCAGGCGGCATTTTGTAGTCAGAATTATCCAGTCGGTCGGCAACTTCGAAGTTGAGAGGCATTGAACTACCTGGGAGAGCGTAGACTGATGCTGAAGCAAGACCTTTGGTCGTTGTGGTCAGGGTAGTAGATCCTTGCTCGACAGATCCTAGCGTCAGTCCCAGCTCTTTGTGCCTAGGCACTCCCATAACCACTGAGGCTGTGTTAGCAGAGTCATCCTCCTTGATGCTAGAGCTAGGATTCATGATGTAGACGACCTTGTTAGCATCTAAGAAGCGTGAGTCCACTGCAAAACATTAGCTGGGAGTACTTAGGACATACCAACTTCACCTCGCTCAAACAGTTCCTCCATCTTTCGAACCCGAAGGAGCTCATAGATGATCTCGACATTGCGTGGGCCCTTCAAGTTCCGTTTGGCATCTCTAACGATCTCCTCCAATATATCAGCAATGATACCACGGCCACCGAGCTTGCGAAGAATGTGAAGAAGCAGTTCGATGCGGTCTAGTCCACAAAGTGTCAGCATGGACCAGGATGAATCACTATACAAAAAACATACCTGCTTTTGCCATGTGATCAGGCTCCTTATGCATAACGCCCGAGGGCCACCATTCAGGCTTAGTCTTTTCTGGGTCGCACCTAGTGCCAGGAGCGGAACCCCGCGGTGGCTTCCCGTTATAAGGGTGTTTGGCTTTCTTGCGTGGCTCGATGACCTTTATAAATGCCTTAAGAATCACACAGCAATTAAACTGTAGAAGGCGTTTGAGGGTATCTTCATAGTAAACCATAACCATTTTTGTATCCCCAACTCTTAAAGGGACCATTTCAACCACCGAACCGTTGAAGTTATTGCTGTCGAAACGCTGCTCATCCAAACGCTCTTCAGAGGCGGATATAGTATTTGTATTGCTCGTGCGTCGTCTCAATCGACGAGGTAGTGTCTCTGCAAAACCATTAGTGGGCGCCCATATATACAGAATACTTTCCATACGGTCAATGGGCTGGTGGCAGCCGATACGTTCGCCTAGAATTTCGAGGAAATTCTGGCAGACTTTCGGGTTGAACACACCGGTGTCTTGTTCTTGGATAGACTGAGATTCGTAGGTCTTGAGCCTGCCCTCGTGATCGATATAGATCATGGCGTAGTGGGTGTAAGGAAGGGAAAATGACGGGCGAGAGACAATCATCTCGGGCTGGACCACAATATCAGCAAGAATCAATCAAATTTGTCATTTACAGAAGACAGTCATACAAGAGCAACATCCAATCCCGGGGCCCCTTGGAGGGTAGAGGCAGACCTCTTCATGGCACGCGTTGTGGTAACCATTGCGACAAAATGGCTCGTCCTGGGTGGCTACTTTCTTTTAAAGAACGCCGGAAATACTTCAAAAAAAGATGCAACAAAGAATAGAGTAATAAAAGTAGGCTATGCTTTCCAGAGAACGATGGAGTTAAGGACTTGGTTCTGACATGGGAATATATCTATTTCTTAATGGTGTAAGACGAACGGTCATTTTTCCCCTGAAGGCGTCTTGGGAAAAAGAAATGTGCTAGCATTGTGGTGGAGGTGTGGGGGGCGCCCGGCTTTCTGGCCCCGGTTGCATCGTATCCACCCCTGTTTTAATGAGACTTAGCTTCTGTTGGAAACTGCGAAAAGGAACACCTGCCTTGGCTCAAGTGAGAAGAGACTCGCAGAATTGATTATAGCTAGGGCTAATGTGGATGAAATAAGATCTGTAAAAGGATATATTGTTGTCACTTTTTTTTGAATATTATCTTGCTTTACACGATCCCACGAGTGGTTACATTCTGTGTTCGATTGGCCCAACCAACTATACTTCCTGATTAGAAGGAGGAAATAAAGTAGGTCACTATAGAACTTACAGAGATCCACATATCAAACGAATAATTAGATGAAATTGAGGGACATCTTAATCCTGTGATATAATTAGTTTCTGTAAGTATGTTAAATTTGCAAATGTCAATAAGAGACATACATATGGGCCATGGCCATTCCAGAAATACCTTGCTATTTGCAAAAGCCGAAATCGAAAAATGCAGCCAACGATGAAAGCAAACCAGGAAATTAATGTGTAGATCAAAAGCTGGGAAATTAAGTCGTCATCCATACTTAAAGGTAGATGAAGAGCCTTTTGCTTTTGGGTTCCAGACGGTTAATATATTAGGAAATCAAGGTGCATGTACAATAAAATATTACAGACTGTTTTTATAACTGATGCATCGAACACCTGACTAAAGGAGGAAATAAGATAGATCACTCTAAATCCAAAGATGCAGACAATGATGAAAGTAAACCAGGCAAATACGGTGTAGAACAGAAGCCAGGATCGTCATCCATACTTGAATGTAGATGAAATTCTTTTTTTTGGATTCCAGACGGTTGATGTACTAGGAAATCAAGATGCTTTTATAATAAAACCTACAGACTATGTTTTATAGCTGATACATTACGAAGTTTTCTTGCTGTTCGGACAAAATAGAAATTAGCCAGTAGCTCATTAGAAATGCAGACATATCTCAACTGTCTTCGCCTTGCTTTATTTGTTGATCGCACAATGGCACTTCATTGTTTTTTTATTCTCGTCATTAAGGTTATAGTTTTGGTAATGACCGCGATATCGAATGTCGCGTCTCAAGCTATTCTAGTTTCCTAGTTTGTCAAGCATAAAATTATGGACTGAAACGGCATAATAGCTATACTGTTTTGGGATTAAGTGAGAAAATTGTTTCAGCGACTAAGGAAATAATCTAAAACATTATACTATCTCTCTGGTCACTTCACAACCGTAGCGGGTATAGCAACCTCCCTTCTGTCTCTCACCCAATCAAGGGCATTCGAAACCGCCTTCTCAGGGTTGCCTCTGAAACCCATCAGATAGTTATTAACCTCCGCTGCAGTTAACTGGCTGGTGGAAACAATCCGTACAAACTCATCAGAGAGGTCTGATATGCATTTCTCCCATGTCGACGGATCGTTTGATTCACTTTCTCCACTAATCGGGGAGATAAACGAAGACACCTCGCCAAAAAATATATGGAAGAGTTGCTTGACGCTCGTGGTATCCAGGAAGTCAAAGTGGTATATTTGATCCACCCGACCAGGTCGTTTGAGGGCCGGATCAAGTCTTTCTAGATGATTGGTGGTCATCATCAGAATACGGCCCTCCTGTGCTCCGACGCCATCAAGGCAGTTCAAAAGGGCCGATAAAGAAATACCAGGGCCATAGAGTTCATTTTCTTGGGGCGAATTCTCCACTCTGCCAGTATCCTTCATTCGCGAACCCTCTTGACTAATTCCGGCATTGTCCACGTCTTCAAAAAGTACAATGCAACGTTTCGGAAGGCTTTGGAAGAACTTAGCCAAGGTATCCTCATCAAGCTTTCGAGAGTTCAAGCTAATCGTGTAGATATCAAGCCAAAGGCGCCCCGCAATTGCAAAGCATATACTTGACTTTCCGGTTCCGGGAGGACCATAGAGAAGATAACCTCGGCGGTATGGAATGCCACAAGACTCGTACCAAGCTCTGCTTCGTGGACTCAGGAAATCTTCAATATCTTTAATCATGCCATCTTTGATTTTTGTAGGCAAGGCCAGAGTTGACAATGGACGAGGAGACTTCGACATAATCTGAACCCAACTGGTTGTATTCCGATCAATGAAACCGCGATAAATGGTGATTTTCTTGTTGCGACGCTGGATTGAGGCATGCTGTACTTCTTGTAGAAGAGTGGACAGCACCTTTTTGTTCCAAAAAGACGAGTATATTATGAAGGTTTCTGTATCTGAGAGCCAACTGTTTTGTGTTTGGTATGGATCCCGGTAAAGAGCAAGAAGACACCCCTGGTATAGGAAAAAATGAAGCCGCTTCCGGGAAGGGGTAAAACGGATTGGCTTGATGTTTTCCTGTTCTTTCAAAGAAAGCCAGAAGGTCTCCCTGCTCCTTTCAAACCGCTTTTGCTCCATCGAAGGATCTTCCTCGGTGTCCTCGTCGTCTTCATTTTGCCAAGGTAAAGAGATAGCAGTCTTTGCTTTGACAATAGAACGCCGGCTGCGGCTTAATGAATCATCCCTTGCCATCCATTGTACGAACTGGTTGTGCATCTTGTCGTGGTATGGAATTTCAGTGGAGACGGTGAAGTAAAGGAGCACATTTTGAACGGTTTCCAGAAATTGAGGAAGTACGAAGGCCAAAAATGGACATAAAACGGCAAATAGAGCAATGTAAACGGAAAATGAGGAGACATCGGCGTGTAAATAGGAGAGAAGAGGGGTAAACAGAGAAAATCCTGGAAATAATAACTCTAAGGCAGCGGGAAGTACCTCAAAGGTATTGTTGTGCATGTTGCGAAAATTTCGTGTGAGTATATGCATACAACAGAAAGGGCATAGGCCTTTTATAATGGACCCAAAAGCTGATTTGGCTCATAGTTGATCTTTACCCATTCGCGGGGGGCCATGTCCTGAGTGCATATGTAGGTTGGCAAATTCTACCTCATAACTACCGTTATGTTACAAGACTAGAAGTCTAGATTTAGGCTATCGTGCACTTTCTTATTTTGATTCGTCTCGGGAGTAACACGCCACAAAAACGAAGTCGAGAACGTAGGTTCTCGATTACATAAATCCATTGCTATTACCAAACATGGCATGATTCCTTGTAAATTATCGTATGAATCTGTAGCTTCAACTTTCATTGCATCCGGGTACGGAATTACAAATTCATACCACGACTTAGAATTAAATATTTATCTCTTTCAATGCCGTATTTCCGCCTTACATAGTCCCACTCCTCCTTTCCCAGAAGATACTTTGCAACCCCAATCTTGTAGTGAAGTATCAGCAGGTGGAACTCTGACGGCACTATTCCACAAATAAAGGGACAGCCATAAACATAACCTTTCGAGTTGTCGTTGTACCTGACATAGAACTTCATAAAAACGCAGTCTGGTGTCCAGACTGTACAGTCGTATCTCTCGAATTCAGCGATTTCGCCGAGAATTTGAACGTTCAAGACTGGTCCTTGTAGCTGGGCCATCGCTTAGATCTACATTGTTAGCGTTTCCAGGAATGCCCTCTGAGTTACCCGGCCTTTACTTACAAGGCTCTATACGATTGAAATAGCCAATTGGTGGCGAGCTTGGCCTCCTCCTTGCCTTTTCAGGGTAATTAAGGTGAATTGGGGTAGAGAAGGGGTCTGGAAGGAAGAAAACCGTGTTTAGCATATACGAGGGAGCACATTGGTGATATATATTTCGAGCAGTGGATCATACCGTCAAATAGAGGCTGGTAATATTTACTGTTGACGTTCACAGTTTCTGTGTTTCTGCCTTCTGTGCTCTGCTCTTGAGTTTCCCTGGCGGACGGGGAATCGTCTTGAATAAATAAAAAAGACTCAATCCAGCTGGGAAGCAGTCTTCGTAGCGAGGAAGTTGGAATACAATCCATGAGTGTTCCTTGACAAGCTGATATATCTGGTGATGTAGATATGGAAAGGATTGGCTAGCAGAGCAGCGTCAATGGGGTGTTATACTGGCCAATCGACCTTTTTAATTGAAATTTCGTTTACTTTGGATAGGCAACGTCGTCAATTTTTCGTTTTCACACGAAGAGCGATTGGAGGTGGGTAATAAATATGTAATTTGTAGCTCCGCATTGTGGCTATATGTTCAGATGTTTACTACGGTTTGAATCAGTCATATTCTTTCTTTGGGCCAACAATAGATGAAATTCAAAGCTTAACAAATTTGTTGTTTGGTTGAAGCCTTTAGACACGGAAACATATTAGAGAAAATCCCTTGGTCGTAGGCTCTTGAGCACGTGTAGTAACTAGATAACAACGATACTACTGGTTCACAACCATAAGTCCATCAACGGCCACAATAAACTCATCCCTCGTCATCTCGCCACGGTCCAGGCAGTCCTTGAGCCCCTGGATTTTATCGACATTTTTGTCATACTCTCCAAGTGTTGGAGCTTGTCAGCCGCAAAGTGTTTCACCTCCGGTCTGATTTCCAACTCATTGACACGTTCTCTCTACCACAAATCACTCACGGATTGCCGTAGCTGCATGCAAGGGAATTAAATGATAAATGGGTGCAGCAGGGATCTTTAGTGCCAAAACTGAAGGAGTCGAAGGATCCACTAGACAGGAGCATGTAGACGCACATAGCTCCTGAAGCCTCGGACCATTTGATAAGCTTAGAGAGCTTTGTACCCTTCTTTCTAGGCATTTTCGCCTCTTCCAAGCTTCTTTAAAAATGTTAAGACAATTGAAATCTTAAAAGGACCTTTATTAGTAAACGTAAGAAATCGAAGGATTCTAGACGTACCAAAAGTGTTGACCCTCCAGTCTGTGCAATCCCTTGTATCTTCCATGTCAGCGGGCGGGTAGGCGCAGAATACCCAGTCCTTGGCGTGGGCAAACTTCCGATTCGGTCAAAATTGATCTCAAAATCATCCGCTAACCCGCCAGATTCGTACAGGAGATGGTTCACGATGCGGATACCGCATATCTTCAAAATCTTGCATTATAGACATTGCACCGTCCGAGTTAATCAGTCTTTCCCAGGGGTGAAGGCGATCAGGAAAATCGACTTGTTCAAGATCAACAACCATCACTCTGGATCGTTGGCTGCCCTGATCACAGAGTAGAAAATTGTCCAATCTCTGATCTCGATACAAAGCACCATATTCCGAAAACTGACGAAAGACATCCTCGAGATAAGTCTTCAAAGCTTCTGCAGGAAAGTCGTTCTTACTGCGGGCCAGTTCATAGAGAGTAACACCATCAATCTCGGACAATACAAGTGCTGGGAGTCCATCATAATAACCTTGCCCGAAAAAGAAGGGAATCACTTTTCCTTGGAGCTCTTTCAATTTGTCGTAGACTGCTTTCTCATTCCAAAATTCTTTCTCCCAATTATTCTTTTGCTGTTTGACAATGACTGATGTGACAGTCTGGGGAATTGAGTGTCGATATGAGCCCGGGTCAAGTGCGAAGCGATAAACTGTACGGCGTTCATCTAAAAGCTGCACATTGGTTGAATAAATTGGATGATTATCCAAGTACATTATCTGAGGCGATGAGCTTAATCAAGTCTTCTCTTAAAGTATGGCACCCACTTTACCTACCTTGGATAAATTCTCCCTTGGGGGAAGGGAAGGCATGGTGTGGACTTGCATAGGAGTATTGAGAGATGTTCACGGAGAAAATTAGGGAATGACGCGCCTCAGATATTTATCAACCCCCCACGTCATGTGATCAACAGATGCAAGGGGAGGTCAAAAAAAAAATAGTTAATGGCATCGCTTACCTGGTAAGGATGATCTGCCAGTTAGATCTGAACATCTCCTCGTAATAATACTACTGTTTGGACTGGCTCTGCCTGTGGTATCTTATCGGTGTGCTCCGCACCGACTTCTCTCTCCCCCTCTCTTAGATAGCACTACCAATATTAGATGTTGAGATCGCCTATGTTCTCAAATAAGCGGATTATTATTGGTTAATTATTAAAAGAAATAGCGGCGTTCATGAGCCTATATATAGGCTTCTCCATTGCTGTGTACTCTGCTCTAGGCGTCAAGGAAGGAAACAATTCTTTGTGTCATCAACAACAAAATGGCCCTCATGGTCAAACCATGACCAGTATCCCTTGTATTCTGGACCATGGTCGTCGTCCCTACTCCTCACGAACCTAAGCTCGCGCCAATATCCAGAAGGATGGTCAAGAAACCTCTCTCGGGTACGGCGATCTACCCAGAAAGGCCGACCAGAACAGAAATCGTAATGACGTTCAAGCCCACCAAGGGTCAATGTAGTTGATGACCGTATATTACTCCCTAAATCTGTGGGCGTGAAGCTTCCAGTTGCACAAAGACGAGTGAAACCTTTCAAGGCAAGTGCGCGTAGGCCTTCTGCCATCGTGCACTGGTCACCATGTCCAAGATCTTCCCGTGGGATGATACAGATATCAACAGGACACATCTGGTCACGAATATCCTCTACATCCCTGGCACGGAACTGTAAGAGTACCAAAGTCCCCGAGTCAAAGACGAATGCTTGCGGGCATTTGTACAAATAAGCATACCTTTTTGAAGTCAATTAAACATGAAACAAAATGTAAAAGTGAATAGGACATACCCTCTAATCTCCTGCATAAGACGGTTTGTTGTATTGGATGGGCGTCTTTCAAATATCCACTCTCTTCTCTTAATGACTCGGGGCCTTTTGAACTCTCCTACGATGGCAGCACCTTCAAGGTATTGCTTCCGATGGGCCATCGTCATTTGGTAGTCAACTATCTTCCTTTCTGAAACATCCGACCCCGCAAGTGCTCATGGCTTGAGTTTAGGCCCCCCACGAACAGGGGAAGAGCCGGGATGAGGAATAGAGTACGACGAGTCGCCGAAAGCGAGCTCAACCAAAGGGCTGATATTCTGGAAAAAGTCGTGTGTCACATCCCCTTCGGTAGCCTGTTCGAGCGATTGCGAGTTTAACATATAGGCTGGAGTTTCAAGGCCAACCGAAGGAGCCACAGTCCCTTCTCTGGGAAGCAGGAATGCTGCAAGTGCTTGCCTTGTTGGTGGCATTATCGTCAATGTTCTGTCATGAAGAGGAGGGTAATCATTTGTCCATTGTTTTGTTGATATTGAAGTGTCGGTGTCAACATTTAGCTGTGCAGGGCTAGGGAGCGTTATCAGGTCGCCCACAGTATACCGTGGCATGTTGGTCGTGTTGAACTTGGGTATGATTAGCGAGTTATCATGACTGATTATCAAAGCATGGCTTCACCTGTATCCTCTGAGAGAGAAGTTTACCCAATGAGATTATTAGGTAGTTATGGGCACTTGAGAGAGATTGAGAAGTAGTTTACAAAGAAAGATACTTTCCAAGAGTTGGTGTGGTTCTCCTTTATAAGACCAGATATATCAATAAGTCAGATATAGTCAGATATAGAAGAGACAAATTGATCTCGCCTAATGCATTCTCATTCGTTCATTTTCCCCATTTGATATAGATGACTGATGAAATAGGAAAGCTCTAGTTCTGAACGACAACTCTGCCCACTTGAACCGTCTTGATAATTATGGTTTTTTATCACCAAATAAGAATTCTCATTCAAATGAACAGTGAATAGTTGGGCCCAGCTTACTTTTGGGTTACCGCGACTGTAGTAAAATTTAATAATACACTCTGCGAAGTACTCTATAGATACAATAGATAGCTTTTGGGTGACGCGCTCATGGCTTTTGATGTTGTGATGGGTCTTCATGTAAATTTTATTATTCCAACGGTTCGAGTCTAACTGGTGCAAATGTCAGCAAGCGTGATATGCAGATGCAAGGACCATTCAAGTGTGCTATAAATTTAATGAAGTTAGTTAAGGAAAGCCAGAGCATTTGTTAGTAAAGAAAAACGAGGCTACAATGCCGCGAGAGTAGCCTGCTGCATAGACCTGTTTTCGCCTGGCCATTCTTTCCTCCCGTATCCTGGATCAACAGTGATATTTCCCACCTGTGGATTTATGGCGGCTGAAGCGGGAACACATCTGGTTCTAGACCTGAATAGATGCATCCTGGCGAGTGATCCTGCAGAAATGAATGATACTAACCGGATTTGGATCCAAGCAATGCTTGGATCCAAATCCGGTTAGTATCATTCAGCACAAGGGAACATTCCAAGCAGCAATAGGGGATTGTAAGACACTGACACCCATCTCATCTGGGGTTATAGATTGCTTAAACTTACAATTTCTTTGATTTCGAAGCAAGGACTGGTGACTTGTTAATCCTATGTACGCTGCCAGTCGTGGCAAATTTGTCAGTCGTGGACATTCTGATAGGAGAACGGCGCCGTAAACGATATAATGGAGTGGCTCATATGGAACAGAATGAAGTCCAAGGTTAATGAAGGTGGGCGACGGGGCTTTCAAATGTGATCAGCTTGCAGCTCTGGGGAGGCTACGTCGCACGGACCCCGCCTCGAGCCATCCTTGCCTATACCCCTCTCTCGATGATTCTGAATCTCGTAACTCTCCAATCCCCAGAATCATTTCATTGTGTCTACTCTACGCCACTCATGAATTCTGAACGCATGTTTCAATGTCAAGGTGATGATCTCACATATATAAGACACCTTGAATTACGAGTTATCAGTCTAGAGAGCACCCTTCATACGTCTCGTCCAAATTCTCAAACAAATCAGCAAAGAACAAGCGAACAGTCCGGATCGTGCGATGTCTGCAAAAACCACAACTATTATACCAAATGTGGGAGCCAATACAATCCTCCTACCATAACCAGGCACAATAATCGGTCAAGTTCGGGCGAATCCTGCGAGGGGGCATTGCAAGTTGTACTTGAGCAACCGGGCAGAGAAGTGCACCGCCCGAAGAAAGATGCGAGAGATCTATCGAGCCTTTGTCTAAAATTCAAGTCTCTACCCGAATCTGATCATTGCAAAGCTTTATTTTCTTTCAATCAGGTACAACGACAAGAGATCATTCGCGACATGATATGGGGATTGACTCCGTCAAATGACGACTTGTCATACAATCTGCCACCTGCGGAATTCGCTTTCCGCAAGTTTAGCAAATCCATGCAGGGGACGGTATCGGAACTGAGTAATGAAGGAATACAAAACAACAGACCATTAACATGCTTCCGAGAGCTTGTCTTCTGCTCCCTATGTGCAGTTTCAGCCCATATTATGAAGACCGAAACCGTTTACGCTGTTATGCGATTCGTTTTTGGGTCTGACGCCTGCACAGAACGATTCCAAGCGCTGATTCGTGGTTCTAAATGGGCGAACCAATTCATTTACCGCCTATCTAAGACTCAGTGTGGGTTACGTAGCTGGGACATGATCTATACGCGTATGAAACTATGAAACTTACAAAGAATTATGTCAAAAAATCTAACTTTGGAATTTCTTGAAGTTGGTCGCAAAGTCGACTATTTCTGTCGTCACTCAACCGTTGAACCTCCTGTGTTGATATCGAGTCTTAAGAAAGACTTCGACCAAAAGGACTTTCCAGAAACATCAGTTCCATTTGCAATTCCTTCTATCATCCAAAGGATTTACGACTATCACGTACCGTAGGTCGCCTGCTCGGAACGTGGTACCTTGGCTGACCTAGTTGCTATAGACTGGAAACCATTTGTGATGTGCTAGGGTATTCATTTTCAGATTATCAAAAACTTGAGCTCTCTGCTCTTGAACAATTCCTCGTGGGGATTTCCAAAAAACGAAAAGCGAATGAATCAGCCTTTCCCGAAGGTAAAGCGCAACCCTAGAGTTATATATATATTCCCTTATCCCTCCGCTGACGGTTAAAGATGAATGCGATGGAACTTCAACAACTTGGTCAAGCAGTACCGAGCCAACCAATAGCGAGCCAAACGACGCCGGGCCAAACGACACCAGGCCAAACAAGAAACGGAAGAACGGGCCACCCGAAACTTCGTCGAAAAGGCGATGTCGGGATGTATCATCTGGCTCACCAGAAGGTAGGATGCCATCGAAAAGTTTACGTTTTTCCTGGACTGATCTTTATAGGTGATTATTTTGAAACTTTGAATGGATCACATTGGTCAATCCATGCCATACCTACTCCATCGGCACCAGGTTCATGTTCAGATTCTGTAATGGATGGACTTTTCGAGGAGTTCCCAACAAGTACATCCAGTCCGACGGAAGGTTTACTGGACATAGATGCAAATGAAGAGATGGTAGGTTCCAGGGTCGGCTATGCAAACCCTAGCCCCCTGACCAGCAACCACTCTGCACAACAGAGCATACTTCCTCAGTCACATGTTGATCTATTGTTTCATCGGGGGGGGAACATACCTGATACCGCGCTGCCAAGGGATCCACGTAGTCGAACATCAGCTGCGGTAACAATTCCCGATTTCGAATTGGAGACTCGTGCCGATCAACCTTCTACAGCGAACCTTTGTTTCGCGATGAATGGGACGCTAGATCTCGAATCTAATTCATCATCCAACATGGCAACATCATCTGCCAGCACAACTCTCAGACGGACCTTTTCCCCCAATAATATCGCTCAGCAGCAAGGGAGCAAATCTGGGTTATGCAACTTGCAAGTTAATACAGTACACACCGATAGTGAAGAAAGCCATTCTCGAATGGGGCAAATCTACTCGAAGAACCTGTCTTGCAATAGTGGGTGTGAGCCACACGAGTATAAGAATGAACATGTCTCTCACACTCGTCCATCACCACCATCGACTGACTGGCCGCAACAATACGGTTGGGACATTGATGATATACTGCAGCAAGGGCTTCCGGCGAATAATTCTCCACTGCCACCGTCGATTGACTGGTCGCAACAATACGGTTGGGACATTGATGATATACTGCAGCAAGGGCTTCCGGCGAATAATCCTCAACTGCCACCGTCGACTGACTGGTTGCAACAATACGGTTGGGACATTGATGATATACTGCAGCAAGGGCTTCCGGCGAATAATTCTCCACTGCCACCGTCGATTGACTGGTCGCAACAATACGGTTGGGACATTGATGATATACTGCAGCAAGGGCTTCCGGCGAATAATCCTCAACTGCCACCGTCGACTGACTGGTCGCAACAATACGGTTGGGACATTGATGATATACTGCAGCAAGGGCTTCCGGCGAATAATCCTCAACTGCCACCGTCGACTGACTGGTCGCAACAATACGGTTGGGACATTGATGATATACTGCAGCAAGGGCTTCCGGCGAATAATCCTCAACTGCCACCGTCGACTGACTGGTTGCAACAATACGGTTGGGACATTGATGATATACTGCAACAAGGGCTTCCGGCGAATAATTCTCCACTGCCACCGTCGATTGACTGGTCGCAACAATACGGTTGGGACATTGATGATATACTGCAGCAAGGGCTTCCGGCGAATAATCTTCAACCACCGTCGACTAGCTGGTGGCAACAATGCACTTCCAACCTTCTACAGCAGGATCTTTCGCTAAGCAGCCACTCGCCACTACCCTCTTTGGGCTCAGGCCAGGAGGCCGCCACAGCTATCTCGGGTAATTCCCCAGAGACCCGGTACCATTTATTATTTCGTTCTTCACTTGTGTCCAGAGAGGGCAATTCTTCTTGGGACTTGGAAAATAGTCACCACGCCCTTGGATTCTCGGACCCCATCCACCAGAATGCTTCTTATTCCCCGAACAGGAGCCTTTCAGTAATGTGAGACTTTCAGTAATATGAACTATAAAACAGAATAATGATAATATTTGAACCTCCTCGAATCCATTTCTTGCTTGAGCCATGGGTACACATCAGCGAGGCGCAACAACCAGCGTAGTCGTACCCGCACCCACGACTGGGTCAACATTAACTTGTACGAACCATCCTTCCTTCAATAACCACCCGTTCACTTCAATTCCTTTCGGTATTGGAATAAGGTATGCCGAGTTTGGAAGATTTAGTTTTGTAGGATTCTTCCAATACCTTAAGCGTCCTTCCCAGTTCTAGTTGGATTAGTAAAATGGTCTGTCTAGTAACAAATAATATTCGTGCCTACCTCATCAATACCGAGGGCGGTTTTCATACGGGAAATCAACATCAAAAGCGCATCCCCGCCGTACTTCTTATTTCCTTTTTCATCCTCTTCAATTGTTGTGACTTGTGGTAGTAATACTTTGATCTCTTTTCGGATTCCTTCAGCTGCATCGGCTACATCGTCCAGTCGTCGAGGTTCCATCGAGTGCGAAAGAATGGTTCTAGATCGAGCTCCTGAGGTTAAGATCAGTTTAAATCCAATATGGCCGGGAATTTGAAATACCTTGCGAGGGCGGAGGTAAGACTTTGTTGTCTTCACGCTGCGATTAAGAGGGGTAAATAAGTGATTATCACCACGGCTAAGGTTGGGCACTAAATCACATGACACTGTAAAATCAACGTCTATCGGGCCGGTCGTCAGACCAAAAAGCGACGTCATAGCCATTAATTTTTATTGTCCGAGACCCTGTCCAAAATAAAATGCTGTCATCCAATGATATTCAGACTGAGTCCAGTGAAGCGTCAGTTCACGGTCAGTGCGGCAGTCACGCGACTCGTGGGTGATTCTCACTCTGTCATTACTGGCATTGGGGGCGATGTGCCGGTAAAGACAGCATGAAATGATCCGCCTAGGGCATGTGGTGGTCAGTGCATTCTCCAACCAGCCACGAATCACATGAAGAGAAAGATGAAGTGTCACCCAAATATAGTGCTGATTAATCTACCTTCAGGCTAATATACCAATCAATAAACAATACCATTGTGGCAAATAGCCGGAGAATGACAACAGTTGGATAGATCTGCTTCGACCTCCTTGCAACAGCCACACGCATGAAGTAACAAGCAATATTCCGTGTCCCCAGACAATGCACACCCAGTTATTTCTTTACTGCAAGTGAGCCACAGTTTGCTCCGATCCAAGGAGGCGTGCCAGACGCATTCTACAGATTAAAGAAGGTTATTGTGATCTTCTCAAAATTTATCGACGTTTTGAACTACGCAACTTGCTTTTACTAGTCGTTGATCTTGGACACCACACAGGCGAAAAATGGGAGTGGGGTGCTTTGAATGACCTTCCAGCTGAGATTAAAGCCCATTTTCCGCTACTCACTCTCACAACACCGAAAATCAAGAAATACCTGGATCATTGCCTTACCTTTGACGGTTTCGGAGACCGAGTGAGTCAAAAACTTCCAATACATGGATATGGTCGTGGGGATTTGTTCGGGCCACCGCTAGATCGAAGTCACGCCGGTGGTATGAAGTGACGCGGATAACCTCTATTTCGGACTTATAAGTGGATGCCGCTGTTTTGCCTAATTCCATAGTATGCGCCAGGGATTGGTTTCTAGCGCTGTAGTGTAGTGTTGAAATGTTGATTGTGGAGTGCGGACGTTGTTATGTCTTGAAAAGAGAGTAAAAGAAATCAAACGAGATTGTCATTTGGTGTCAGGGTTGTATTGCTGATCAAAATCGTTGAGGTCTCATGATCATTGATTTTGGGCCACGGAGGATAAGCATGGCCTTTGGCAAGAAATCGTAGGCTGTGAGACCCACAACAACAGATATGAAGTGAAGGAGGCATGGCTTTGGTCTTTATACCGCCTACGTTTGCGGTGAGAATCTACAATCACGTGAACCCTTGTGTAAAACTAACCCCTAACCGGCCGTTACATTTAATATAGATGGTACGCCGTCCATAGGAAGGTTTTTTAACGCTTTCACTTCAACCACCATTTTCTTTACCACCATACAGTAAATTGATTAATTAGTTCCAGCCAGCTCGCGAATGATGTTTGATCTTGTCCTTGATCCTTTTCTTGATTCTCCGGACTGACGTTGGGCCAAATGTTCCTTGGTCATAGAGCGCAGCGCCGAGCACATATTTGATCTGGGGAGGATCCAATGATTCTATCCAGCAAATGGCCAATTTCCTAGAAAATTGGTTTTCGATTATAAGCCCTGCCATCGGGATACATACATTCTCCCCAGCTTCGTGGATGATTCGACTGATATTGAGAAGATTCGTGCGTATATCTTGGTTTGGAAGGGGTTTAGTTCGGAACACGTAGTGGTAGTGACAGAAACGCTTCATTATAATGCAATATGGAATAGCTATTGGTATACAAGAAAGACACCGCTTATGTCATACAATGCGTAAACGCTTTGCATCGCCTGGCTCTGTTCGCAACAGAGGTCTCTTTCCTCGTGATCGCTCTGGAGCTGGCCGATATTTCAATGTAGAGCGGTGAAAGTCGATTATTAACGCCCGCCCGAGCTCTTCATTCCAAAGGACGTTATCAAGCCGAAGGTCTTCGTGGACGATTCCCAAGGCTTTGATTTCCTTATTCGATTTGTGAATATGATTGAGAAGTCCCGGCGTCAGCTCCATCGTTGCTGTGCTATCGCCCCCCCAGCCCATGACGAGCATGTGACGAATCTCTCCAGCCCCATGGAGAAAATAAGTTTTTGCCAAGTCAATTGTACCGAGGAAAATAGGCACAGCGGATGCTTGAGCCTTCCGTAAGATTTGATATACCTGCGCTTCGCGGGAGACTTCTTTCCAGAGATCCGACGAAGTCCCTTTTCCAACGACAACATAGCCATATATAGCACAAATGAGTTTAAATGGCGCACCATATGCCCCGCAATTTCCAAGGGGTGTGCATCGGTCAATGTTTTCATCTAGCTGTGCTTTTAGTAAACGCACTAAATCATCTGAGGCGATAGTATGTTTGATGACATCTTGACCCCGACGATGGAGCTCCACGTTCGGACAACCGTCGTCTAGAATACCTCCAGTCTGCAGGCCGAATAGACATCGCTGGGTGCAAAATTGGGCGTCATGGCTTTTAGAATGGCTGCCTTGGTCTTTCCTAGCCCCGCGTTGACGAGCCGCTCTTTGCGCAGAAGGGGACGGTGTGACTTGGCTGAAGCCCCGTTTGCGCCCAGGGGCTTGATTCGAGTCCGAGCCTGATGAGTCTGGCGATTGCGTCCGGTGTCGGATATCTAAGGGTGCACAGCTAGCTCGAGACCTCGTGGGCACTCGGCGACTTACTGTTGGAGACTCTAGTGGAGGCGATGATGGTTGGTAGTCTGTACTCGTTTCTGGACTCACATACTCCGAGTTGGTACTATCGGAATGCGGAGCGATTTGCTGCAAGACTTCCTTAGGGATCTGAGAACGAGCGTGGTCAAAGCTAGTTGTCCATAAAGGAAGCCGCGACCGTGCGGAATTTCTCCATTCCTGATCACGAATAGGGGAACGGAACGCCATTAAGCACAAACATAGAACTCTAGCAATAGATGTCTTCGGCTCTTCGAGACCTTGTTCGTTATTAGGATCACAGAGAAAGTAGTACAATGTGCTAGGATCGTCGTATGGAACGCGGAGAAGGACACGGGCGACCCCATTCGTGACATAGGAGTACTCAAGTCCCTCCTGAATCATCACATGATACTCCTGAACAATGGCGGAGCATACGAGCCGCTCTGCGTTATATTTCAATTTCTCAGCGCGATCTGTAGTGATTTTGTTTGATCTGACCATGCATTTCCACAAATCCATTTCCCTGAGCCCTACGCGAAGGGCCTCGATAGAAAGCTTGTGGGGCGGCTTGTATTCAACCGTAGTGAGGAGGGTGTTGGTTTTGCCATCGACTCGGTGGATACAGAACTGGTCAGGTCGAGGGTGATGTACGCCCGATGGCTGGTTTGCAATTGCTTCGCTACCGCCGTGTGGGTTGAAAGAGTTGGTGTGATTGTCGAACCAGACTCCATCTCCAAGTCCAAACTCATCTCGAGCAGCGTCGATTTTGCATAGCTCTGCAATTATATCACGGACATGATCTTCCACAGCGATTCGCTCGTAGTTCTCGAGGCCCTGTTCACTGCTAATTGGCCGGAGATCGAATCTTCTAGCATCCTCCTTAAGCGCAATCAAGGGTGTGAACAATCTTGCTCGGGCTTCCTCGGTTGGCTGTAGGTAATTGCACACAGAGCTGTAGATCTTTTGTTGTCGAGCTGAACAATCAGTCCACGGTGCTAGTCGCGTGGGACAGTACTTCCCGGTGGGAAGGGGTATGTTCCCTGTAGTCGAGCGAGATGGTGTTTCAACCCTCAACGGCCGGGAGAGTAAGCTGTGGCAGAAGCGTATGAGTTCTATAAATGTTGTTCGTCGGTTGCGCTCCCTCTCCTGCCTCTCTTTGTCCTCGGCAATTTTTTCTCGTTCTTCAGCCTGCTTCCGTCTCTCCTCTTCCTGTCTCCGACGCCCTTCGGCCTGCAAAAATAGTTTCTTGTAATCGGTGGGGCTGTTGTTGGCCATCAAGTTATCGAGAGGAAGAGAGGGATTAGGGATGCCCATCCAGGTGCGACCAGGCTTGACCTAGCTGGCTTATCAGCTGATCAATATTTCGGCGAAACCTTTGTCCGGGCCCGTTGCCAGTCTAGCCAGCCAGCATATCAGTCAGTTGATCAGGACTCGAACGGTGACCTTCAATGTTGCACAAAATAAGGGGCTCATCTGCCTTTTCTGTTCGAATTTTATTGAAGCATATTTAGGGGATAGATATCCTGCAATCATTTATGAAGGTCAACCAGGTGATAAAATGGATGGACAATCTATGAGTGATTGACAATTATATCTAATTTATTGATAATTAAATAACATTGACCTAGTTCTAATGCTTCCTTTCCCTCGATGTTAGACGTGGCTTGATCTTCAATCAGTGGATCTCTTAATGAATTCCCAGATTTTCATGTAATAAACATCCGTTAACAAGATGATTGACTACATCTTGATCTGTTGGCAGGTTTTGGATCCCCCAAATCAACCGTGATATCTCCTCCGGTGTTCCAGAGCGCAGCTTTACAGCCATTCGGTAAAGGGCGACACGGAAGATTAACAACTCGGCGGTATGAGCCTTGCGTCTTCGATCACCAGCTGGATTATAGAAGCACTGGCGAGCTTCGGTCGTACATTTCGTGCACGGGGTCGTACCAGAGCACTACACTGGGTTAGGTCCATCCTCGAATGGAGGAACGATCTTTCTAACCTTAGACTTTCTTTTCTGGCACTCGGTACAGGCCAGAGAAACTCGCCGGTGTTGTTTTGTCGACGAGTCTGTTTCTAGATACCGCATGCTCGATCCCTTTTGCCTAGGCAAGAGCTCGGGCAGAATATTATTCTTCGGCATTTCGGGACTAGATGAGTGGTAGGCGCTTTCCGGATAGAGGTTTAGATCTAAGAGAAGGCTCCGGAAATGGGAGGGAAATCAGTGAGGTCTAGGGATTCAGGGGAACTACTTAGGTTTTATTTATTCTATCAGATCCTTGCTCGCAGTTCTCTTTATTTGCTAGAGATAGAATTATCCATAGCAAACAAAGAACCCAGTCAGGAAACCCACCTCCCGGGACACTCCGCAATCCGATTGGCAGATCACCCCATCAGACGGAAGCATCGCCTGTCATTTACTACATTATGATAAGAACCCATGCTGAAGCGTCCACTTAAGCCGTTGGAAACGAGTCGTTTTATTTTTCGTAGTGTTTGGAATTATTGCAATAGATCACCGAAGATGATAGACGCTTGGGGAAAGAATCTTGAGGTGTTTTGATAAGCGAGCAAAACAAACTACATTAGCTTCAAATGAATATATATAGCCCTATAGAAACAGATAGGAGAAGATGAACTGGAGGTGACAGCACAAGATATTCTATTATCCCAGATCCCATTGACTGAAAGCAGTCTGGATTAAAATAGCTGATAAGTGTTCCGCGTGTCAAACTGCATTAGAGCCGCTAATCTCAATTCCGTAGGAGTTGAGATTCTTGGCATATATTGAGACCATCACCGCATGGAGTATTAAACCTAAGAATACTGAGAGCTGCATACCTTACTCTCATCTCATTACGGCCTACGATTAAGACTACCTGGGGCCGGCAGTTCAATATTACTACGCTGACGCATATCGTGGGCGCGACGCCGATGCTCCGCTCTCGTGCTGCCATTATGGCAGAGTCCCGGCTACCTACATCGGCGTACGAAGCACCAATAACCTTGCGGTTTATCGTATGACCAGCCATATTTGCAGGGATGTGGACTGACACATACCCTGACACAGAGCAGTCGCTATATGATTGCGTATCTGGTGTAGTAAGGCTCATATTTGGCACAGCATCTATTGTAATCTACGTTCCTGCGAGAACAGACCGACCACAATATCGAATTAATGTATGTTCTGCAGCAATTTAATGAAGACTCGTGGCTGGTACACCGTGCCTTGCAAAATCGCCCTACCCCGGGTTACATACGACCTGCCGCAAAATATTGATTACGCCACAATGGGCGACTTTATCTACGAGCAATAAATTAGACCAGAGATAGGTGCGTTCTTTTTGTGTTGGGTGGAGGCAAAGTGCAGGCGGCTTACGCCAATAGCATTTTGTTTCTTGCCGCTCGCTGCTGCGCTTCGTGTCCACCACGAGGCTGAATCATCCCAGTTACTGACGATTTCTCTAATCTAAATTATGCCGCTTTACACCGCAAGATAAATTGAGGGTTTCCTCCTGAACTTGGCAAGGAGATCTTTGCAATGTTTGCAGGGTTGGGCCATAGATACCCATATACCAACCAATCCCCTTTCTTCCTCTCTCTTCCCTCTTTGTAACTTAATATTTTGTATGAAATGCACTCTTTTGCTTGCATGATCTGGCAGGTAATAAAAGTCTTATAAATAAATTGTTGAGTCTCTTGGAAGACAGATGATAGGATGGTAGCTGGTAAAGAAGAGGTTCTCTTTGGAGCATGTGCTTGCACATTTGTGACGTATGCGTTTCGAGAAGTAGCCTGTTATGATCAAAACAACATGCGTGTGAGAAAAAATCAGTACGGGAGGGGAAGGACACGTCAGCGGTTCAGGGGCGTGCAGGATATTCAGGTGCAGAATAGTGGTGTTCAGGGCATTCAGGTGAATGGGCTGAATGGACTGAAGAGTAGGGCGGCAAGAGGGGATTTCCTAACGAATCAAAAAAAACGGGTGAACACCGACATACAACAGTGAGGATTCGCTGGTGGTCACCCACCCAACTACTAACTCACCGGCGTGTGGCTTAAGTACGGCTGAGCGGACGGGAAGCCCTGTTTTCCACACCCTATGGTCGTATGTGGTTGGAATTTCATTAAGTGGAATAATATAGAGAAATTTTAATGTCATATGTACCATGGCTCAGTCGATGTCCACAATTATCCCTAGTTGTATATAGAAAAGTCCTCCGTACGGTTTATGCTGCTTACCACCTTCGTGTGCACCTAGAAGACACCTAAAAAGACACTTCATACACGCGGTTCGGTCAATCTCCATTCGTCTCGACGATGCCGGTATGCACAATGTTCTATATGCAAGAGAGAGTAGGACTGTCACACTTCTTGACTTTGAGGTTGCTGCACAGCTTATGCCTAACACATTCATCCCAACGAGTTACGAGATGAGGAATATATTCAGATCAAGCTCCCTTCTTGAAGGAGAACACGACGATTAGTTCTGACTTGATCATGTTTGCTTGTTTTGATTTTTATTTTTAACCCCGGCTTTTCTTTCTCGTTTGTATTGATACAAGAATTGTCGGCCGCTTAAGCGGCATTTTCATGCCTTTTCCAATCGGTAGTACTTTTATTTGTAGATAGTTCCTATTTAATGGCGTTAGTATTTCGGGTCTCCCCAAGCTTTTTACGAGTCTTGTCACTTTCGGAAAGTCTTTCGACGTATTTCAGATTCGAATTTAGAAAAGTTCGGAGAGGAAAAACAGAAAATATCCTGAAAACCCCGATTGGAGTCAATAAAAGGCGTCACTTGTTCATAGAAGGCGCCGCTTGTTCATGGAAGGCGTCGCTGGGCTTAGATTAACGGGGCTGCGCCCACACCCATCTCCTATCATCTCTTTTGGATAGCCCACTCAACATGTCTACCGCACAATCCCAATTCTCAGGCCCCTTCGATGTGACGGTCGATGATTCTGTGATCCTGACCCAGATTCTGACAAACATTAATTCGTCAAACGTGACTTTGTCCGCCACACCGGGCGCGGGAGAGACCCAGATTGCAGATTATTTGGCAGCATGGTTGGATCATCGCGGAATTGAAAATCATCGGATCGAGACTGTCAAGGGCCGTCCATCAATTGTGGGTGTGGTCAGAGGCTCAGGTGGAGGAAAGTCACTTATGCTCAATGGCCATATCGACACCGTGAGCTTGAACAGCTACGAGCATGAGCCTCTATCGGGCCACATTCTTGAGAAAGATGGTCGCCCCGCTATTTTTGGCAGAGGTGCGTTGGACATGAAGTCAGGTCTTGCCGCCGAAATGGCAGCCCTTGCCTCCATCAAAGCCCGCAAAACCCCCCTCCGTGGAGATGTCATTTTTGCCGCTGTTTCGGATGAAGAAGACGCTTCTCAAGGAACCCAAGACCTCATCGCCGCTGGATGGCGCGCGGACGGGGCGGTCATTCCCGAACCTACCAATCGTATTCTCATCACTGCTCATAAGGGATTTATCTGGGTCGAAGTCGATATTCTAGGGACTGCTGCCCATGGGTCGGACCCAACGACCGGTGTGGATTCAATCCTTCAGACCGGATGGTTTCTCACTGCGCTGGAAAACTACCAAAGTCGCCTACCAGTCGACGACATTATTGGGCCTGCATCTTTGCATTGCGGTCTGATCCATGGCGGCGAAGAACCATCCTCATACCCAGCAAAATGTACCGTGACGGTTGAATTCCGAACCATTCCTGTTCAGACGGACAAGTCTATTCTGCACGATATGAAGAGCATTCTGGCTACAATTGCCAAGGATAAGCCCACTTTTAAGTACGCTGAACCTCGCATCACCTTGTCGCGACCGTCGCAGAAATTGCCTGTCGAGCACCCGCTGGTCCAACAGACCGCTGCTATTGCCACCGATGTCTATGGATATCGTCCTTCCATTGAGAGTATGGCTATCTGGTGTGATGCTGCTCTTCTGGGTGAAGTGGGAATTCCAACCATTGTCATTGGTCAGGCTGGTGAAGGATTGCATGCAAAGGAGGAATGGGTCGATATTGGTAGCATCAACGAGACGGAGCAAATCTTTGTTCGGTTGATTGACGATTGGTGCCAATAAGGCTTGATCTTTATTTCACTGGATACAACAAACAGGGTAAGGTCATCCACTATCTCATCCTGGGGACTTCCTGGCTATGAACTTGCTTGCATACACCAACCTCTTGTTTTCCCAGCACACCACTATCGTGCCGACCCGGCCAACGTTTTATGCTGAAGCATTCGGGCTCAGCACAAAGAATCAAGCTCACATTGAGCCATCGTGGAGTTCAACACTGCTCTTGTCTCCACTCAATGAACACCGTGGGATCTCGAGTTCAATAGGCGATTTATAACATTTGACATCTCATATATTCTAACAGATTCATTCCCTACGTATACATGTGATATTCGAAGACAAAAGCTGTCTGATCCAGGGTGAGCACAAAGTCCAACAATTATATCTATCACATTATCCTCCTATGTACATGTACCGGCTTTTCCTTCGTCCGAAGTGTCCCAGTGATCCACGTTGCCTTCTAAAGCACCCTTTGTAAACGGATCTCTCCTATATTAACGCTGAAGACCGTAGTTCCATCGAGCACATAGTGTCAGACGGCAAATCAGGCGGCCTATTTCTGCCAAACATGCGCCATCTCCGCTCGAATCATTGCCATCAAGACGACCTATCACCATTAACTATCAGTCATGCCTCTAACATCCCATAAATATTCGACATACCAAGCTGAGGTCTACCCCTTGAGCCACCCGAACCCGAAAGACCGAGATATCCCGATTCCGCACAAAACGCTTCTTGATATTGTTCGAATGGACCGAGATCTCCGCAATCGTCACATTGCCAATGTTAACATAGTTCGTCATCCCCATTGCATCGCGCGGTCGCATCTCGACTAGCGCGCCGGAGCTCAAGATTTTCCCGTCAATGGCCGTGTGTTGCGAGGTGAAGAACTTCTTATGGCAAAACTCGGCGATCTTGTTACCACTGGCGTCTTCTACAAACCACCCCATCTTACGCCGTAGGTCAAAGACTGGCCGGCCCGAGACATCCTTCAAAGGTCGTCTCAGCGTCATCGAACTGTAGCCCCCCGGGCCTTCGACGGAAAAGAGCTTCTTGCCGTCATCACGCGCGATCGTGATGTCTTGAAGATGGCGGTCGTGAACCCTTACCCATACGACGGATTCCTGCTCGGTCGTATGGCCTTCGGTTAAACAGACTGGTGAAGGTGGAGCTTGAAGATCTGCATCCATTGTGGCCGAATATAGGTGCCAAGAGAAGTAAAACCAGGTAGACGTTTGTTGTGAGTAGGTGTAAATATTTGAGATGCGACAGGACAAAGGGGGTGGGGACAAATAGTATGAAAGATTTAGAGGAATAGGAGGGTAGCGTCTCTATACACTGACAGCAAGAGACTACAGACTACGCCCCTCTTGAAATGGTGTGTGATGTGGTGTGGTGGGTCTGTTCAGACTGCATATACGCAAAGAAGCTCGGTAGTTGAGGTGTGGCAGCGGAATAGCCGTGAAGGGAGGCGGAAACAGTGCTCACAAGGTTGTTTAATCAGCACGGAACTTGGGGGCCGGGAATATCATGGAACTAAGAAAAGAGTGTGGGGTTCAAATTGCCAGTAAATGTCGCATGTCCTGTCCCTGACTGGTTGGTCCATGAGTGATTCATGAAAAGTTGGCATTGATTGCCGATCCTAGTCCATTTTGCTTGGCATAATATAGGTGTGGATCAGGCTCTCCGCTTAAGTGAACCAAGCCTTTCATGGGGGGCCAGAGGTAAGGATGGGGGCCAATATTATATTGGTCTGGTATTGTATACGGGATAATAATGTTAGTGTGACATAATATCCTTTACACTACCTAGCAGAACAGGCAGCCTAGAATTATACAAGTTAAAGTATAAATGTGCAGTCAAAAACAATCTCTTTATACACGAGAGACAACATAGTATAGAACGAGCTTTTGACGAGTCACAAGATATTCCTTTTATAGTACTAAAGATAGCTATGCTCACTATTATGATTTCCTGACTCTTTGAACTCTGGCCCCCCCTTGGTTCATTGGTAGGCTATTTTCACTCCACATCAAGGACATATAGCGTCACAGAATACTGGGGGCGTTGCCAAAACCAACTAAAACGGGATTATGAGTTTCATGATTTCCTCAGAAAAGTCTCGCATGATCTCATCTTACTCGGTGATTGAGTGATAGTTATGATTAATGCCTCAGTTGGCCCACAGAAAGTATGGAGGCCAGTATCCTTAGTGCCATACGTAGGATATCGTTCGTACTCACACAATAGGAAGCCTGGTACTCTCATTGTAGTATGGACGTAAGGGCCTAGTCCAATTTATATCAACGATCCATGTTGATAAAGTCGTATCTATATACAAAAAGGGGTTGTGGAGAAGCACAGTATTCATGATGAACGGCAAGTACCACGGAGACATCTCTCGCTTCTATATGACCAGATGCACCATCATACGCACAATATGTTACAAGTCAGTAAGATAGTCCCGGCCCCCAACACAAATTCCAGTTTCAAGCAGTGAGGTCAAGGCGGAATCAGGAATGCCGGGGTGGAGTTGACACTGGAGCCCGGAACTTACTATAGAGGCAAAGGAATTAGATAGTAGTACATTGCAATGAAAACACAGCCCCTCGGGGATCTTCATTTCCGATCCTCCTCACGACCAAGAAGGACAATTAGATCCACGGACTAGAGACGTCACGGACCAGAGACGAAGGTATAAAGCTGAGTGACCTCCCAGCCTACCATTGATTTAAAACACTATCTTTCTTCCTCGCTCAAAACTCCTCAATTACTTCCAAAAACTTTCTTACTACCTTCAATATGGTTTCTTTCAAGACTCTCCTCGGCGCTGTCGCCATTGCTGCCTCCGTCCAAAGCGGCTCGGCTGTCTTGGTCACAATCTCCCTTGACGTTGCTCTTGGAACCATCGGCGGTGTTATTGGCGCCGCCGGTGGTGTCACCGGAGGTGTCTCTGCTGCTGTTGCCAACTCCAAGCGAGAGGTGAACCAGTTGGAGGCAGCACCTATCAGCCGTGTTAAGAGACAATCTTACGGCACCAAGTACGACTGGGAGCAATGCCACCAGCAACTCACTACCTCGACCATTGACTTCAACGGCGAGGCACCTGGCAGTAAGTAGTCTCGCCATTGCAATGCTAGAAAGGCCGTTTTTAGCTAACAAATATATTCAGCCGTCGTTGTCAGCGGCATGCCCCCGGCTTGCATGGTCCTTGCCACCGTCATTACTGGCAAGTTCGATCAGGGCAACCCGGTTCCGCTCAGCAACAATGCGGTCCGGTTCACTGGTTTGACCGATGATGATGTCCACCAGATGGAAGACGCTTTGAACACCCACGCTTAGATACAACGGGGTACAGTTTCCCAGTTAGTTATCACTGTGGACAAGGTACATAAGGGGTGTGGATATGATTGGCTTGTTGGGCTTGGGATAGACCAATATTGTCTAGGTTAGAATTGATACCGGCGCGTGGGGTCATCTCTGCACCGCCACTTTTATATTTGTTGGTCCAAACAACCTATCTTTGGACAGTAGACCTAAACTTTGTAATTTGGGCCATGCCTTCCCAATTTATCACGTTTCCGTAACACTTTCAATGTAAAGATGATTAAGGCACACAGAATATCTTCTATATGAAACATAAGCCGATCCATTGGCCGGTCATTGTGGCAAGGGAATAATATATGTAGAGCAAGCTAAAATAGCTGCAACGATGTTTTTATAGAGATGTGTTATTTTCTAGTAGAGTATGTCCAGGAGGCGTGGGGCCAGCTTGATTTGGATCATCTCCAACATTTCTAGTACTATGCCATGTGGTGTGAAGAACGTTATAGACTCTTAGATTAGCAGTACATATATACTCTATGGGTCCATTGCTCCTAAAATGTCGTTTTGAAGTGGTGTAAGAAGGGAGGTGATTAGAACATACATTTGGTGCGTCCCATGTCAGCCCACAGTAGTGGCAAATGGAGTGTCTATAATAGGAACATCCAAATGGCCCCAAGCGGATATTGTATTTGCGTGAGTGTACTGAAATACTGTGGAGCTATGTCTGCGCGTATATATGGTGTGTTTTGGGAGCCGTTGTATATCATGCACATTTGGGGCCGGGGGCCAGCTCCACCGCTCCACCTCGACACCTGGGCGCGGCTCCACACGCAAGCCTTTCCCGCCGGCCCCATGTTCAAATTGACACCCCTAGAAATTTTCGGCAGAGATAAGGGGGCGCACCGGAGAAGGGTGCGCGCATTATATCAGGTGTGCCGCACCTGACTTTGCGCCATTTTGCCGCAAAAAAAACCCCCGATTAAAGAACAGAAGGTACCGGGGCATGAAAAGAATGATGGCATTGGAACAAGCAATCCAAGCCTTACCACCAGTGCTATACCTTGGTCTTTCTGGACTTGCATTCGCCATCTCTTTGCACGCACCAAAACAGGGACAGCGTCTGGCGCTGCTGCCGTTGATTCTAATACCCGCCTTCCTCTCCTTGTCTGCGGTACTCCATGTGCCATTTGCCTCTGGCGTCTCACTCGTCTGGGGTCAAGCATTAACAGGATATGTCCTGCATACTATATCGACCTTACACCTCGAAGAGATCCCACCACCTTGCCCATCCGGTTCCGATCCCGCGACGCTTGGGTTCAACACCTGCTTCGACTTCGGTTACTTTCGCCGAATTTGGCTGAATCCACGTTTGATACGTACGCATCCAACCAATCAGACCTCGCAGGAGCGGCCGAAGAAGCAGTCTCGCGGGATATTCCTTGTATTACAACTCTCCAAGCTTCTCATATACTACATCATTCAAACAAATATCTCCCCTGCGCTATTTGACGAAGTTGTCATTGACCTCCTGCCGGATGATGTTGCTCCATATCAACAATCCCTCTGGCGTCCTCTAAACGGGTTCACGGCGCGAGAGTGCTTAAATGTAACGTTCGTCACCTTCTCATCTTTCTGGGCGACGTTTGTGTACCTCGACGGGACAAATGCCATGATGGCCGCACTGTTTGTTATGATCGGCCTGGATGATCCAGAGGACTGGCCGCCACTTTTTGGTGACCTCTCCCAGGCAGCCGGGCTGCGAAATTTCTGGTCAAGATTCTGGCACACACTTCCCATGAAGCCTTACAGGAGCATTGGAGAATACATCAGCCTTCGGATACTTAGGCAGTCGCCTCGGTCTTTCGCCCATAAGGCAATCATTGCCTCGGTTGCATTTGGGCTTTCAGGCGCCGCCCACGCTTTGATAGACTGGCAGCGTGGCAGCCCTGATTGGCACTTGAATATTTATTGGTTCCTACTCAACTTTCTCGGTTGTATGGGCGAGTCCCTTTTTGTCAAGACGCTTCGCCAGTTAGCACGGAGAGCTTTTCGAGAGCACGATTTTCGGACCCTCCAAGAAAGCTGGCTAGGCAGATTTATTGGGTATGTCTGGGTTTGCGTCTTCTTCTGCTGGACGGTGCCAATGTGGCGTTTTCCCGAAATCCATCGGCAGTCTTTGGCTTTCCAAAGTATGAGGCAACTCCTGTCGAACATGCAAGTAGCTCAACAGTAGAGGCGCCCGGTATATTGTACCGCATGTATCCATACGGTACTTATAGCATTAAAGCCGCAATTACTGAATGAACTATGCTCCAGTTACTTTCTAGCCTTATATGTAGGACCTTCCTATATTCAGTACCTTAGTTAAATCGGCAGACAGGTTTTGGGGATCTTTTGGAGGTGGCCAAATAGCTCCATGCCAAGACCATGACCCTACTCATCGCCGAAGCATCGCTCATCTCCCCTACCCATGGCGGGGTTCCCAATGCAGCTGGAGTGTGGAATGATGCACAGGTCGAAGGCTGGAAAAGCGTGATCGATGCAGTCCATGCACGTGGAAGCTACATTGTTTGCCAATCGCTTGCCCCAGGTCGCGCTGCAGATGCGACTACTTTGCATAGGGAAGGGTGCTACGATGTTTTGTCATCTAGTCCGATCCCAATGACGGACGCCGCTCCGGTTCCCACGGCAATGTCAGAGGATCAAATTCAAGGCGCTATTAAAGACTACGCCACTGCAGCCAAGAACGCCATTCGCGCGGGTTTTGATGGTGTTGAAGCCCATGGCGCCAATGGATACTTGGTCGATCAATTCCTTCAGGATACCTGCAATGCGCGAACAGACCGATGGGGCGATAGCATTCAAAACCGGGCACTATTTGGAATCGAAGTTGCAACAGCTATTGCGAAAGCTATCGGGGCGGATAAACTCGGATACAGAATCAGCCCTTGGAGCAGCTTCCAAGGTATGAGAATGGCGGATCCAGTCCCTCAATTCTCTTACTTAATTGAGGAGCTGAAGGGTCTCAAGCTTGGATATCTCCATGTTATTGAATCTCGAGTCAATAATAACGTGGATGTTGAAAAGACCGAGGGTATCGAGTTTGCATTGGATATCTGGGGTCAGACATTACCCGTTCTGGTCGCTGGTGGGTTTGATGCGCATTCTGCAACCCTAATGTTAGCCCCTTTCTTCTAACTAAGTGGTTTACGCGGCCACAATCGCTGGCTTATGGCTTTCTCTTAGCACCTTGATCGTCCTAGTGCCACCTATTCCTGTGGCCTTTTTAGGCTGAAATCCTTATATGTTTGGAATCATCGAAATGTTTTGGGCTTCACTTCTAGCCACTCTCATCATCCTTATGAAGCATAATACCGAAGATGTATACATAACTCAAAGTAATCAATATAGTGGAAAGGCGCGTTGTCCATAATAAGGAAAGACTTTGGCTCCGGCTATTTACCACAATAAAAGAGAAGCTGTTCAATACAATCTTCAAATATGGTGTCACCCAATGGGTAGACTAGCCCGTCTTCCTGAAGCAAGCAGGTTTGTTACAGCCTGATTTATCTATCAGCAGTCTACCTCCAACACGACGCACTGCGGTTAGAATTGGAGTGAGAGATTCGATGGCCGTTATGGCGTCGCGTGAACTCGAGGCTTGTAAACAGTTCCTTATGGTTCCCAAGGGCCTCGGGCTCGACTTCCTGTCAGAAGCTGGGGTTGTCCGTCTCCCTGAACGAGAAGCACATCTTCATGTCTCACCCCGAATTTATCCACTAGATAGATTCCGGGCTCCGAAGTGAAAGCCATGCCGGTCTTCAACAAGCTCGCTGTATTTCCCTGGTTCATATACGGGCTTTCGTGGGCTGCTCGAAGTTGTCAGTTTATTAAACTCGAATGACAGGGTTGCATAAAACGGAACCTTTGATCCCAATACCATGCCCCACGCGATGCGTAAAGGCTTCGGCATACCCAGCATGGCTAATCACGTCGCGTGCAGCAATATCTACACTAGCTGCGGTCATGTTCTCGCGCATTTGATCAATTGAGCGAGTTTGTGCCTCGAAGACGATATCCCAAACCTTTACCCAAGTCAGTGAGTTAGATACAAAGAGGAAACAGAATGACTTACCTTCAGCTTCTCACTCATGCGCGGTGAAAGTACCTCGTCTTTGGAAGGTTTCTGCAAGAACGGAGGGAAAAAGTGCGGCAAATATCCGACGAGTATCCATAGAGATGTGCACTATCACAGCGTTAGATGGCGAAATTTATGATAGGTTTGCTGGAATACGAACCCCACATCGATCAAGACAAAGGTCTCGGCTTCCAAAACCTTAGATCCATTGGTTCCACCATGCGGGTTGGATGCATTCTCATCAAAAAGCACGATGTCGAAGAAGGGATCCAATCCGGCGGCTCGAAGGGCATCATCGAGGGCAGCAGCTATTTCATTCTCCGTCAATCCTGGGTAGAGGCATTTTCTCATCTGTCGCACCGCCTCAACAGTTCCGGTATTGACTGCGCGCAAAATTTCGACCTCCCGAGCAGTTTTGATCTGTCGAACTTCTTCAACCTGGCCCTGTAGACCGACTACCTCGAATCCCGCAGATCCAAGGCCGCGCTGGATGAAGTCTCGCATTTCTTCGTCCACCATCAGGCGTGCGGGTCGACGGAAGCCCAGGAACACATCCGATTGCTGGAGAGTGGTGTACGGATTCCAGTGCTCCTCCCATGGAACGATTGAGATTTCCTCAGAGAAGGGCATTCCAAGTAGACGGGCGCGCTCAGCCTCGAAAGATGGGCAGAGAAAGGTGGTGTTGGCCTTGACGTTGCCCGTGGCCTCATCATGGAACGGGCGTATCACCATCAAGAAAGGACGCTCTTCCGGCTACGTTGGTGAGTTTAATCGGCCCATGAATATCTTGATGGGTGTCTTACCTCCCACACTTCCCACTCAGGCTGGCTCACGTTGCCATAGTACTGGAATGTATATCCCGGTTCTACCACAAATGCATCAGCTCCCTCGGCGACCAGTGCTTGCGCCAATCGATCCCGTCGCTCTTCAAAGTCCACAACTGCGATGGGCGCGACGTTGTTCATGAATGGAAGCCCTGTCTCGAGAATATTGTTGATCGCGCATTGTTGGAAGGTTTTCCCGCGGTCGGGTTTGTCCACGTCATTCCATTGGTCCCCGAGCGACCATGAACGACGAGAAAAATTATAACTCGTGGCTAACAGTCCAGCACTGGCTATAATCAATGCTAGGTTGCGAGCGGAGAAGCGATTACGGGGCTTAGCCTCCACGGCGCTGAAGGGCAGCTGTTTCGACATGATGCGAGAAGTTGGATCAAAGGAGGAGATTCGAGAATTCCCAGCTTGGGAAATAAAACCCCTTCGTGAACTCGGCCCTCGAGCTCGAGAGTGGGGGTTCTTATCTCGTTTTGACCTTCCTACTTTCGCATTTGCTTCCCCGCATCTCGTTAGCGCCAAATCCCAAGCTTCATTGCGTTAGTCTCGACGTCGGCAGTTACTTTCGGTGCCCCCTTGACTGGTGCAGTAGGTTGCAACTATCTGCAAGGATATCGGACAAATCAGGTCTTTCCTGCTGCGGGGATGTATTATAAAGTGCGAGCGATGTCCGAATCTGCTAGCTGCAATCTGCAGTACCCGCATCATGAGCGAGCCTAAGGTAGTTGAGACACGTGAAACGTGTAAAAAGAGCCCAGTATCGAAAGAAGTGGACGTTCAAACGGGGACCTCACTTTCACTTTCCCCAGATGCAATTAAACAAGATGCGACAGATGATCCCTACAACGGTCGAGGCTACTCACGCCTCTCCATGGTCATGATGGTGGTCTTCAGTGGCCTCGCAATCGGCTCGGACGGCTTCAACGCTTCGATCATTGGAAATCTTGAGTTGATCATGGCGGTCATTTATCCAGAGTCGCTGACCACGGCTGTAGCCGCTCGGTTATCCAACGCATTCATGGTCGGCATGATTATTGGCATGCTCTCATTTGGTTACATCGCCGATAAACTGGGCCGCAAGAGTGGCGCTGTTTTAACAACCACAATTTTGGTTCTGGGAATTGCGCTGAGTGCCGGTGCCAGTGGGTTGACCGAGGATGGCATGTTTTGGATGCTAATCGTAGCCCGAGGAATCGCAGGTGTTGGGGCGGGCGGGTGAGTGACATTTCCTTGCTGTTTAATGTATATGGCAACCTGCTAATCCGATGTGATTAGAGAATATCCCGTTGCAGGGGCAGGTGCTGCTGAAGCCACAGACGAGGCTCCGGGAATTCGTAAGCGAAGAGGCTTTATTTTCGCAATGATTGCTGATCTGTCGGCATCTCTTGGCTTTGCCTTCGGTGCTCTGGTGCCACTCCTGTTGCTTTTGTGTTTCCATCAACAAGTGCAACATTATGAAGCTGTGTGGCGAGTCTCCTTGGCCATGGGGGCCATCGCTCCTCTTTCGATTTTCTGGTTCCGCTATCGGATGGTCGTCAGTTCTGCATATCGTAAGAGCTCCATGAAAAAGCAAAGACTACCCTATTGGCTAGCGATCAAGAAGTATTGGCGACCGTTGGTGGGCGTCTGTGGTTCATGGTTCATGTGAGCACCTCAACCCCGTGGAATTTTATCGCTGTGGCTAATCGCACGGACTGCATCAGTTACAACTACATCTCCTATCCTTTCGGCCTGTTTTCATCCACCATCGTGGGTCGGGTCAATCCATCCTCATCCTTGGCCCTCACAATGGCCTGGGGAACCTTGATAAATTGCTTCTATATTCCCGGTGCATTCATCGGTGGTTTCCTCTCGGACCGTATTGGTCGCCGCCGCACCATGGCACTCGGGTTCTTCCTCCAGGCCATTCTTGGATTCATCTTAGGAGGAGCATTAGGCCCGATCCAGACAAATCTGCCGCTGTTTATCGTGCTCTATGGCATATTCCTTACCCTCGGAGAGGTCGGCCCAGGTTCCACGATTGTTCTCACTGCCAGTGAAAGTTTTCCCACCTCGGTTCGCGGCCATGCAGTCGGATTCGCTGCTGCTTGGAGTAAGGCCGGGGCGGCAATTGGAACTCAAGTCTTCAAGCCGATCATGGCTAATTGGGGCGATGATGACCTTCATGGCACCCAAGCTGTCTTTCTCATCGGGTCAGGGTTTGCTGTTCTCGGAGGCTGCCTGGCCTGGTTTGTGCTCCAGGACAGCAATAAAATCCTCGATCACGGTGACCAGGAGTGGAAGGACTATCTGGTTGCTCATGGTTATACAAACATTGAATGGGGTGCTGAAGAGCAAACGGCTATACCGGACCAAAAATTGGCTGACTAGAGCCTTTAATTGATACGATGATCGATGCGAGCTTGAGAAGATAAGGGGTCCAGAGCAACTGCTCACGGACACTGGTTGCGTTCATTTGCTTTAAAGTCGATCGCATATTTCTAGTCTATCCCTCATGCACATGTCTTATTTACCTTGGTAAATTTTCAAATGTTCCGTCCTACGTGGACTTTCCGTATAGTGTAATTACCTGCCTAGGTAGCGGTATATTATTGCATCCATGGATACATATATGTAGATATACCTACATAAGTAGAGTGAATGTACCCAATAGAGTTTAGCGCTACAGTCCGCAAAGGTTTTCGGTCCTCCCCGGAGCCGTCGCCGAAAACTTCTGCGGTAGAACTATACGTCATATAAGGCCATTTTACTTGTCTCAATCCATCGTCCACAACTTAAGTTTCTTAACAATGTCTTGCCATCTGCGCGAAATTTCTGAAGATTTTGTGGCTTCCCATGATACCGGATTGTCCACCGATGTTCGTTTGGCCAGAGCCACTGAAAAAATCCTGGCAGTTACAGAGGCCCTAGCAAAAGACGAAGACATACTGCGACGGACCCTGAGCGTGCGTTCCATCGTATCAAGCTCTTCAAGCTTCCCAGAGCGTATGCAGCGAGCGAAATTCCTTCAAGATCCTGCATTTGTTGTGATCGGCCGAGGAACATGCGGCACGATCTTTGAGATTCCTGGAACAGAGTCTGCGTACAAAAAAGGCAGTGATAAGGACTCCCTGTGGAACGATGCAAATCTGACCAACACTGCCTGCCGTGCAGTGATAGAGACCAAGACTTGTCTTCAGGAAATATTTCCAAATACCTCAATCCCTCGTGTGCCTATAGTCACTGGATGGATCAGTGAGAATGACTTACAGAACTGGTGGCGAGAGAACTTGTCACAATTCCCCGATGATACTGAGATTGGATATCTTTTCCAAGTCCAGCGGATCTTGCCGCTTCCTAGGCCCTCCCGTGAAGCTCTCATTCGCCTCTATTTCCCGAAGAAAATGCACCATTCTGCATACGAAGACCCGGATAATAAAGCATGTCTTGTACGACCATACCTTGGACAGCGAAGAGGAGAGTGGGAATATTCTCGTCCAGCACTCAGCCTTCAGAACTTTCCTCTTTATCTCGATCAGATAGAGGAACTCCAGTTAGAAGCTGTCCAATTTTCTGAAGAGATGGCTATTGGGCTGGCGATCATCCACTGGAAGGCTCACTTGGAAGGGATGGACATGGAATTCGTACTCGGTAGCGCGACAACAAATGGAGAACTTCCGACCGTGGTTGAGAACTTCAAGACGGTCAAGCCATTTGATATCCCTGCTGGAGATTTTAAAAGACGGCAGGTGCATCTCTGGATGCTCGATTTTGATAAGGCTGACCAGCTTGACTTGAAGGAGAGCTGGAAGTCTTGCTGCGATAAGATGGTCACTGCTGTGACAGCGAACGACCCCTATTTCCCCAACCCAGCAGCCATAGGAACTCTCGAACACAAGTTATGGGATACATTTGAGCGCGCCTATCTTCTTGCTGCGTCTAATCTTCTACTTACACAGAAGGGGTTTCCAAAGAAAGCGATTGAATACCCGGCGCTATTTTTGAAAGCATGGAAGAAGAGAGCTACAGAACTGGCAAAGGACACGGAGGGTGATTTTGTGGAGTTCGGGTAAATATGGGGTTCTATGGATGTCTCATGTATTTTCTTTTTGTTGCAGCCCATCTCCGGCTGTCTTTATTCTTATCTGAGCGTTCTTTGAGAAAGGGATTGCGAGGATCTAGGGGGAGATGCCGTTAATAATCCCCTCTATCTATAGATACTCTCTCGAAATATTAACTAGAATAAAGCTATAACCGCGGGGTTTAACCCTACAAACTAAAGTGCCCTCTACTCCGTACACTCTATAGCATGAAATTGATTTTGTTCAACTGGTTATAAAAAACCAAACAGGTGGGTCCCGGAACTATAGTTAGGGAATTGAACCCATCCTTAAGAGGCTTGCTTACCACTTGTGGTTACCGGTGCAAGCCTAAACCGCTGAGCTGTTAGAGCTGATATATTGGAAATATTTGAGAGTGACCCTAGCGATCCCGGTCTCGTGCCACGGTCGAAGTTCCTTTTGGCGCTGATTCTTGCAAGGATTGCGGATCGAATGGGAAGTATGGCTGTCGCGGAAGAAAGCCAGAGACACCGTGAGAAGGCAATATTTCTTGTTAAGCAGGAACACCTCTTCACGGGTATGCTTAGGGTTTATTTTTGCAAGAAGGAAAGCAATGTGATATTTCCCTATAGTACCTACCTGGCAGGTAACTTTATAACGTCGCTTCGGCACCTGGGCATCATCCATATCGACAAACTTAGAATATACAAGTCCTCTTTGGTTGTTTGAAGATAATCAGAATAATGATGATAATCTCGTTTCGGCCTAAGGTAATGCTGGTGATAAATCGCTCAACTAGCGCGAAAGTGCCAGTTACCAATCCTTAGGATGAGTGGGGTCAGAGATAAATTAGAACAAAAGCACTAACCGGGGACTCACGAGTTTGAGCCTTCACACTTTCCGAGCGCCATGCGGTCTTGGCCTCGTATATGTAAGACCTGAGATGCACTACCCTATCGGCTATACTTTCACCGGCAGCAACGAGACCTTGAGAAGCGGTAAGAGGCTTTCTTATCACGTCACATGTTGGTGGCACAACTAGTGGCTTGGTCTCTGAAGCACATGTAAACCATTTTCTTTGTTGGCAAAAGAATAGGTTCCTGCTCGGCGGAGTAGAACTCATCTTTCTCAAGGCCTTTTCTCGAAGTAAGAACGACTTTGACAAGTACCAAAAAAGCCTTGAAAGAGTTTGTGTCAGGTATTCTTTTCTCGTTTTGTGCAATCCGTATTATACATGCCGAAAGTGGACCGTATGCTATGTCTCAGCAGGACCAGAAACAGTATACGAGTATAACAGCCGACATGTTATGAATGCACGATAGGTCAAGATCGTTCTATCTACCCATGCTCAATCGTCATCATGATCTTAATCGGGCGTCGTTGCAGATGAGAGTGCAGAAAGAATCACACAATCCATGCAGACTCGCTAAGATTGACTATTTTGCACGGTGAAATCCTATATCTCGATAATGTCAGACCATTTGGTGGGATTATACCCCGCAATGATTCATGGAGATGCATGGATGAGAACGAGGTCTTTGATAATCTTTCTTATTGAACGACTACTATAAGAGCCTCCTCTGCTCCGCTTCAACGAGTAGTTCAACATAACCTTCTCTTTCACTTACCCGGTCTTCAATATCCAAATATGCATCTCCCACTACTCTCTATCCTCACTCTTGCGCCCGCGGTGATTGCGGTTGTTGTCGATACGCCAACTCTGAAATCGCGTCGGAATTGGGACGTGACATGGAGACTCGACACGCCAAAAATTGGCCTCACTCTTACCCGAGACTTCAAAACTTTTGAGTGGATTGATCTCGTTGATGCCGAGCCGGAGAAGGCTAGTGTTAGATTACCGAGAGACGTGAATCTTCAGCCAGGGTAAAAATGATCACCTGCTTGAATGAGAGTGATACTGATCTGGCTTGCGCAGTGATGTTTGGTTGGTCGCATGGACTAGTCACGGTACAGGACCAATTGGATATAGTGAGAAATTCACAATCAAATAAGCATTGCTTATATATACGGTGGTGTGGTGAAGGGGATTCGATAGACTTCATTGTATCGGCCTTCGAAACTTGAAACTAGTAAATGATCTTCAAATGAGATTGACTTCAGGATGTTCTCTGCATTCGTTACACAAGATTGTTCAACGTACAGCTCAGAGGCTGTGATTCCCACTTTCAACAGTAGCAGGGGCCGGTTAGTACCCGTACCTAGGTAGGACTCATCCATGTGTTCAATAATCCCTGGGCTGCTGGGTAGTACACTACGAAGTGGACATGGGTCCTGAGGCCCATGTTCTGTGAAATTCTGGTAGGGATATCCAGATTGTTCTACCATGGAATCAGGTCTGACTCGTTTTTAATTTCTCCGAGTCCAAATTGGGAGTCGGAGGTCTAAGTCAAAAACACCATTAGCATCAGGCTCAACTTCTTCTCGCGATCATATCCTCAGTGGTACATGCACGGTATGCTTGTCGAGGAATGCGCGGGTCGACAAGGATGTTGCGCTCGGGGATGTGGGTGCTGTCTGAACCGCAAAATGATCCCGTCATGAAGTCTTGGTGTTGGACATTGTACGCTCGAATGTGCATGTTGTCGGAGGGCTAGAGGCTTTGAAGTTTCCCCTGCCGATAAGAAACTGTTGAACAGTTTAGAAACACGGTCCAGGAGCGTGGCTACCGTATAGCCAGATACCGACAAGTTTCAATCTGGGGCGTTGTGGGTGATAGCAGGGAGAACCCGTTTAACATGATTGATGCGTCGCCGAGATACGATCAGATTGAAAAGAAAGGAATAAAGGGACTGCTTGATTCGGTCCAAACTAAGGTGTGAGGTTGTAAACTCAAGTGCCAGTGGTTATTGTGGTTATCTCTTCTTTTTCGTTTGGGACTTATTATTTTGCTTGCAACTCTTGTACACTATTGTTTCGTACTATTGTTAACGGCTGTGTATAGCGCTCGTCGTCGGATGCGCAATATTTTGGCCTCATTACCGATTTTGGCCTGGCAGAAAAATAAAAATACCTGAATACCTAGGTTGAACTTGCGTTGAGCTCTAATGACACTCTAGGGGAATCAAGAGAAGGAAGCTTAGATGCGGAGAGAACGTGTTGACCTACCACCCGCTACAAGATTCCCATATTTCAACCAGAGAGTGAGAAGAAAAGTTGACCAATCGCTCGGGAAAGGGGGTGGCGGAGCTCAGGAGCTCGGTGATCCGGATCAATAGCAAAAATACGTCACCTGCAAGGCCCAGGGATATCTGGGAAACGAGGGCGAAAAGAAAAATGACCTGGCATGACCTGGCTTGTTAGGTGGAGGGGGGAATACGGGACTATACAGAACCACGTAGTACGCAAAACATTAAGCCTTGGATAGCCAAAGTTCAGCTTCCCCAGTATCAAATATCCGATATGGTGTAGTGGCTAACATCGCCGTCTCTCACACGGCAGCCGGGGGTTCGATTCCCCCTATCGGAGTTTCTTTTTTGGATTTCTTTTTATCATACCTTTATGATCCTAGTTCTGCTGTTTGGTGTATGTCTCTGGGGACAAACAGTTGATGGAATTGAGGAGATTGCGCCACAAAAAGCCCAATATATACATAGACGCCCGGATGTATACCGCGCATTTAAAAAGCAGTTGTAGGAAAAGCCTCACTGTTGACTAACATAAAACTCTATCCTTGACAGAGATCAAGGCCGGTGATCAGTATTCCAAGGTCCTCCTAACTTGGAAGTGTAGCTGGGAATCCTCGGCCCATGCCTAGAAGAATCAGTCCATAAGTACGGAAGACAGCCGAGCGTTTCAATGATAGGTTTTCGAACTTGTGACGTGCGTACTCCAAAAATGATCGGAATAAGATATAAAGTACGTAACTCACTTCTGGCCAGATACCTGGTTGTAAGTGGAGCATGATGTACGAGGACTAGATGAAGTAAATATCTTTACAATATAGAAAACCGGGGATGATATGGAACTTTAGTACTCAAACTTCAGACTAGATTAGAGTATCAAGGCATAATGAACAAAATAAACTACAGTCGTACTTGTCTGATATATATTTATCATCAATCGAATAAATCCAGATATGTCTGGGACACAGTACTTTAATCGCACGATTTACGACGATCTGCGCGATATTACCCCAACTAACTTCTCCAATCATCCCTCCACTTTTTCTGTGGCTATGTACATATGGAGTAATCGTGCCAAGCCCCCCCCCCCCCCCCCCCCCAACACCAGGTACTTACATACATACATAACTAGGTCGTGGTGTTGGTGGGCTGCACCGGATAGTTAGCAAATTGTGAGGATTAGGTATATCTTGTATGCCAACTGTCATAGCCTCAATTTTCTTAACCCTCAAACCAGTTAGGGGGAATATAGGAAGATATATATAGCGTAGATGAACTCTTAATTACTTAGTATCAGCCTAACTAAGAAGTATAAAGTATGCCTGAAGTAAGAGAATGGCTATACTTTACACGTGGTGATTTTAAAAGGTGCTCTTTATACTTCTTTACCATATAATTAGAATTAATTTTAGTGGTAGATCAATTAAACCGCACTGCCGTAGATCTTTATTCTTTTATTTTTATTTAGCCTAGTTTGAAAGTTGAGCAAATCGATGTTATGCTTATGTTGCGTTTAAGTACCTTTTGTATGGAGTTTAAATACAAAAGATACCTAATATTTACAATCTGCATCCTGACAATTTGCTATCCGGTGCAGCCCACCAACACCCGGTAGGTGTGGATTGGGCGCTTGGCACGATTATCGTTCCGACTTCTGGAAATGCCGTTGCCTTGGTGCTATAGCATAACGGGTTTAAAGGGGTTTCAAACAGCTTCCGAAAATTGTCCGCGCTATATCTATACGAAAATCCCGCTTTAGGGATTATTCATTATAGAAGATACATAGTATATCTCTTCAGATACTTAAGATTCCAATATTGAATGTATAATTATTCTGTGTGTTTCAAGAGTCGAGAAACTGACGATTTATCGTATGTACCTTTATGTGTTAATCCCTGACAAAGGATGTCTTGGACAAAGTTTGGTTGGGCCCGCAGGGGGTTACTTGGCAAGGACTGGGTACACTGCATGTTCGGACGTCCACGGGTAAACCCAAAGTGATGAACATATCGCCAAGTAACCTAAAATCGAGAGAAGTTTGTCGAATTCGGCGTCGGAGCCGTAGGACTCGGATGATGCATAGCGTGCATCAGACTCCGCCGGTGTATATAAACCGAGACCATGCCGGTCTCATCGAAATCTGTACTATATATCCCATACTTCTATTTCACTTGACTCGAGGTGAGAATCACAATCAAAATGGGTTTCTCTCTTCAGACACTCGTGGTTTCAGCTCTAGCTATTTCAAGCTCTGCTGCCTCTCCTTTGATCCACCCCCGGGCAGCAAACACATCCTATACAAACTCCAACGGCTTGACATTCAATCACTTCAACGGTTCTCTTCCAAATGTGACCCTCCTAGCCACTGGTAAGTATCAATAACATAAGACATGATAAATCTACATAACACAATATCCCCTAACCAAAAAAACAGGTGGGACCATCGCCGGCACAAGCAACGACAAAACCGCAACAGCAGGTTACAAATCCGGCGCTCGAGGAATCAACAGTATTCTCTCCGAAATACCAGATATCTTCGACGTCGCCAACATCGCCGCCGTTCAGGCGCATAACGTCAATAGTGGCGACATCTCCTCATCCCTCCTCTTAAACCTGACCCACACACTCCAGACCCAAGTCTGCGATGATCCCACCATGTCTGGAGCCGTGATCACCCATGGCACCGACACTCTGGAAGAGTCGGCCTTCTTCATCGATGCGACAGTAAACTGCGGCAAGCCAATCGTATTCGTCGGCTCGATGCGGCCCTCTACCGCTATCTCAGCGGATGGACCCATGAACCTCCTGCAGGGAGTAACCGTCGCCGCAGACAAGAACTCCAGGGACCGCGGAGCATTGGTTGTTTTGAACGACCGGATTGTCTCGGCTCTGTTTGCAACCAAGACCAATGCGAATACCATGGATACCTTCAAGGCATATGAGCAGGGAAGCCTGGGATTCATTGTGTCGAACAAACCGTACTTCTATTACCCGGCTGTGCAGGCAAATGCTAAGCACGTGGTTGACGTGTCCAATGTGGATGCTGTGCCTCGTGTGGATATCCTGTATGCGTATGAGGATATGCACGTGGATTCGCTTTATAGTGCTGTGAAGAATGGCGCCAAGGGTGTCGTGGTAAGTCAATTACCACCCCATTTTTATGAGATTTGAATATGTCGAGCAGTGCAATGCTAATCTCATAATAGATTGCTGGCGAGGGCGCAGGTGGTGTTTCCACGGATTTCGGTTCTGCTATCAATGACATTGTTGCGAAACACAATATCCCCGTCGTGCTGTCGCATCGTACTGTGAATGGCGAAGTTCCCACTGCTGATTTCACCGGGGAGAGCGCGAACACCAAAATTGCTAGTGGAATGTTTAATCCCCAGCAGGCGAGGATTTTGCTTGGGTTGTTGTTGGCCGAGAAGAAGGGTCTTGAGGAGATCCGAGAGGTATTTTTGAAGGCTACTGTTGCTTGAAGATTTCGGAGAAAATCAAGGAGGGGAAAAGATAAAGGACAAAGGACATGAATATACACATAGACACATACATTAATATATAGATGATTGATGTATTTCCACAAATTCCCTACATATGTGCCTAGTAAGGATCGGGATAAGAGATCAAATGTTTACCATGCTTTGGGCAATAGCAGGTTTGCTGAGTAGGACTACCCTGGGGGGCTACACGTAAGTACATTTGGTTTTGCTACCTAACTGCACTTTTACTATAGTCGATTACAACGGATCTTTCAAGTTGTGCAGCATGTGTATTTCACGAGAATAAGGAGAAGATTACATGAATGATGTATTTTGCTAGCCGAGCTAGTCTAGGTTAGCTAAAAGTGGTACATGGTAAGAGGATATATG